TCTTATATGACTTCTGTTTAATCCGTTATCTCTAAACAACCTAATGGGTCATTTTATGTGGTGACTTTTATCTCTAAATATATATTAGAGAGCATTCGACGCATTCGGTCTTTCCTACAATTCACGGTCCAATCACATTATACCTGACTCTTTGCTTTTCTTAATTTCTTTCAATTAAACAACATTATAATTACTTTGGTAAATTACTTGAACTAATTTTTTCCAATAATAATACCACACATGTTGTTTAATCAACTCGCTATGCAGTTCCCTGCGGTCGTTACCATCCAGCACTAGATATATTTTCTTCTTTGACTAATTCTGTACCTTTTCTGGATAAGTTTCATACTTATTACAATTTTTGTAAAGCATCATACCCTCAGATACTCTCTTTTCTTGAGTCTTTTAACTGGGTCGACACTTTTAGAAACCTTGATGTTGACTCCACCGTTAACGCACTCTACGATGCTCTTCACTTTATCATCTTACAATATGTCCCAGTTGCGACCTATGTCAACTCAAAATTTCCTATCTGGTTCTCTAAACAATTAAAACCAATTATCTACGTTAAAAGGAAAGCACATACCCACTTTAAACACAATAATGACTCTCGTGATTATGTTCTATTCTCTAAAATTCGAGCTCTTTATAAACTCGAATCCAAAAAGTGTTATAAATCCTACTTAACTCGTACTGAAGCCTCGCTGAAACAAACCCCCTCCCCCTCTTTTTAGACCATTATTCGTAATAATAAGTCTAATAGTTTCATTCCTAGATATATTTTCTTTAATGATTCCTCCAGTTCCAACCCGGCCCAAATTCCTAATGTCTACTGTTCATCCAGTTAATTTCCTAATTGTAGTTTTTGTATCCTGGATATCTATACTGGCCTCGACAAAATGAAGAATACAAGTGCCCCCTTTTGAACACAGATTTAAATAGAGAATATTTTTCTAGAAATTTTAATATGCATAACACTAATATCAGATTTACCGCTTATGAGTTATAAGAGTTTAAAGTTTAGACCGGAGGAGTAGGGAAAGGTAATAAATTGTCTACCATAATCGAAAAAATACAATTTTTTGATATTACGGCGCAACAATTTCATTATTTAAAATTTAAGATTCTGAGTGAAACTTATGATTTTACAAAGATGTTCTGTGAACAAGTTTTCCACCAGAAATTTACAAGTATAGCACCTTTTTTAAAAGGAAATCTGATTAAGGATGTACTTAGAGAAGGTAAAGTTAGGTAAGATATCTAACAGTTATTAAGTCGTCGCGCCGCATCATTTTAATTTAACTTTGTGTTTTGTTACAGGTTTGGAATTTTTGATTAAATAAGATTGAATCATTTTTTTTACATGAATGCATGGGTCACATAATCATTTGGTCTTTAATGGGTCCGGGTCAATTTTGACCCAAAGACCCCCCCCCCTTTCTGAACGGGCTTGCTACTACCTTCCCAACTTCTCATCAACATCAGTGACTCACCCACATGCAAAGTATGTCTGTCTTTTGAAAATTATATTTTTTCATACCGGAAATATTAGTCTATATTATAAAAAGTTTGTACTATATGTAACAATAATGAATAAACTCATTTTTAAAATATTTATTTTGTTTTTTGGACAAAAGTGATTTTTATTTATTTCTCTCTCTTTTCTTGTTTTCCTTTTTTAATGTATATTTAAGAATTTATGTTTTATTTTAAATATTTTACACGTCATAATATAATGTACAAGTAAGTTATAATTTTTAATTGCTCTTCAATTATTTTACTTCCATTTACTAACTATATAATTTTATGTTGACCTATTAAACATAGCTGTATTTACGAATATATATATATATATCTATAAATATTAAAATATGTAGAATAATTTTCATGAAATTAATAACAATACCTAATTATTATTATAATAAAATAACACTGGTTACAAAAATTTCAACTGGGATTTTATTGACTGGCTGTCATATTGTTTAAACACGCGCAATAACTAAGCAATCAAAAGTTTACTCTTGTTTTTCAATCCACACAAGTAGTAAGTTTCTAACTGGTTTATTATTATCATTCTCATAATGTTTTTCGTCGCAAACTGATATTTCGGTGACGATTATGAAGGTATCCGTAAAAATATTGTTATTGCTCTGCTGCTGGACAACTTTGGTTATATCAAGAAACATACAGATATCCGTCCGAACGAGCTGTCCCCGAGGAAGTGGAAATATCGAAAGGCATCTGTTAACGAAAGTCAAGCAGGACATCAGGACTTCTCCTAAAGAACATCCACCGTGTTACGTCATACGACTCAGTATGCCTACGAGTACTTCAATTACTACAACAGTGAACGGGCAGACACCTTCGACTAAAGCTAATCGTCGTACGACAACTACTTCTCGATGGCGACCGCCGTGTATCGATATCACAAGACAAACGTATACGGTTAAAACGACAACGGCCGCCACTGCTTCAATAAGCCCTCCGAGCAGTGTGACCGTGACGACGAGCACATCTTACGCATCAGCCGCTGCCGCTATTATTATTGTTTCTCTTCCCCCAGGCTGCATAATAACACGCACGGAGACTGCCGCTCCTGAACATACGACTAGTGTAAAGGTCGCCACCAGTGTTGCTTATTTTCCGGAGGACCCGAACATTTATTATGATTGATTATTACCCCGTTAATAAAACCCAACGATATTTATAATGTCGTATAACATTATTATACTAAATAGGCAGGGGCGGTTTTAAGATAAAAACTTAAGAGAATACAGTAGGGTGACCCTAAAAATAATATAAAAATACAGTATCCGTATACATCCGTAGCACCCGTAATCGTTTTACCTAAAACTAATTTAAATATCACCTAAGTACATTCTCATAAAATTGTGCTTATTAATTTAAATTAAGTATTATTTGAAATAAATTCTAGTGTTGACATTTTTGATTTCTACTAAGCTATTGAAGAGGTATTCCACTTTTAAGTTTGGGTTGAAGGAGAATAGTGGTGTATTATTAACACGCCACACACTAATGATACTCCACTATTTTCCTCCAACTTAAACTTAAAAGTGGAATATCTCGCAAACGGATTGACGGAAATAAAAAATGTCAACACTAATATTTGTTTTAACTAATACTCAATCTATGTATGGACTTTTTAATATAGGTTGCCATTTGTAAATCAAAAGTAGGTAATTGTTTTACCCCCAAAAATAAAGGTGACAAAAAAAAACACAAATATAAAATTGTAGAGAAGCTTGTTTCTTGAATGTTCTAGAAAACAAATTCCGGAAAAGTTAATACCTTCCGAGATAATGAGTGTACCCACTTAAATGAATCACCTGGGATATCAATTTAATTATTTTTTTTAGTCAATATGCAATTCCTACCTACCGCAATGTGAATGAAATATTCGAATTTATTTACTTTGTGCAGTTTGCTGATGAAAATAATGCACCTAGAAGATATTTTAATATAATTCAATATATAATACTATAAATTATTGTAATTAAAATATACTTATTTTAGGAACTTATTGATTTCAATAATTTTGTGGAAAATATACTAAGAAGATTATATAAAAGATTTCGAAAATCCATAAGAATTTTTCGCAAATCTTCAGTTTTATAAAAGATACCGAACAATATTAAAATTATGTGCCTACCTATAAATCAAGACTCGAAACTCTGAGCGTTTGAATGTTTATTTTAAAAGAGCACATTAAACTTCTGGTTTGGTCTAAATTTGTTAAATAATAGGTACCTATATTTCGAATATAAAAATGTATACTGCATAATTTTGCATATTTCGTTATTTTTTGTACAAATTTATTCTTAGACAAATTTAGACATATTTTATTTGGTAATCTTTCTTTGGATCTTCCAATGTAATTTAGTAACTTATAAAACATTGAAAGATTATGATCGTTTCTTCGTTATTCCAGTTTGTCCTTCGTTCTTTTTTTATTTTATTCATCTACAATAGACATTTTATGTAAAAGACAAAAAAACAACATAATTTACATTAACAAAAAAAGAAACACTGATAGTAATGTTTTAATTGATTACTAAAATATTATGAAACAAAAATGTACTTAATTTTAAGGATTTCTTATTTAAGTAATATCTAACTATGGTCTACTTAAATTTTAACTACCTATAATTATGCAATGAAACTTTACAGGATTATTAAATGTAGGTTATGTTCCTTGTACCTAGGTTACACATCATAAGTCATATTAAATGACCCCTTATATCAATTACCATGCATACAGAGACGGGACTCTTAAAAACAAATGAATTATAATGTATAATCAGTAAAATTAACTGTAAAATAAAATATATCCTATGTACATAATGATCATAAATCATTATCTCGGAAAATATTAACTTTTAAGAAATTTATTTTCTATCACACTTAAGAAACAAGCTGCTCTACAATTTTATATTTTTTGTCCATGCTAAACGTAATTTTTAAAAAAATAATGTTATTGTGCAATCGTGTGCACGCCGTATTATGGTTAAATCAATAATCATGGTCATGCGCTTGATATCGGAATTATGATTGATCGTTTGAATTTTAGTAATATCCCGTTACCTAGAGTCAGGGTCGGATCTAGGGGGGGGCAACCGAGGCACTTGTCCCGGAAATCTTGATCAAAGGGCACCAAATTACCAAATAATAAGTCGATAAATTCATAAATTATACCTGTAATGAATATTATAATTTATAAAACAAATAAAAATTTTTATTTGACTTTGGCTATGAATACCTCCATTTTTTATACCAACAATGGGAAAAACCCAATGGAAATTATTTGTGTGTATACGATAAAACAGACGACACGTCATGATGCTAAAAACCTATTAACAATACTGATAAACGAATTTTTCTTTGAACTATAACAATTAACAACCAACAAATTATTATTTTAGTTTGTGCCAAGAGTGCTAAAGTAATTTTTATTTAGACAAGTGTATTTACCCGGTCATCAGATGAATGAAGATGAAACATTGGTGTTCGATCCTTCTGCATACCATATGTTGCACGATATTGATTTTGGTACGTTTGTATGTCTAATAAATTGATTAAAATATCTAATCTAAATTCTCATTCACATTTAGGTTTACCGTGTTTGAGTTTTGATATAATCGCTGATGATTTGGGTTGTAACCGTAGTGAATTTCCGCATTCAATGTATTTGGTAGCTGGAAGTCAAGCAGAAAAACCCAAAGATAATTGTGTTATTGTTATGAAGGTACAAAGTATATTAAATTTAGGTATTTAGCATATTACGTTGTATAACTACCTATTTTATTAGAAATTTCAATTTATTTTAGTTATCGAATTTAAATGCCATAATAAATGAAGAGAGTTCATCATCAAACAATTCAGATGTTGAATTTGACAGTAGTGATGAATAATTCCAACGACCAACCTGTGTTACAGATATCGTCAATTCTTCGTTATGGCACTATTAACCGAATTAGAGTAAAGTGATTTAAGTAAAAATTCATCATAAAAATTAGTACAATAGTTTGAAAATATTATTCATGATAGGAATTTGTATGTATATCTTTATTTATTATAACTAATACAAAATATTTATTTTGGATATAAGATTCTGAGTGTAACGACGAATGTATTAGTTTTTCTAAGCTGTAAATTTTTTTTTTTTTTGTTTACACTGTGTACGAAAATTCGATCAGAAATCTTGCTCAGATATTTACACGTGGCACCATTTTTGAAAGAGAATGTTGTCTAGATTATACTTTTAGGAAGTCATTTTTTTATTTTCCATACAATTTTCATAATATCTGGTAAAAACCAGGATAAAACGTAAGAAAAACGGGAAATTCACGAATCATTGTCAGTTAAAAATATTTGTAGAGACTTAAAATTTGGACAGAACAAGTATATTTATCTTTTCTAGACATGGTGAAATTTAAAAAAAATTTAAGCCATTTTTGAACTAATTATAGACATTTTAATTTTGCGAGTTTTGTACGTAATTTTTATTCGGTAGATACTCTGTGACAAAATTGTTAGACTTAATAGAAATGCTTACAAATTTAATAGGAAGTTCATTAAGAATTTTACTTTTTGGTCAAAAAAAGAAAAATTGAGTTTAATTTAGAATTTTTTTTTTTATAAAGGAATAATAATATCAAATTTTGACGAAAATCGTTGAGTAAAAAATTATATATGGAACAAATCTAATTTTTCAATTTTGTTTTTTTAGAACCTTTGTATAATGCTGATTTAAAAACGATAGTGATGTCAAAATTGAGTAAGTTTCGAAATTATAACTTTTTAAAATTCTGATATTATATGTTATATTAAATAACTAAATATTGTCTTCTCTAAAATATGTTTGTCATAGTTGAATAGTTATACATACCTATTTTCATTCTAGAGTTCACGAATTTATAACCCATGTTTTACATTTTTTCCCCCTTTTACCTAAACAAGGAAAAAACAAATGCATTTTGGGTATATTTCTGAACTTTATACATGGATCGCGCATTAGGCCGCTAAACGTGATCTCCTATCGGACAGTACCATATTGATTCCGTATGTGGAATAAATAATAATTCATGAAAAAATTTACTGGGTGTTTTTATATTTCATGATAATAATGTGCATATTATGGTGTACATTTTTCAGGAATTACATAGGTACCTATCCATAGAGTACACTCTATGCTCTATGTAGGTACCTATATTAAAAAATACTTAATAACACAACATTAGATTGATTATTTTACAAAAGCTATTAAAATAAGGCCCTTCTTACATTTTTATTTTTACAAAAAGTTCTACCAATTTTTAAAATGATTCAATTTCAACTCTATAATTTAAAAATAAAACGAATTAATCAATACATGAACTAGTATTTTTATTTTATATCACTCTACTTTCTTTCCTATTTAAATAACGTAATTAAAGTTATGTGTTTTAAATGTTTGAACTTTAGTGATAATTCTTACTGTGTATTTGAATTTTTTTTTTATCAATACCTATTTAATATCAGTATCAACCGATGCGATATTTCTGATTACTACATAATATTATTGTTATTCTGTGATATAAACACAGATTATTTGGTTTATTCTCTATGTTTTCCATGGTGTAAATCGCCATCGGAATCAATATGGCAGCTTCCTATCGGGGAACGCTTTTCAATACGCAATGCGCATGGAAAATCAAAAAATGACTTCTTAAAAGTATAATCTGGACAACATTCCCATTCAGAAATGATGCCGCGTATAAATATTTGAGTAAGATTTCTGATCGAATTTTTGTACACAGTAAACAAAAAAAATTAAACATCTTAGTAAAACCAGTACATTCTTCAGAATGTATTGAATATTCAGAATCTAAAATTAATTTTTTGACTCATTCTTAAAATTCTATTGCTAACGTTCAATTTTGTACTTATGTTGCTTACCCAGCTCCTGAAATTGTATTGTAATTTCTCAGTTTGTCTATTTATTGCCTAACTAACTTTCAAAAAAATCTATTGTTATTGTTCAAAAAAATATTTCTATACCTACCTACCAAAATTTAATTTAATACAAACATGTTTAATAATTGTAAATATTCCACAACCCATGAAAAAGTCTCGAATATACAAAAATAACTTTATCTTGTGAACTATCTATTGAATAAATCGTCCACAATTCTTACTATCATGACTGTATATATTATATAGGTAGGTAGGTACTCAGTAGGTAACAATATGTAAAAACATAAACATTTAAAAATAAACTTCAAAACTATTGAATAGAACAAAAGTTATGGCATTTATTGAATCCTCGTGGGAGACTCTGTATGGTTGGTGTAGAAATTAAGCTGTCGGTTTGATTTTATTTATTCTTATCATTATTTGTCCTTATCATTTTCGTACAGCTGTACCCACTACCCATTCCAATATATCAATTGTCTAATGCATTGTACTTGCACCACGTGGGTGTTAACTGAAACTGTAGTGAATTGTAAATAGGTATTGTGTACTGTAAAAGTAAAAATGTCAGACTCTATACACGAAAGTGAAGATGGAATGGCGGTGGATGATATCGAAGACAGTAACGATTCTTATGACGAAGAAGATCAATCACATAACGAGGATGAAGCAGGTGAATCATCCGGAGTCACTAGTAAACTACCTAGACAAGTGTATTTACCCGGTCATCAGATGAATGAAGATGAATCATTGGTGTTCGATCCTTCTGCATACCATATGTTGCACGATATTGATTCTGGTACGTTTGTATGTCTAATAAATTGATTAAAATATCTAGTCTAAATTCTCATTCACATTTAGGTTTACCGTGTTTGAGTTTTGATATAATCGCTGATGATTTGGGTTGTAACCGTAGTGAATTTCCGCATTCAATGTATTTGGTAGCTGGAAGTCAAGCAGAAAAACCCAAAGATAATTGTGTTATTGTTATGAAGGTACAAAGTATATTAAATTTAGGTATTTAGCATATTATGTTGTAAAACTACCTATTTTATTAGAAATTTCAATTTATTTTAGTTATCAAATTTAAATGCCATAAAAAATGAAGATAGTTCATCATCAGACGATTCAGATGTGGAATCTGACAGTAGTGATGAAGAATCAAATGACCAACCTGTGTTACAGATATCGTCAATTCCTCATTATGGCACTATTAACCGAATTAGAGTAAAATAACTTAAATATAAATTAATCAAAAAAATTAGTACATAAGTTTAAAAATATTCATGACAACACATATAATAAAATAATAAAGTTGAAGTTTTAAAATAGATAAATTTTCTCTGACATAATCCTGATTACACCATCATAAAAAACCACGTCTTGTATAAACTTCATACAATGGATGGACCACTGATTCAATTGAGAAGTTGGGAAGGTAGAGGGGAAATTTAATCTGTATTTCTATGCAAAGATAAATCATTGTTAACGAAAAACTATTCTGAGCAGAGTTCAGTTATACATGTTTTGAGAAGCTGTAATAATTACGATCTGTAAACAATACATTTTGTAAATTTTCCTGTTTTCATTGTGAAAATCAAAAATTCACCTCCATAAACTACCACGTCAGAAAAAGTGATACACTTCAAAATCAGAAGAAGGTTACAGCTAGAAAGGTTGTTCACAGATAAAAAAAATAAACATAATTTTAAAACCAATACAATCCTCGCTACGCTCAGAATCTAATAGTGCGCCAATTTTATCATAACTTTTAAATTCAGCGACTTAAAGCACATTTAAAAAAATGCCTGGTAAAGTAGAGTTATACAGAGTGGTTTTTTTTATCATGAATAAGCAATTTTCTCAGAGGATTTTAAGTGAATTTTATTTCTAAAACATGTAACCATTGTGGAATCATTTAAACTTAATTTTAAAACAATTTTTAATTTTCATCCATATTTCATAGACCTTTAATATGTATATACTTTTGTTATACAAATAGGAACCTACCTTTTTAAACACGGGTTTGAACAAAGAATATTTTTCCAGAAATTTTGATAGGCATAAAACTAATATCAGATTTACTATTTAAAGTTTAGATCGGAGAAGTAAGAAAGGGTAATAAATTATTTATCTCTTTTTAATTGATAACTCTTCTCTATTCCTCCAGTCTAAACTTTAAATGGTTATAACTCACAAACAGTAATTCTGATATTAGTATTATGCATATCAAAATGTCTAGAAAAATTCATTCAAATCTGTGTTTTTAAAATAAAGTTTTAAAGATTTCACAATGATTAAAAAAAAACATCCTGTATAACTGATAATAATTATATGTTATATCACTAAAAATTAATTTATTCAAAATATAATAATGCAATGAAAATTTGTTGTGAGGTGCATACAACGTGAATATTAAGTACTTGCCATAAAATATTAACGTTTTTTAAATGTTTATAGAGTACTACAGTTGAAGATAAAATATTTGGAGCTGTGTGGTCAGAAAAAGGAATTGTAAATATTTACGATTTAAATAGCAAACTGAAAGAAGTTGAAAAAGCAAAAAGGAATCGTAAAATTGGAAATGTAGAAAAGAATAAGAAATATGGTAAAAATGCTCCTAAGAGATTAATATCTGAACATAAACCATTGCAATCATTTTCTGGACATAGAGATGAAGGTTTTGCTTTAGACTGGTCTTCTAAGTCTCCTGGTATTCATTATTTACACTCAACCTATAACACGTTTTATAAATAATAATAAATTCATCATTTGATCACTATATATTTTTAGGATACTTAGCTAGTGGTGATTGTAAAGGAAACATTCACACATGGAAACCAAATGAAAGTGGTTGGGTTGTAAATTTACGTTCATTGAATGGTCATAAAGAATCTGTTGAAGATTTACAGTGGTCTCCTAGTGAAACTAATATCCTTGCTTCTTGTTCTGTAGATAAGTCGTAAGTAAATATTATATAATATGTTATATTTCAAATATTTGTATAGCTTAATTGTTTTATATTTTTTTAGTCTTAGAATATGGGATACTCGATTAGCACCAAATAAAGCTAATATGTTAACAATTGATGATGCTCATGATAGTGATATTAATGTAATAAATTGGAATAAAAAAGAACCATTGATTGTTTCTGGTGGCGACGATGGAAAACTTATGATTTGGGACTTGAGACAATTTAAAGTACATATTAAGTTACTTTTTATAATATAAAATGTATGTTTAAAAATGTAATTCTAATAAATAATCATTAAAATAGAAAGGTAATGAATTGGCTGTATTCAAGCACCACACCAGTGCTATTACAACAGTTGAGTGGAGTCCAGAAGATAGTTCTGTATTTGCTTCTGGTGGTGATGATGATCAAATAGCAATTTGGGATTTGGCTGTCGAAAGAGATACTAATAGTCATGATGACATAAAAGTATAAATTTAAAATATTTATATTTCTTCATAATTAATCCCTTTAAAATTAAATAAATTATATAACAGTACTATGACCAGAATTTTTTTCATAGAGGTCTTCAATTTTTGATGGTCAATAAATCATGTTTGCAATGCACTGTTGGTAATAAATTAGGTTAGGTAAAGCAATATGATTCACCAAAAAGCAACAAATTCACATCTTGTAACTTTCAGAAAACCCATCATAGAGACAACTTCAAAAATATTTTTCTCACACACATTTGTTCTTAAAAATTGTATACTAATAGGCCTTAAAAATAAAATAAAACAGAGTTTGTTTACATATAATCTAATAGATATTAAAGATTTATTTTAATGAATATCATTCAAGCTTTTAAAAATGTCTGTGACAATAACTAAATCATCTGAATTTCAAAGACTAATAACTGATAATTTTACGTTAACTAAGTAGAGGGACTCCCCCACTTTATCCATTGTTCTCTGTATCCAGGGCAGTAGTGATATGCATTATTGTATCAAATATTTCATTAAACTATATTTTCAATTCACTTAAACAAATTATAGTCTTGTAACATTTAGGGGAAGAGGGGACTTGAACCCTGAAGCCCACAACTTGTCTACAGCACCATTATAATTTACATATTTATTTTATGCAATATATTAAGTATACAATTAATTTATTTAGGAAATACCACCTCAACTCTTATTCATTCATCAAGGACAAGAACATATCAAAGAGCTCCATTGGCATCCGCAAATTACTGGGGCTCTAATAAGTACTGCACAAACAGGTTTCAATGTTTTTAGAACTATAAGTGTATAAATAAATACTGATAATGATTATAATTATATATATTTCATAAAAAATATAATACAGTTATTTTTATATAATATAATATACACTTAAAAATAATTTTATATTTATGATAATTGTTTCTTTATGCACTTTTCCTACTACTACTATTTTTCTTGTTTTTATGTTTCCTTTGATTTAACAAAAAAAAATCAATTTTATTTTAAACTTTTTGAATAGTATACTTCTATTATTAGTATACAGATTTTTATTTTATTTTTTTAAAGGGAGGGGAATATAATATAGTTACAATTAGGGTGATTACAATTATAATACAGATTTTTTTTTTTTTTTTTTGGAATGTGTTTTGGTTTTTCACTTAACAATTAGTATGTTTTCAGTTTTATTACAATGATTCATGTATGCTAAAAATGAACTCCAAGCTAAACTGCATAAACTAACAAATGGAATTCTATTTTTTTCTGGAACCATTGTATAATTGAACACTTGCAGTATGGGCCAGACAACTACACCTACCTGTAACAATTATGTAAAATAAGTAAATACAGGATAAATTAAAGTTGCTATTCTATTTTAGCTGAAGGAATTAAAAAACTTTAAAATAATGTTTTAAAGTCAAAATTTATCTCTAATTGTATTGTAATTATTAAAACAATAAATACATACAGATTACAGAGTACCTATTAAAAATATAGTGTTCAAAAGAGTATTCGAAACATACTCTTGTATATACTTTTTAATTAGTATAAAATATAATAATTTTATTATTAGGTTTTTTTACTAATTATGGGCAATAACATGTTTTTTTCTTAACCCGTAATCTGAAAATAATTTTTATACATTTTGGGTATGATAAGGTAACCCTTTACACGTCTTAAAATGGGTTATGTTTTGGATTTTTAACAATAAAATATAAATAATATTTATTATCTACTAATACAACGGCAATCTTGTTTAATGCATTAGTTATGCATATGAAATATAGTTAAGTATTTAATAATTTGATAATATAATTGACATATTTATTTGCCAAATTAAATATTACATAGAATAAAGTAGTTTTCAGTTTTTGAGACTTATCTTCATTTCATGTAAACTTAAATGTAATAAATATAATTGTATTGTGTTGTTTTTAATTGAATAAGAAACAAATACATTTATTATAAATTTTAAATTATAAAACTCAGAATGAATACCATCAGAAAATATCATAATTTATAACACTAAATGTGTATAATTATAATTAATTATAACCATAATGGATTTAAGATATTTTAAATTATTGTAATAGTATTTATGTTTACAAAAGCTTTATTATTTATAATAAATTCAAATCAGTCTCTCAATTTATATCTATAAAAATTATCAATTGTTTATTTTAAGTATGTTCTAATCATCAATGTATTATTATTAGTAAAAATAATATTTAGATATTGTACCTGGTATGTAGGCAAAAACTTTTTCTCTACTTCTTTTTTCGCTTCCTCGACCGTCTTCCCTTCCAGTAAAGACATACCAAAATAAAAACTCACCATTGCACATGGTGAATATGTTACTTGTTCCAAAAGTGCCTAGTAAATATTAACTTCAATTATAAATAAGTACTATTCTTAATTGAACCCTTAAGCTCACTTTTATAATTGCACTACGGATATCATTCTTTGGATATAAGTAACGTGCAACAGTTAGCCAAGCATTTAAGGTTGGAGCCACGTAAAACGCTCCAAAAAGTCCAAACCGAGCTGCTCTCATATAGTCAAATTGTTCATCTCCAAAAGCCAATTGCTGTAAAAGACATCCACTTGGCCATATAACTGCATATGAAGCCATTCCCCTGGTAACTGGGTAAGCAATTGAAAACTTTACTATTCGGGCGAAGACGGTCGTCATGTTTGAATAGTTATTATACAGGATCTGCTGTAAAAGAAGACTAATAGGAAGTTCCTATTATTTTTGTGCCACATTATTATTTATAGAAGTGCTAGCTGTTGCCAATTACAAAATTGGGCGATCTTGAATAAACCTTGAAATTGTCCATTGCCAAAATCTATACATATACTTACTATTATTTATTTTAAACTTTAATTGGAATATTAGGATTTTACAATAATCAGTTGTACCTAATAGGTTTTTTTATTACATGATATTTTTTTCAACCTAATAAAGACAAAGTTCCATATAGATCTATTATTAATAGATTCAAATTAGGGCACAAATGATATTTAGAAAAGTGAATTTTCAAATTTTCAATGATCAAACAATTTTAAGTAATTATCAGGTTACCAAACCTAACCTTAGCCATAGTTCTCCGGAATGATAAAATCCTGGAACATACAATCCCTGACTACAATATCCGGAATGTCCAATTTTCGTAATTAAGTTAAACCAATGGTTCTAAATGGTAACCTCCAGTTTTTCCAATATGTCATCACTTATTGTTTTTAATCCACCAGTCTTTTTTCTTCGTCCAACCTTTTAGATCCAAAGTATTTATCTTCCCTGACTTGCCTGCTTTCCCGAATTTTCCCAGTTTCTCTTTTGCGTTATAAACGTTTTAACGTTTTTCTAGAAACCATTGATATTTTCCAGAAATATTACATTACGGAATTTTTTTCCTTACTACGACTACCCGTCCTCGAATCATCGTATCAGCAAACCAAATTACCCAGGAAAGAATATGGCTATTACCACAATGGATAAGTAATGATTTCGCTGTAAAATAAACGGTTTCGCGGATTTGACGCTCCACGAATCAAATGAATTTACCAAATACGTGACGTAAACGTATAAACGTATGGTTTCGTATTAGTTATGTACTAACTACGAAGTATTTAATCATATTTTTAACTTTTGAGCGAACGACAAATTTATTGGTTTTACTAAGATGTGTACTAATTATTTTTTGTGCCTGTGTGCAACTTTTTTAACAGAAATCTTTTTCCAATCAAATAGTGGAAAGTGAACTTTTTTTTGGTTTTTCATGTTGTTTTATAAATAGTTCGAAAAACTGGAAATCCTACAATGTGTGTTTAAGATTCAAAACTGAGAGAAATTTTTACAACGTCCAGAAGAGACAAACATAAATTTCCCAACAAAATTTAAAATAGAAAACTATTTGTTTACATAAACTTTCCTGTTCTTTTCTTGTTTTTTGTTTTAGTTTTTCCCATTTATTATGAAAACTACTTGAATAAAGAAAAAGACTCAAGTACCTCTTGAGTGCAACAAAAAAGATCATTTGTCCTTTTTTGATTAAAGCAATTTTAAATCTTCTAGAAAACATAGTTCGTAAATATTTTCTAATATTTTATCAGAAATATCGCTCCAACAGAATAATGCTAATCTATCTTTTTTGTTGAATTTTGGATCTAGTTAGTGAGTTAGAAAGTTGTTTTTTGATTTTCCTTTTAATTTTTTTAATAATTTACCAAAACCGAAAAAAAAAATAAGACTGACATATTTCGCACAATGGCCACTATGTTGCCACGTTGGAAAGGTACGATATAGAAGGGAATTTAAAGTATACCTGTTAACAACTATTAATCTTTTCTATTGAAAAATGATTCTGGCGGAGTTCGGTTATACACGTTTTAAAAGGCCGTACTATTTACGATTTGAAAATAATACATTTCATATATTCTCTCGTTTTTTTCCCATTTATCATGAAAACCCCTGGAAAAATTAAAAAATAACCTCCCTAAAGTACCACCTTAGTCAGATTTCGTTTCAGAAAAATAAATTTCGGAGCAAAATTGCTGATAAAAAAATTTGTCCACAGAAAAAAAAGTAAAATAAACATCGAAAAACCAATACATTCCTAGCTCCGTTAAGAATCTATAAACCCCAGAAAGAATCATAAGATTTACGAAAATTATACTCTTATTTTTTCAATTTTTTTTTTTTTTTTTTTTGTAGCAATTCTGTTGAAACATTCGTAGATTTGAAATTTTGACAGAGAACTTATTTAATTTTTAAGTTTGTTAACCACTTTTCTACCAGAAATCTTGCTCTGATCAAAAATCAATTATGTATTTAGCTAATTGGAGTATTTATTGCAGAGTAGGTACATCATTTTTTGATTTTTCTTGTAACTTTTTTAGTAATGGGAAAATAACTGAGAAATTGACTAACTATAATGGTATCTATCATTTTCTATTTTGTTTTTTAGAAACCTGGATTTTGTACTGAATACTTGTCCTTTTTAGATCTACAATATTAAAACCATTCTAGTGATTTTTGGGTTATTTATAGTCATTTAACATTCTTGATTTTTTTTTTTTTGGATTCAATTTTTTTTACTTATCGAAAATACTTCAACATTTAATACAAAATTCACGATAAGTTGTTCTTGTGCACTATAAATATATTCTAATTTTTAGTTGGTAAGTAACTAGGTATTTAAACAGATTTATAAAATTCTAATAATAGACTTTAAAATAATAATACAATTATAAGTACCTTATAGTAGTAGACAGTGAGTTTGAACACCTAATGGTGTATCTTATAGTAGGTCTCACAAGACTAACATATCAACATTTTAAAATTTTGTTTAATAATAATAAAAAAAAATTTTTTACTCATTGTCCGCACATATCAATTCAATTTTTACAGTTATTTATATGCCAACCGATCGGGTACCTATTTATTATTTATAGCTTCATTAAAAATTTGAAATACTATACTAATACCTACTACATGCACTTGGACTGTACAGAACACTAGTAATACACTTGGCAGACATTTTAATAAAATATAAAATAAAATTATCCTAATTTGTAGATAACTAGAAATATTGCACTTTTTAAATATGTGAAGTAGGTACCTAGTATTAATATTATTATAATAATACCTATGTAATTCGGATTGTATTATTAAATCAATAATTTCGCCAAGTTGAAGGTTAAACATAGTACGCATGATATGGTATATTAATGTGATACGTATAAATTTAATATACTGTAGTTATTAAATGATTCAAATAATTTGTATTAATAATTATAAATGTAATTGCCAGAAGTTCAGGCCTTGAACATGTGACACATAAAGTGGGCATTTTTATTGTTCGGCAAACAACATAGTGACTAGTAGCACAAAAATGGCATGTGTAACTTTGGCGTATTGAATATTTCATCACTATATTTACGGAAGAAAATCTGTTCATAAGACTGTAATTAGAAATTGATTTGTTTTTATTTCATTTATGTGTATTAGAATAGCCGTATTGTATTCTTATTATCTACATAATAATTTAAATTTAATAAAAATAATAATGGATCAAATTTAGATTAATTTAACAAAACTTCAATAATTCTTAACAACTAGAAAGTGATTAGAACAATGCAATAAGTAATAATAATAATTAGTTTTAAATATAAATGGAAAAGCAAAACAAACAATTTCAGAATCAAATAAATGCCAACATTTTTGAAGAAGTTACTATTGCTTCTAATGCCAAGAATTCAATTTATGATTAGAGGGCACATGAATGTAATTTTTGAGGTGTCTACATATTTTCTCCCACCAATACTTTACTGTCTGATGCCCTTTTAGAAAAGAATAAAATCAAACTTAAATTGCACAGTGAATGTTCTCATTTTTATAGTGAATATTTTTTTAAGAGGGCATGTTACCTTCTGCAAATTTACTCTTTTGCGCAGAAAAAAACCACTTAAACTTAATATTAAACAACAAAATGGCTTCCATAAACAATAAGAAATAGAAAAGTGTTTTAGTTTTTCAAACCAATAACTTTTTTTGTAATCATGATATAATATAGGTTAAATCTTTTTTTTTTTAAATAAAATTTTTATTTATATTATACATAACATCGTTATCATCTTAGAGCAACATAACTAATTCAAATTTATTGAAATACTACTAGTATTCTAGTAGCCTAATGTAGGCCTATTATATTATGTATTATATAAAATTGCATTTTAGATTCCGAGTGTAGCAAGGAGGAGCTATTAGTTTTATTATACTGTTTATTTATTTTTTTTCTTCTTTCTTTCTTCTAATCTGTGGACACATCTTTTCCTAGTAAACTTACTTTATGTGTAGCAACTTTTTTGAAAGCTTAATTTGTTTAGATGGTATTTTAAATAGGTTATTTTTGATTTTTGACGCCATTTTTCAAATAAAAGTACTTAATTGTGAAAAACATAGAAAAACATATAACTTCAAGATTTCATTATTTTATAAAAGTATAGATGGTGCTTTCTACCAGAAAAAATAATTTAATCGAAAAATCACAAGACACCTTTTTTGTTACCTTTTTGATTTACTTTCTTATGGTATCATCGCCAAAACTTTTGAGCTTTTAAGGAGTTTTAATTTTTGGGAGTTTTTTGCTGTAATTCAGTTATAAATACATGTAGAGACTTTAAACTTGATAATAATACTTATATTGTAATTACCTAGACGTTGTAAAATTTCCAAAATCATCGAATAACCTTTTTTTTTTAATAAGCGTTTTGAAATAAAATTTAAATGAAAATGGCAAAAAAAATTATGGCACTTCAAATTATGTATTACCAAACTGTGCTCGAAATCGTTTTTCGTCAAACAATAGTTTACCGTTGCTTACAGATATAAATGAAATAACCTTATGTATCCTACTGTCCCAACTTCTCACCTAAAACAGTGGCTGCTCCCATCCGCAGTATCAGTACCTCTTTTTATAAAATATATTTACATTAGTATTAGTTAATTATTTCAATTCAATTGGTGAATGAAATTAAAACACAAATACAGAGTGATTTTTTTTATTATGAACCAACAATATTCTTGGAAGATTTAAAATTAATTTTATTTCTGTTATCTTTTTAATTATTATGGAACCTGTTAATCTCTATTTTAAACCATTTTTCATAACTTTTCCCTATCCCTCAAGTCTAAACTTTAAATGGTTATAACTCATAAACAGTAAATTTGATATTAGTGTTATGCATATTGAAATTTCTAGAGGAATATTCACTATTCAAATCTGTTCAAAGGAGGGGGGAAGAGTCCTTATTTAAAAACAAAAGTATACTTATTTAAGATATATGGGGTAAAAAATTAAAAATGGTTATAAAATAAAATTTAATCAATGATTAAAAGAAAAATAGAAATCAAATTCTCAGAGAAAACTGCTGGTTCATGATGAAAAAAATCAATCATCCTGTATAATATTTGACTTGGTACCAACAAAATGTAAATTAATTAATCTATATTAATCTATTGATAATATTTATTAAGATAAAGAAAATATTTAAACATAGTAATATTATATATACTATAATTATTATTACCTATCTTTCCATATAGTTTATGGTCAGAGGTTATATTTTAACATTGAATACAATGATAATAATTAAGAGTACACACATTCCTTTTAAAATTATATTCAAATGAATAATTAAAACTCATAAAAAACTATAAATAGTAAAAATAATGGTTAGGGTTATTTTTTTACAAATTAGTATACAATTAGTATAACTCACTAACAAAAGTTAAGATTAGTATATATATATATATATATATATCATTCAAGTCAACACATTAAAACAATAAATATTACACAATAAGGTAATTACAAATGTCACTAAAGTTGTTTGTAGCTGAAGAACTATTAATCTCATTTTCAGTAAATTTTAATACATTATAAACATTGCCTAGTAACCATGCACATTCATTATTCAAATTGATGTGTCTATTTTTAATTAATATATTTCTTATAACTGATCCTTCATTGTGTAATCCAATAATAAATTCATTTGCTGAATTACCACTATTATCCATAGCTATAATGTTACCAAAAGTTCTTATAATAGATACTATACACTTTATGTCAAGCATATCTTCATCAGTGTGGATGCACAGGAATAAACGTTTTATTAAATTTTGATCAAGCATAGCGCAGTCTTGACGACAAGAAATTTGATACACTATCCAAAATGATTCATTCCACGAATTCAAACGTTCTAAACATATATGAAGTAATTCGTTTAGTTCTTCATTCCTAATAATAAAAATATTATTAGTTAAATTTGTATATGTAATAGTTAGTCATAAAATATCTTTGGCTTACTTTAAATGGTAAATGTAAGTCTTAAGAAAAAGTTTCAAAGCATAAAAGGTATTTAAAATAACTTCATCACAAGTTGAGCTTTTTAGACGATCAATCAATGCACCAAATAAATTTTGGTTTTGAAGCAGTCTACACGAATCTTCATCTGAGCCACTTAAATTTCCAAGAGTCCATATAGACACAGACTATAAAATAATGAGGTTTTAATAATTTGCTTGATTGAAACATCCTAAATAAACTAGTAGAAAATCAGTCAAATATGAGTTAATTAGTTTAAAGCTCATTAGACTTCTTAAAAATCTCCAAAAATTATACATAAGTTAAAATTCTAATTTAAAAAAACATTTCTACTAATAAGTAAAAACTAATCAATAAACAATTTGGTAGGTAGTTTAATTGATACTACCTTTTATTTTTGGGAACAAGTCTAGTTTACCAGATACCCTTTGTTTTCCAATTTTTTTTTTTTTAAATACATATTTTTGACTCTGATTTTGAAACTGTTTGAATTTTTTTGAGGAAATCATTATTAAAGAAGTTATGAAAGTTCAAAGTTCATTGTATTAGCATTATAGGTGCACCTAGACACTTAAAAGGGTCACTCGGTTGATCAAACTGTTTTAAATGAAAATGACCCTCATTTGTTGTGCAAAACCATGTCAGGTAGGTAACAGGGAAAAAAATCAATTCAAACAGTTCTGAAATCAATGTCGAAAAATACACATTTAAAATTTAAAAAAAATTTAAATACAAAGGATGTTTGGTAAACTAGATTTATACCATTTTTGTATTATTATTTATTTATTATTATTTTTTGGTAGATCCCTATATAATAATTACTTCTTTAATCGTTGCACATATAAGGTAATGCAATATAATATGAAAATTGTATGATCAAATATTATTTAGTTTTCTTAATTTATGAAATATATTTAATGTAAAAATATAAACTAATACACCGAAGAAATGTATGAAATAAAATATGTTAATAACAATGAAATTATAAAATTAAAAATTAACTAAGAGTAATACTTACAGATATATTAAAATTAAAACTATTGATGTAAACCATGAAATAAGGTGTAATTAAATTCGCTAATTTGATACATGTTTTTTTATTGCCAAGGGCCATATTACAAAAACATTCAATCGCTACTAATTTTACTGCTTCATTTTTACCTGAAATTAATATAAACAATGTATAATTATAATAAATCCAATATACTTTAGTAGGAAGTTGTAACAATATACTTGATGCACAGTGTAGTAAAGAATCAACTGCACCATGAGTATGACAAAAAGCTAAAATAAATTCTTGACCGTTGAGTAAACCATGTTTTAATAATTTAAAATCGTTGACAGTTATTCTTGGTTTTTTACGTACAATTTCTAATGCTACATTTTGCATGTCCTCAATTGTAAACACATCATTTTGGTCTCCTTCATCGATAACACCTCGTCTTGAATTTAATAGGATTCTTTTATTTTGTTCACGATGGAAATTGATATCAAAACGAATCTTCTCTTTTACACGGACTGTCGAAGTAGAATTCATAGTAACACGTTTTATAGTAATATTACATTCATCAAATCAGTTTTATTGATATTTAAAATTATTTATTATGATTATTTCAAGTTGATATTTTTAAACTTTATCATTTAATAATGTCATTATCATTCTATGTACCTATATCAATAGTAAATATTTACAAACATAAAATTTAGGTAAACATCGATGTTTGAGATATCGATTTTCACATTCCTTTTTTTTTTATTATCTATGCTTTTTTCTCCCATACATCATTAAAACTATTTATAGTTGGTTTTATTAAATCAAACTATTATAATATAAGTAAATACGCTTGGTAGGGTATGTATTATGCAATATTGTTTTGTGTTATTATTGTGTTGGTGTGAATGGTTGGGCCTTGTGAACTGTAGATATTTACTCAATTGTTTAGTCACACTCACACTTCTACGTTAAATTACAAATGGCATTAAAATTTGGATATTATACAACATTAAAATAAGGATTATTTGAAGTTTTAGTATACGGACAGAGGGACAAGGTTGGAGACTTATTAGTGTGAGTAATTTTAAATATATTTTTATAATAATATATTTTACTAGCTGTTCCGTTCACTTTGTTGCGCATTCATATTTAGGATAATAATTAAATTATATTCCATTAACTTAGATAAGTAAGATTTTCCGAAAAAAGAACTTTAAAAACAAATTCAAATTTTACATATCAACAGGTGTAGCCAGGAGGCTTAGAGAGTTAGATATATCCCCACACTATGGAACGTGTTTACTTAGGTATGTATAATATTTTACAATTTTTGTGTTAACTATATATTTCCAGTTATTTCTTCCATTCCTGAAAGAAATAAGAATGGTTTCTTTACTGAAAACCTAACCTAACCGTATGAAAAAATGTCTTAAGTGGGCGGGCTACTACCAATAAAAAATGTTTGATACGGGCAAAAACTACTTTGTAATATACATAAAGAGAATGGTTCAAAATGTATATTACAACTATTTTATCATATTCATATTTAAAATAGATTAAAATGTGTAAAACAAAAGTTTTTTGATAAATAATTTAATTAAAACGATGGAGATCTTATGTATACAAACAATAAACGTTATAAATTATAATATATCTGTTAACCAGTTATAAATGTTCTCAGAGGCTAGTTGCTTAAAAATAAATTTAAAGGTAAATAATAAGCTAATTATTACTATTTTAGGCACAAACCGTTCACTGCAAACTAATATAAACGAGGGGGGGGGGGAGGATCATCAAAATCTTGATAAAAAATATTCCGGCAAAATATTGAACCGGGTAATTTTTATCCCTTAGAAAATGATCTAATAGGTATTGCCGATTCAATAGTTTACCGTTCAACATTTTGCCGAAATTATTCATTCTAGATTTTGACCCATGTAAACATTTTATTATCTGTACTAATTACCGTGTTGACGGTTGACCACGAATTATGATACATAGGAAATAGGAATACGCTACGAGCACTTATCAGTTGTTATACCTAACTTTTGCGTTCTTGATAATTTGAACTAACAGTTAGCGCTTGAATGTGACTGGCGATTTTTGTACTATATTCTGTCAATCTTCTTCATGAAAAGTCAGTGCTGAAAAAAACGCTGCCAGTGAGGATTTTGATTATGGTTAGACAATTTATAACACGAGTAAAAATATAATACATATTATTAATAACGAATTCGTGATTTTAGATTTATATCATAATGAATGCAAGGGATTTATGTAATACCTACTAGTCAATTTTAATTTAGGTAAGTACATTAAATACCTAACGTCACTTGCCAGTATAACCTATTTCAACTGTTCATTGTCCCTTAGGTAAATTATAGATTCGATTAAATTAAATAACATCAGAATTAATAAATACAGTTACTAAGTACAAATATGCATTATTTGACTAATTTGATCACTTATAATACAATTATTTTTTACATGACCATAATTTATTAATTAATATTATTATTATAAAATATTTAATACTAAAAGTTCTAACCAATACTACCAAATCTTCATCTAAACTGAATAGTTATTGTTCGTGGGAAACGGTTTAACTTTTCGAACACACGAAAAATGCTTGTCATTATATTACAAATTACAGGACTACTTGTAAATGTATTCAAAAGTGAATTAAAATATTTTTGAGTTAATTAAATTTTATTTTTCCTACATTTTCTAGAAAAATGCCTATACGCTGCTCCTTAAATACGAGGGGTAGATGGTAGTACATCCTTTATTTTAGAAAATAAATTGGGATTTTTTATTTGCCATGGGACATGGCAAATGCAAATAAAAAAGAAACATTAAGGTGCTTGTAGCGCTCCTATTATTTTATATGTACTTGTATACCAATTATCGATGTGCGTACAAGGAACGCTAAAATGTTACATTAGTACAATATTAAATATTATATATACTTGTCAATATAACTAAAACATTTTAAAACAATTAAAATTAAAATTAAACAATTTTCCGGATATATAAATACATATTTCTAAATTGTATTGATAATATATTTCAATCATGCATGCTACAGACTATAATAAAAGAAAGATAATATTGAGTATTGACGTCATGCTACTATAAATGATTTGTCTCCTAGACTCCTTATCTATTTTTTGTACAGTTATCGTTAGTTTTTGTGGGGCAGCACCGCTACAATAGATATTTATTGTTGTGGTAGCGGTAGCTTTATCATAATATACCTATTACCATCTTGGGAGTAATAATAATTGCGATCTTGTCGGTATAAATTTATTGAAATTTATTTATTTATTTACTTTTCTGTTATCCAATCAATTTATAGTTTTATACATTTGCTACTTTACTGTAAATTTATTTTTTAATTTTAAAACTATTAACAATATCTATTGAAATTGAACCAAAGTCGAAAGGTATTGTGTACTGTATATTGAGGAACTGGTGTACAATTCTTAGTACCTACATATTTATAAATAAATTAAGTCGTGCAGTTTTATTTTATAATATATAGTCTGTAATTAAAATTATCTAATCAAATGAAAAATAATGATTATGAAAGATTAGGTAGGTACTGCGTAAATCATATAATATGATGAATATATAATAAATTAATGACCATGACAAAATAAATTTATCTAACCTAACGTTCAATGTGCTTACAGATTTGTAATGTTTGTGATTATTTAATTCGAATATTAAGTGGAATTTAATTTAACAACAATAAATTGCCTTATAATGAAACTAAAAGTCACGGCTGAAGAAAAAGTTAACCTTATTAAACCACTATTACCAAAAACTTCAAAAATATCAAAATGGAAAAATATGACCATACTTAGCCTACTAGCAATTATTTTGTTGGTCGCCGCTCAGTCAATAATTATTCAAAATTTAAAAACTCATAATAAAAAGAAAATTGATACAAGTTCAGATTATGCCACAAATAATTACTGTTCAGTAATTTCTGATGATTATAAATTTGATTGTTTTCCCAGAGGAAAGGCTGATCAAAAAAGTTGTGAAGCAAGAAACTGTTGTTGGTTACCTAGTACTCCAAATTCTCAAATACCATGGTGTTATTATCCTTCAAATTATAATAACTTTAATGTTATTAATGTGACTAAGTCCAGAAATGAAATAGTAGCATTTTTCAACTTAACAACAAATACTAATTATAAAGATAATATCAAACTACTATGCATGGATATTTCAATACACAAAGCCCAACGTCTACGTATTAAGGTAATAAATAATAATCATTATTATAGTACAATGCAGTTTCTTACTATTTTTATTTAGAAATTTAGTTTGAAAAAAATTAAAAAGTATACTATACTATGTTTAATGAAAAACAAGCTAATTCTGCATAATATGTAGAACACTTATGACAGTAGCAATATAATAATTCGAATGTTAAAAGCTGGCCTATTTTTTTTGGTATTCACTATACCTACAACAAATATAATAATACACTTACTAATTTTACTGGATTGTTTTTGTATAATATTGTTTTATTAATTGTTTGATTGCTTAATTAATTAATTTATTGTTGTAATGGAAGCTTGATCAATTTATGAATTTAATGCAAATAATTAACACGACTATGATTAAGTATTCTTTTCCTTTGCCTTCATTCCAACTATTTGGAACTAGCCATCTTTGTTCTAAACTTCCCTTATCCCACCTCGTTTATACCTGCTGTCCTTATGTCATTCTTAATCACATCAAACCACCTCTTTTAGGGCATTTCTCATCATTTCTTTTTATCTGTCAGAATCTTGTTGAGAACTCTTCATATTGTTTGATAGAATTTTACACTAGCTCTCGACCTGATGCAACCTAATTTGTTGCCTCTCACAACAGGTAAAGGTACTTTGAGAGGATTCAGATCCCCTCCCGCAGGAAAGACTATATGATTATGAATAACATACAACTGGACTAAATCACAGACTGTTTGTATAGTATGACATTCTGTGAGTGAGCAGCTCTCTTACACCGAAAGGTTCTACTTTATGCTACCTTTGATGTAACAACTAGATATTTGTATAAACACTGAAAATTGTATCCTTATAATGATATTGGTAGTACAAGGCTAATAATGAAACACACAAATTATACACATACGTACTTACAGTGTTAGATATCTAATATATTATTTACATACCCATTTCAACAATTGTTGTTTAGATTTATGATCCTGAACATAAACGTTATGAACCACCATATCCTGAAATACCTGTACTTAAACCAGATAAATCTAATACTAACAAATCATTAATGTTGGATTATGATGTTGAATTATCTGAAAATAAATTTGGATTTGCAATTCGAAGGACAAGTGATAATGTAACTATGTATGTAATTATGAAATGTTTATTTATCATAGATTATCTTAGTATTTTTGTTTTAAAATAAATTTAGATTTGACAGTCGGAATATTGGAGGTTTTATTTACTCTGATCAATTTATTCAACTATCAGCATTATTACCGACCAAATATATATATGGTTTAGGAGAACATAGAACTAATTTCATGCTTGATATGAATTGGAAAACATATACTTTTTTCAATCATGACACCCCTCCAACAAATGATGTAAGTTAATGTTCAGCTTATGATGCAATCTATTAATTGTTTAGTTTTATTTAGGTAAATGGATATGGTACACATCCATTTTATTTGTTAATAGAAAATTCAGGAAAAAGCCATGGAGTTTTTTTATTAAACAGTAATGCAATGGGTATGTAAATAGTTAATGTCTTAAAATAATATGAATTAGGTTTTTCCTGCACTAGGATTGGAACTGTTTTGAACTAAGATGTGCACAGATTTTAAACTATACTTAAACTTCACCAGGCTAGAACAGTTTTTCATCAGTGCACGTGCATATTTGGTCCATTATAAACTTTTATGAATTAGAATATAATTGCATTCATATGTGTTGTATAAATAATATACATAAATTACTGAAGAATTTATTTCCAAAGTCAACTGTAAATTTTAATACATTCATATATATTATTAATTTATTTTTAGATATTGTGTTGCAACCAACACCAGCAATAACTTACCGGACTATTGGTGGTATATTGGATTTTTATTATTTTTTGGGACCAACGTCTTCAGATGTTATAGTTCAATACACAGAAGCAATTGGTAGACCATTTTTACCTTCTTATTGGACATTAGGATTTCATTTATGTCGGCAAGTGTTTTCCTATAAATTATTGAATTTTGGAACTAATTATTTTAACAATAATGACTGAAAGTATCATTCTTAAATAATTAACATAATTAACGGAAATTATAAATTGATGTCTGCATTTCTTATCTACTCAATTAAATCAGGAGTTGAATTTAATATGTTCATAAGCTTTTAAAATTATTTTTATACCTACCTAAAATAAGTTCATTGTACACATGACATACTAATAAATATAAGTTTAATTTTTAGGTATGGACAAACATTCAAAGAACTTATTGATGTACACAATAGAACTGTAAATGCAGGAATTCCTTGGGTAAATTTGTATTAGTAGATTCCAAAATATATTGGTATTGATTTGACCTGTACAATTTTTACATTTTTAGGATACACATTGGAATGATATTGATTATATGCAACATAGAAATGATTTTAGTTTAAGTGATAGTTTTATTGATCTTCCTAAGTATGTTAATTATTTACATGAGGTAATATATATTATATATGTACATTATTTTTTTCAATGTACCTAATTTACTTATCACATTATATTGTTATGTAGATTGGAATGCATAATGTTCTTATTTTGGATCCAGGAATATCTTCCCGTGAACCTAAAGGAACATATTTACCATATGATGATGGTTTAGAAAATGGAATTTTCATTAAAAATGCTTCAGGTCTTCCACTTGAAGGCCAAGTACATTATTACTGTTTTATAAAACCATTAATTCAAATGTATATCTCTTATAGTAATTACTTTCTAGGTGTGGAATATTAATGGAGGTACAGTATTTCCAGATTTCACTAATCCGAAATCAGTAAATTACTGGATTAATCAAATATCCAACTTTCATACAGTTCTCCCTTTTGATGGTTTATGGATTGTTAGTCAATAATATGTTTCTTTATTGTTATTATTATTATTAATCTTTAAATTATTAATTTAAATCAAATAATTGTTTGTGATAAATTGTAGGATATGAATGAACCATCAAATTTTGTTAATGGTGATTGGCAAGGTTGCATTTTTAACAATTCTGATCATTGGGAAAATCCTCAATATACGCCTAATGTCGCTGGTGGAAAATTAAACTACAAAACTATCTGCATGTCTGCTAAACAGCATATTGGACTTCATTATGATGTACATAATCTTTATGGTCTTTCTGAAGCAATAACAACTCAATTGTACGATTTAAGTAATAATATTACAGTTATACAAAAAACAATGTATTTGATAAATTTGTTTGATTTAAGGATCCTTTTAAATAGCACAATTTAACATTAATCATTTAATAATAATTACCAAGAAATTAGAGTATTATGTAAAACATGATATTAATAACATTAAAAAAATAAAATTAATACACAAACTAACAAATGCAGGACTATTTAATGCTCATTTATACTTTAATATCTTACTGTTAACTTCGGTGTAATGATTATTTACTAATGAATTTAATAAATATATTTGTTTATAACTAGTGCATTATCAGTTGTTAAAAATTCAAGACCTTTAGTTATATCAAGATCAAGTTTTGCTGGCTTAGGGCATTTTTCTGGTCATTGGACTGGAGATGTATATTCTACTTGGGACGATATGAAACAATCTATCACTGGTAATAACATTAATAATTTAAAATGTATTGTGAAATAAATTTAATTTATCAAATTTTAGATATTATGCTTTTCAATATGTTTGGTGTACCACTTGTTGGAGCTGATATATGTGGTTTTAATGGTAACACTACAGTTGAACTTTGTTCACGATGGAGTCAATTAGGTGCCTTTTATCCGTTTTCAAGAAATCATAATGCCGATAACTGTTTTGTATGCATTTTTAATACATATTTTGTGTATATTAATATAATTTTGTATATAACAGGATCAAGATCCTGTAGCTTTAGGACCATTAGTTGTAGAATCAGCTAAAAAATCATTGTTAATTCGATATTCTTTATTGCCATATTTGTATTCATTATTTTGGAGAGCATATATTTACGGAGAAACAGTTGCACGCCCCTTATTTTTTGAGTAAGTTTATACTAAATTTTACTTATCAAATTATTAATGATACTAAAACCAATTTGTTAAGGTATCCATATGACAAAAACACTTACAATCTTGATACACAATTTTTATGGGGATCTGCTCTACTAATTTCACCAGTTTTAAAAGAGGTTTGTTTATTTAAATTCAATTTAAAATAGGTATTATTATAATGTCTATAGTCTGTAAAATATAGAATATTACAAAGCACCTATTTTGTATGTTTTTTTTTTAGTAATATATCATAAAATAATAAAATTTGATGTTGTCTTAAAATGTTATTGTTTACATATTTTAGAATCAAATTGAATTGAACATTTATTTACCTAAAGATATATGGTATGATTATTATTCTAAAACTTCAACATTAAGCAATGGATCTTTTTTTACTGTAAAAGCTCCCCTAGATACTATTCCACTTACAATACGAGGTGGATATATTTTACCGATTCAAGATCCATCTACTACCACTACATTGAGGTATACTTAATTTTTGTCAACAATTTTAACTACGATTACAAACAAATTTTATTTATTTTATATTAACTTGTTAATCTAATAAATACAATTAATATAACTGTCATTTGAATTAAAGTCGTAAAAATCCATTTGGATTATTGGTTGCACCAAACAAAAATAAAGAAGCATTTGGATATTTGTATTGGGATGATGGCGATTCTCTAAGTAAATACTAATATTATTATCCTCAATTTTTATATTAAATTTTGAGTGTTAATTTATGTTTTAAGATGTGTGGGAAAATGGGTTGTACAATGAAATCCATTTCAAACTCAACAACAACGTATTATTAAATGAAGTCATTATAAATAATTATTCAGATGAAAAAACTATTTTACAACATATCACTATCTTTGGTGTACAAAATAAACCAACAAATGTTCAAGTGAATGGAGACTTATATAGTCATTTCTTCTATAATAATACTGAAGAAGTAAGAATCTATTTGTTTATATTATGGTTTAATTTTAGATTCTAAATAGAACATAGAAAACAATAACCTTTTTAAAATACTTTTTGGGAAGTAAATTTATTATTTAAGTTTAATTATAGTTTATTAATTAGAATTTGTATGCATGGCAAATTCATATATTTAACAATGTACATTAGGGTGTTCCTTAATTTAAAATTTTAAAATATGTTTTGTCTCACCTCTATATACATGTGTATATGTATAAAAATGAACTACAAAAAATTTCAGGCCAATCGGATAAAGTAAACCCTTGCCAACTTGAACTTAAAGTTTGAATTAGATACATTTTTCATTTCATTTTACATTATTTTAAACATTTCTGTAAATATTTCATTAACTGTTAGAAATATCGACATTTTTTGCATATCTCATACCGTTCAAAACTGTTTGATAAAATAGATATGTTTGAAAATTTAACAGGAAGTTCATTATAAGTTGTACTTAGTGATTTTCAAGAAAACGTTGAGTTAAATGCAGTATCTATTTAAGATTGGGTGCTATTGGTTTTACTAAGATGTTTTTTTTCTTCTAATCTGTGGACACATTTTTTCCTAGTAAACTTAGTTTATGTGTAGCAACTTTTTTGAAAGCTTAATTTGTCTAGATGGTACTTTAAAGAGGTCATTTTTGATTTTCAACGCCATTTTTTAAATAAAAGTACAGAATGGTGTTTTCAAAAAAAAATAATTTAATCAATTAAATGACAAGACATCTTTTTTGTTACTTTTTTGATTTACTTTCTTATGGTATCATCGCCAAAACTTTTGAGCTTTTAAGGAGTTTTAATTTTTGGGAGTTTTTTTGCTGTAATTCAGTTATAAAATTTCCAAAATCATCGGATGACTAAAATAAAATGAACTGAAATAAAATCTAAATGAAAATTGTAAAAAAAATTATGGCACTTCAAATTATGTATTACCGAACTGTGCTTGAAATCGTCTTTCGTCAAACAATAGTTTACCGTTGTTTACAGATATAAGTGAAATAACCTTATGTATCCTACCATCTTAACTTCTCACCCACAATAGTAGCTGCTCCCAGTATCAAAGTATTTTTTTTTTTTTTTAATTTTAAATTGTACAACGACAGTTAAAGGTTAGACTTTCACTAAACAAGTATCACGATCAATAATTATTGTAACAAGCCCCAGATTTATACTGTTCTATCTGTTTACTAACTAATCAATTGATATTTATGTACGGAAATATAAAGAAATGATTATGTGAAAAAGATTATATAAATACAATATTCTTATTAACATTATATTTGTATTATGTTATAAAATCATTATAACCAATACAATTATTTATTAATAATGCCTATCTATAAAAAAATACGAAAATTGTGTTTTTATATAATAAAGTCGGTGTACTTCATGAATGGTATGAGATATGAAAAAAATTATTTCTTTAAAAGTTATAGGGAAATTTAATTTACTTTAAAATATTCGAGATGAAAAATGTCAATATTTCTAACAGTTAACGAAATATTTACAGAAATGTTGACAATTTTCGAAAATAGTAAAAAATGTATCTAATTCAAACTTTAAGTTCAAATCAGTAATCAGTTATCTGATTGACATAAAAAATTGTTTAGTTCATTTTTAACATAAACACACGTATATATGGGGTGAGACCAAACATATTATGATATTATTTTTTTTCATCATATTTAGAAACACCCTAGTTTCCATTGACAGTTACCATTGATAGTGCATATTTATGAGAATATTATTATTAATATTATTCAGTTTGTTTACACTTTTGTTGGTATAAAAATGTCCGTGTTTATTAAAATATTCGATTTACATTGTATTTTTTTTTGTTTATAGGTTTTTTACTTATCATCTTTAAACTTGGACATGAATATGGTTTTCAATATATCGTGGACTTAAAAAGCTAAATTTACTTTTATTACAACTGATAAAAAATATGTATAAATAATTGTATACTATCATGATTAATATTTTATATTATTATAACTTATTTTACTAGCAATATTTCTCAAAATTATAATTTTACTTTATAAATTGAAAAAATATAAGTATTGTGTAATTTAATTTGAATATAATGAATCCTTTTAATTAACTCTATAAAATTATTATTCAAACTATTTAACATAAACATTTTTCTCTGATTAATATATTTCAGTTATTGAAAATTATACAAAAATAAGAATGAGAAATATAAAGTTACTGTGCAAAACAGCGAGAGACCAGTTAATTATACTTTGGCCATTGACTCGGCTTTTGTCTGGATGAGGCCAGACAACATTGTTTGTCATCTAATTATCTAAATGTAAAATAATATAATTAGAGTTGCTGAGGGTTCAAAATGTGGTGTCCATACAAATGTTTCTATTACGGACCAGGTTCTTGACAGATAAGGGTAATCTAAGTTGTTTATTTTTTACTGGGTTATTAAAATAACAAATTCTTTTAGAAAGGATTTCCTTTTGAATGTAAAATTAAACATAAGATTATTATTTTTTCATAACTGTATTTGATAATTTGATTAGGTAATATGAAAAAAATATTTTTAACAGTATCTGAACCAGATACCTACAGCAACTCTAATTATTACTATACAATAATTATTTATTCATTAATACTTGTATAAAATTAGCTTATATTAAGTACTTAATCACAATCATAATTAAATTAATATATATGAACATAAATTTATATAGTTAATTACATATTCTAAGCCAATATAGAAAACGATTTCATTGTGTAATTTCAAATTGAAATAATTTAATTTAATTTAAATGTGAAAGTGGATTTAATAAATATAAAAATTATTTTTATATATTTTAATAAATAACTGTATTATTAAAAACCACGTATACAATGTTAGTACAATGATATTAGTTACAATGTTATACTTGAAGGTAAAATGCATTGTGCATATTAACTATATAAAATACTAAATACATTGTTTTACTCATTAACTTTTCTTACAATAAATGTATATTTGTTGTATTTTTTTTTTATTCAATCATTTTTTATCTAATATGTTGTCTTACGACACATCTAACTGCATATAATGAAGATATGTTTTTAAAGATTAACTAATAAATGTAAGATTTTTAAAACTACTGATATTAGACAAATATTTATTTTGTGGCTTAGATTTTTAGAGCTGAATTATTTTAATGAATATTGGTAAAAAATTGATAAACAAGTATAAAATTTGTTTGATGCAACCACCCAAATATATTTCAATAAATGTTATTGAAATATTTTGAACAGTCAAATTTTTTCAAATTATTCCTAATTGAATGTTAAAAATCCACATGATTAACAATGATGAAAACTATGAAAAAAAAAAATAATAATAAAAAAAATATTTTCAAATTTAATTTTTAACATATTTTTGTAACTTATATTGCAAAATATTGAAACAAAAAAAGCCTTTAAAGTAAAGAAAAAAATATATTTAATGTTCATGTCATACAACTAAATTAATTTTGTAATATTTTAATAATAATACCAAAACAATTGAGACTAATTCAAATTATATACAATATATTTAATTTTTTTAAAACAATAGCTCTAAAAATCAGGAACTTTTTTCAAGCCACAAAAATTATTAAATAAAAACAAAAAAAGAAATTGTTAAAAATAAATTTGGTTCTACAACATTCAATTTATATTTGTAGTTTCTAACCAAAAACAACTTTCTTTTCAATGATGCATTTCAACAGTCTTTTTGAAAAAATGTATAATAACCATTAAAATTATATTTTTAAGGTAATAAACAATTTACAAATATAAGTTAAGAAGACAATATCAATTGTTATATCATAAAATAAATAAATACATAAACAAACAATGCATCAAGATAACTGCATCAAGGATCATCTAAAAAAAAAATATATATATATAATTTAATATACATTAAAATTAATCTGAGAATTATAATACTATTAATTAAAGGTATATAAACTATTTGTATGCTATAATTTATAGTATACATAACTAGATACATAATAAAAATTATAAATAAGAAATAATATAGAAATACAACAGTTATATAAAGAACTAAATATAGTAACAGTATTAAAATATAGAAGAATCACATGGGTCAGACACATATGGAGGTCAAATAGTATAATGAAACCGGTTTTAAAATTGAAAAATTGTGGGGAAAATACTACTAGGTAGACTAAAACAAAGGTGGATAGATTAAGTGGAAAAGAATCTAGCACATTTGCTATCATTATAGGAATACGAGATGAAAAAAAATAACACAGGATATACAGGTGGATCAAGTTTATGTTAAAGTAATGGGCTTCAATGGCCTTTAAAACTGAAAAAGAAACTAGATACATATATTTTTCTAATCTGGTATTATACTGTCTTATTTTATTCAATGTATGTTAAAGAAAAAAAAACAAATGAAAATATCAATATTTTAGATGGCTTCTAAACAAAATAAAAATACTATTTTAATAAAAGTATAATTGTATAGGTGTATAACCCTAGAAATTAAAGTTAAATATTTTATGGAATTGTTTCTTAAAACAGTTTAAGGTCCAATGCACATAAAAAGAGCAAAACTGCTTTAACACAAAAACATTTTTGCTTTAAATACCATTAGTCATGACTTATGACCACAAATTAAAATATATGTATACATATACAAGGTAATTCCCAAAGCCTGCTCACCCCATTTTTTTGGTTAAATTTTGCAGAAATTTAAATTCTTATTTTTGGAATTTTTAAGTGTAGGTAAAGTCGATATTTTCAAATACTTTATCATAACATTTAAGGAATATCCTGAGGTGATACCAATTTCAGTTTAGATAGATTTTGGTGACAACATTTTTGATTTCCATTTATCCGGTAACGAGATATTAAACTTTTAAGTTTAGGTAGGGGGTTCTATTAATCTCCCCTAAAGATTAGTTTTAGATTTTGACTAAAAATTAATGTTAGAGAATTTAAAAGTGTACTATTGGAAAGGGGACAATATTGAGAAGTGTCCATTAATAGAAGTTTCACAATATTCAAATTCAGGTTTTTAGAATTTTTAATTGTCGTTAAAGCTAATATTTTCGAATACTTAGATTTTTCACAACGCCATGTGTCGTACCACCACATAAATGATACTCCACTACTCTCCCCTACTTAAACATAAAAGTGTAATATCTCGTTAACGGGTAAATGGAAATCAAAAATGTTGAAACCAAAATTAATCTAAAGCAATACTCAATTTATTTATGAAATTGTTAATATAGGTTCTCATATGAAAAACCGAATTTGTTATCATCACAGGATACACCTTAAATGTTATTAAAAATCTAAATATTTGAAAATATCGACTTTACCTACACTTAAAAATTCCAAAAATAAGAATTTTAATATATGCAAAATTTAACCAAAAAAACGGGGTGAGCAGGCTTAGTGAATCACCGTGTATATAAATATATAAACATATATCTTAATTCATTCTCATGACTCATGAATTATTTACATTTTTCGGTATTGGTTTAGTTGACCCCCGCCAAGAAAATATTCCTCCGCCACTCAGATTTAGTTGATACCCGCCATTTAAGTTATGGCCCCACTGATAGTAATTTTACATGAGTTTTTGTGCTTTTACGTCACACGTGTTCATTTTATTTTTCATTTGCTCATTTGATTACCGACCAAGATGATGTCCAGAAAAATGTTTTTTCATTTCATCTACGAAGAACTTTTCTACCAGAAATTTTGCTCCGTTTTAGAAGTGTAGCACTTATTCTGAATTTCTTTATTTTCCCAAGGGATTTTCATAATAAATAGGAAAAACAGGAAAATTTAGAAAATAAATTATGTTTTTAATTTTTTGTTTTGATTCAGTAAAAAATATTTGTAGACTTAAAGTTTAGACAGAAAACTTATATTTGTCTTTTTAATACATATCCAGTAAAATTTTAAAAACATTTAGCCATTTTTCAGGTATTTATAGATATTTTAATTTTATAGTAATATAATTATTATAATCTGCCCAAAATCATTTTTTTTTTAGCTATGGTTAATCCTTATGTACATTAAAATACATTAAATTTCTCTTTAATTTACGATCTAAATCATAAAGATCATAGCAATAGTACGGTCCAGGACAAACTGAAGGAAGAAATCGGCAAATAAATGAATATCACAAATTACAACCACTTCATCAGATGATGTTTTGACAACTATAATATTATTTATCTAGTCTTGTCTTAACTAACTGGTATGCGCGTATATAAACAAAATTGTTTTTGGTTGACTAAAGTAAAAATTAATATATATAAAAATTTTACTCTTTTGATGTGCGTTTGGCCTAAAACATAAATAATATAATTTACTATAGAATTAAGATTCTAACCTGAATCATCCAATGGAGATTGATTATTTGTTGGGTCTATTGCTTCTTTAATTTGATTACTGGCTCCTTTTGGATCTAAGTCAGTTGCTCGATTAAAGTTCATTAATGCCAAGTGTATGTTGCCCAATTTTTTATGCACCTAAAAGCAATATTGAGTAAAAATAAACTAATCAAATTCAAAATTCCACATCATACTTTGCCAGTTAAAAAATAGACTAGAGATTCCTTTGGCACAATTTCTTTCAATTCTTCTAGTTCATAAAGTGCTTCTGATAATTTACCAAGTTTAGAGTATATTTGTGCACGCTGATATTTACACATAGGATGTTTAGGTTCTAATGTCAATGCTATATGTAGAGTATGTAATGCTTGATCAGGTTTATCCATACTGTTTTGTACCTATTTAAAATTGTTCAAATATGATTAACATCAATATTAATAAATTTTGTACATATATATTATTTTAATTAGGTCCTGGTTTGTTATCAACCTACAGTTCCAAATTGAGATAAACAGGCCACAGTGATGATGTACAAACATACATCATTCTCATATATAAAATTTGAACTTAGAAATATAAATAAGAAATTTGTGCATTTTTATTGAAGCATGAATTAATAAAAAAAGACATGGTAACATTAATTTTATAATTTAATGTTTATTTTTTTTAACCCTCAATTGAGTGATTTGAAGGCATAAATGCAGTTTTGCTCCCAAGTGATTTTTGTAATTTTTTCTCCAAAATGTATATTTTTATATGCTTAATTTGATGGTACTTTCAATAAAAGTCGTTAAAACTTTATTTGGAAGTTATGGTTAAAAAAACTTCAAAATATTTGATGACCAATGGTTTTTTTTTTTTTTATAATTATTATGGCTTTAGTAAGAAAAAAAATAATATTAAATGAACCATATTTTTCTTAACCTAATTTGATGATTATGTATTCATACAAATAGATACATTTTTCCACTATTTCTTCCAAACCAAAAAATATTAGTTAGTTCTGATTTCACCAAAAACTTCTCTATGTTGTTGCACACCAATTGAAAAAAAAAAGTCCAAAAAATCAATTTTGAGTTGCTTTAGTATGAAAATGATTGATGAAATAACATAATTAGGTTTTACGTGGTTTATTAGCGATAACATAAAGAGTAAGTACAATAAGTAAATTCTAATGTAAATTCCAAAAATATAATTTTTTGGTATTTTAAACTCAAAAACACAATGTTTGAAAAATCAAGCACTTTGAAGTTTTTTAATAACTTCCAAATTAAGTTTGAGCAACTTTTTTGTGCTGTCAAATTAAGTATGCAAAAACACATATTTTGGAAAAAAAATTTCAAAAATCGCTTGGGAACTACATTCATTCAGATTTAAAATTTAAACAACATTTCTTTAAAAATTTGTATAAAACTATACTAGGTTATTATTAAAATGATCTATTTTAAGTACTAGATGTTAAAAATTATTATGTACATTGTACAGACATTTCAAGTGGGCCAAATATGTTGCCAAATATGGGCCGCATATACATTTAACAAGACAATAAAATTGTATACACATTTTTCAATTTTATTCTTTACAAACACAAGTACAATTTAATTAAATATAGTAAATAAGTATATAAATGAATAATTTATAAACTATAAAATAAAAATAAATAAATGAATGAATGCCTGGAGTATTATGATAAGTGTGTTGCGGTTTACATTATGATTGTGATATACCCGATGATGAATTTTTAATTTAAAACTGGTCACATAATATACTTATACTACTCCAGGTGACGCATTCATTAATTAATTTTTTATTTATATATTTATTTACGAGTATTAACCATTTTAATAATTTATTAAAGTTTATTTAAATTGAAAAAAAAAATTATATAAATAATTATTTTTTGAGGATATTTGACATCTCTTTTCTGCTACCAACTTTCTAACTGCAAGAAAACATTTATTGGACAAAACCACTTTTAATATTAAATTTATGTGTGTTGGTTAATCTGGATCTAATGGGTCATTTATTGCTGTTTATTAATGAAAATAGTTGCTCACATTGATAAATGAAATTGACTAATGAACATAAAAATAATTTTACACACAAATCTAAGATTTTCTACATATCATACTGGCACGTAACTGTAAAAATCAGGTACACCTACCATTAATAATACTTATTCAATCATAACTTATCATAAGATATGACAGTATAATAATGTATATCAAAAACACAACATTCTCTAAGATGTTGTGACAAGAAATTAATGTTTCATAATTTTTTTTATTCTTTTTTAAAAAAATTAGCTACGAACCATGTGTTGGACATGTCTGATGAACAATTTTATCCATAACTATTACTATCTACATTTCTAATCAAAACAGATCATAAAAAAAAAATTATCTTGCCATTCTAAAAATCTAAAATTTATCACTAAGTACTATTGATTATAAATACAATTTGATAACTTTTAATTAAATTTATTATTACTTACAACAGCAATATGACACATGATTAAAGCACTACTGTGATTTATTCTAAGAGCTCGCTTATAATGCATTTCAGCTAATTCGTATCGTTCTTGCTTTTGATAAATAGCACCAATTCCATACCTTAAATGGATAAATCCAAAATATAAAAACAATTATATAATGAGATTAAAAAAATATTTATTACCAAGATTTATAATGCCTTGGATCTAACTTAACAGCTTTCTGGAAACAAATTATAGCTTTTTCTAATTCTTCAGTGACTAAATACTCATTACCTAATAACGCGTAAGCATATGGAAAATCTGGATTAACCTAAGATAAAAAAAAATTAAGTTTATTAATTTTCAATTTAAAGAAAAAAGTCAATCAATATTACACAATATAAATTATTTACTTGTATAGCTCTTTGGAAATATTTTATTGCAGTTTGGTGTTCTTTTTGCAGGGAAAAACAGTTACCAACAACACACCAAGTAGATGAAGAATTTCTATCTAGAGAAGTCATATCATGAGCTAAAGCAGATAAAGCAACTTCTTTTTGTTGGTGCCACAAAGATGTACTATAAAGCTCCATTAGTGTATCTCTGTATGGTTCCAATTCTCGAACTTCACTAAAATATCTAAAGATTTTTCAATTTAAAATCAATTATTTAAAACTTAATAAATATAATAATTATTACTTTATTGATTGTAAATAATCGGACTGTTCACAGTATGCTTTGCCAATCATTGACAAAATAAAACCAGTTTTATATTGTCGTGGTGGTAAACTTTGAAATAATTGAATTGCTTTTCGGCAATTAAATTTTGATAACTGCAAATATGCTACTCCAATATCTTTTAATAGGGACAAAAGTCCTTCTAAACAAGTGTCAAATACAATTATTAAATACAAACAAAACAACACAAAAGATATTTAAGACTAACCTGTAGTTTTTTTTTGTAAATTAAGTGCTTGCTGAGCAAGTGACAGTGTTTCTACTTCAGCAACCCCACGTTCTTTTGGATTTCGCTCAATTATATCTGCAAAAACTGATTTCTTAGGAACCATACCACTTTTTATTTTACGGGAAGCAGACTTTGGGCTAGCAAACCTTTTACTAGGACTTTTAGTATTTTCCTAAAGAAAAACATTTTATTTTATATATTGGTATTATTATTATGAAAATACATATTATAATAATTAATGATATGAATCAACTTAAAAATAAAAAAATACCTTGACTGAACAATTGTTAGTAATTATTCGACTACTACGTCTTACAACATGTGACATTGGACTTGAAGGCATAGTTGCTTGTTGTGTTCCCAAATTATTTATGTTACTTGTATTCCCTGATTGACTAAATACTGGTTTAGAACTCTATTGGTTATTTTAAAACATAATATGTGATAAGTTATAACAATACAAATTTTGTGTAAAACTAATTTAAACTTACTCTTTTTGATATAAATTTCTGATCATTAGTTTCATTTAATGTAGTTGAAGGAACTAAAACCATTGATTGAGATGAACAATTATCTGAATTGTCTAGAGGAAAAACTCCAAAACTATTTTGCAAATAAAAAATATTAATTTATTTCTTACTATTTCTATAAAGATTTACTATTATTGTAAACTTGATAAGAACTACATGGTGGAATTAAATTAATTATTATGCTATTAAATTGTACAAAACTTAATATAAATAAAAAAACACATTGAAAATAACATATGCAAATAAAAGTATTTGGTGAAAATGTGAAGTATTTTTTCCACAACACAATAGCTTATATTACTTAATAAAAAATTATCAAATATCAAATTTCATCTGTCAAAAAAAAAATAGTCATGACAAAATAGTCAAAAAACTCATTACATTATATATATTTTAGTCTTTTTTTATTTAAAATTAAAAGTCTACTCTACGTGTTAGGTTCCAAGTTTTTAAATGTATTTTGAACACTAAACTATAGTTTAATGTACACAATGTTAAAAGAATTTGGTATCATAGTCATATACTTATATGTAAAAACCTAAACAAATTAAATATCTTAATTTACAAATAATTAAAACTCTATAAGTACTTATATTTTGATAATTATTTTTTAATATCAACTAGTGTGAATAATATATTCATATTTAAATTTAAAAAACCGGTAAACTACAGAGACTCGTTGTTAGTTAATCATATTGTTTGCTTAAAATAAACATCATTGTCAAACCACATTTGTAATAGAATTTAATTATAATGTTAAATATAAATATCATTGTTCATCAAAATAAGAACCATAACTATGCATTAAGTATCCTAAACTTATATTTAGAAACCTAAAAAGCCAAATGTATTGAAATTATACACTATATATAAAAATTGCTTATTAAAATATTTAATGAAAATTGTATATCACTACAATAATAAAAAACTAGTGTTGCATAAAAATATTCTCTTTTTTCAAAAAAAAAAAAAAAAATGAGCAAGTGTGAAACAGATCCAAATAAATATAAAAAAGCTTGTTTGCTACTTATTCATTGGCTTATTCATCAGTGAATAGTTTTATTTACCTCGGTGTCAATGGGCTATATGCATTTTCATTTATCACTTTCACTTTTCTTCCTAGTGGCCGAACAAATATTGCTTTAGCATTATTCATATCTGGTGTAAATGGTTGTATACCACTGGATATTGAACTATTACTACTAGGTACAGACATGTTAACCGTTTTTTGAGCTGGTGTACTACTAAAACAAATTTAAATATAATATTTATGAAGACCTTTTCTTAGTAAATCAGTGATTAGTCACAAAAATTATAAAAATATTTTTATTTATTCGTTTTTTTTTTTTCATATACAGTTAAACCTCTCAATAACGGACTTCTATAAGACAGAATCCTCGTTAAAACGGAAAATGTCAATAGTCAATTGTACAAATAGTAGTGAAACGGATGTAGAGACATCCAATAGAGATTGCAGAACCTTTACTAAACGGAAACATTTATTTAATCCAATTAGTAAAAATATTCTCTATGATGGAAAATAAAACTAAAGATGATGACATATATACATACATATTATGTAATTTATTGTAAGTAACATTATATAAACTTTGTCGTTAGCTTTAATATAGTTTGATGTTATATTGATTTATTAAACCTCTTATAAGCAAAGTGTAGACTTATAGTACAACAAAGATAAGATACATTAACTATAGCATAATTTTGAAAATGTGAACTATTCAGTATTCTTATTTTATATCATTTAGTGAACATGCAATGTTCGCATTTGTTTTATCATTGTGATTTTGTTTGTTTTTGTATTGTTTTTAATGTGGAAAAACTTAAATGGGTGAATAGCATAAACTTGGTAAAGAATAAAAACTCTTTCATTTGAAAAAATTGATAAAAAGTTTGAGTGAGTGGTTTATCAGCATTTAGCCATAAAATATGCCAATTTCTGTTTCAATTTTTAGAATTTATATTTAATACACACAAAACATATTTAAATATAAATGTATCCATTATAATCTTAAAGTATAAATTTACATTGTACTAAATATTTAAATACCTAAAATATAACTTTTTTTAATACATGTATAGATTTTAGAAACTTCAATTTTTCTTTCGTCCTCTCTATAACAGATTAATTTGTTGGTCCCGATTAATTTCGTTGTTAAGAGATTTTACTGTACTGACTACTGACATTACAAAATCAAGGATCCCTTTTTTTTAAAATATCATTCTTATTTTGTACTTTGAAATTAAATATCAACTTTTATTTCTCTATTTAGCGAAACTAACACTTTAAATTAATATAATTAGTAGGTCAAGTAGACAGATAAATTGAACACTTTGTAATAGACACTAATAATAGTACATTATTAAACATAGGTTTCAGTATGATAAATTATTTTTGTGCATATTAAATGGAATATATTTTCTTTTTAAACCTGAGAAAGAAACATATATTTTGTGGCATTTTAAAATAGTAAATAAGATCCTTAAATGAATATTCTGAATTGAAAGTAGCTGAAATCAAATTTACTTAAACTATATAACAATCGCTGAAATTATAAAACCTTACCTATTAAATGTATTTAATGATTCGTATGAAATATTATATGTTGACAATGGTGATGAATTGACATGCGAATTTGATCCTAAGCACTTATTGAAATTATCTAAATGGTCGACCTAAAAGTAGAATAAAAATATTTTAACTAGTTATATTATATTTTCTAAGATTTTAAATAATTTACTTTAAATATTTTAGTGGGTTCAGGATCAGGCTTAACACCTCTATCACATAGATCTTGAAATGATTGCCACAAAAAAGGATTTAAATATAAAGCCTTTCGACAGGCCTCAGCAGCTAAATGTGATCTTTCTGAACGCCACCATATGTGACTAATAAGTTGCAAAGCAAAAGGAGCACTATCCCCATAATCAGAGATGATGGTTTCGATAAATGATGTGCATGAAGATGGTGATATTAAATCACCTACATTGCCGGTTAATACAGTTTCTGCTTCAGATAATCTATCAATATATAAAGTACAAATATTCAATTTATATTTAACAAATAAAATAATATATAATATCAGAAACATTAGTAACTTTTAAATTAGATATATAATACACATTAAAACAGAATACAATAATAATTAATAACTAATTACTTAATGTTTACTAACTAAAATAAGTAAGTACTGAATTTAAATACAAAAATTGTAAAAAGTATACATACTTGTGAAGATCAAAACAGCAGCGTGCTAATAAAAATTTGCATTTTTCGGATACTAATTTTTTTCCATTAAGAATAGAATATGCTTGAGATGGTTTACCCGACCGATAATAACAAGTTGCAAGTAAATATATGCTCTCATCTGAATCAACTAATAAACATATTTGTTAAAAATTACATTCCTACAAAATGTATTTAAATAAATGATAACTTATAAATATAACTTACTTATAACATTGAAGGTAACATAAAATATAATAACTTAATTTGTTTAAATAAATACAGGAATACAGGAATAATACAGGAATAAATACAGGAATCATAAATTCATGTGATTGCATATTTTTTTTATTTTTTTTTTGGTATATAGAAAAACATGCTAAGTGAGGAAGAGATCAATTTCATAACAATAGTAATAAAAAAAAAAGACATAATTCACACAATGTGAATGGTGGGCCATTGTTGTAGGTGAGAAATTATATAGCTGTATGCAATGATAAATCATTGCACATTGCTAACAAAAAACGATTGAGTTCAATTATACATGTATTAAAAGTCCGTAATACTTGATTTCAAAATAATACATTCCGTAAATTTTCCCATTTCTCATGAAAACCCAAGGGAAAATCAAAAAAATTACCGTTTCAAAGTACCAACCCAGTCAAATTTACTATTAGAAAAAGTGCTTTACTTGATAATCTGAGCAAAGTTTTTGGTAGAATTTTTTTCGGTTCAATTTTATTCTTATATGACTATCGATTTGGTGAGTTTTATGGCAGTACCACGGAAACAATGTTATCACTACCACTGCCAACCCCCAGCTATTACAAGTGTATACTTAATCCATCAATATACTTTAAATAATAAAATAAATACAATTTAAATTATAAAATTAATTTTTAATAAACTGATTTGTTTATTACACACATTTCAAGAGCATAGTTTTATAATTTCAGTGAATATAAATGAGTTTTATAAGCCCTGATAATATATTATACAGTGTTTTATTAAGGATATTATTACTGTAATATTACAAAACTAATTTAACTTTCAGTGTTATAAATTTAAATAAATATGATGGAAATATTTAATAATTCATAATATTTGCTATTCATATTAGATTTTAAGGTTAGTAAAGAAATTGAAAGTTGAATTAAGAAGTTTTTTTTTTTAGAAAACATTATTTTGATTCTTAAAATGTCCGATTTGTTAATGTCATACTTTAAAAAAAGCAGACTTTATGTTTTATTTTTAAATACTTTAATGGATAACAAATGTTCCAATTTGTTCATACAGTACCTCAAAAGAGCATGTGTTTTTACTTAGTGGTACTTTATTTGAACCATTTATCAAAATTTTCAGCAACTCACCCTTGATTTTTGTTTGTTTTTATTTCTGGGTTCCATTAGCAATAATGTAAAATCAAGACTACCACTACTCAGAATAGTTTTTTTTTCAGTGATTTATTGTTACATACAATATATAATCATAACTACCTTGTATATTCTTACTTTCCTGACTACCCACCTACAATAATGTCCTACCTGTGAACTATATCACTTAAATTATCCTAAAACTTCGATATAACTGATTTAGTTTTGAAATTATTAAAATGAAAGTAAAATGTCATATAAAGAATAAACATTATATTTAAAAAAATTGTTGTAGAATGCAGAAAATGTTATTTATACCCAATTTTAAAATGATATGTTAACATGTATTATAGTAAATATTACTAAATAATTATTATAAGAATAAATAATTACATTCTGCACATAATCTTTCTGCAAGAAATATTGCATCTGAATAGGCATAATGATTTAAACAATGCCAAATTGCAGCCTGTAAAAAAGAATAACAAATATTAAAATGAATTAATACACCTAAGTAATACATACACTTATAATAATATGACTACATCATAATTGTTTCTTAATTGATTCTCCACACTATAATACCTCAATTTATATAATTTCCAAAATTAAATAGGTACTTTTATATAAGTATCTAATAAAATTGAAAAATCTTGAAATGGTTTTTATACTTTAAAAACAAATATGTTTAATTGCCATATTTTTTTTAAATGTATATTTGATAAGAATAAGAACCTAAATATTATTTTTCAGAGTACCTATTTAATTAATTTAATGACTAAGTAATAATTGTTGGTTATTATAAATATACCAGACAATGAACTAGCTGGTTAAGTTTACTTAATTTTTAAAAATATGTGTATAAAACACATTAACCTAGAATAAAAATGATATTAGATTTTACATTAATGATAAATATGGTACATGTAAACATAAACAAATACAACTTTAAGGATTAGGTGGGTATACTTATAATTGTTTTATTTTTAAAACATCAGTACTTTATGTATATAATACAAAATATATATAGTTTGTGTATATATGTACAGTAAATTAATGTATTATATACATAATAAAAACAAATTGTTTCTGAAATTATTATTTTTTCAACATACTAATAGATTTTATCTGTATTTTAAATGAACCCAATAATAATGTTAACAAATAATAAATTAACAAAGAATTTGTAATTATAAAAATAAAATAAAGTTCTTAAATAAACTAGGTACTTACTTGGGTCGGTTCCTGGATTATCATTTTTTTTTTTACAAGGTATGAAAATTAATAGTAGGATAGATAGTAAAAAAATTATTATTAAATATTAATGTACTTAATTGTATTTGCTAATAGTAAAATATTTTTATTAAGTTGTGACATTATCATAAAGTGGAAAAATGAAAGAAACTAACTTGATAAGAACAACAACTATACCGAATTACCAACCACAAACTAGCATATATCTTAGTTTGTGATACCAACTTACACTTATATTATACAGTGTTTTTCTTTAAAAACCATAGATATTGTTATAAACCATGATATATACCACGGACTTAGTTCGTGATATATACCATATTATCTAGTAAACTTGGCCACATAACTAATTTATTTATGAAACTAAATTTAAATTATTTATATTTTTTTATTTTGTTAAAATAATCATAACCATTATTTTATCTTTGAAGCAATTTGATAAAAATAACAGGTGGACCTTGGCTAAACATATTCAAATTGTACGCAATTATTATTTGTCTATTATGTCTATCATTCGAATTTCGAACATTCCACTCCGACCAAATATATTTTATTCACGTTAACGGCAGTAAATCCGGTAGATGATATTATGTTTGTGATAATTATCTTAATTCCTCTTCTTCATTTTAATCCCAACTATTTGGGGTCATCAACCCCAAATTGATCAAACCCCATGTCATTAACATGTTAAACTTCCATAATTTTACCCGATCTCCTACATCAACCTGGCATACACCCATTATCCTCGGGTCATTTACAACCATATAAAATCATCACTTTTTCGATCTTTCTCTTCCCCAATTTCCTACTACGTATATTTCCGAAATACCTCATCGGGGCTGATTACGGACATTTCGTTCTCTTCAAAAAATAAATTTACTTACCCGGCAATTATTAAGATAAAACATTTGGTCCCCGGCATATTTTGAATATAAGACATTAGGTTATCAGGATTTTTAAATTATTATTATATTTATTAATTCATTCAAAAGTTTATTATTTCACTAACGATTAATACATTTTTCTTCTTCCGTGACTTCGGCCTTCAAGACCATGTCGTCCAACAAATTTTTCTTCAGTTTTCTCTATCCAATGATAACTCCTTCCAATACATCCCTGGTTTCAGTTTATCTTATCCTCTATAACTCTATCTTCCCATCATAGTCTCGAACTTCCCAGTGGACGTTTTCCATGTGATGCATTTTCGTGTACTATTCTTCCCAATAATCCCTCTTTGCGCCTAGAGTGAACTGTCCGCATAAGCCTTCTTTTAGTGATATCTTCTGTAAAGTTTGGATTTCGATATAGCTCCCGGGGTTCCTTATTTTTACGTATTTTCAATTCATCGGTAAATTCATCTTTGCACGGTCCATAGATTTTCCTTAGGACCTTCCTTTTAAACACTGATAAAGTATTTTCGTCTTTTTTCCTTAAGGTCCAAGTTTCTGATGCATATGTAACAACTGGCTTGATTAGAGTCTGGAATATTTGGGATTTTTAATTTCTTGAAAATAATCCAGATCGTAATATCTTTGATAAACCAAATTTCACTTATTTCTAGCTTGAACTCTCGCTCTTTTTCTATACCAATTTCATTCTGGGCCGTGTTTTTCAAAGTTTCAACTACCATACATTCGGTTTTCTCGGAGTTAATTTCTAGACCTGTACGTTTTGCAGCGTTTATGAATTTTAGATTCCAAGCGTAGCGAGAGAACTATTGGTTTACAATACTGTTTATTTCTTTCTTTTTCTTCTAGTCTGTTGACAAGTTTTTCCCTAGTAAAATTGCTCCGATGTTTAAGTGTAGTACCTTTTCTAAAAACTCAAGTTGTTTAAATTGTAATAGCTTCTTCTATAAACAATGAAGTAGTCTGATCTAGTTTCACAAAATTTTTGATTTCTTTGAAGTTTTGGCAATAATAACTAGTGGCATTTAACCTAGTGCCCTATCTGGTTACAATTAGTTGGGGAGGAAGGCTTAAATTCGGGTACATATTTTTAAATATTTTAACACAGCTATAAAAATATGTATTTATGATAAAATATGTAAAATCAAATATAGCTCATTTAATCGAAAATTACTTAAAACAAATTGGTCACTTGCCTAAATTAATTTATCATGTCACAGAGAAAATATGTTGTTCCATATAAGTCTGATTTTAAATAATCTTACTTCTTCAATGACATCTCCTGAGCAGTCCTTCACAAGTTTTACTTTTGTTATTTCATTTGGGTAAAAATGTTTTTCACAAATTCTTTGTCCCACAGTTAACCCATCAATACACTTACTCCAACTTGCAAGTTTTTGTTTTGTTACTTCAAAACTTGCAATACCTTCTTTTTTTTTTTTTTTGGCAAACAAAACATTCTTTAGGCATTTTGTACTGATATTCAAACTTTAAAGAAACAAATGCAATATTTGGTTCACTACTGCTCCTTAGTGAGTTCTTATCAAGTTATATTTTATGTTTTATTTTGAATTATTAATTATATAGAATATGGAGGGTGTAGGGATGAATAAATTAATGTATATGACACTCTCTTATAATAATAATATTGATTATCAATAAATTACTAATTTATGTTTCTAGTAATAGATTTTATAATATACAAATTATTATACTGATAGAGCGCAGCATTGCGCCCGTTCCGAATTTGTTTGTAATAAAAGCGTGTTTTATCGATACTTGCCTGACCTTATATTCTAAGACAGTGTATTAAACATTAGGGTCGAGTGCACTCTCTGTCTCAGCCTGGTTGTCACAAGTACTTCGATAGTGTGTGCCCTACAGTATTTATGTTCATGGGCCAACCTTTACTTTGATGTCAGTATGACCAATGTTTCATACTATGAGGTTAACCAACTTTCGTGGCATTCCAAGTTGGTAAACCTCATACGAATGTAACCCGTTTGTCCCACAAAATATTTGTTCCGTCGGACTTATGTTTCGCAAAAATGTCTTCCAATAGACATTTGTTCCACAAATAAATTTTGGAAGAAGTATTTTTTGGAATAAATAGCCATTGGAACAATAGATTTTGGAAGAAATGTTCACTAACCACAAAATATTTGTTACACAATATACTTGTACCACAAACAATATGTTCCATAAACATTTGATCCAACAGACCTATATTCAGCAAATATTTCATGCAATACTTTTGTTTCTTATATATTTTGTTCCATACATAATATATAAAACGCAGAAGAAGTATTTTGTAGAACAAATGGTTACTAATGACTAAATATATATTCCCGGTAATTCCGTGTTATTTCGACTATTACCGTATAGGAATCTATTTATAAATGTATATTCTGTTGTAATCTGTATCTTCATAATAAACAATTTATATTTTGTTTTATGTCGGTATTTATTTCGTCAGTCAGTTGACAGTACATAGTACTTACGCGCTTTGTCTTCGTAAAAAATAGAGGGGAACAGGTCACCATCAACTAGATTCATAACTGAATGAATTTGGCGACAAAACCTTGAAATGGACAAGTTTCTTCACAGCCGGATATTTGGAGATATAAGTTTTAAAAATATGAGGCCAGATGAGCGAATATCGTCCGGAAAAATTGCGTAGGTGATCAGAAGATAATTGTATGTAATACTATGTACATATGTATATATTATGTACTTGTAAGAGAACGTTATACCTGCAATTTAATAAGATAAAAAAGATGGTTGCCGATAATAGAATTTCTTATCTGATTGAGTATGGCTTTTACCATCCGATTGAGTCTAATGAAGAACACATGAATACCATATTAGGTACCATATAGGTAATATATTTTATTATTGTGTTTGGACTATGTGTCCATATTTTTGGACAATATTCATTAAAAATAATAATGAAGATACAGATTTGAACAATATTTTAAGTACCTAGGCAAGTTATCAAATCATTTTTGTACAAAGAATTATAGTTGAAATTTTGGTAAATTAAAAATATAATTTTTTAGGTGTTTAGTTAAAATAAGGTAGTATCTGGATTTATAATATTATTCTCCATTTTTCTATTAGTTCCTACACCCCAACAAATTTGTTTAAATAACAATTTTAAAAATTGCACTATGTTAATAAGACTAAATTTATTTTTAATATTTGGACTTGGTTATTGCTATATTAATTAAAATGCGTATTTTAATTTAGTATACATTTTATTATTTTAATATCACAAGAATTTTATTTTATTTTATCAATATTAATAATATAATCTTAAAGCATATTTTATTAATATTAAATATTAATACATTTTAAGAAGATATTAATAAATTTGTAATATACGAATAATTTAAACATTAAAATGTATTTAAAACAAAATAAAATTATACTATACAAAAACACAAACATCAGATATAATATTATTCATCATTTAAAAAACATTCCAAGTTCTCATACTCAGATTTTGAACAATTGGTCTTCTTTTTATTCTTCTTTTCTATTTTACTTTTGCTTTTCTTCTCTTTTACCTAGAAATTTTATTTAAATAAGTGATTATATTTATTCCTAAATAAAATTATTTAGGTATATATTGTATATTTAACTATTAAATTTTTAGATAGATCGATAGTGTGAGGATAGTATACAAGAGGGTACATAGAGGGTTTGGTTTTGGAGAGAGAAATGAGGATGAGGAAAGAATTTTAAATATTATGTAAGCAGTTGACCATGCAGTTACTAACAATTATGTTAGGAATAGTATTAGAGAACTTTTAAGAGAGAAGGAAATACACAAATTCATCAACAATTTAAAAGAAGAGAGAAAGAGAGAAAGAGTTAAACAGATAAATGATTATAAAGTAATAAAGTATTGGTGAAAGGTTAATTAATTATTGTTCAATTAATAATAGTTATTCTTAGAGAAATTACTTAATGAAGTGACCAGATGGAGTACCAGTAGAAGTGTGAAAACTGTTAGGGAACTTAGGCATAGGTTGATTAAACATTTTTTTTTACTGTGTCAGTAGAAGGGAAGATGACAGATGAGTGGAGGAAGAGCTTTGTAATATTCATAAACAGAGTTATTCAAAATTTATGTTAGAACTATTTTATCATGTAAATATTAAAAAATTGATTAAAATATGTGAAACAAAAATCGTTTGATTTTCAAACATCTAAAATGACTTGTATATTTTTTACTTTTAGGGGGATTTTGAGGGTCAACAATGAAACCTATACTATTTTTACAGACATAATAATGTGAAGATATTTTATTTAATACATTTAATAATTATTTATACAAAACTCCATGCTTGTGAATTATTTAAAGTTTATATAAATTTAATTTTGACCGCACACTGACATTTTATGTATTTAATACAGTCTTATCACACAAAGCACTGTGGACCAGTAATAAAACTAGTTATAACTGTATTATTATCAACTTTAAATTACTTTCAATCATAGTGTTTTATAAAAGTTAATATTATTTAATCAATTAAGTTTATATTGAAAAAGAATAGATTCCCATTTAAATTTTAAAAGTTGATCTCCCAAAACGACTTAAATAAAAAAAAAAAAAAAAGTTGATTCTGTGAATAGGAAATTGGGAAGGTAGGATACATAAAGTTAATTAATTAATATCTGTACACAATGATCAACCATTGCTAACAAAAAAACGATTCTAAGCGGAGTTCGGTTAATAGTATCACTTTTAAACTTTGATATTAAAATTCTACATTATACTAAATTTTTTTTTATCACAAAGTATGATTTATAATCTTGCTGTTAAATTTTCTTATTAAGCTTTTTTGTTTAGTCTAACAATTTTATAAACTGAGTATTTACCAAATAAAAAACCAAGTAAATATAAATTTTCTGTCAAAATGTCAAGTCTCTGAGCACATTTAAACAATTACAAAAAATTAATTTTTTTAAATAATACAAGCATTATTTCTGTATATTTTGCCAATTTTTTTATTTTTTTGGTTATTAAAAAATTACAAGGAAAATCAAAAACGACTATCTTATTCATAAACTAGATTCAAAATGCAACAAAAAAGAACTCTTGTTATTTTTCTATTGTAGCAATATTTCTGGTGGATAACATAAAGTGTACAATTTAAGATAATTGAATTGTTATGCCATAAATAAGACTGTTTTTCATTTTTAGTCTTTTTATGGGTTTTCACGATTATTTTAAAAACTACTTGGAAAATCAAAAAATAACCTCTTTATAATTTCCTTTCAGAAAAGGTACTACACTTGTTACATCGGAGATTTTTTTCAAAAAGTTGTTTACAGACAGAAAAAATAAAAATACAGTGATATTAGGTATTGGTTGAAAAAATTAGGAAAAATAACTCTATTTAAAAATGTTGTGCTACCTTTATAAAATCTGTACTACTTAATTCATCTACTGATGGCTTTGATTCTTCATCTTCTCCCCCTTCTGGCCTAGGTCTGGTAATATTATGAATTGAAGACCAATTTGCAAGACTGCTTGATTCAATGGTCTTTTTTTCTAACTGAAGTTTGAAAATTAAAATATATTTGTTTCAAATTTATATATACAAATTAGACTACATATTAAAGTAAAATATTATTTTAAAACATTTAATTTACCTTAATAATTGGTGTAAAATCATCTGGATCTATATCAGCTTGATAACCTGCTACCATTGGATTTCCACAATCATCACTATAACATAGAAATTATATAAACTTAAATATTTAAATTATAAATATTTCAGTTGGATTAATTACATTACGCAAGATATCTTTTAAATAACTGTTTTTCTTTTTTATATTCTGAGTGTAGCAAAGAATGTATTGGTTTTACAAAGTTTTTTTTTTTTTTTTTCCATAATATTTGGAAAAAAAATGTGAAATTTACGAAAATGATGCTTTTATTATTTTTCAATTTTGTTATTTTTAGTAATTCAGTTTAAAATATTCATAGAGACTTAAAATTTAGATAGAAAATTTATATTTGTCTTTTCTAGACGTGGTCAAATTTTCAAAAACTAAGCCATTTTTAAGCTATTTATAGACATTTTAATTTTGCGAGTTTTGTACGTAATTTTTATTTGGTAGGTACTCTGTAGAAAAATTGTTACCTTAACAGAAATATTTAAAAATTTAACAGGAGGTTCATTAATTCTTATTTTGTGATCAAAAGAAAAATATTGAATTTAATGTAGAATTTTTTTTTATAAAGGAATTCTAATATCAAATTTTGACAAAAATCATTTGAATAAAATATTAGGTATGTGGAACAAATCTAACTTTAGATTTCGAGAGTAGCTCTGTTGGTTTTAGTAAGATGTTTATTTTTTATTTTTTTTTCTACTAGTCTGCGGATACGTTTTTGTCTAGTAAAATTGCTTCGATTTTTACATGTAGCAACTTTTCTGAAAGCTCAAGTAATCTAGATGGTAATCTTTAGAGAAGTCATTTTTTAATTTTCAACGCCATTTTTAAATAATAGTGGGAATAGTCGTAGGAAAACAATTTCAAGATCGTATTATTTTATAAAAACAATTTCCCTACTTCTCACCTACAACAGTGACCGCTCCCATCTTCAGTATCAGCTTTTTTAAAAAAAAATTTTTTTTGAACATATGTATATTGCCGATTGAATAACGTTAGTGAAGTCAGAATTGAGCGGATTGACTGAGTTTCGAAATAAAAGATTTATGAAGTTCTGATATTATGCGTATATTATATGTTATGTTAAATAACTCAATACTGTATGTCTGTCGTAGTCTAATGGTCATGGATACCAAGTGTCGTCTTAGAGGTCACGGGTTCAAACCCAGGTTTCGAAACGCATATAGGTGTACCTAGAAACCCAGCTATCACTCGCTCACCTGCTTCTATTTAGAAGTGTAGCACTTTTTCTGAAAGAAATTGTACTGGGAAGGTACTTGAGGGAGGTCATTTTTCGATTTTCCCAAGTTTTCCTAGCAAATGTGAAAAACATAGAAAATACGGGAAAATCAGTACGATGTTAAACAAAATATTTAATGCTTATTTATTATTTTACGGAGCAACACGTATGTACTCGCTTTCGAGTGCTGTACATTCGCGTTTTTTTTTCAGTGTTTAATACTATCAAAATGCTTACCATGCTAATTGGAAATAGGTGAGTGTCTACATAATAATACTAAGTAGGCCACACGCTTGTGCGGCGGCGTACCGGTAGTTTCTACAATCACGTGACGAGCACAGCCATGGACGGACCTACTCAATCAAATCTGATGACCAACGTAGAAATGCAAAATATTTTAACTAAATTAAAACATATAAACGAACAACTTTGCCGTCAAGGGGCAAAATTATAGGCAAGTAAAAAATTACGACAAATAAAAAATAGTGAATTGGAACTGGTAGCTGAAGCGTCACAGTTAATTAAAAAAATAGATGAAAAAAGGATCTCCATTTCTAACACATCAGCTACAAAAGATATTAACGTAACTTCAAAAGCTACACAAAAATTAACAAAATCCCGACTAATGATAATACTCAACAAATATGTGAGCACCCACCAATAACTATAAAAGGTGCTAAATATTTTGATAAACTAAAACAGTTATAAATGTATGAAGAACGGGTTGGAAATGAACCAACATTCAAAGCCGAGATCTTAAATCTAATTCAGAAGTACAACATTAGAAGAAAATAATATTGAATACATCGGTACCAATTGAAAAGTAAAAAAACATTTCGAGTAGTATTACGAGATAAAAACCATGACTCAGATACATTAATAATTACTATGACCAAGGCAACGAAGTAATTAAAATAACGAATATACAGGTCAAGAAAAATCTGATTGTAAAAACAAAGCAGCGAGTGGAAAAACATAAGGTTACCATTAATCTTTGTACATTTAAAACCACGGCAGATGACATTTTTCTTCTCGGATATTGATATTAAACTATTAAGATTAACGGCCACATTTAAGGTCTGGTTAAACAGAGAGCGGACTGTCCGCGTGGCAAGGCCGCTGGTCCGCTGATAGTCAAACAGAATGCGGACAAGTTTGAGCGAACCAGTTTAAAAACTGCACAAAGTGTACTGTTGGTTATTTTTTATTTTTACTTTTTCACCTTTCTGTTTTCATATTACAAAATGTCAAGCAGTTCTTCCGACGAAGAAGAATTGCTTCTTCTGCTTGCCTTAAGTTAAGTAAGAAAAAAAATAAAATGGGTACACGAAATAAACCAAAAAAGGAAAGAATTTGGGGAGTTTCACCGACTGTGCAGTGAATTACGTTCTTTTGAAGACCGATTTTTTACATATTATAGAATGTCTCGAGAACAGTTTGAGAATTTACATACTCTTTTAGAAAATTCTAGGATATTCTAGAAGTGCTGATGCATGTAGAATATTCAGCGTATTGTCTACTATTAGTTTAGTTGGAGATTTCTAGAATTTTGGTTCTAATAATATTATAGTTGAATAGTATATAGTATAGTTATTATTATTAGAGTATAGACGTATAGTAGTAATATTATGTTATCTATATTAGTATAATATATGATATAATCTATATTTAAAATATAATATATTTCTTTTATTATATACATTTTATTTGAGTCCGCCGCGAACTTTGTGAAAAAATACAACCCGTTTGTCCGCGACGGACTATACTAGTCTGCCACGGTAGGTCGCTGTGTGTTTAACCAGAATGATGCATTTAAATAGAATACACAATCCGCGGCGGACCGGCGGCCTGGCCGCGCGGTCAGTCCGCTTTCTATTTGACCAAACCTTTAGGACCATCCCGAATTCCCAACAAACAATCAAATACCTATAGATGAATGTATGATAATTGATAAATCACTAATAGCGGTTTTTGTGTTATCTTTCAACGGTCAAAAATAACACATCGTTATCAAAGTCAGATAATTTGAACGGGCCATCGTCAGTCTAGCCGTTCAGGCAACGCACCAAAAATAAGTATAACGAAATTGATAATATACAAAATAATTAATAATGAATTTTATTATGTCTTGATAGCATTCAATTGTATGCATCAATTAAATATAACCAGCAGTGATGGGAACAATCGAGTGAAAATAATCGAGTAATTCGATTGTTAAGAAAAATAATCGAATGATTTGTTCAGTCTCGATTCTCTGAACTAACTGAAAAAAATCAAATGAAAAATTAGTAATTATTAATTTTGTTAGTAGTTACTCAAACTGTAATAAGTAAAAAATAATGAAATAAAATAACTACTGTTGTCTATTATTATACTCTAGTATTTTTCTTTTACTAATCTAGTAATTTCAAATACGGATTATATTATCTCAAAACATGCAAAAATTTCAAATAATTATAAAAGTATAAAACTGAAATAGTTTCATAGTAAATACTCTTATCTGTTCTGGAAATTTTGGTCATTGTCATTGCGTTATAGTAATTTATTTATAAGTATACTGGCTGCATAATTATTTAATACATTCACTACAACACTACACTACAGATATTAATAACTATTTAAATGATGGACTAGTTTATATTTTATATCATAACAAATAATCGGAAAAAAAGGAATAGTGGTAGACAAATATGACACAGCTAAACTAAACAATGTGAATACATGTGAAAGATTCAAGTATCAGATGTCGGAAAAAATCAGAAAGATAGATGCAGGTATAAATGACTCAATTGATGTAAAATGGAAAAAAATTAAAGATACTATAAAGATTGTGACAGAGTCAGAAATCGGAAAAGTAAAAGCTGTAAGAAAACCATGGTTTAATGACATGTGTGAAGATGCTCTAAATCGGAGAAAAGAAGCTAGAAACCAGTGGCTTAATGACCAACATAATATAGAAAAAGAAATTGCGTATAAAGTATGTCAAAAGAGCGCAAGTAGTGTATTCAGAAATGAAAAACGAAAATATACTCGGAAATTATTGGAAGAAGCAGAAGTAGATTCTAGAATGAATAGAACGAGACAGTTGTACCAAAAAATAAACAGTATAAGAGGAGGATTCAGAAAACATAATAAGTTCTTGAAAAATGAAGATGGTTCACTGACAACAGGACAGGAAGAGATGTTGGAAAAATGGAGACAATATTTTGGCACACTGCTCAACTGCGAAAATCCAGAAGAAACTTTTGAATGAACACTAGTAGAAACCAACGATTGCGAATGCCTACCCCCTACTATCAATGAAACGAGACAACAAATATTAAGGTTAAAAAACCAAAAATCTCCCGGAGAAGATGGGATTCAGGGAGAAATATTTAAAAAATTAAATGAGGAAACAGTATCAAGAATACATAGTATTATTGAAATTGTTTGGCAGGAGGAAAGACTCCCGGAGGAGTGGAATTACTGCGCTAGTGTGCCCTATTCACAAAAATAACGACCCCCAGATATGCAACAATTATAGGGGAATTGCATTATTAAACATAACCTATAAAATTCTTGCATATTGCCTATTAGACAGAATAAAGCCGATCGCGGAAGAAATAATAGGGGATTACCAAGGAGGTTTCAGACCAAACAGGTCAACAACAGACCCTTCAAAAAATGTGGGAGTTCAATAAAGACGTGTATATATTATTTGTGGACTTCAAGAAAGCCTACGACTCTATCCACAGGGCAAGCTTANTTAAATGGAACAAAGATTAAAGTAAAGCCAGCAAATACGTTGTCACAACCAGTGGAAGTGGTGACAAGCTTGAGACAAGGAGATGCGCTTTCTCCTGTACTATTTAACTTAGTGTTGAAGAAGATAGTAAGAGAAATCAATTTATGTGAAGGGGTTGAGTTAGGTCGATCGACAATTAATATTCTGGCATATGCGGATGATATCTCTCTAATGGGAAGAAGTAGAGAGATGATAATAAAAATGGGGAAATCAATTATAAAGGCTGCGGAGAAAGTAGGACTAAGGATTAATGAAGAAAAAACAAAGTACATGGTGGTCAGTCGGAGAAATGGAAATCAGGTACAAGAAGAATTCATTGAAGTGGAAGAATACAATTTTAAAAGAGTGAACCAATTCAAATACTTAGGGTCAATTATAACTCAAGATAACGACATTAAAACAGAAATTTCAATGAGATTACAATCAGCTAATAAATGTTTCTTTGGACTTAGTAAAATTTTTAGATCAAGAGCAATCTCTAAGAATTTAAAAGTTAGAATGTACTTAACTTTGCTAAGGCCGATTGTCCTGTACGGAGCAGAAACATGGCCTCTGAGAAAGACTAAAGAACGAAGAATTGTAGTATTTGAGAGAAAAGTACTCAGGAAAATTTATGGGGCATACTGATATGTTCTCACAAATGAATGGAGGAAATTACACAATGAAGAACTGCAATCCCTTTTTCAACGACCGGATATACTGAAAGATATAAAGAAAAGAAGGCTAGTTTGGGCTGGACATGCCTGGAGGAAACATGACTCATTAATAAGAAGAGTAATAGAGGAAAACCCAGTAGGGAGGAGACCTCTTGGAAGACCGCGTTTAAGATGGGAGGATTGCGTAAGGAGAGATACTGAAACAGTGGAGCCGGAGTGCCTTTGGCAGGAAGTAGCAGAGGATAGGGATAGGTGGCAGTATGTTTATCTAGAGGTATGGTCTTGAATGGCCGAAACCAAGAAAGAAGAAGAAGAACAACAAATAATTGTAGAAATAAGCTGTCACCAAAATATTTTGGTGACTAATATTTTGGACTATATTATATTTTTAAATAGTAACTTAAATATGATGTAATATTTATTTTCAATCAAAGTTTTAATTATTATTTTCATTTTTAAGTTTTGAACAGTTTGTTATAACTTATAACTATTAAATGCCTAACGCAATGAATCATCAATTATTTTATTTTAAAAAGTACTTTTTTATATTATAGTTTATAATAATAACTATTAATAATTGTTTGTGTAATGTGTTATTTCAATTAAAAATATTACTACGAGTTTTTATTAATAAATTGATTGATTATTATTTATTAGTTCATAATATTTCGATTATTTTAATCAAGTGAATTACTCGATTATTATAATATCTCGATTATCGAAATAATTTGATTATTCGCATCACTAATTACCAGGGGATATTATAAAATTGCTTATAACTTCCTTGAAAAAGTAACACCAGAGTCTGTCTCTTTCGCACATATGTTGGCTTCAATATATTTCACTAATACACGGTCTACATATTTTAAGTATAAGTGTGTTCCCAAGTCTGGCCCATTCTACATTAACTACTCACCACTTACGAAATTTCAAATTAAGAGAAAAACGGGACAACTATATTGGCTGTCAGAAGACATTTCGACCAAAATGATTCACTAAGCGTGTTCATCCCATTTTATTGGTTAAATTTTGCATATATTCAAATTCTGATTTTTAGAATTTATAAGTGCAGTTGAAGACGATATTTTTAACATTACCAACCCATTTTAACATTTTAACATTTTAACCAACCCATTAAGGAGATATTCCACGTTTTGGTTTAGGTAGGGGGAGAGTAGTGGAGTACTAATAAAATACTGCGCACCGTGCTGCTTAACAAATGGATACTTCACTACTCTCCCCCTACATTAACTTAAAAATGGAATATCTCTTTAATAGGTTGACAAAAATCAAATATTTTAACAACATTTATTAAAAGTAATACTTTGTCTATATATGAAACTTTTAATAAAGGTTCGAATTTAAAAAACCTAATTTGGTATTGTCACATGATACTCTCTTAAATGTTGTGGAAAAAGCCTATAAATAGTTCAAACATTTTTGAACATTACCAGTCCAAAAAATGCTAATATTGGGTATTGAGTGAACATTTCAAATATTTACCTTTCATCAGAATCTAATTCTATTTCTTTGGAAACTTTTACTATAATGTCTCCATGACCCGAATCTTCCAAAAATGATTTATCCAACACATCATCAGGCACAAAATCATCTAAATGATTAATGTTTCCTATACAAGGTAGTTTTATTATAGATTCTTCTTTAAGTATTTCGACTTCTTTAGCTATAATAATACATTTATTTCATACTTCATTTAAACTTAAACAATATTAAGAACACATTACTTGATTCTGTTTGTACTACATTAGACTTATTTGCTGGAAACATCTTTTGAGCAATATCCTGTGTTTTAGAATCTACCATTTTTTGATTTTCTAATTGAGGTTTAACTTCTTTAGCACTAGGTGATGGCTTATTTAGTAATGGTAATGGTAAAGTAGATGGTACTGATTTGTTTTCTGCATCAGCACGGCGCTGCTTTGACAATCTTGTTAAAAATCTGAAATCAAAATTATTAAAATTTGATATAATATTGATATTCTGCCAAATCACACACACAAATATTTCATATTTGTAATAAAGGTGAAGGAATTACATGATTTTTTTTTAGGTTTCTAAGTATAATAAAGAAAAAAGTAATATTTTGTTAAAATTATTTTTTTATTGGAAACTACTTACAATTAGAAAATGTATACAATTTTTTCATGTTATATACTTACAAGATTTAGATATTTTGTCCAATAATACTTTATTTGAGACATTTTTCAAGATTCTTAATATTTTTTTGAAAAATTGCTTTTTATGGTTTTCTTTTAAAAAAAACACTTATGGTTAGGAAAATGCTTTAATTTTTTTTATACAGTACCTCAAAAGATATAAAATTTCTATTCAGTGATACTCTATTTAAAATTTTTATGCACTACCTGTTTTTTTTTACTAATTTCTAGGTTACCTTGGCATCAAAGGAATACTATTCTGCTCTTGAATAGATTTTCCATTTGCAATAATTTATCTATATCAACTAAATGATTACACTGTATATTCACATTCTGAACTACAACATTTGCCTACCAGCGAGCATTAACAATATTTTTATTAACACTATTATTATGATATTTATATAGACAATTAGATTAAAGAAAAATAGCTAATATTGTTGAAAGATGTGCTACTCTTGTAGATGGGAAGTTGGGAAGGTAGAATGCATAAAGTTATTTAATTTATATCTGTAAATAATGATTAACCATTATTTACAAAATATGATTCTGAATGAAGTTCATTTGCATGTGTTTTAAAATTTTTTAATCGAACACATTTTTTTTTTAACCATTCATTCCTATATAGGTTTAATGATATATTTTATTTTTGAAATTTTTAACAAAAATCTTGCTCCAAACAAAAATGAAAAAAATGTTTTTGTTGTATTTTGGATCTTGTTGGAGAGTAATAATGTTGAGTTTTTATTTCCCAACTAGTTTTGATAATGATTGATTGGGAAAATTCAGAAAGACGTAAAACAAAACTATATAAATTTATGGCGTTAACAATTTTGTTATTCCTCACTACACTCAGAATCTAAAATAAAAGAAAAAGAAGAATATTTTTTCTAAAATAATAGGACTGAGGTAAATTTTAAATTATTAAGATTCATACAGTGCGTCTTAAACATCATATAGAATTACTAATTTTAAATATTATTGGCTTACAAATCATAATTTGCTTCATCACTTTGTTGATAAACATCTAATTCCATTGTCATAATTTTTGTTTCTCTTCCATTAGTTTCTAAATGGTTCATTATGTTTTCACGTTGAAGCTGTAAAAATGAAATACCAATCCATTTATAAATTAATCGTAAGCCAAAACCATTAGACATAGAAACTTCAGCATAACGAATAGGTACACTCCTAAAATCATAAGATTATTTAATTTTAAAATGTAATAATAGTTTATAATGTTAAATACCTTTCCAATGTTTTCAAATAATAAATTACTTCATCTCCATTGACACTACGATGATGGTTCATATCACAATGATTTCCTAATACTAAAACTGGAATATTTTCTGGAATTTTAAGCAATTCTTTGTATACATAATCCAATGTCCTATAAATGTTACATTGTGTCAAAAAATTGGTTTATTTTTGTTTTTTAGTATAACAATTTAAATGTATAAATAATAATAAAAAAAAAGACAGACATACTTCACACGTTGGCGGGCAACTGTTGTAGGTAAGAAGTTGGGAAAGCAGAGAAGAAATTTAATGTATATCTATATGCAACAATTAACCATTGCTAATGAAAAATGATTCTGAGCAGTTTGTTTAATAGTATTGCTTTTTCAACAATATTATGATCACATTATGGTGAAATAATTGTATATGCATTATACATTTTCTTTAATAATATTTGTTTAATATTGTATCTATTTTTTTGTTTTTTTTTTCACATTTTTTGGGGGAAACTTTTGGAAAATCAAAAAATGACTTCTATAAAGTACAATCCCAGTGAGATTTCCTTTCAAAAAATGTGCTATCATTGTAATTCAGAGCAAAATTGCTGGTAGAAAAGTTGTCCACGGGAAAAATAAAATAAAAACATTATTATAAAATCAACATATTCCTTGCTTCACTCGGAATCTAAAATTTTATTCTAAAAATGTCTATTAATATAAAACTTGAATAGATTAAAAGTTACTGGAGTTATATCAGGTTTATATTTGACTCTTTTTTGTAGTTTAGGGTTACATGATATTGCTATATAATATAAATATACATATTATCTCAGTTTTTCTTTGGGATACACTCTGTCTGTATGTATGTATATATATATGTATATATATATATATATACATATACATATGTATGTATATATATAGATATACACATAGAGGTCCCACAAAGATACATTACAATATCTTCTGAGATAACAAAGATAATCAAATTCTGTATTATCATTTTTAATTATTATTTAGTATATATTATGTACATATAATTACAATGTGTATTGTTCTTATTATTATTAAATGTATTACTAAAAAATTATTAGGTTAAATTATGGGATACACAAGTAGATTAGACAACAATTATAAAAATTATCCATAATTATCCGTATATATATGGAACACAAAATGTTCGAATTATCTATGGTTTCTTTTTTTTAGAGTAATCGAAGTTTTTGCAAGGGAACTGCATTTACTATGACTTATCTAGGTTCCACTGTATTTTTATTTTGGTAAAAAAAAAACTAAAAAACACTTTTATTTTATTATTTTCTAGAAGTTTGAAGATAGCCATTTTATAGAATTTGATTATCTTATATTATTCCGGAAATATAATGGGTATACCTTGATGAGACACCTGTATGTCACAAAATTCAGCCTATTAAATTATAGAGTTTTTTCTAAAAAAAAAAAACTGACATTGCTGATGGTGGGCTATTTTAATAAAGTTGTAATGGAGAGTATATAGTATAATTCAATTTATATCTCTACACAACGATAAACCAACGCTAATGAAAAACTATTCTGATCAGAGTATTATTGGTGGTCTTTTTTCCTTGATGCCAAGATAATCAAGAAACCAACAAAATGTATACAATAAATGGCCAGTTTTTCTATTGTTTAAATAAACTACAAAAAAAATCAAAAAAATAAATAAGAACAATATTGGAGAAAGATTTCTGGTAGAAAAATTATTCACGAAAAAAAAAAAAACAATGGATTTTTACTTGCTTAGAATCTAGAACCATGTTAATTTTAACTAATTTCAACTACCTTGTACACCGCTTATAAGACTCACGGATATAAGGTTCAGTCACTTATTAGAGTCACAATCACTTAGAACAGTCCAGATATATCCAAATATATTCTATCCATTCTCCACTTCGCCTATAAAAAGTTCATTAGTTTAAAAGAATTACTTTATGCTAGTCTCAAAGTGATTCTTATAAGCAGTGTCCACTGTATTTTAAGAAAACGCCTATAATAAAATAATGCTAATACCATCTTTTAGTAATATCCAATACAAGTAAAACACCATTAGTATATCTATAAACATCAACTAGTTCAGCATCCAAAACTGGAGTGTCTTCTACTGGTATTGGAGATAATTTGACTTTATCGTGTTCAGTTTTAAGAACATCACAAGATTTTGATGATGACAATGGACGTCTTTTTCCTTTATCAACTACATCCCATACTTCCACTTTCACTATATCTTCAGTATTCTTATAGTTCCATTGAATATGGGCAACCTAAGGAAAAATGGTTACATAATAATGTTTTAATTGTAGTAATATTATAGATATACTTGGATTTCATCTGTTTCTTCATAATTAGCTATAAATGGTTTTCCTTGTAAACGATTCCATAAACAAGTTTTGCCTACATTTCTATCCCCTTTAATAACTAATTTCACTGCAATTCAATTTAAACATTTATTTAATTTAAATTGAAATTAAGAAAAAGTTAATGAAAATATTTACTAACAGTTATATTGAATTCCTTTTGAAAATGAACGTTGTAAATCCTGGGGTAATGCTTTCGGATGAGCAACATTTCCAATAGTTGTATCTTTTTCTGCAGATATGTTCGCCAATCGTTTTAATGTTGAAAACATTTTTGTTTGGTTTCTTTATAATTTTTAGAAAACAAATATTTTGAATTTAAATAAATATACATTTTCCATAATAAAAGAGTTAAATTTACGTCTAATAATTGCTATTCATTATAACTTAACTTAATTATATTTTTCTTAATTTAATTTATTTAAGTTAAAATAACTTAATACAATTTCTTACTACAAATCAGCTAATACTATAGATATCTATAGTATATTATTAGTATTTAAAAAAGTCAGTCACAATTAGTGTTTAAATTGATTGCTTTGGTGGCGAAAATTAAAAATATGATAAGGATCATGAAAACAATGTATAATAGGTGCATTAACCCAACAGTCATCAGTCCACCATGGTGACCACGGTTATTGATAAAATGGTTGCCCAACGACGCGTATAATCGGTGGTCCACAGCAATAAAATAAATAAAAGTACTTAAAATGTAGAATATAATAATTTGTAAGCTGTGGCGGATCCTCGATTTAATTTGAGGGGGGGTTCATAGTCCAAAATTCAGTGACAATACAATAACAATAGTTCATACAAAATTACTTATGACTATTGAATTAATAAAATTTAACTTAAGCCAATGGAGGGAGGGCACTCCCTTAAATCTGCCACTGTTTTTAAGTTACTTTGCATCACATATTTTGTATGTACATTTATATTTGTTTTAGATCCAATCATATTCGATAAGGATTTTGATCAGATAATATTACGACGTCACACCACGATTAAAAGATATACTGATGTTACCATAGATAATATAAGGTTAAGTATTTTATATTATCTATAGGTGTCTTCCAACGAGCTATATTATAAACGTTATCACATGGCAATTAAAATTGCTCTTAGGAACAGCTGCTTAACTAACTTAATGCGCTCTTTGTCTATGAACATATTATAAATACATATATGTAATATTATAATATTATGTGAAATTATTATATTCCCGCCTAATTTAAAACACAACCATAATATGCAAACCCAAATACCCTTATAATGATTATTTTTCTTCTTCTTCATTGGTATTTAAAGGCCATTGAGGCCCATTACCGCAACACAAACTTGCTTCCATCTGTCTCTGTCCTGTGCTATTGATTGTTTCTCCATCTCGTATTCCAATATCTGCTAAATTCTTCACCTTGTCAATCCACCTATGTTTCGACCTGACAAGTGGTCTTTTTCCCTGGGGTTTCCATTTTAAAACCTCTTTCATAAGACCATTTGACCTCCATACATGACCGGCCCATACCATTCTCCTATTTTTTAATACTGCTACTATGTCTGGCTCTTTATATAATTGTTGTATTTCTATATTATTTCTTTTCTCATATTGTCGTGTCATGTTATTTAATTTTGGCCCAAATATTCTTCTTTCGAGTATTGCTAATTTGTCTTCGTCTCCTTTAGTCGTTGGCCATGTTTCACACAGAATACTCGTTATCCCATAATAGCATTTATTTGCTGCAGTTAGTCTTATTTTAATTTCATCATGATTATTATTTTTGCTATTTATTGTAACACCCAGGTATATAAAATTTTGCACTCTTTCAAATTTATAATTCTCAACTTCTAAATTTTCCTCGTGATTTTCTCGCCTAGATATTACCATATATTTGGTTTTTCCTTCGTTTATTTGTAATCCAATGTCTTTGCTGTTTATTATTAGTTCTTTGGTTCCTGCTTAAACTTTTTGACTGTATGATTCCAATATGATAATATCATCTGCGTACGTTAGTACTCCGCATTATCTTCTGTTCTCTTCCAAGTTTACCCCACCATATTTTTTTTGAGTTTTTCTAACTACCATTTCTAATGAATGATTATTTTTAATGTTTTAAAAAAATATATTTATGCACATTCCAAAGTATTTTTACATTATAGGTATTATCCTTTACATGAAAAACCATGTGTTTATCTGTTTGCTTTTATAAAGATTTAACCAGTACGTTTGGGGTACCAAAGAAAATTTCTTTAAAGGTTGAATGGGTAAAAGCTTTAGGTGTTATATTAGGAAAAACTCTAGAATACCATTTTAAAAATCAAGACATTTTAAACATATAATGGGTATCTGGACAAGGAAACAGCAAATAAACAGTAATTATTTTATTGGTTTATTATTTAGTATTGATCACAGAAAATTTTCTTTAATTTTCTAATAATAAATTTTATACTTTAGTTTGTTACTTGTGAGTTTGCTTATCATAGTCAAAATGTAAAACAAATACAAAACTAAATATAAAAATTAAATAAAGGAATACATAGAAAAAAAAATTACATAAATTGGTCGTTTTACATAGAAATAATTTATTTTAATAGGAGACATTATTTAAAATGAGTGATTATTAGACATAGGTCTATTAAGATATGTTAAAAACTAAAAACTATTTAGTTATTATTTATTAACAACTAAAATCTATTATTTTTAAAATCGATTTGTACATTTAAAATATTATTAAAATTATTTTTCTTTATTTCATTAGGCGTCATTCATAATCGCACATTTTACATCATTTAATACCACACATATTTTGTCTATTGTTAAAAATGGAAATTTAGAAGATCGATAATTCAAAACCGTATTAATTTTATTGGCAGTGAAAGGCATTGTAGATGGAACTAAATACCCAATGTGGTTACTCGCCCAGTGGGTTCACTCAGATAGTTTTAAATTTTTATCGAAAATAACCTTCGATATGTTATGCAAACCACATAGGGTAGGTAATAAGGAAAATATGTGCGGTATTGAACGGTATCATTTTGAGAAAACCATTTATAAAAGTGTGTGGTTTTGAAAAACGATAATTTTTTTGAAAGTGTGTGGTTATGATGACCGCCGATTTCATTGTATATATGTAATTCTTTTAAACCTGAATTAATGTAAATGCTATTTTGGGTATATAATATCTCTAAGTCTGTATTAATATCAAATCTTATATTATAGCTGTTTTCTAAACATGATTAGCGAAATTTGAATTAGAGGCAGTCTTTATAATTTTATTTTAGAAATGTGTTCTATAAATATTTTTTTAAAATTTATATTTGTCTTGCCTATATACAATTTATTACAGTAACATTTAAGTTTATATAAAAAGAATGGGAATTTTTTGTAGTTTTCAGTTCTATTGTTTATATGTTTGATTGAATTATTATTATTTATTAGTCTTAAAAGCGATTTTCACATTACCAATTTGTATTATTATTCTGAATTTTTTGTGTAAATTACTTTGATATTTCATACTACAATAGTTAACAACATTATTTGGCGAGTTGTATTTAATTTTTCACGTTAATGAATTTTTTTTAATAGTATTTAAATTGAAATAATTTCTATGGGCCATATTATAGATAATATTGAGTTCGTGTTAATAATTATTTTTATTTATTGGAATACGTTCAAATCTGTAGAATATTAAATTAAAAAATTTAATTTTATGAGAATAAAGGTGATTAGAATTATGTGGTAATAAAGTATTAGTTTGTGTAAGTTTCCTGTAAATAATAAAATCAAATTTATTTTACATTCTGAATATAGCGAAGATTGTATTGGTTTTAAAAAGATATTTAATATATATATTTTTTTTTCATAATTGTGTACAAAAGTTCTATCTGAAATCTTACTCAGATATATACGCGCAGCATCATTTCTAAAAGGGAATGTTGTCTAGATGGTACTTGTAGATCAATTTTGATTTTTCAAGCGGTTTGCATAATATCTGGGAAAAACCATAATAAAACCTAAGAAAAAAGGGAAATTTACGAAAATAATAATTTCAATTTTTTCAATTTTGTTATTTATTGAAATTCAGTTAAACATATTCGTAGACTTGAAATTTGGACAGAAAACTTATAATTGCCTTTTCTAGCAATTTTTGAGCTATTTATAGACATAAATATTTTGTGAGCTTTGTATGTAATTTTTATTTGGAAAGTACTCTGACCCTAGTGGTAAAATTGTTAGACTTAACAGAAATACTTGAAAATTTAACAGGAGGTTCACTAAGTTATTTTGTGGTAAAAAAAAACATTTGAGTTTAATGTAGTTTTTTTTTATAAAGAAATTTCAACGACAAGTTTTGACAAAAATTGTTTAAGTAAAAGATTATGTGAAACAAATCTAATTTTTAAATTTTTTTTTTCAAACTTGAATATTAACGATGAAGTCAGAATTGAGCGGGCTGAATAAGTTTTGAAGTTAAAGATTTTTAAAGTTTTTATACTAAGCAGGTATTATATGTTATGTTATTAACTTATTTATTCACAAGTATAAATCATTTCAATAATTTTGTTTTTACTTTATTATTTTATAATTAGTAAAGTATTACAATATTTTTGTGGACATCTTTTCTACAATCAATTTTGCTCCAATTTATGAAACCCCTTTTTCTGAGAGAAAATTTGACTAGGGATGTACTTTAAAGAAGCCATTTTTAGATTTTTGCTAGTTTTTTAAGAAAATGTGAAAAATTGCAAAAAAAGAAAAAAAAACAGTACATTAAACAAATATTATTTAAGAAAATATGTAATGCTTATTTAATTATTTTACCATAATATAACATATATATTGTTGACAAAGCATTACGATAGATTGAACTCCACTTAAAATTGTTTTTTCATTAGTAATGGTTTATCATTGCTTACAGGTATACATTAAATTACTTATAACAGTGGCTGCACCTAACTCCATTATCCTAGGACTTCTTTTTTTATTTTATATTCAAAATAATATTTAAGACTGTAGTCTTACTCGTGAGAAAAAAATTCACACAATTCTTCTCTCGAAATTGAAACAATTTTCACTGCTAATTTGAATAATAATTTACAACCATAATAAATTATTTTAATTCAACCAAATTATTATTTATTATTAGCCACATACAATACTATATTTTAAGTACTTAAAAATGATTAAAATAATGATGGAATAAATAATAAATTAATAGAAATATAACAATTTCTTTTTAAATTAATTCTATTGGAACTGAACCAATATTTACTAATTTAACTTAATTAAAAAGAATTCCCAATTACGTATTTATAAAAATTAATTTAATAATATTAAAATTATACATAGAACCATATCTAACTTTTAATGTAAATTATTTTGCATTCATAATGTATTTTAAAGATTTATTTTTCAGTCTTAAATCATTTAATTCAAATTTGTAAAAAAAACTAGTGACAATAACAAATTAAAAAAAAAAAAAAAAAAAAACCAAATTAAATATTAATATTAAGTAGATATGTTTATTAAAATATATTATTTAGTAATCAAGTTATAATAATTATAATATAATTTTTTTTTTTTTTTTTTGGTGGACAAATACAAACACACACACACACACATATATATATATAATATAAATCTTTATTGCCATAAATTTAGTTTGAAAAATCTTATGAATATATCTCTATCAATGCTAAAAATAAAATAACAATGATAGTTGTTATAGTTTTACTAGTATATTATAGTTACCACAACTCATTGTCTATGAATCAATACATAATAATATAACTCTAAGTAATAATAACTTAAAATAATTTTTGTTTAATAATGTGATCTTAATTAAAAGGTAAATTTGAATGGTAAATAATAATTTTTTTTATAAAATAAATAAATTGTAATTATAAATCATAAGTTTTATTTAAGTCATTAATTAAAAAATTATTATTGATCAAGTAATCTACAAAAAGAAATAATTGTATTTGATGAGAAATTAAATGTTATGATTTTATAATGACAAGAATACAAATTAGCCCAACAAAGAACATAACAATATTTAGTAATTTTAAAAAAGACCACATCAGCAAATAAAAAAAAGGTTAACTACATAAAAATATAAATTATAATTAGTCTTATATAATTATTTTACCATACAAATAAAATACTCTTAAATACTTTTTTGTTTTGTTTTAATATCCAGATAAATTATTATTAATATTTATATAAATCAGTAAGAATCAATTATACAAAATTTGATGTAGTTTAATATATTTAATATATTAGTCTGTTGATTTTTTAGAAAATGTTGCTTGAATAAATCTTCTTGATACATCAACTTGTTCTTTAATGTTTACTGTTCTTTTACACACATACTTATTGGAACATTCTACAAACCCATTACTTTCCATAAGACTTCGAAAATACTCAATTGAAAAGAAATATGATCTGTAACAGATTATATATAAAAAAAAAATGTATGATTATTCTTTACCATGTATAAAAAAACAAAAACAAATAATCACCTTGTACCATCTTGGCGCATATAAAAGTTCTCTGCAATCTTGTGCCCTGGCTTGAATCTTAGTTGTGTCATGTCATAAATTCCATAATCTCGAAACAATAAGTGTCCTCCATATTTCAATAGTTTATACATATTTGAAATTACAGTTTGATGATTGTCAGGATGAATAGCTGACAATACAAATATAGCAGTTACTAAATCCAAACTATTTTCTGGTATTTTAGATAACAATTCATCCGTAATAATATCACAAGTAAACGCATTTATTACTGATGGATTGTAAGAAGGATTAGATTTCAAGCATTCAATAGCTCTTGGTGAAAAATCACACGCATAAAAAATAGCATTCAAACCATCAGCAAGAAGTGGATATATAAGATTGCCAACACCACAACCAATTTCTAATATATATTTTTTATGTTCATCATTTCCAAGCAATGTAGAAAATTCTCTGGTTGTCCAGTGTCTGTCTTTAAAGAAACGGTTCCCATTATTCTTATAAAAGATATCCCAATGTTTTTTAGAGTTCTTTTCAATTTCTTGTGCTTTGAATAATGAAACTATACGTGAGTTTTGTTTATTAAGTGTAGCCTGGTCTTGTAAATTTAATTGAATTGGATCAGTTGTTTCTTCTTGATAACTACTATTAACATTGCTATAACCATCCATCTAAAAATGCCATGCATAATAAAATCACAAAATATCATATACTTAAAGATACATATGTGTAAATTTATATATATTGTAATGAAATATAACAAAATACAACCTTAACTTATTAAGGAAAAATAAAGCTATAAAGCAAAATTGTATAAAAAAAATATATCATAGTGCATAAAATGGCTTTATAATTGTATTATTTATTATTATAGAAATTGAATTTAAAGATTTTCGTTTACTATTTTATTTGTAGTATATAATAGATATTATAAAATAGATATTTAATGGTCGTTTAAGAGAAGTTATTTTTTTAAAAAAAAAAAAAACCTATAATAATATATTGAGATCAGGGAATTATTTGAGAAAAAAATGATATTGGTTTCAAAATCTTATACAATGAGAAAAGTAGGTAAAAATCATTTGGTTTCAAATAATAATAAAAAAAACAAACTTCCAATTTTTTATACTAACTATTAAGAGTAATTTGTTTTCTTTAAGAAAAAATTGTTTAAATAATTTTAATCTTAAATGTAAGCAACCTACTATTCTTTTTAGTCATTTTTTATTAAAGTGTTTAATACATAAATAGAAATGAAATGAAACTTTTAACTAACATAACATTGAAATTGAACATCAAAACTTATAGGGATAATTTATAATACAACTATATTATGATAACAGAGTAGTAATAATATTACTATTATAATCCAGAATCTTAAGGCTACATGGTATACTTTCACCATTGTGGCACAAAATTATTTTTAAATTTAATGTATATACGTCACCTTTACACCCATTATATTTTATTAAGGCAAAAATGTAATCAATCAGAATGGGATTCAATTTGTTTTAATAAAATTATCGATATTTTAAACTTTTTATTGAGATATTCAAATGATACATTTAAAGATTGAAACTAAATTAATTAAACTCTTGTAAAAAATAAACAAGGTACATTGCTTGAAAAAAAAAAAGAATATAAACAAAATGCCTCTTGAAAATATGGTTCTTACACAGATTATTAAAACAATAATTCATGTTAAAGAAGCTTATGGAGAAAAATCAATTTAAACAATATGAAAGAGTTATTTAAAAATATACCACAAATTTAGAAAAAAAAAACAAAATAATATAGTTTTTATAAACCATATTAATAAAAGAAGTTGAGAGTAAAATAAAGTTAGGAAAAATATATTTTTAAGAAGCAAGTTGATTATTAAATTTAAGCTTTACATTTGTTTGATTTTATAACAAAAATTAGCATGTACAACATAGCCAAGCAGCAATTTTCAAAAACTGTCTGGAATAATATAATATATGTGTATGAATCTAAAAAAAATGGGTTTAAGGTTTGACGTATTAATATTATTGTTTTCTTTCTATGCATATCACAAATTAATTTGTTTGCCGTAACAAAAACTGCATTAATTCTCCATATACTGTAAAGATGATCAACATAAAAATACCTATCTTATCTACCTTATTTTAACTAAAATTTAAGTAAATTAGTAAAACAAACGAAAAACTGGATACATAATAATAATTATGATTATAATTATAATTTTAAAAAAATTGATGGCTATAGCTCCATGTCTTGTGCTTCACTTTCGCTAAACTCTGACATAGATGATTCATCACTATCAGAACCAGCATTTCCATCATCTTTGAGCGCTTCTTCTGTAGCATACTTCTTTACGTACTCTTCAACACGTTTTTTATATTGTTCGGGTTTATGCAAATACAAGGCTGCAGCATCACCATTTAATGGATCTATTGGATTGGGATATGCCAGTAACTGGGGCAAAAACGACTCAAAAATATTAAGCAAATCATATAAAGCAGTCCAAGCTTGGTTAATAACATCAAGACAAACAGTGCCAGACACTTCATCAATATTTGGATGGTAAATTTTATTAATAAAACCAATTGAAGGTGATTTAAATGGATAATGTTCAGGAAGGTGAACACGGACTTTCCATAGGCCACCTTCATAAGGAGTACCACGTGGTCCATAAAGTTTTACACAAAACTCGTTCAAGCCATTTAAGAGAGTAACCTCATGTTTGCTTTCTATGAGTTTTATCACATCTGTGTCCATACGACGCTTGCCGGCACTAGGTGAAGACATAGTAGTTGATAGAAGTGTATACCAAGTTTACTGAAAAATATATTTATGTTTTAGGTACACTAGGATACCTATATATATTTTAGAATTTACTAAAATTAAAATATAACTATTAAATATTGTTTTTATTTTTATAAATACTCTAAAAAATTTGATTGCTTGGTATTGAATTGTTGGTAATATTTATAAGTTTTGATAAATTTAACTTTAAATGTTTTGGAGAAAAAAATTGTGATAATATGTTCAACTTTTAATGAATCTTGTACTAAAATCATAGAATTCTTTAATTTCTCATAATAAAATTATTCATATAAATTGAAAAAACCATAAAGTTGGCTAGTCTATTATTGTCACTATTTGCTGGTTATTTAACTTTCTGACAAGTAAAAATATTGTGTGAATGTGAGTAACTAAGTAACTAAGAGAATTTAGTAACTAAAGTAATTTAAAGAACAAGTTACTACACGCTTACTCAAAAAAACTTTGCTTGCTGATAAACAGTAAATAAAATCATCTAATGTAATCCAAGATTTAGGTAAGGTAAAAAATATATTTATATTTATATATCTATAATAGTCCTCATGCAAATAGTACAACTACCTAATATTGTTGACAAATTAAAAGCAATCTTGAGTTAATTTTACAAAAGTAATTAATTAGGCATTAAATAAATAATCTGTTTTATTAATACCAAACAGCCATTTTATTTTATTAACAAAGTGTTAATAAATCTATATCAACAGAAGGTAATTACCAAAATGTTGTAACTAGATTTTTTGAAAAAAAGTATTCACTATTTATGAACATATAAAGTAACTATAGATAATTTATAAAATATATATTTGTATTTTTCACTATAACAAAAATCTAACAGCAAAGAATATTTTAAAAATCTAATTACAATGTTTTGACATGTAGATTAGGGTGGTCCTTATTTTGTCAGTTTCAAAATTTCTTCCAGGACACCCTCCTATCTTGTTGTATAATAAAAAAATTATATTCTCAAAGTTTGAGGCCATTTGAATAATATTTAGTAGAGACTGCGTTTGAATATTCAATAATACAAAAAAATGCATAAAATCAAAGAATAGTGTACAATTAAGCATAGTTCATTTAGATTTGATTCTTTAATAAAACAAGAAGAACATATTTTAATATTAAGATCTTAATGACTTTTTTGTTGCCATATACATGAGGACTTTTTAATTGAAGACGCTAAGAAATAAACACTTAGTTATTTCAGTTTTTTTTGTTTGATACATTTGTATGAAATTATTTTAACATTTATCAAAAAAATACCTACTTACAAAAATACTTCTAAAATATATTCCACAATATATTTTTAAATATTTTTGATAGAAGAAAAACTGAAATAACTGTGTTTGTTTCTTAGAGTCTTCAATTAAAAAATCCTCATGTATATGGCAACAAGTCTTTATGATCTTAAGATTAAAATAAGTTCTTGTCTAAACAAATCAATAAAATCATAAAAATCAAATCTAAACGAACTAAGGTCATACACTATTTTTATTTTTTATATTATTAAATATTCAAACGCAATGCACCTCTACTAAATATTAAACAAATAGCCTCAAACTTTGAGGATATATTTTTTTAATTATGTGGCACAAGATAGGGGGAGGGGTGTCCTGGAAAAAATTGACAAATTAAGGACCATCTTAATGTAGGTACACAAGTATTTGTTGATATTTAAATATAGTATAAATATATTCATTGATTAAATAAATTACACAGTTTCAGAATATTTACATCACTCAATATTATAATAGACACCTACATACTAATGGTTAAAAACATTTCATTATAAATATAGGTAGGTATAGCTTAAGAATTAAATACCGCAATATGCTCAGAAAACAATGAAAAAAAAAATTACAAAAAAAAAACCTATTACTATACGCAGTGTAAGCTAATAAGGCACAAATAATTTAAAAAAAAAAAATCAAACTTTCTTAATACAGATATGTATTTTAACCTAAACTCAAAGACTATACCATACAGTTATAAGTTATTTAACAACAGATAGATCATAAGTGGATAGTAAATCACGTTATTAAATTAACTAAAGAAAAAAAATATACAAGGCAGTTTGCTGTCACCAAAAAACTTTCGGGATCGAAATACTAACGAATGGGAAAACTGAACGAAAATTTGGAGAAACATTCGTGAAACATCACGTTCTTCTTGGAAACAAAACATATCCAAGAACAATCAGACAAGATACCAACAATGTATACGTCCATGATAAAATACAAGTATTCAGCAATAGGAAACGATAGATAGGTCAAGATAAAAGCAGAACGGCGGACCCAATCCTTTGTCTGTGGTGAATTGAACAAGTTATAATTGCGTCGTACTTACTGGAACAGGAATAGAGACACGGACCAATGCGTGTGAACAGCAGCTTCTTCCACCGTCAACGGGATCGGAATTTCAAGTGCCAAGACTCGCAGAGTAAATACTCGATTAATTTATTCGCTTATGGACGGTGTGTCGAAAGCAACGACGACGACGCGAACGATCAACGGATAATTGTCGGGTTAGACGGTGTTTGTTATTTTACTTAGACTTTATTTGATTGTGACGAATTAATTTTGACAAGGTAAACGAGCCAATAATATTGAATGCAAAACAGCCATTGGAACATCTGTGAGAGAGGCGAGAGAGCGCAATAAGGAAAAAGAAAGAAAAGAAAAGAGAAAGAGGTGCAACGACTCATGCGCACAACTCTTATCTGATAGTGATCAGCTGGCTGTAGATTGACGTGCAGTGGACGCGGTGAATTTGAAACACACGCGCTTAGTAAAGTTAAATTCTTATGGAAATATGAGAACAGATATACAAATGACTACTTACGCTAAAAACTTTAATATATTATAAATATATTTTTATTTCACAATATACGAATTTGAGTTCTATACATAATTATAAACAATGCAGAACAGAAAATTATAAATATTATACAGTAAATCATTAATAAACCTATTTAATAGATAATAAATTGAATATAGAATTAAGGCAATTAACAAGAATCATTAAATATAAATTAAAAATGTGAGAAAAGTGTGATACATAAAATTATTGAATTTATACCTCTAACCATTGATTAAAAAAAATGACGAAGCGAAATTTAGTTGAAAGGCTCTAAGATTCCCGATTTTCGTCAAAATTAGATTTTAACTTATAATTTAAAAAATATAATTCAACATTAAACTAAATTCTTTTCTTGACCACTAAGAACGATTTATAATGAACTTCTTATCATCAATTTTCAAGCATTTCTGTTAAGTCTAACAATTGATCTACAGAGTATCTACCAAAAAAAAATCCGTTAAAAACTCGCGAAATTAAAATGTCTATCAATAGCTCAATAGTTGCTCAAATGTTCTGAAAGTTTTACCATATCTAGAAAAAGTAAATATAAGTTTTCTGTTAACATTTTAAATCTCTACGAATATTTTAAACTGCACTACATTTAAAAAACAAAATTTGAAATAATAATAGAATTATTTTCGTGAATTTTCCCCGTTCTTTTTACTTACTTTACGGTTATGCTCAATTATTAAAAAAACTACAAAGGAAATCCTAAAATTACTTTTTTGATCACCAACTAAATAAAAAATTCAACAAAAAAGGTCTTTTAATATTTTTCTATTGCAGCAATATTTGTGGTAGAAAACAAAGCGTACAAATTTAAAATAATGAAATTGTGCTCTAATTTGAAAAAAAATCATAAATTTCGTGTTTTTTTGGTTTTACTTAACTATTAAAACTTTGGATATCAAAAAACAACTTACTCTGTCAGTGGCGAAATACTAATAGGAACAAAATCAATCTCTTGTTATTTTTGGATTTGGATTTGAGCTATATTTCTAATAGAAAATATTGTGTAAATACAATGAAAACGGTTACGCCGCAACTCACTGTAAATATTTGCTGTTTTAGCTATAATTTTTTTTTTCGATTATTTCGAAAAACACTTAGAAAATCAAATAATGACCTTTCCAATACACTAACCAGAGAAAACTACTTTTCTTAAAAAGTGCTATCTACAATCTATTCTTTGGAACAAGTTTTCTGGCAGAAAAGTTATTCACAGACAAAAATAAAAATATACACACACATCATAGTAAACCCAATAGATTGCTCGCTACGCTCGAATCTAATTTATAAATCACTAGCAGCAATTAGTAAATTAACAGATGTTAAAATGTAATTGATAGATGGTGATTGGAGAACACCCAAAGAGATATGGAATTGCATTGAGTTAAAATTAAGCTGTAAATAATTTTAAAACGCTCAAGAAAATATGATTGGAACCAATTATGTAGAGAAAAAGAGAGCCTAAAAATCCAAATGACTTAATATTTTTTAGAAGAATTGTATCGTTAATTTGGTCAAAAACCTTGAAAAAGTCAGATTATGTATTTATTTCAAAGGAATGGAGGATTATATTTTTTTAATTATATGCAAGGAAAGAACAATAGTTTGATTATTTTGAAGAAATTAAGTTAGAAAAAAACTTTGGAATGACAGATATTTTGGATGTAAGGTGATAATTTGATATTAATAAGAAATCACTTTTTTTTAAAAAAAAATTGGGGAAATAAAAAAAGTCTTCCAATTGATGGAAATATTCCTTTATTGAGATAAGTTAAAAATATTAATTATGCCATATTATATGTACTTATAATATAAACAACACAATTTAATGATTAATATACACATCTTTACAATATGGAACTCTGAATGAAAAATAATTGTAAGTAAATTTTTGTAAACAGTTTGAGTTTTTTTTTGTTTTATAAACTAAAAACTGGAAGTTGTTTACTAATACACAATGTTCAAATTGAAAACTTAAGTTTTCCAATTTAAAATACATTCATTTTTTTAGTTTATTTTGATTTTTGTCAAAAAAGACATAAAAAGTTCACAAATATATAAGTATATTGAATTAAAGTATATATTCACATCACTTTCTTTCTAACTTTTTCGTAGTTTCAAAAAATATTTGAAAAATCAATCAATTTTAGCATGTTACATTTTTTAATATTGTATAAATACTGATTGGATGATGGGCGATCTTGTATTAACTATACATATTATAATCAAAATATAATTTGATATATATGACTATATACATACATGGATTCTTGCTTATCTGTAAAAAAATTCATTACACATGAACCACTTTGGGAACACTTCTGATAAAAGATAAAACAATATTTCACGTTGTATCACTTTTATTTAATGTTCGGGTTATTTCTTTTAATTTATGATTCATTTGTGTCACATAACAGTTACAGACTACTGATATGTTTTCAAGAATTATATTGTGTATAGCAAGCATTATTATTTATTTTAGTATTTTATAATTTTGGCATAAAAGATTTAATTTTAATTCTGTTCCCACTTAAAAAGTATCTCAATCTCGATCATTAATAAACAAGATACTATTTGTTTGTCATTTTTTATGCCTTGATAGCACCAAAAGAAACAATTCTACCATCATTCAACATAAGAATAATCTGTGTGGATATTATAAAATAATGAATAAGTTACTAGAATGACACCTTGCCATAATTTGTTAAAAAAAAATATTATTAATTTGTAAGTGTGTAATGTGTATTATGTAATATTTGAATAATTCATGTATATAAATAAGTCATTTAATAGTCATATAGGTACTAAATTAAATTTGAACATAAATTATCCATAATAAATTGATTTCTATAGAAATTATTTTTAAATAAAATGTACAAGTCAGCTAATATAATAATAGCAGTAGGTTGAATACACTTCATTGACAATTTATTCATTTAATTACTGTTTTTGGAGTAAACATATTCAATAACTTATTATTTATTAATATGCCAATTTTATTCTACGCCATTGGGCAGTTATTATAATTAATAATGAAAATAAATAAATATTTGATAACTTATATAAATACATTCAAGTCCCTTGATGTTTCATCACTACTAGAACTTCCAGATGTTAATGTTTCTTCTTTCAATTTAATGACTGTATTATCTTCTTTAGTTTTTTCTTTTATTTTATCTTGCTTATGCTTATGTTCATGTTTATGTTTATGTTTATGCTTGTGTTTTTTCTTATCCTTCTTTTTTTTCTTGCTCTATAAAAGTCACCAATTAATTAATTATATAAGAATTGTATAACAATAACAATTTTAAAATATACATACTGAATTACTAGCTCCATCTATTTTATTATGATGATGATGATGGTGATGATGATGGTGATGGTGGTGTTTATTTTCACTTTGTATCACTACAGATTTAGTTGGTGGATCTTCGGGTTTTACATTAAACATTCCAGGTTCAAAACCAACTGGTCCAGATGAATTAGACACCATAATTCCAGGGAGTGAAGCTGAATTTTCAGAGAAATAACCAGTCTTAGATTTATTCTCATTCAATTCAAATGATCTAATACTTGGTATTAAGGTCACTTCTTTTTCTTCAATTTTTATCTCTTCGATTTCTTTGATATCTTCAATCTAAAATCATAAAGTAATAATTCAATATTGAGCAATTAATAACCACAGTAATTACAAAGTTTGATAAAATTAACTTTACTTTAATTTTTTTTTCAAAATGCATATCATTTTCAAATTGATTGTCTAACATTTCATTTTCAACTTTTATATCACCTACAATTTCTGGAACTTCTAATTGTGATTCATAATCGATAGTTCTCTTAATACCACATTCTCCATTAGAATTATTATCGGGTTCAACAATAATATTTGGAAGAGTACAAGATTTTACCTAATAAATACATATAAATGTAAATTGGTTTATTTAATAATGTATTCATATATGAATAAAAAAAAAAATTACCTCTACTTCTACTTTTATTGGTTTATACAAAGCAGCCACTTCAGTACGTACAATTTTTTGCCTTCCAAATAAAGTGTAGTATAAATCAACAAAATTGCATCGCAAGGTTGTATCATAAGATAACAAAGAACTAAAAACAGTAAATAATATCAAAATTCAAACATAATTAATTATAAATTATAACTATAGAATAATATTAAACACTAGAATTGTATTTCTTTAACAAAGTACAGTTAATTTTGGTAAAATTGCATATCCTAACCTCTTAAATTTTGAGTGACATTTCCTTAAAGCATATTTAACTATTATTTTAAAATGTAAATTACCTAATATATTTAAATGTACCATGAGTACATAATGGGTTTGTTAAATATATAAATACTTTTTTTTTTTTGTGTTATCAAGCTGAGGAACAAGGTTATAAGTTTTTTCATAATATCTAATTAAAAAAAAAAAAAAAACAAATAATTTGTATTCTTACTTGATAAGCTTCCATAGATGATGAGCTAAATATTCATTATTCAGCCGATTATTCGGCTTTTTAGGAGTAAATGGCGGGTTTTTACATAACATACAAACAAGCTCGTTCCTAACTTTTGGATCTGGATCACTATCAGCTATATCTATAAGATATTTTAAATCATCCCAACGTCCATCTAAACAAGTAAAATCAACTAAAGCTTCTAATGCACAAAGCCTTACTCCTAAAAAAACAAAAAATAAATAAATAAATAAATATAATAATATATTATCTTATAAATTCAAACCAATAAAATTGCCATATGATGAATATGAACGAAATATATTAGGATTGTTGGGTAAATGACCAAATTTTTGTAATTTTCTGATAGCTTTTAAACAAGTTATTGTTATTGGATATTTATAAGTCTGCAAACGTTTCTCTAAGTTTAAATGTTGTGTAATTTCTTCGAGTATCAATTTTGAATCTCCAGAGAGCGAATCTGCAGTGATATCACATCTAAAATAGAAGTATCATAATTTTATAAATATTATTATTAAAAATGATTGAATAATTTTAACGTTGTAATGTGAATTTAATAATATAATTCAATAATTTGACTTACGCTTTTTGCATTAAAGATATGACTGGAGTAATTGTTGCACCAAGAGCTTCAATTAGAGAAGCTCTATAATAATTATCGGAATATCTATTTTTGCTATTATCATTGTATTTGAATAAATCTAATATAAATTTCAAAATTTCAGGAGGACAAATTCCATGAGAATTTCTCAAACCAGCCATCGCAATAGGAATTGTCTAAAATAAATAACTTGAAATTAGTTTTAGTTATTTAAAATATTATTTATTTTAAATTACTTTTTGAAGATAGTAATGTTGAAGATTTGAGAAATTATTTTGTTTTATAATATGAGGACATGAAAATGAACCAAACATTTTTTTAAATGTTGCTAACATTGCTGGAGGTCCTGTCCAATTAGTCACCATTGCATTTGCAATCTACGCATAAACAGAAATATTATTTTAGTAATTGATAATTATTAATTATTATACAATTTTTATTATGTACCTTGGTTAAACAATGAGCTGCTCTACATCGGACGTGTATATACACTTGTTCATTTTCAATAATATCACATAATGCATTACGCGTAGCAATTGTAGGAAATTTGTCTAGAGCTACCACTGCTTCCATCTGAGCAGTTACATCTTTTTCATGTCGTAACTGGTAGTTCCACTGATATTCTGGTTGTTCTATAATACAACTACGTAAAATAGTCATTTCAGGATCTAATCGAATCCATAATACTGGTGAGTCATTACTGAAATATAAAATAATTAAAGAATTCATATTTATTTATTATTAAATATGATCAATTTGTTGAAAGGAATATAATTTATTTTATTTTTTTTATAGTTACATACTTAAATAATAGGTACATATTATTATTTAATATGTATACAATAAATTTAAAAAATACTCCAATTATTGTATAGATAAATAAACAACAAATTATAACAATTTATAAAGTACAAATAATTTTTTATTAAATATTTTAATTAAAAACAAAAGCCAGTTTAAACATTCCAATTTAATGTACATTTTATTGAACAAGACCAATTTTTATCAAGTAAAATTGAGCGTGTAAATAGCAAAACATAAATCTTATTAGACCAAAATGAAATCCAAGATTGAAGGTTGTGGATTTATTTTCAGAGAAATTGAATAACAACATTCAGTAGTTAATCTAGGGTAATGGTGAAAGGGCTGCAGCTCCCCTCATAAAAAGCTCCAAGAAATAATAAACTATAGTTTAAAATATTATTTTTTTATTTTCTAATTTTCATAATCAATATATAATTGATCAACCCACCTCCCAAAAAAATTCTTGGATACGTACTTATAAAACATTTAAAAATCAGTAACTTGAAAAAGGCAATAAAGAAACAATTGAAACTAAGTAAAAAATATAAAAGACGTGTAGCCAATCGACAAGAAAGAAAAAGTTAAAATTGAGTAAATGATATGTAAAATATCTTGTTACTTGTTAAATATGACCAATGAAATGTATAATAAATTGTGATGTAGAAACCAGCCTTAATATAATGGTTTTTAAAGTCATAAATTGGGCAGAGGACTTGTAGCATTTGCATATTTATTTTACATAATCAAAAAAATAGCAGAATAAAAAATAAATATGTTTTATGTTTAGATTAAGTTAGATTTTTAATTTTATTTTTCATATAAATGCATATTTCAAGTCATTTCTGTTATTGGGGCATATTTCTTTCATTTGTATACTTTATGAGAAATATTTCAATATTTTCTTAATCAATGTTTTTATTTAATTTAATAATACAACCAAAGTTATTGAATTTAAATTAATTTTTACTATATAATACGATTGTTGACTGATCGCAGACACACATTTATCCTAGAAAGACTTGACAATTAAATTTATTTTCCAGTTATAATTTTATTTACAAACAGTAAATATATTGTCTATATTATAAATATCTCGGTAAGATAATAGCAAATTACTAATTATTCATATAACTATTCAAGTAAATAATATTAGTCTACAATCAATATAAATTATAATATACCTTTCAACTAATTGAACAATAAAAAAGTATTATTTAAAACTAACATTTCATTAACAAAATTGTTTAATAAATATTTATATATTTTTGATTAAAGCGCTAAAAATAAAAAAATTAGATCATATTTTTAGTGCAAATCATAGGGTTTTTAAACATTTACATAATATTTAGTGCTTTGTTAGAGCTAGAAGTCTTCTGCCCTAGTCATAAACTATTATTATGTTGTTTATGGTAAACACATACATTTGTTACAACTCAAAAATTTAAACATGTATTGAAAGTGGTAGGCTACAATATTGTTTTAACTTACTCCATAGCATTTAAATCAATATCTACTTCATCCCCAGTGCACAGGGGAATTTTTTTTTTCTTATTACGTCTACTTTTTGAATGACAAGTAATATCTGCTCTAGCTACATTACCTTCAACTTGCAAAGTATGTTTAAATGGACCATCTAATTCTTGAATACTTATCAATAATGGACCAACATATTTCCGTACACCCCGTTGGGAAATTGCATCTTGTTTAATTTCCAATTCCAATGTATTCCTAATTAACAAATCTAATAAGTATTATAAATATTAATATTTTAATAAATATATATTAAACCTTTTTCTATTAAACACAAAAGTGCATGTAAATTTAGCATGACCACCAGTTCTAACCCATTGATCAATAAATACAGACATATCTATGCCCGATACAGTGAAAATAGTCTTATTAAATATATTTGTACTAATTAACATGTGACTCCATAAGCCTGAATTCATAGGATTTTGAGATGCATTACTTGCCAAAGACAGATGTTTATTCAAAACCTGTAAACAAAATTTAGTAATATTATACATATTATATATTAGGATAGTTTTTATTTTGGCGATGGTGAGTTTTTTTTTTAATGCCCCTAACTTTTTGAAAAAAAAAAAATAAATATTGAGTCCTTTTTGAATTTCCAAGGAAAATTATTTTGTCTTCATTAAACAAGGAAAAGTCGTCTATTTAAAATATAATAGTTCTTTTGTTTATTTAAGGTGTAGAGTAAACAAAAAAAAAAATGTATGGAAATGATCAAGGTAAGGGTACTTTTTAAGAGGGTAAATAATTAAAGTATATAAAGCTGTATTTCAAGAAATTTTTTTTCTTAGAACTATTAATTTTTTCTTACGTTTACTGAAATTTATCAAAATATTTGGAAAATTATTAATATTTTGCGTGTTGCATCTTTGATGAAATCATATGAACACCAAATATAGATATTTCTGTATCAATTAGTATTTTTATTAAAAATATATACATAAATGGACTGTACTCCCTAATTTGTATACAACAACTTCAATAAATATAGTTTATTTCTTAACGCTTTCAACTTGTTTCATATATAATTGATATTTATCGATATTCGGTCTACTGATGTATATTTTATTTAGTTCATTTGTGTGACAGTTACGGATAACTAGTATGTTTTTCAAAAATTATATTACTTAGAAAAACATTATAATTATGTGTAAAAAATTTGTAGCAATATCTTATGTGTCCATAAATGCAAAAATTAAAGTTTAATAGTATATTTTTTCACAATAAAGTATACCTGTAATAATAATGAATATCCAATTCGGTTTTCCAACATTCTTAATACAAGATGAGCTTTTTTAGTCATGTAATGAAAATAACGAGGTGAAATTGTGTGTAAGCTACTAGTAGAAAAATAAAAATTTGAGGTTTCATATGTAGTTTGTATATTATTAAATGATAATCCAAAACCAGGATTAGAAGATCCCCCAGGACTAACAAGACTACTGCTTATTGGAGCTGGTTGTTGGGTTGGATCTAATACTATGGGTCCAATTTCTTCTTCATAACGTACCAAACTTGTTAATTCCTTTACAAAAAAATAAATTATTGTAAAATGTATTATATTATAGTAAATATATTGCTAAAATATACATTGTGAATCCATTCACGATAAGAATTATTGCCAAAACATTTTTTTGCAAAGAGACCAGACATGTATAATGCTATACCACATGTAAGCCACCAATCTGACCAATTTTGAGTTGAAATAAAACAACCAAAAAATTGTTCTGCCATAACTTGAGCCAAAATTTTCTTTGAGACATAAACTTGATCAATAATTTGTTTTGGGTGTAAAAGATTAACACTGTAAAACATAGATATTTTTTATTATAAATATATGGCATATCATTTTTGTTTTCACAACTTTAATAATTTACCTCATGATACCCATTGATGCATAAGATGCATAATCTGTAGGGGTTTCATCTACAAATACTTGTTTATAACAACTATAGGGATAGCCATTAGATAATGTATCTTCATAAAATTCCAATGCTTCATGAGTATATTTTGCAGCTGTAGGTAGAAGTTCCAAAAGGCCCGGTAAACAAAAATGAGTTATAATATGCATAGTTGGGTCTACATAAATTTCAAAGGGTCTAAAATCAGAAAAAAAAAATTATATGTTAATTATTCTAAAATTTAAATTTGTACTTGAATAGTTACCCAACTGCTAAGGCTATATTTGGTGCACATGTAGGCATTGACAAATTATAATAATATGTTTTACGTCTTAAATCAGGAGCAGCTACAACTTCAATTAAATCTCCACATGATACTGCTATCATATTTTCATCTACAGTAAATTCTAAATCCCAAGTACATGGTTCTGCATAACTGTCAACACATGGGAACCATAATCGAGAAGAATTCTCAAAACACATAGTAAACATGTGAGCTCGTTTCTAAAAATAAATACAAATATTATTTGAAATTGAAAATGTACATTTAAAATAATTATACTTCTACTAATGATCCATCTCCTTCAGGAATAACAAAATGGACTCCACCACTAGGTTGTTCTAAAGAATATTCTACACTTATTTTAATATTTGTTCCATCATGTACAGATGTTGAAACTTCCAAAGGTAGACTAATAACTAATTCACCATTATTATTATCAGGATCAGTTATTTGAGCAGCATTTAAATGGCATGTAGAAAAAGCAGATAATGTTGGTCTAAAATAAAATACTATTTAATATAAAATTACTAATAAGTTGTACAAATACTTACTCTTCATCTTTATTTTGAGTAATATCAACAAATGGATCAAAATACTGAAAAGGAACTTCAATATTTTCATTAACAGTTACACGATAAATACGACATTGTTTTGCATTTAGTTTTATAATTTTAAGATTATTTTTTAATGGTATTATTGTCAGTTCTACCATTCCCTAAAAAAAATGTTTTAATTTTGTTATAAATAATATTAACATTACTTTTAGAAACTACTTAACAAGTAAACAAATCAAAAATAAAATATGTATTTACCAGTATATTTTTCCTCTGAAAACTAATTCCTGTTAAACTAACCAATTGATGGGCTGTAAAATTTTAAAAACATTTATATTATAAATTTACATAATTATATTAAGTCAAATCATTACTAGGAATCAATCTTGTTATGGTTGTATCAAAACGTTTTACGATTTCAAATTATAATTGATCGTAAAATAATATTTTTTTATGGTTTTATGAATTTGTTAGGTCTAGACATTTTTTTTTAAAGGGGGGGGCACATTCTTTATATTTTTAGTAAATTAATTATAAATTATAATATATATTAAATTAATAACAAATATATAAAGTAAAATTGTAGTCTATTAAAAGGGAGGGAACATGCCCCTGTATCCTCCCTCTGGATCTGCCACTGTATAGAATGTCTATAAAATATATTATTATAAATCAATGATTTATTAATATACATAATGTCATTTACCTAGTTAAAATCAACCTAAAAAGCTCATTTACTAATACAGTTAAATAGAATGCTAATATGCAACATTTAAAATTCCTAAATCTATTTAAATTAAATATCCATAAATAATGAAATTTTAATTAAATAATTGTAAAAATCTTTTTATGCGTATCAAATGTTTTGAAAAAACATATTTTGAATATACTTAACAAGTATTTATAAATAAATAATTTTAAAAGAAAGTATTCAAATATGGATTTTGATTGCATTTGAAAATTATTTTTACCAAGACTGCTAGGAATAGCCAAGTATTACTTCAAAAAATGTTTGTTAATATTGATATTTCTAAAGAATAGAATAGAATAAAATTGAATTTTATATAAATCATGCAACAAATAAGAGTAAAAAGTAAATCCAAAACAAGTTTTAAAATATTATACTTGAGTTTTACCAATAATTGTAGCATTAACCGTTAGACTTAATAACTAATAATAAACTTTTCACAAAATTCAATTCATAAAATATACTTATAATTTATAAGGTCTTGCGTTGTCTCCCGTTTTATCTTTCTTCATGACGTTTCAAATAATTCCGCACATCAAATTTTAATTATATGCTACAATCTTAAATAAGAATATCGTAAAAGTATAATATTTGAAGGTATAACATTTTTTTAACATTAGAAAAATTTACGACTTAATTATGACAAATGTCATTAATCCAAAATTCCAAACATTTAATGAATAATATTGGCTTGATATCAATAATGATAGCTCCGTCTTAAGTAGCCCATTGATAAAAAATTGATTATTACCCTCAGATATATAAAACAATTATGTAGATAACCGACTATGGTGTTATTATTGTCGCTAACAAAAAGCCGTCATCCTTATCTAAGGGGTGAATATTTATGTTTTATAGTATTGATAAGGACCGATATTATTATATCACATGCTCTATGAAGGGTTAAATATTATATACATTGAAATGTACCATAAACCTATTAAAAGGTTTGTTAATAGGTCTATGTAATGTACACTATACGGTAATTGTATAAATAAAGTTCCAAAATAGTATCTTATCACTTGCCATATCAGTTTAGTTTGTAAACATTCACCTCTTAGATAACGATTGGCGGCCATTTTGTTGGCGACATAGCAGTCTGCTAACTAGTTGTTTTTTTTTTTAATATCTGTGTTATTACCATGTACAGTAGATTGCATCCGCCAGAGTAATTTAGGCTGGAAACACACGGACATTGTTTTACCGCGTAAACAAAATTTACCGCGCATTTTAATTCATACCAAAACACGAGCATTTAATTACGGCACATTCATTTAGGTACCTACCATTTACACGATAACTATATTTACTTATTTCATTAAACATACATTAACTATTTAGTATGTCTCTATATTCCAACTAGACAACAATGAAACAGATGAAAATATTATTTTGTTTTTGGATTACCAACTTTTTATTAAAAATAAAAAAAATGAATGGAAAGATGTGGGTACACCCTTTAATTAGTACACGTCCTTCCGAAAGTGCGTTAAATTAATTTTTGAAAATATCAAAATAGATCCAGTGAAGTTTTTTAATTATTTTTGGATGAGCGTATCGGCATTTGATTAGCTACTGTGTATTTAGGAACACGACTTTTAGGTCGATACTAACATGAGAAATAATATTACTCCAGCTTCTAATTCTGTTCTACATCAATTTCATATGTCAAATTTGAGATGTCGATTCCAAATCCTTCCTCTAACGACATATTGATTGTTGACACTTTATAATGACGAATCGCGAATTAATGAATATTGAAAATAAAATAATAATCAGTCGTGCGTTTTATTACTGCGTGTGTTTTCTCTACCTATCATTATAATGCATTTTGACTGAGATTTTTACCGTGCGTTATTTTTAACGAGCGGTAGTTATGGCGCACGCGACTTTTTTCGAAATATCGCAAGATATTTTTACGACACGACGCTCGTGTGTACAAAACGTGTTGTAAAAGCAGAGCGCGTTTTATAATTACTTATATTTGTTTTAGATTAGAAGCAAAGCAAGGGATCTATTGATTTTATTATCCACGTATACTATTTCTTTGCCTGTAAACTACTTTTCAAAAAGAAATCTTACAGTACCTTAAATAAGTACATACTTTTGATTTTCAAATAGGAACCTTCTCTTTTGAACACAGATTTTAATAGAGAATATTTTTCTAGAAATTTTGATATACTTAACACATTTTGATATGAATGTTAAAAATAGGCAATTTATTACCCTTTCCTACTCCTCCAGTCTAAACTTTAAACTGTTAAAACTAATAAATGGTAAATCTGATATTAATGTTATGCATATTAAAATTTTTTGAAAAATATTCTCTATTTAAATCTTGTTCAAAAGGGGGAGGGGGTTCCTATTTGAAAATCAAAAGTATGTACTTATTTAAGGCACATGAATTAGAGGTAAAAAAAATTAAAAATGGCTTTAAAATAAAGTTTAAATAATTCCATAATGATTAGAAAAAACAGAAATCAAATTCACTGAAAATCCTCTGAGATAATTATTAGTTTAAACTTAAAAAAATGTCCCTGTATGGTGAATTGGAACTGAGCGGCAAAAGTGAAGTCTAAAAAATCTGGTATATTCTATTCAATAGCCAATGATCTATTTAACTATGGAGTCTATTGTTTATATTATACTGGATACATTATATAAAACTCAATTAATATTCGTGGTCAATGGTGTATAAAATAAAAAAAATATTACATTTTTTTGAAAAACTGATTTTATGATAATATCTGTTAGTACCGTATGAATTTAGATAAACAATATTAAGCCGTAATATTTACAATTTTTGTTTAAATTTTATTTTAAACTCTTATAAAAAAAAAAAACTATATTACATTTAATTTAACCACTGAGGCCCGTTCTCACTAACGTAAACGTTGATTTTTAAACGGAGTTTGAAAGATAATTGACCAATCGTGGTCAGTTATCAGCCATAGACTCAGTTTAAGAATCTAATAAACGCCTTCTTTTTCGTTTGTGAGAACGGCCCTTAGTGTGGCTTATCATTATAAGCCTCCTGTCATATTTTCAATATAATTTCTGTTTAGTCTTACAGTTTTATCTACATAGTACCTACCTACCAAATAAAAATTTTGCAAAAACTCGTAAAATTAAAATGTCTATAAATAGCTCAAAAAATGCTTACGTTTTGAAAATTTTATCACATCTAGAAAAATAAATACCAACAAAATAAAGTACCAATTTTTAGCTCTATACGAATTATTAAGGAATTTGGTACTTTTTTGTTCTTTTTTGACTGGACTATATATTATCACAGATTATTGAAAACAATTTCATATTATTCTGTACATTATGTATATGTTTGGAGCAATATTTCTGATGAAAAATAAAAGTCGTACAAATTGAAAACAAAGAAATTGGTAACGCCACGGTAAGGTAGGTATAACAAATAAAATTAATGTCTACTTATTGTTTATCTAACGCCTTTGTACCAATGTTTACGCAGTTTTGGAACCACTGGGCTTTCTTATCAAATATTGCCAGTGAACGTACGTAATAAATTAGGAAGTTGGCTTACGGCCGCCATTTTTCTTTCGTTATAAAATATGTACAGTGCTTGTTAGTCGTTATCGTCGCTACTCGCTTTTTATAACTGAAAGTACTCGTGGTTCGTTGTTGTTCCCTTGGTTCGTTAGAAATTTTCGTGGTATTTCACGAATACATTGACGTTCAAATTCAGCTGTAAGTTAAGCCGAGACGATTGTGCTCCGAACCCTCGGTCTGACCGCTTTAACGCGTTTCATTTGTTGATTCGACTACGACCGCTTCCTCACAGGTAACGGCAACGGTATTATTGCATACCAATAAATTCATTCGTGTAAAAATGGCATTATACTGAATAAAATGTCGTCCTTCAATCCGCATACCATTCATTCTCCTTCTGGAGATAGTTTCTCCTCCCGTGCAATCAATGTCAGACAACCGTCAGATGGAAAGAAAGTTGAACATGCCAGTGCCGAAATCGCTGCAGGCCGGCAATAACAAGGCAGACGCTAAAAAACCGTCAGGTATATTTACGTCTAATCATAATCTATTACTATTTATTAAATGTAGCCAGTATATATGTATGTATTATATTGTGCACATGTTAACAATAACAGAAACATCTAAGCCTAAAACTAATTAAAATTTCATCAAAGTTCTTGTAATATCAATAGAAAGATTATTGACAAATAATATTATCTAAACCAGCTGCACATTTTCCAACACAGTTCTTTTAACCAAAATTATTTGCAAATTTGTATCATTTTTTTTTTTTGTTGTGATAAAGATATTTGATAATACGTGTACCATTATTGTAAATTCCAATTTGACAAGGATGGAAAATATAAGATTAATTGTGGTTGGATAGAGTGGAGAGAATCATCAGGCGATTTATGTGACAACAGAATTTTAATTATAAACCCTCTTGACGGTTCTTCACATGTAGGTACCGCTGTTCTTATTTCATCCAAAATTCAGTATCATCCTTTTCCTCCTCTCTAAAGCCCTACTATCCAAGCGAATTTTATTTCAATAACATTAAAGCATATTCCAACAACTATAGCAGCGGTATACTGCCCATCTAGTCCAGTTATATCTCAAGCTCAACTAAACTTAATTTTTTTCTCTTTAGGGAATATACATTGCTTGGGGCGATTTTCATGCAAAGCACCGGTTATGAGGTAGTCACATTGAAAATCCCAGAGGTCATCTATTCTATAACACCATATATATAATTTTGGTTGTAAAATTATTTCTTCAACCGACCCCTCGACGAACCCCAACCGACGAACATCAATCCAATATTTCCACGCCTTACCCATCTCTTTTTTTGATACCACTCATTCAAATAAAATAAATAGTTTTCTTGACACGCCAGTCCTAATATCCTTTCCTATAAGACACATTTCACCAATTGAAATCACAAATGAAATACAAAGACACAAATCCAATAAATCCTTAGGTTATGATTTAATCACAAATAAGATTTTCAAGTTTATTCCTAAGAAAAACATTTTCTTTTAACTTTTATATACAGTGCCATGTTACGATTATCCTACTTTCCTGTAATATGGAAATTATCCATAATCATACTCATATATAAATCAAGTAAATCTACCAACGTAACCTCTTCATACAGACCTATAAGTCTACTCCCAGTACTCTCTAAGTTTTTCGAAAAACTTGTTCTGAAAAGGATTAAACCTATAATGAAGTTAAAAAACATCATCCCCAATGCTCAATTTGGCTTCCTGGCTTGCCACTCCACAATCCAATAATTGCACAGATTAGTTGACCAAATTGCTTCCTCAATCGAAAAAAAAAAGGATATTGTCCAGGAGTTTTCTTGGATGTAGTACAAGCATTCAATAGAGTTTAGCACAGTGGCCTACTTTTCAAGTTAAAACTTTTTTCTTGCTCCCCTTTACCTAATAATTCACTTATACTTTGAAAACCATTCCTTTGTTGGGCGTCAAGATAACTACTTCTCTTCCATTTTTCCTATTCAAGGAGTCCCTTAAGGGCGTGATTTGTCTCCTGATATCTTTAATATATTTACATCCGATATCCTCCAAACTATTGACATTATTCTATATACTCATGCCGACAATTCAGCAATTTTATCTTTCAAAATAGATCCCACTGATGCTTCCCTAGCACTTCAGCACCACTTAAATCAAAGTGGCAATTGGTCACTAAAATAGAAAATAAAAATTAACGCCAATAAGGCTGCTCTTATTCCTTTTACCATTAATAAAACAAATTTACCACCTCTAATATTCCAAGGAGGTTCCTATTCCATCACAAACAAGTGTTTAATATCTTGGTATTGTTTTAGACAAAAGACTTACCTGAGGGCCCCACCTTAAAGCAAAAAGAAAGTTATTAAATACAAGACTGCATCCTCTTACGACCAATACTTAATTCTAAGTTTCCCTTAAAAAACAAGGTTCTGATATACAAATCTATGATTAGGCCTGTCTAGGCTTACGGCTGTCTACGGTGCCCAAATCTGGGGTTGTGCAAACCATCTAAAAAAAAAAATATCCAAGCTTTCCAGTCAATTTGCTTCCGCTAAATTACCTCTGTTCCTTGGTTCGTCAGCAATCACTCTTCATAAAGATCTTTGTATTAATACCATTGACAATCTAACCATAGCACACTATAAACAAATTTCACTCCAAATTATCTCTTCATGTCAACCCACTCGTCTCAAGTCAATATTCTTTTAACATGCCTGGCAACCTTCCTTGTCACCTTAAAAGACTGTGCTGTGATATCCTGATTTAGGTGTGTAAACCTAAATCATAATTAGGGTCCCATCACTGGATGTAGTATAGATGAATACGTTTATGTGGATGAGTGAATTGATGATAGAAAATAAAACAACGGATGAGTAGAGAAGAGATAGTTTATGCATGGCTTTGATAGTAGATAAAATGAGAGAAAATAAGCGGATGAGTTTAGCATATTATGAGGAGAGAGAAATTTGAAGCAATAAGAATTGTAATAAAAATATACATAGGAGAAAAGGGGTGGTTGGATGTGATTGAGACTGGTATGAGGATAGTTGTGAGCTAATGTATAAGAAGTGGAAGATTAGAAAGAAGGTTGGCAGACCCCCTAAAAAGTTGGAATGAAGGTGAAGAAGAAGATTAATTATAATCATTAGGAAAATATATTTTAGTTTGTGATTATGACTAATCCATGTTGTGAACTCTCATAAAAATAACTAGATAATAATAATCTCATTATTTTAACTATGATAATTAATCATTTTTAATTAGTGAAATTTTGAAAAAACAGAAAACTAACTATAGATTGGTTTCATATTTAAACCTATGTGGGTACCTATGAACAAGTACTAATTATTTTTGTTAAGGATTTTTAAATTGTTTTGTTATTTTTACCATAGTTTAATTTTTCATTAAACAAGTAAATGTTTTATGTTCTGTTTAAACCAAATCAACTTAAACTAAACAATTTCTTAGTAGATACAGAAAACAATAGAAATACCTACCTATATTATTTATTGAAAACGGTTAATTGGTTCTTGTGAAAAAACATCATATGTGGACAATCGGCCCACGTCTTAATTTTATACATGTACAATTGGTCCTGGGGAAATTTTGTTTTCACAAATTTGAAAAGGATAACTAACGACATATCAGAAATATTCAACAATAAAATGCAACATATTGTCCAGATTAAACATCCAAGTATTTTTTTGATTTGAGAATCTATACAAATAATGAATTGAACAACAATGATATATTTTACTAAAAACAATGAAAATGTACTTAATAATAACTTTATGAAACCTATAAGTGAAAAAAAAATTTTTATTTAAATTTAATTAAAATATAAATTATTGTTTAATCACTATGTTTAACCCAATGGTTTTTTTTTTTTGTATAAATATACCGATAGTAATAATTTTAGTATCATACAGTTCAGTTTATTTGATAGAATAAACACATACACATAATGAGCATTGGGAAATATGTTATATGTTATATGTTTGATAAAAATAATTTACAGTGTACTTTTCCTAACACAGAAATAGTGTTGCGTATGTATTTAGTTTGATAGTGTCAAACCTAACCTAGCAGGGATCGATCCTTTTCAAAAATGAAATTATTTTAAAACAGTTTACAAACTTTAATGACATAATCGAGTAATTACTATTTTATTTTAAAGTTTCATTGCTCGTGAGTATTTTTTTATATCATTTATGTAGAGGTAGTACATAAAAAATTCAATTAAAAAATAATTTTATTTTTGTTCTAAAACCTCTGAAGATTATATGAGTCATGCACAGATAAAACTATAAATAAACATGTCTTTATATTATTATAGATTCTCATATTATTTTTTAAACATTACTCAGTAAAATATTATATTGTACTTAAGAACATACTGTCATTCATATTTTTAAAACTTGTATTAGTAAAATAATGATACAAAATATATGGGTATAGGTAAATAATATTGTAATACAAATAAATATTTAGGTACAATTAGTATTAAATTAAAAAAGATGAGCTCATACATTTAAAATTAGTTTTATAGTGATTAAAAACAAAAAAAAAATGTATACATTAGGTAGGTATATAATTAGGATGCTTTGATTATAATATCGTTTATATTTTAACTAGTTAAAATTAGTCTCAATTTGCTATTTTTAATTGAGCTTTCATTAATATTTTTTGGATTTTGTGTTTTGTAGTTAGATAAAGCCTTCTATATGGAACTAATTCTTTCATTTGCACTTCAATAAAAGTCCCAAATGAAGCTGTATCATCATTATAAGAGGTGGGAGTTTCTTTTTCCAAGGACTTGAAATATAGAGAATAAATATCTTTAGTTCGCCTTTGTTTTTTTAATTTTAAAGCCATAATTTTATTGAAACTTGAATCAGCTGTTAAATGGTCAATACTCTGCAATTTTAAAATCATTACAAATAAAAAATACTAAATACATTTTATTGTTTCAAATTTTTTTTTTTTTTACATGTAGTATAATCGTACCATACTCTGGGATCCTTCAAATGTTTCATCATTGGGAGGTGTTAAAACTACAGGTTCCATGGCCTCTTTAAAACTGCTTGTAAACATGTAACTGAAATAAATTGTTTAGTATTGAAGTTAAAATATGTTTTATAAAAAACTGTCAAAAAAAGCTTACCATTGGTTTTTTCTATTACAAATATCACTTTTAATTTCATAATTTACTTTATCACATTCATATTCAGTTTTTAAAGTTTCAGCATGATTAATGCTATCGCCTTTGTCAAAAAGAAAGTTTTTAATATTTGTAGAAATGTGACATTTATCATTTTGTTCTGTACACTCATTAGTATAATAAGGTACTTCATGACTATTAAAAGAAATATCATTTTTATTTTTATTTTGGGGTTCATATTTCGTCTTGTGTATGCCATTAAAATCAAATTTCACAATTTCAACATGTGTATCATTTTCCTGTGTACAGATATTTAAATAAAATATAGCAAATTGAAAAACTAATTAATTAATTACCATTAGTTTGGTTTTAAATTGTATATTAGGATTTAATTTTGGATTCCTTTTTTTATTATATCTCTGAAAAATAAATATTTTATAAATCTGTTGATTATTTTTTCTTCAATTCATCATAGTATCTTATATATAAACATTTTTAAATGGACATACCGGAATTTCTTCGCGGTATTCAATTGTTGGAATAGCTGTTGATTTTAAAACTCCTTTTCCATGTCCAACTATATACTCAGTTTTTTGAAAATGATTGCCACATAGTCTACTGCTTTTACACGGTTTCCACTTATTTTCTCTTCCAGTAGCAGCTATCCATAAAGGCAATGTTTCTATATTTGTTAAAGGAAATCTATGAAATAAAACAAAACAAATAGATTAATTAGAATATAAAGATATATTGTTTCTAATTAATTTTGACAAATTAAACTAATTTCCAACCTTTGGAGGTAGTTTATAATAAGTTATTTATTTATTTGTTTTTATTGATTTTAATGAGATTACCTGTGTAGTTTGACATTTTCTTTTATGTATAGGCTTTTACACCCTGTTACGCTGCACTTATTTACCATAATTGTCAATTTAATTTAACATGAAATAATTATATTCCGACTTCCAAAAATATTAGTTTTATCAAAGTAAATTAAACAGGTATAAAACATTTTCGCATTTAGCCTAGTTCAATTGTTTTTTTACGGGCTTGATTTAGAATATCCAATTCACTATCACTTTTTATGTTCTTATACACCCCGTTTTACGAGAGAAGGTTAAGCTTTTTCGTCCGTCGCTGCGCATCTCCCACCACTTTTGCCCGTTCGCATACGTAACTTTAAGAGGACGTGCTACCTAAAGCTTTTCATGTGCAACGCTCGAAAGATGGCGTTGCGCACCGTATCGCCATGGCGGCAGTTGTCTGTAGTCACGCCCACCTCCTCACTGTTTCGATGCAAACCCGCAGTTTCGTGCCAGAGCGCATTTTATTATCTCATATTCTCTTGATTATTGAGTATTGTGCATATTGTCTAAACATACAATTAATATTATACCTTCGTCGTGCGTGGTTGTATTGTACGCCAGACGTAATAAATGAGTGCGCCCACTCGCGAATTGATTACTATTTAAACTACTGTTTATTTCTACATATGTATGTAGAAATAAATTATACAATTCCTTTTCTAACATAACTTTTAATCGTTTTAATAACACTATTAATTTTTATGTTATTAAACATTTAAGGGATTGTGGATACGTATAAGTAGTCGAAGTGAAGTGGTGCGTATTCTTTCATAATAATTTGTGGTAGTTTTAATAGAAGATAAGACAAATAAAAACATAATATGCATAAATTAATTATTTTAATATCAAAAAGTTCATAAATTTCATTTCGTAAATTTATATATTAGCAAATATCCTTGTTGTGCTCAATGATGGGCATACATTGCATATAAATCGTTTGTAAATAAAAAAAAAACATAATAATAAAATAAAATGTATTAGGTATTATTGTTATTTTTTTTAAATAGGTATATCTGACACAATCAAGTGATATTTATAAACTGGATCTACAATTTCTGGTGTTAAACATTCAAAATAAAATTAAATTAAATATTATTAATTATATAATTCACGAATAAATTAGTTGAACGAGTCAGGTATATTTTCATGTTTTTAATTTATCGATAATATTGGTACTCCAAAAATCATGTTTATATTTTATTTGTTTAACTGAAATCCATTGATTTGAGGTATCTAATTTAGTATTTAGATAAAAAAAACCAGTGGATGCCAGCCACTGTTTTGGTGGGAAGCTGGAAATGTAGGATTTAGAAGGGAATTTAATATATATATCTGTAAACAACGATAAATCATTACTAACGAAAAACGATTTTGAGCGGAGTTCAGTTTATAGTGATGCTTTGTTATTAATATTTAAATCATATGACCGTAAAATAATTAAATATAGGTATTATATATGTTTTTTAATAATATTTGTTTAATATTACACTGATTTTCCCGTTTGCTTACGTTATTTTTCCGGTTTACTAATATATTTCGTAAATTTTTCCAGTTCTCAGTTTTTTTGTACTTTTCTTTTTATTGGGAAAACTGCCGGGAATATCAAAAATGACCTCCTTAAAGTACCATCCTAAGAAAATTTCCTTTCAATAATAGTGCTATATTATGTACATTGGAGTAAATTTTCAGGTAGAAAAAGTGTTCACATTAAAAAAAAATAATAATAAATGTCTTTGTAAAACCAATACATTCTTCGCTTCACTTGGAATCTAAAAAAAACCGGTAAATTCAGTGAACGGTGAATAATATATTACCAAAGAACATTATATTATAATATATTAAGATTTAAATATATTATATTTAACTTTTATTTTAGTGTTTTTTTTTTTGTCTTGCTTGTTTTGCTGCACATTTGTTTTATCAAATCTGTATAATTCAAAATTTGTGAGAATAGCTTCTGTATTTAGAACTGTAAAACTATTAAGTTTTTCTAAAGACATAGATGATCTTAAATAATTTTTTATTTGAATGAAGTGTAGAAAAAGACCTTATAGTCGAACAATTGGAGGTCAAATTGGCCAGGAACTTTGTGTAATTTGGTTTATGCTAAACCTTACAATGCTCTTAGCCACATTAACGTATGGAAAAAATTTGCATACTTTGCTACTATTCGGACATACTTTGCACGATAGGTGCAGCCACTGTTGTTGGTGAGATGTTGGGAATATAGGATATAAAGGGGAAATTAATTTATATCTGTAAGCAACAATAAATCATTGCTTACTAAAAACGATTCTGAGCGGAGTTCAGTTAATAGTGATGCTCTGTCAAAAATATATATATCCTTTTATAGTAAAATAATAAAATAGACTTTATATATTTTCTTGAATAAAATTTGTTTAATGTTGTACCGATTTTCCTAGTTTTCCTACGTTTTTCCCATGTTTTATCCCGAATTTTCACATTTGCTGGAAAAATTATTGGGAAAATCAAAAAATGACCTTTTTGAAGTACCTCCCTTGTGAAATTTCCTTTTAGAAACATTTCTATCATTGACAGTTTGAGCAAGTCTTCTGGTAGAAAAGTGGCGCACAGATAAAAAAAAAGATAATAAACATATGTAAAACCATAAGCATCTTCGCTCTACTCAAAATCTAAAACTACAATTTAAAGATAAAGACTGCTAAGTATAATAAATAATAGATTTATTACTTGCAGTCATTAAAAGATTAGCCAGTGAGTTGAGAATATAATTAACTAATATTCAATCTCAATATCAGTTAATTTATGTAATTTTTAATATAGGTTGCCATTTAAAAATTAAAAGTGGATAGTGGTTTTACCCCTAAAAAAATGGGTGACATAAAATAAAATTGTATTAAATGTTGTAGAAAATAAATTACGAAAAAAGTTAATACTTTTCGAGGTAATGAGTGTATTGACAGATTGATCACCCCGTATATAAAATATATGAATTATTTATATAATTCATAATTTTTCCCAAAACATTTTTATAGTCGCCGTGAAAATTTAGCGCCTTCTAACAAATATTAGGGGGGGAGTTATTGTCCTCCCGAACCATCCCCTAAATACATCTTTGTGTATAATGTATATTATTAAACATAAATATCATCACACGTACTTGACCACTTTCTACAGCTTCAATTGGGCTTGAGCTTGTTTTTGCCGAGTAAGGAGCTTTAATTTTTATAAAATATTATATTATTAAATAATAAAACTTTGTTTTTTAAATTGTATCTATTACAATCTAGGAATTCCGCCCAGGAATGCAAATTCTTCGTCTATAAATAAACCATACGGTTTTATCCGGATTCCTGAATTCTTTTTAACCAACTTCGTTTTAGTGCCATTTTCCATATTGCTACCATACTTAACTAATCTATTTTTTATTTTATTTAATTAGGTAATTTAAATAAGGTTCAAAAATTAAAATTAATTCTTATTTTGTTAGGTTCTCGCTTAGAGGTAAAATTTGAATATATTATAGAATGGACTGTACTTCGTACGCATTTTACAAATGCGACCAAAATTACTAGCTGTAAGTCTACAAAGCCTTTCAAGTTTCCAAATATCATTATATGCCTGGTCTCTTGTTTTCTCTATTTTAAAATGGTCGACTTCGTTTAGTTTTCTATAAAACAAACGTCATAACCCAATGTCGAAAGACTCACAACATGAGGTCTGGGAGCACTATACATTAAAATAAATCAATACTTATGATTATACTCGTATATTAAAATAAAATTATACCCAGTAATAGTTTATAATGATGATAATACTAACATAAATTACAATAATAGTTTAAATATTTACCTAATTTTTTATAAAATGTGTATGCTCAATAAAAAAACCATTCCAAAATGAAAAAAGTACCTACCTGATCTTACCATGTAGATAGCAACATTTTCTTATGTTGGCTAGATATTTGTAGACCCTATCTTTTTTATGGAAATTAAAATTATGATACTTTACTTACAATTTTTTTTTATGATCAGCTCTTTCATACATTGACGTACAGCTTTCATACCGGTTGCTCTTTTTTTTTGCATGTAATTTCTTAGGGGTCATTTTTATAATTAGAAACAATTCAAAATCATAACAATAGACTAACTTTTTACTAGACAAACACTTAACTCAAAGTAATTTGCTGATAGGGTTGCGCATCATTAATCACATATAGTGCATGTATTTATTTTCGTTACAGTGTATTCTAATTTTAAAATTATCATAACTATTTATTTTATATTCTGAGCGAAGTGTAGAATGTATTTGTTTTATAATGATGGTTTTTTTTTTTAAATTACGGTTTTTCGTAAGACTATTAAACCAGCTCCGATCAGAATAGTTTTTCATTAGAAATGATTAAGATCTATACACATTATGACTGACCGGAATCCGTCCGTGCACGGGAAAATCTTATTTCTGTATTTTTAAATATAAACATTTATATTAGTCCATTACGATGACAGAACGGAATACCGGGCCGAGGACGGGCACTAAAAATGTCCTTCACGGATATCCGTCTGAGTTTTCCTTTGGATCGTTGTAGTGGGAATGAGTTGCCGGGCCGGATATGGATAGATTCACATTTTGCTATATTAATTATTACTTATTATTAGTTCGATTATACTTATACAGTAGGTTAGGTTATACAGTATTACTTATTATTAGTTGTCACTATAGTCAGACTTAGTATTTTATAATTTACCAGAAATTTAAAAAAGAAGCGGAAAAATTGATTGAATGTGTGCAAGCACAACTCTGGCCTGTACGATTAATAAATTACATTTTTATATTTAAAATCAAATTATTAAATTGTTTTCCTTATTTTATTATCATTACCAAATTGTAGTTTTTCTTAGTCTATAGGTTTTTAATTTATAATTTAATAATATATTTAGGTACTTGCCTAGTTAGTTACCTATATTAAATATATACATATAATTACTACAGGTTGAAAGCTAAAAAAATTAAAATGTATACATCTTTATTTATATATAAAATAAATACAAAAATTAAATGAACTCATTGTGCCAAAAAATCATTAAAAAGCTCCTTTACATGAAGTGCTAATGACTCGCATTTCCGCTTTAAAATTGTATATTATTTAGCATAGTTTCATTTAATGGTGTATCTTCCGTAACGTTACGACTATACGAAGATTTACCATCGTATATTTTTGTAAAGTTATGTAATATACATGATGCTAGCACAATAAGATCGGCTTCGAGCAGCACTTGATAGCATAATATATTTAATAAAATTCACATTTTTACACTAAAACTGATTCGTGCGGGAAAGAACCGAAAAGGCAACAGTTATTAATAGTTATTGTAAGGACAGGATTTATGTTTATACATATTGTTTATGAGTTTATGCAAAATTATGAAAGCAAGAAATGTTGACGATTCGTTTAATTCTGAGTTTTTTTTCACATATATGAGAATATTTCGTGGTTTAAGAAATATTTAGCTTATTTTGCATATTTTGGAATATTTTATATATTGTAAAAAAAAAATTTTAATTTTAATAATACGGTAGGTACCAGGTAAAATATATTTTGAACATTTACAATTGTTTTTTTTTCATTTTAATAAAAAGGTTCAGTGTATACCTATTATAAGTTATTATATGTGGGCTCAGCAATTCTCTTAAAATTGATAACAAAAAAAAATAAATTATTAGATCAGATTGATCATTTAAACCTAAAATTACGAGACCATTACCATAATGATAATTATATTTTATGTTTAATACGTTTTGGTGGATGTAGGTGAACTTAGAAAATAACGAGAAAACTAAATGAACTAAATATAATAAAACTTTATACCTTTTTTTTGAAATCAAAATTATTAAATATAGAGAGTCGAAAAAAAAAGTTCTCAGAATCGGGTTGTAGATAGGTACCTATAATAATAACGATATTAAGTTATTAACTTAATATTTTTATGAAGGAGAACTCTAAAATTTTAATTTTATCATTAATTTCAGGGATAAGGACTACATATATTTAAATTAGAATTCAAGTTTTATATTTTGATGAAAAATAAAAATTTAGCACTTTCCAATTCTGTTAGGTTAGGTTAGGTTAGGTTAGGTATATTATCTTAGTTCGTGATACAGACTGACACACAAGCTGATATTAAAAAATTATTTGGAATAATTTACATTTTTTTTGGTTGGTATGAGATATTATTTTTTGTTTTTTCTGCTTCTGACCCAATATAAATTACCGTTCACTAAACATAATAGATAACCTGCAATGCTGCAGTTGTTTTCATACTGAGAATAATATCAACATATTTGTTTATCATTAATCATTATCAACCATTCAAGTGTCCTAATATTTTCTTTTGCACTTTTCCAATCACGTGTAATGTGATTTAAGTTTTTAAATTAAGTTACCCTTATTATTATGTTCATATTATATTTCTACTCTTACTTAAGTGCACTATTATTCTATTTTAATATGTATGTATCACTAATATTATTTAAGGAATGTTGTAAAAAAAAAAAAATTGTACGTTAAAGCATATATTGATGTTCATTGATAATTTTTGCATATTTTTCAAACTTCTAAGAGAATATAATTTACCTATTAATAATATACCTATCTGCTTTTTTGATATCGAATTATTACTTAATACCTAGCTATGTACAATTGATTCCGATACAAGATCACTACCTACAATAGGAGGCAATTCGAGTTAATGATATTTTTGAAATCTGGAGGTAATTCGAGTAAACTTTTAAAAAAAATTATTCACCGGCGGCAATTCGAGAGTCAGGTAGGAAGTAATTCGTGTGCGCCCCATAATTTAGGTCTTAGGTGTTTTAAGAGAATATAAATCCGGTCTTTAGTTATTAGTAATAACTTATTACTAACAAATTTACGGAGGTACGACGCCCTCTTAACATTCTAACAGCGCTGTCCTATCACCCCATGAACTTTTTTTTTATGCTTTTGTTTGAAGTTCCTTGGTAGTTTCACTTTTTTCAGAAAAAAAAAAGGTAGTGCATAGTTGGTTTTAATTTTTAGTCATGTTAATTATTATCATACAAGTAAAATATGTTAAGTAAATACTATAGTTATAGTAATTATCTATAGATAATGCATAATTAATATTATTAAAAAAAGGTGCCAATGGACTATCATATTTCAGTCCTTTATATTCCGATATCTATGTTATAAACGCGATCATCGGCATATTAATATATTATCAATAGTATTAATAGTTATGCAGCTTTTAGCTATGCTATTATAAAACTTTTTATATTGATACACATGCTTAATTGCTTTAATAATTTTAATAATTTCATGTTTTAGATTCTGAGTGGAGCGAAGAAGCTTATAGTTTTACACTGGTGTGTTCCTTGCTGCTCTAAAAATTTGTTCTATTACTTCTCTCCTTATATCTGGTGATCCTCTCTAAATTATCTCTAATTACCGCCCAATTACCATCCTTTTTCATCTTTCTAAGTTTTTTGAATAGATCATTTTAAACTCTATATATCTCCCTCTCAATGTTGATAAAACCACATGGATTTCGTCCCGGCTCTTCTACTACAACATGTAACTTAGTGTTGAATACTTATATTTATGACTCTTTTCGTGATCGCCAACAAGTTGATGTACTTTATACACGTTTTTCCTAAGCGTTCGATCTCGTGGACCACTCTCTCATTATCAAAAATTTAAACCGTCTTGGTATCGGCGATCCGTTACTTCTTTGGCTTTACTCTTATCTATCTCACCGTCATTTCTATGTCTCTGTTCTTGGTTCGTCTTCAACTAAATTTGTTCCTTCTTCCGGCGTGCCCCAAGGAGCTGTACTTTCCCCTCTCCTTTTTGCCCTCTTTGTTAATTCAGCTCCTCTGTTCTTCGTCATTCCAACTTCTAAAATTTGCTGATGACCTAAAATTGTACCTCCGAATTAATTCTATTAATGATTGTTTTCTTCAACAGAATTTTACCAATTTAGTATTGTGGGTTGAGTCTCTCGGTTTTTCCTTAAGATTTTTCCTTTTTCCGTACCCACTCTCATATGTATTTTCCTTACGCCATTCATAATATCCCTATTTTACAGTCAAGAAAATCTATTCGTAACCTAGGTTTTACGTTCACTCGTGACCTTTTCTCTACGATGCACATCGAGGATATTTGCTGCAGAGCACTTAAGATTCTTGTTTTGCCCTTCGGTCCTCTGCTGCGTTCTAACTTTTATCCCCCCCCTCAATTCCCTCTACTGTATTCTGGTTTGTCCTCTGCGCGAATACGGCAGTGGTATTTGGGACCCCTCTACCGCTTGTGCCAGTGCTTCTGTTGAACGTATCCAGAGAAAATTCTTCCGCATTGTAGCTTATAGTCTTAATATTTCTCATCCTCCTCATGGTTACACACCTGTTATTCGTGCCCTGAATATTTCTTCATTAATTGACCATCAGTATGTTTCTAATCTCTCCTTTTCGCCAAAATCGATTCTCCTTTTCTCTTATCTCTAATGAATTTCCTCGCCCTATCTCGTACCACTCGCTGTTCTGTCCCCTTCCACATTCCTAGATCCTCCTCTAATTACCTTAACAATTCTCCTCTTTTCCATTTCATATGTGTAGTAAATATTGACACCTTCTTTTCCTTATAATCATATTTATTAATATTGTTATTTTGTTAGATGTGTAAGTTTATATAAAATTTTATTAAACAGTATGAGAAGTTCTAAAAAAGACTTGGATAATGAAGCTTTGATAGGAAAAAATCTGGATGAAGTCAGTAATTGGCTTGTGCAATGGAGAATGGCACATAATGGAGAAGGACTAAGGATAAGTAGAAGTAAAACAGAGTATATGTTTGAAGGAATAGGGTAAGATAATTGAGCGAAAACAAGAGGTTATAGACTAGGTGAGTGTTTTAAGTACCTGGGATCTTTTGTACAAAAGAACAATGGCTTTCATGAAGATGTGAAATATAGTATTAAGTGTGGTTTCACAATTTCAGGTCACTTCAAATACCTTTCACTGAATTACAAAAAAAAAAAAAAAAAAAATCAAAATCAATCTTAACAGACATTTTTGTTCCGTAACTATTTCCGTTTTTTCCTGTTTTCCAACATTATAATGAAAAGTATAAAGTCTAACGCAGCAATTAGAAAAACCATTTTTCTACCAAAAACCATCACTGATGTTGATAATTGGAGTAAGATTTCTGGGGTGAAAAGATGTTAAAAATGATTATTAGTCTTCTTATTAATTTTAAATTTTAATTTATCTCCGTTTAAAGAAAAATAGCTCTTCAAAGGGAGGGTAAACTCCCTCAAATGTGTCACTGAAAACTGCTCAGTAAACAGGATTTTTGAAGCAAAACTTATGTAAATCTGACAAAAAAAAATTATTGAGTGTCAAATTAATTTTGTGTTTCTTTATAGACTACGACTTATCATTATTTCTTTTTTTTTTTTCACAGATTTATCAAATTCAAAATATTCATCTAATCGACGTAATGGAAAACCTATTTCTGTTCAGCCTCAAAGAGTTGAAACTAACCGTAATGCTGGTTTTAAAAAAAATTCAAATAACTTTAAGCAGCCACAACCTCGAGCTAGTCTCTTTTGTAGAAAGAAGGGTTCCGAGGTTTGTATAAAACGTAGATAAAATTTAATTTTGACCTTTAAGTAGCCAATATAAGTAGATACTTTTTATCACTTATTAGTTACAATATTCATGAATGAGTAAAAAATATAATGCAAACACAAGTGAAGCATTTGATGGTAAGATCATTTTTATAAAATTAATTTCTATCAATAATTTTTAGGTAACTGAATCATTAAATGATGCTGAAGAAGATGATATTTTGCCTTTACTAAGGCACAGGGAAAATACTAAAACATGGAATATACGTACTAGTTATGGATCCAGGAAAAAAGAATTGCCTCATAAATTCAATGTGAAACACTTTTTAATTGCAAAGTAATTGTATATAATGTAAATACCAATATTATATACTAATAAATCATTTTGTGTAAATAGCTGTCAATTTGTAGTCAAATTTGGAATAGATTATACTCAATGGATGTGTGATCAGGATGAGATTGTTCATTGGGACTGTATTGAACAAATAGTAAGTTAAGTTGGATTAATATAGTTTTAGTTAATTATGGATCATAGTTTTGTAAAATAATGTTGTATATCTATTGTTTAATATATAATTGTTTAAACAATGACAATAATATGCTTTTTAAATTTATTTCAGAAAATGTTTTCCACCCAATTTATAAAGTGTCCTATTTGTATGGACATACCAATAACACCAAAAATGACCCGTTGTGGTCATATCTATTGTTGGCCTTGTATTTTACGATATTTGGATATAAATAATGAACTAGATGTTGCAGGCTGTCCAATATGCCATGCTAGTATATTAAAAAAGGAATTACAAAGGTATATTTAATGAATATAAATAATGTATATACTAACCAAAGTATTGAGTATTGCATAAATACATGTGTTATGTAATAATTATTTTTGGTAAAGTAGCATCTATAATATATATTATCAACAATCTCAGTTGAATGTTGTATAAAACTATATTTAAATATATTATAGTACATTTATTATAACTTCTTCCTTATTTATATCTTTCATGCTCCTATAACATTGCCAAGTATACCTTTAAAGTTCCTTCTTGTGAAACACGAAACTAAGTTTTATTAATGCTCTCTACAATGTTAATAATATTGTGCTAATAGTATTTAATCATAGATTAGTTGGTTACTTTATGTTAAATATAATAAACAAATATAAATTAAAATTATGATCTACATTTTTAACAATAATCTATTTATTTATTTATCTTTTGGAAAATTTAGATACCTCAACTATTATGATTTTACATGATAAACATATGTTGTTAAGCATAGTTAATTATTGTTAACAGTCCCTGACAGAAACTTGACAATTAGAGTGTTATCTATACTGAAAGAATATGAAAAAATTCAAAATAATATCATAGAATAATGTATTGTAATATATTGAGAAAGCAAATTTAAATTATTTGTTGTTTTTCTTTTTTTTTTTAAGTGTGGAAATAATTATCAAAGAAGAATGCTGTGTTGGACAACCTATCACGTTGCAGTTAATGAAGCGTGCTAGACATTCTTTACAAGTGTACCCGATTTCTGAACTCAGACAAAATGTTTATGAACCATTAGATAATATTCCTTTGTCACTTAGTGAAGTTAATTTTTCTACTGCATATTCCAGACTGCTTGTTGGTGATAAAAATCTAGTTAGTATTAAAAATTTTAAAGTATAAGCAAATATTACTTTAATAATGCTCAATTTTAATTTTAGGTTTTAAATATATTAAACAAAGAAAGGGAAGAACTAGTACTACTTTTAGACCACTGGGAAACTGAAGATGTTGAAAAGAAATATATATTTGAAGCTCTTGAGTTATTGTCAACAAGAGAAAATGTTTTAATGAATGAAGAACCAGTAAGTGTATAACATTTAACATTATAACATTGTTTTTCTCATTTTGAACTGTAGCATGGGGAGGGGGGTTTGTGTTGCATTACTTCTTTCCCCCCCCTGCCCCCAATAAATTTAATAGTAGATCTATCAGTTGCACGAATAATATGACAAATTATTAATTAAATTGTCATTATATAGTGTAATATTGTGCACGGGGAAAGGTTGTGTGAGACAATTAGTCCTAATAATTGCTTTTAAAATAATTAATAATTATTTGTATTTAAGATTTATTAATTTCAATGTATATTTTTTCTTTTAAGAATATGGATGTTAAAGAAATAGAATGTGAATCAGTGAATTCTATATTAAGTACCAGTTTAGGATCATGTCCAGTAATTTTAATATTGCTACCAAAAAATAAAGATTTAAACTAAATAAAAATTTTTATTTTGTAGTTATACTTACAGAACTTTTTTGAAGTTCCTGGATGTTCTTACAGTGCTTCTAGTGTTTTAGATGAAAATCCAAGTTTACACAGTTCACAATTAAAGTAAGAATATACAAAACTTAATGTATTTTAACAATAACAGTAATGCAGTAATGATTATTATTTTAACATGGTCAAGATGCACTATTTTTAATATATATACCTTGGTACTGGTCAAAATTAAGTTTTTTTTTTCTAGGACAATTTTTTTTAGTGGATATGAAATATAAGAACTATAATAAGATTTAGATTTTACATTCATATACAATAAAATACACTGGGAAACGCTGATGAAAAAAATAGACTAAAACTTAATAATGCTAATCAAATTAAAATAAATGTAGAAATCACACCTTGCGGTAATTATTTCTACATGCGAATAAACAAAATGATGTAAAAACACAGTGAACGTATTAATAAACAGATGCATTAATCAGAATTTCCATTATTTGATATTTATTTATTTATTGCTGTCAACCATTTTAATATAAATATAAATTTAAATGGTGTTCCATGATTACCTGCCATTTGAAATAACTTGTTCTATTCAATATTTTCTTTATATATTTTTTCTTTAAATAATTAGTATGCCTCTATGCTACTGTTAATATTTGAAAACTATTTATTAGGAAAGTACTTAAAATTTTTTTAAAAAAATTAAAAATAGCCATTTTGTAAAATTCATTTTTAGAAAATTTTTGATGGTTGAAACTTTTGTTAAGTATGGTTTTTTATTTTCTGAGATTTGTTGGAAATTTTTGCAAATGTGAATATTACCTATTGCGGTTATTCTATTACAATATTTAATCAGTTATTAGTCAGGGCCACAAATTAAGAAAGAACTGGACTAGTAAAAAATAGGTTGGCTGGGTGGTGGTGTTGATCATCAAATGTTTTCAATTCAAAAGTATAAGGTACAAGTATTTCGGTTTTTTAAACAACTGAGAAAATCAAAAAATGACCTCCCTATTGTACCTCCATAGTAAAAATTCCTTTTAGAAACATTGCTATCATTAAAAGTTTTAGCAAAAGTGCTGGCATAAAAATTATCCACAGAATAAAAAAACGTAAATTATATTTCATAAATTTTCCCATTTTTTTTTTTTCAGTTTTTTCAAATTTGATAAGAAAACTTTAAAAAAAATCAAAAAATGACCTTCTTAAGACCTCCCCACGCTGATTTGAAATGAGTGGTATATAATAATATATATAATAACATAATAAATTAATATAAGAAAATAAGTCTTAAGTTTTTGTATACTAAATAACGATTTGTACAAATTTTAGCTTAATTATACATCTCTTAAATAAAGCAGCTATGAAAAAGTACAGATCAATGTTTAAAGATTTACATAATTTGGTACATTTACAATTGTACTTTGTTGTCCTAATACAGTATTGGATTTATACAAATTAAGGTTAGAAGAAATTATATTTCTAGTAAGAAATTTATGTTAAGTCTCACATAATGTTTATATTCATACATAGTAAATAAAAAGTTCTTTTAGTATAGTTTATAGATAATAAATACATTCAATTCTAAATGACTGAAGATAAAGTCTTGATTTGCACAGGATTAATTTTATAAAACTAATTAAAGTGATAATTCAATGTTTTAAATGTGAATAGGTGCCACCCCAGAATATAATGCCATATGAGATAATAGACAGGAATATATATTGACAAATATACTGTTCTAATTAATTTTATTTATTTATTATATTACAACTTATTAACAATTTAAATTGATATTGTAATTTCCTAATAATTTGGACTAAATATAGAATATGGTGATATAATTTAATAGATTTGTAAATGATTATACCAAGATATTTTATCTATATGGTTAATAATAGTACAATTACAGGGTTCTAAACCTAACTTGCAATATTATAAGAATGAGCATGTATGTTTTTGTCGTTTATCAACATTTATATTGATATAATTAGACTTTTAGGTTTAAATTAAGCATATAACATTAACTACTGTATTATCCACTATCTTATTATAATTTTAGTGGCTGTAATATGATTTAATTTTTTTACATTCCATAAAAGAAATAATGAAAATTATTACAAAATTCTGTTACCGCATGGTGATAAGTTGAATTCAATTCAACTTTTTGGTATCATTGGTATGGACAGTATACCATCAATACAAACGAGGTAGTACCTAGTATCAATTAAATCATTGGGCTAATCAGAATAAGTAGATTAATACACACTGCACAGGACACGGTACATGGTATAATGAAAATTCGGCTTTAGTAATTAGTTATTCATTTTGGTTTAACAAAGACGTTTATTTTTATTGTATTTTTTTATACTATGTAAAGAAATTCTACCAGAAAACTTTTTCCAATATATATAGAGTATAACATTTTTTGAAAGCAAATTTTCCCAGGGTGGCACTTTGGGAAGGTCATTGGTTGATTTTCACAGTAGTTATTTCAATAAATGGAAAAATAAATACAATATTAAACAAATATTTTTAAAGAAAGTATATAATGCATATGTAATTATTTTACCATAATGTTACTCATACCGGGTGATTTTTTATGTTGTTAAATTTTCATTATTTCCAAAAGTATTGACTATTTTTGGAATTTATTTTTGTGGGTGAAATGACTACCTACTCTTGATTCTGAAGACAACCTTAAGAAGGATGTCTCAAATAGATGGAGAATTAGTTAAAATACATTTTTGGTGTTAACATTTTTGATGTCAGTCATTACATTTAAGAGATAATCTACTTTTATGTTTGATTTGGAGGAGACCTAGTGGTGCATTATTAAAACGCCGCGTGCTATACCACCCCTCAAATGATTCTCACTATTCTCTTCCGACCCAAATTTAAAAGTGAAATATCTTGTCAACAGATTGACGGAAATTAAAAATGTCAACACCAAAATGTATTTTATTTACTATTCATTTAATTTATTTATAGCATTTTTAATATAGTTCACTATATGAAAATCAAAATTAAATAGTTGTTCTATACCCAAAAATTAGGGTGACAAAAAATAATTATAATTTAAAATTGTAGAGCTACTTTTAATTCTTAAATTTTTTATAACACAGATTCCTAAAAAAAAAAAATACTTTTCTTGACAATGAGTGTTTACAATAAAGTAATCAACGGTATATTATTGACAAAGCAACACTATTAACTAATTCTGCTCAGAATCGTTTATTTGTTAGCAATTGTTAATTCTTGCGTTCAGATATACATTAAATATCCCCTCTACCCTCCCCACTTTTTAATTTTTAGATCCCCAAAAATTGTGTAAAATTAATTTCTTGTTCAGATATACTCTTAACAAAATATTTTTATTTAATTATTTAGGACAGGGTCATTATAATATAGGTTGCTATCTGAAAATCAAGAGGATAGTGGTTTAATCCTCAAAATAAGGATGTCAAAAAATACTGGTGTATAATATTTTTCAACTACATGTTTCTCAAATTGTCAAAAAAAAAAAAGTTTTTGAGAATAATATTTTTGTTTATTATTTTTTTTAGTAAAATCAACTTAACCTCAACCAATGTTCAAGATGTATTACAAAACAAGCAAGTTAAAAAAGATTTTTATTTTTATCAAGGTAAATTTTTAGTTTATTTAAAATATATTTTATTTGATATTTTTAATTGTTTTATTAATTTCAATAGCAATGGATGGACAGCATATATATTTATCAGCAGTTAATATAGAAATGTTGGAAAGTATGTTTGGTAGCCTTGAAAATTGTCCACTACAGATAGAAGCTATTGTAATAGAAAAACAATACTTATCAATGACAGAAACATTAAGAAAGCGTTATAGATTTCTATTACATTTACCTATAACAACTGTTTTTGAATGGGTCGAGATAGATTTGACTAATATAGTTAATCAAGAAACCTTATTTATATTTAAAAGTAATTAGTTATAATAAGAATGGTTTGGTTATTAATCAATAAATAATAATATTTATAAAAGACAATTTTTTCCTAACCTATTTATTTCTTATGGATGTCAAAATATTGATGTCGTTTAAACTTATTTATTTTTCACAAGTATTATTACTGTTAAATAATTTCATTCACTTAGTTATAATTTATAAAAATAAAAAGTTACTATTGAGAACTAAAAACAAAATTTTAAATTACTTAGGCAATTTGGACGAAAGAAAAGCTAAAAGGGATAGACGTGCTCGTGATGAACAACGCCTTGCTAAACGCATTGAAGAAAAAAATAACCTTGGAAATAAAAAAATGCAGTCACCACCTCCAGAATGGCATAACAGGAATTTATTTCCAGAATGTGGTTATGACCCATTTGCTGATAAGAGGTACTATTATTTATTTTTACCATGATTATATAGAACAGGTTATGCAACACGGGCGGAATTTGCACTCAGAACTTATTAGGGTTGTGTTGTTCCATTATCCCTCAATCACTGTATGCTGAAAATGATGCATTTAGAATTTTCTGAAACTATTATTTTATAAGTTAAACACTAAACTGTAGTTATTTATGTCACTATACATAATACGCAGAACAAACAATTGTGAATCTTCTTTGCGTGCCAGTCAGTGACATTTAAATTCCTTTTTTTGTCCTAATAATCAGCAGTTTAAATTTTATTGTCTTCTTATAACAGATGGCTAAACTAGACATTCAATGTACTTTTGAGCAAGCGCCCCGTTTTGTGCCTATTAATTTATATTTGTTTCTTGTTATACATTTTTTCCTGGTATCCTCACAGTGTACTTTATATGTAATAGCACATTCTAGTTTCATTTCTAAATATTTAGGGTTATCCACATGATTGTGAGTGTAAGATACTTACTGTGCACAAATTATAGTAATTTGAAGTTTTCAATATTTAAGGTAAGTATTCTTCTTTCAAAATAAGCAGTTTTTTCTTCGTCACCTTTAGTAGTCAACCAAGTTTCACACACATTATAAATAAATACAAATTACCCTACATTTTTATTATTTAGCTATAATTGTGATAGAAAAGATTTACAAATTAGTTATCAGAATAACATTTTTTTTCATTGATTGACTTTGACTTTTGGATATTTAGGTCTTGGGAATATGCAAGGTATAATATCCCTATTCAACTTTATAAAACTTAGATTCATTATTATTATTGATATTTGCTGCAACTATAATTATTAAAATATACATTCCAACATTTTTGGTTAAATTAAGGTTGGAGCAGCAACCGGTATAGCTTTCACTTATTTAACTTATAGAATTTTTTGGGGATTTGATCTGTATCCCGATTTACAGTACACGACAACATGTTTATAATAGCATGTTTTACAATTTCATAATAAAGATCTGATTACCTATAAAGAATTTTAAATTTATAATAAATGATTATATTTGTGAATAAATGTAATATATTCCAGCTATCTATCTAAACTACTAGATAGCATGTTTGACTAGTAGCACTGACTTAGTGGAGACCATTAACAGTAATGAGTTATGACCGGGCAGTCACGTATAAATCATATTATCTACGGCTAACCTGTTTTATAATCATGATTTCTGCTTTACTTTTTTATGATGTACCTAATGTATATTTTATATTTTTATAGTATGATTCCTTTGACTGAATCAATTGGAATAACTCGGGAGTCATCTGCTGTGAATACTTCTAATAGTTCACCTAATAGTTTATCATTTGCAAAGGTACATATTATATGATATTTTATAATATAATTCTTTTAAATATATTTATATGAATGTTGTTTATTTGTTTCAAAATTAATACTTTTGTTCTAGGCATTATTGAATGAGAACCCGTCAATTAATTGTTCTTCAGATAGAGTTTTAACAAATGCTTCTTCTCAGTGGCCAGTACTTGGTTCTAGACCAAATTCTATGTCTATGAATGATGTATTGGAAGACGCTATTGCGAACATAAATTTACATGGTACATTTTTTAAATTGTTATATTATTTTTCATAGTAGATAGTCTGATTATCATTAAATTTGATAATATGCCAATCAATTAATAATACAAACTGATATGATAAAATATGTGTTAAGGTCCTCACACACAACTGTAGCAGTCGCTGTGGTTTGTATTCTTCTGATTAACAAAACGTACATTTTTTTTTCTGATAATCAAAATTATAATTATAACTTAAACAGTAATTAAGCTATGAGCTCCACATTAGTCTCCACTATTTCTTTTTATAGTTTATTAAATTATATTATTTTTTCATTATTTATGCGTTGGGTTTCTCTTCATTATATCTGTTGGAAAATCCTATAAAATACAAACTAGTTACCAACATTAATTAATATTAATATAATACAAACTCGAGTATTTTAATGTGCCCTATGCCCTTGCCTCTGTCAGCAAAATATGAATATATGGCCTGTGACTCCTTGTGCCATGCCTTGTACTTATATATTGTCTGGCTGTCATTACGTGGGGTTAAAATTGATCATGGAATAATTTTATTTACGTTATTTTACTGCATTATCCATCACAGTTTTCACTGTGGTCATGTGTAGGCTTATTATTAAATATATGTGTACCATTATATTACCACTACTATTTTTACTTGTGCGGACCTTTAACATAATATGTACCAATGTATATGAATGTAAAACAAATTTGTTAAAATTAAAATCTAATATACAGGTGTCCAACCATTGTGATATCTCGGAAAGTATTAACTTTTTTTTCACACTATTTTCATAAGTGAAAGACTTGATTTTCATTAGGCAATATTCATAAAAGAAATGGTGTTAAAATGTTTGATTTCCCTGAATCTATTGATAAGATATTGTAATTTTTATATTGAATACCTGGATAGTAGTAATTCACCACATAAATAATGTTCCATTAATTTTTCACTACCCAAAATTTAAAGTGGAATCTCATCAATGGGTTGACAAAAATTAAAAGTAGGTCCTCAAAAACGTTTTATCCCCCTCCCCTCCAAAAAAAAAAAAAATAAGGGTAACAAAAACTTATGCCCTTATAACATTTTAGAGCTGCCTGTTTTTTAAATTGTCTATACAAATTTTACTTTCCTAGATATTGTAATGTAGAGATGAGACTAGTCGTTCAATAAACGATTTTGTTCATTTGTATATGTTCAACTACATATAATTTATTTAATTTATGATTATATTTTTCTTCTTTGATTTTAACACCTTTAGTTACAACATGGTTTTATAAGTCACTTCTCCTGTACATTCAAAGTCAACTTGTCCAAACTTTAAATCGTTCTAATACAAAAACTAATATATTTAAGGTTAACTATCGATTTTGAATCCTTCACTTGGGTGAACAGTTTATTTGAACTAGTTTATTCACATCTCTATTGCCAGTAGGTATATCTTTATAGGACACTTCACTTATTAGACAAACGTGAGTGTGTGTATGACAAAAATATGCAGGGGTAAGATTCACAAATTAGGGTATCTTATTAATATGTGGCAGAATTTACCATGTTGCACTTGTAAGGGTATAATGTTGTGTATTTAGGCTACTTTAAATGATATAAAATTGTATTAATTAGCTGATCAGTAGTTAAATTAATGAAATGTGGTTACACCCATTGTTTATTTTTTGTTATCCATATATTAATTAACAACAAAATCTTTATAATTGCAGATGGTATCAAGAAATCAAAAAATAAGAAAAAAAAACGTAGCAAATATGAACCAATATTTTGAAATTATACATTATTTAAACTTACGCATAAATATTGCATAATTATATTAGTTTCATTTAGATATTTATAATTGCTGATTAAAAGTTTTATAGTAAGTAAACTTAATAATAAAAAAGGAACTTAAAATTAATATTGTTTAGTTTTCATTTCTTCTATGTTATAATGTTATTTATTATGTTAACTCTGTTAAAATATATTAATTTAATCTATAATGTCTAAATCAATTTAAACAAAAATATTTAAAAATATAATATATTGTGAACGCCATACAATTTTAAATTTAATTACTTGTACCATTACAGGTTCTGGAAGGGAGTTTATAAAACAATTGAAATTTATTTTATTATTTATAGGTTTTACAATTTTTATTATTGTTTTTGTTTATCTGTGAATAACTTTTATACCAAAAATTTTACTTCAATTTTCAAGTCTAACAATTTTTCTGAAAGAAAATCTGACTAAGGGAGGTCATTTATTGATTTTCCAAGGAATTTTTATAACAAATGAGAAATACTGAGAAAAAATAGGAAGATGTACTAAATGTATTATTTTCAAATGGTAAATATCATGACCTTTCAAAACATCTATAACTGAATTCCTCTCAGAATTTGTTATTAATAGCAATGATTAATCTTTGCCTTACATATATATATATTAAATTTCCTCTACCTTTCCAACTTTCCTCACCTATAACATTGGCTTACCCATCTTACAAAGTAAGGCCACTTATTTTTTAGTTTTCATTGGTCATTTAAGATTACACTGTTTACCAGACACTCTACCATCTAATTCTAACCTCTTGTTATTTCTTGCCAATAACTATTTATTTGGTCCCACTGCCTCCACATACTTTTTTAAGCAGTCCTCAAACCTTAACCGTAGTTTCCCAAGAAGAGGTCTCCCTGTTTACTGGGTTTTTCTCAATTTCCATTTTTATCAGAAAATCATATGTTAGTAATTAATAAATTATTTAGTTAAATTTGTCAACAAAATGTTTAACCAAACTCCCTAAACAATTATTTTTAATTTACAATATGATTTATCATTGCTGTCACTATTTATTTACAAATTTTTAATTACCTACGAAGATAAAAGTTATTAAAACTGTTATATTATGTTATGTAAAAAATTACACATAATAATTAGTCTTAAAATGTTAATGAGATTCTTAATTATTTTACATTATTATGGTTTACAAGAAATAGTGCTTAAACATTTTGCATTTTATTTTTAGTTATTTAATACTCATGTTGGGTGAGTAGGTTAATTCAAATATGTTGGTTTCACAATGATTTTATGAATTCAGTGTCACTAGTGACTCCTTTAATGATTTTCATATTCAATGTGGTTCTGAATCGGTAGCAATGGAATTACAATTGGATACCATAACAAAAAATGCTAATGATGGATAGGCCTCTTGGTTGGTAAAACTTTCTAATTACCCAGTATTACAATATATTGACATTGTTAATAAATCATCAAACTTCCAGATTACAGTTATTGTAATTTGTAAAAATATGATATAATTTATTTACCAAAAATAAGATGCAAATAAAAATAGAATTACTCTTTATTGTACTATTATATTCTTAATAATATTTTTACACAGTATTATTTAATGAAACAAAGTAAAAAAATAAAAAACTTAAGGTTATTTTTTTCTATCATCAAAACAATTTATAAATGTTCAATGTCTGAGGATGGTCCTCTATAGAAACGTTTTAATTCTTCTTTACAATTAGTATAACGCTCCTTATGCTGATAATTGTCAAAGTGTATTCGCATTGATTTGTTGTTAGAAAATGATAAGTGACATAATGGACAATATAGTTCATCCGTGTAGGACTCAGCAGAAAAGTGGTTCTTGCTAAAGCTAAAATAAAATTTGTATACATATATATTATTTTTACATTTTTATATTAACTATTTTTATATACATTTCTTCTAATCTCTTGATTTTATACAAGTTATGTAGTATTTCTTTACACTCTGTAGAAGACATAGATGGTGATAAAACAACTCCCCATAAAAGTTTATAAACATCAGAACCATCCATTGGATTTTTCATAGGACTGTCTTCTTGATATGGTGACTGTAATCTAGATTTTGGGATAATTCCCCATACATACTTTTTTGGCACAATCTCTTGTACTTTAAATTTTACAGGAATGCTAAATATTCTACATAAAACAAGTTTAAATTCAGTGAACAACTCAATTTAATCATAATAATGTAAATTTAAAATAACATACTCTATCAAAGAATTTTGTAAACTATGTTGTATTTGAAAAATATCACCAGGTCCTTCTTTATCTTCTGGGTTAACACATTTATTTAACAGTAATCTTAAAACATTTATCTAATGTGAAAAATAAAAACAATTAATGTGAAAACTTAAAATTAAAAATGCTATATTCAAATTCACTTTATTCAACAAATTATGATCCACTGCAATATCAAATGTTAATTCAATATCATTGTCTTCAAACAATGGTCTTAAAGTGTCTGGATTATAGCCTAATCCACAAATTGCACCTATCATTTTTGTATAAGAACTATTATACCTGTAAATAAAAATATACTTGTTAAATTTATAAAATTGTCCTTATTGGCAATTAGTCTTAAGTTTCGATGATTGGTGATAACTAATAAATAATAATGTGGTAGATTAGTATTATTATAGACCGATAAAGAGATAAATGGATTCGATTTTCATCAGACTTTTCAAATTATAGTTTTCTATGTTTGTTTAATCTTTTTTTCTTTTTTTTTTAAACGCAAACCCTAATTATTTAATTTAAATGGAACATACCTGATTTCTACACATGGCGAAAACATGAGACAAAGTATAGAAGGTATTCCAGGAATATTCGGCATCATAGTTGAATCCCAAAGGGTTAGTTTTTGATTTTCATTCATACACACTTTGCCAGCAACTAACAATCTAGTCATAAAATGTTTATTATAAAATATAAATAATTCATACATTGAACTAAGGACACAGGTCTCCTTGCCTTTCATGATAATCATTTGGATCAGTATCTAATAAAACTGAATTAACAGACTGACTTTCTATTTTCACCGCCTTATTAAGACTATTACAACTGAATCCACGAATTGACCTTATAAGTGGACTAGATGGTCCTTTTAAACAATGCTAAATTTTAAAAATAAAACTATGAATTAATTATTATTTGATTGGAATTTTATAAACATTAAAAGTAGAAAAATAAAATATTGTAGTATATATATATAAAAATACAAAAGTTATATATAAAAATAAAAAATTAATGTTTCGCCTGGAGTATTATAAGTGTATTATACGACCAGTTTCAAATTAAAAATTAAATGAAGGAATACATAGTAAAAATTATACAAATTGGTAATTTTACATAGAAATAATTTATTTTAATAGGAGAGATTATTTAAAATTGGTTTTTAATAAACAAAGATATGTTAAAAAATATAAATTATTTGGATATTATTTATTATCTAAAATATATTGATATAAGATATTATTTTTAAAATTGGTTTGTACATTTTTGTAAAATATTATTAAAATTCTTTTAAAACTGAATTAAAGTATTTTAGTAAATAGTAATATGCTTGGTAATATGTTAGTAAAATAGTATAATAACATAAGAAAAAATAAAAATATTAAGACAAATTAAATAGGCAATACACATCAATTCAAATACAAATCAAATTAAATTAAATGAGGGGCTGTCATTGGCAAGTTTCATCATAATGCGGCTTTTATAGGCTCATTTCTTTGGTGGTATGAAGAGGGATGAAAAATGGGTTTGGATTGCGAGTGCTTCGGGCTGGTATTTTAAAGTTAATAAAAGAGGAGAGTGGGAGAATTTACAGCACCAGATAAAAGTCTAGTGAAGCTCATTTTATGGAATTTAGATAAATTAAGTTCTAAATAAAATGTATTAACCTATAATGAGAAACTTTCAAGATTATCCTGGGGCCATAAGCATAAAATGTTAGAGCTTTGGAGGAAGGTGCGAATACTATTTATAAATAAAAAGTAATAAAAGTGAAAAATGACCTTGTGGTACTCCAGAGACTGCATAGAAAACTTAGGAGTTAGAAAAGAAAAGCTTGACCCATTAAGGTTTGTTATCTAAGAGGAACCAAACCAAGATAAAAGTGGATAACCTATTCCCGACAAACATAGTATATCTATTAGAATGGCATAATTTACCGAATCAAAAACTTTAGAAAAATCTGTATAAATAGTATCAATCTGAGCACTGTATTTGAAAGCATTAAATATAAAGTAATAGAAAGTTAAGGTATATGTAATAGTTGAGCGGCCAGGTTAAGTTAATCAACAATAAATGGCTCAAACATTTTGGTGATGTGAGAAAGAATAAAAATTTGATTTAACAGAAGACATAAAGTTCTTATATTTACACAATTGACTTTGGGGAGGAAAGTAGACACCACCAATAAGGAAATTAGAAGAGCCGAGAGAAAATTTAATAAAAATATAATCCAAATTAATTTCAGGATGAGTAATTAAATTAGAGGGTTTCCTTATTCTAATGAGAATTTTAAGAATAGTAATTATAAAAGTTGTTCTTTACAAATTACAATAAAAATAGTAGTTTGGTACTATTTTTTCTATTATTTAGTTGTCAAAAAATAAAAAAAAAATATCAAATTTTTAAATATTATGGCCTTTTAAAACATGTATAATCAAACTTCAATTTAAATAGTTTTTTCGCAATGATTTAACGCTGCATGTCTATTAAATTTAAAAATTACATAACTTTATACATGGCTAAATATATTGGTATGATCACAAGTTTGTAATACACAGATACAATGGCCATCACTGGCAGTGATTCCCATTTTATTTTATTCTAGCTGGTAATAAATATTACTGCTAGCTAAGTTTTTTCTCCATAAAAAACTATGGAATAAACAAATGTGATCATACTATATATTTAGTTATGACTATGTATCCTACCTTACCAACTTCCCACCAATTGAAAATCTGAAAATTTTACCAATAAAAGTAGCACACCCAGTATCAGCTCTTTATATATATATATATATATAATAAATAATAAAGAAAAAACAAAATTATTAAATGATTAATCCTATTAAAAAATATATATAAATAAACAAATAAATTAATGTGTTGCCTGAAGTATTATGAAATGTATATTGTATGACTGATTTTGAATTAAAAATTCATATTCAGATAAAATCTGATAATAAATTATATACTTAAATGTTTCTATTGTTTAAACTACAGTCTACAAAACAGAATACCTGTATATGTGATTCATTATATGAAGAACTTTTTAGGTTAAGACACATATTATTAGATTCTGGATTAAGAGCATTACTTGTGGTGCTTGTTTTCTTAATAGTATTAGATCTTTTTACATGATCAATCTAAAAAGTATACAAATGTCATACAATGAACAAATAATAACAATTATCTATTAAGTCAACTGTATTTATAAGGTTAAGTTAATAAATTTAGGGCCAGTCAAGGTAAAAGGGTAAATATGAACATGTTAAAAAACGTTCACAAAATAACTGATAGCAAGAATTTGAAAGTGGTAAATACTGGACATCAGTGTATCTGCTGATTGCATATCATGCAAATATTTTGTTGTTCGCTATTTGAAAATTCTAAGTGAATTATTAATGGATAAATAAAAGCATTAAAATAATTTTTATTAAATCTGTGTTAATTTTAAGTTTAACATTTCTTTTTTCCGTATCTAATTGATGTAAACTAAAATATTTCATTAAGTAATATATGTCTTATATTTTATTAGTTCACATTTCTCCTATGAAATATCTGTCCTGGGGTAAATGTGAACATTCAAATGGTCCCTCATTTTGTTTATATAATTTAATTTTTTTACCTATAATTTATGTAAAAAAAACCACGAAAAAGAAACACTTCTATTTTACAGCTTAGAAACTTTAAAATTACAGTATTAGATGGAGACAATTTTAACAAAACCCTTCATAAGACCGTAATGGGCAAAAATCACTATTAACTACAAGTTAGAACAAAGAAAACAAGAAAGAGGTGCAGATAAGGTAGAAGAGAATTTAACTTATTCTATTTCAAAACTATAACAGATATTCAAATCTTTTTTTACTCCCAATTTTAGCCTTTTTACAAATAGCAAATAAATTGTGAATTAAGCAAAATTACAATGAAAAAATTTTCAGATTTACACTGATTGGCCCAAATTTTTTTATTGATTATAATATAGTATAAATATATAATTCCCAAATATTAAATAAATTCTATACATAAAAGAAATAATAATCTAATTAGTTAATTATACTTAATACATTACAATTACAAATTATAACTATTACTTTTGAAGTAAATGTTTCTTCAGTTTGACTAGCCAAGTTCTTATAAATCAAATTTTCTGGAATTGAATTAAAATTGTTTCCATCAAAATAATATAGATTTTCAAATGATACAACACCATTCACTAAAGAATAAATCTAAAATATTAAAGATTATTAGAATTATAACAAATATTTGACAAAGAATGTAAATTAGTAAACAATAAAATTGATAGTAAAAATATTTATTATTTTAGAAGTTAAGCTTACAGTTCCACGCAATTGTTTTGTATAAATTCCATAATTAATAAACACAGAATTAGCTTTATCAGACCAATTGCTATTAATTTGACCATGTAACATAGGGCGTATTTTAGCGATTTTACATTGGAAAGCTAATGTGGGAAAAGAATAAACTCTTCCTCTGTCATCTTCATTTAGAATACTAAATATATTTTCAATAAGCAAATTTATAATTTCTCCAAAATCTATCAAAAAAAACTGAAAACAAAATATATTAATTTGGTTATTGTGAATAAATACGCCACTCGATAGCAAAATATAACACTTCTTATGGATAGAATCCTGCATTTGGTATATCCCCTAGAACACAGAAAAAAATCTACATATATGTCCATGTCTAGATACATAGATATATATATCTGATACTGTAAAATTTATATACTTATAATTATAGTACGGATACAGTAGTATCCAGGAGACAATAAACATTTTCTATTGGGTGATGTATACACCTATATACCTATATTATCGCTATTATAATTAATTATTTAGTTTATCAATTTATATTTAACAAAAATAATACCTGATATTTTTTTGGTTTACCATTAAGGAATTTAATTAATTTTGCTCTATATTTTTCATTTTTATAAATTACAATATAAAAGTCTCCAATATTTAAATCTTTATGATTAACTTTTTCAAGACTTTTAATAACTTCATTAACAAGATTCCACATTTTTTGTAATTTTTCTTTATTATTTTGATCAACAAGTTGAGCCCAAAAACAACCAACAGATTGAAACTATAAAATAATTTACTAAATTTTAATACTAATAATTTATGATTAATTATAGATAAATTAAAACATATAAAACACCCAGTAATAATTTAAAACCATGGTGTTTTTTTAATCCTCTTAACCCTTAATAAAATACAAGGTATCTGGTAAGTATTTTGTACATGGGTAAACTAATTACCCCAATAAAAAAATAATTTGGTGCTGATTTTAAATATGCATAATCAAATATCACTAAACAACTTAAGAAACACATCATAAAACTGACAAATTATTTGCATGAATAAAAATGCTATCCTAGGATAATGGGTACAGGTGAGCCACTATTGTAGGGGAAAATCGAGATGGTAGGATATAAAAGGGAATTTAATGTACATCTGTAAGCAATGATAAACCATTGCTAACAACGATTCTGAGCATAATTGTAAATACTTTAATATTGTAGTTTTTCCTATTTTTCAAATTTGCTGAGAAAAATCAAAAATTTACTCTCTCCACCCAAGAAAAAAAACTTGATTACAGCACTAAACTGTTAATGAAATTCAGATTTTCTGGACTTATAGTCAAAAAACACCTATTTAGAAATTCAACTTCAACAAAAATGATGAAAAAAAATCAAATAATGACTAAAATTTAATTTTAGTTAGAATTTTTGTTAGTTTAAGTTATATATAAAAAAAATATATTTTTTATTTCTTTACTGCACAGAAATTCTTCAGTTTTTTGTTTTTTGAAATTTTTTTTTTTTTTAAATGTAAGTTTTGATTTTTAATGGTAATAACCCTAGTTAAGTTAAATTAGTTAAATTTACAAGTATTTTTACGTCAGTTTGGTCAAAAACCATTTTATTCAAAAACAACCAGATAAAAAAGCTTTTTTTGAATAACTTCCTTAGCCATAGTATAATATTGAAAGCAATTTAAAAAAAACACTTTACATTATTAACCAATAATCATTAATAATTATAATCAATTTTTTAATAAGTAAAATAAAATATTTTTAGTTTTACTTAAGAATAAATGGTCTAATTAAAGATACAAGAGTCATTATTAAAAACAATAAAAAATAAAATAATATGATACTTGCATATGATACTGTAATGTCAATAGTGGTTTTTGTATTTAGTTCTTCAATAATAGATTTTTGAATTGGAAATTTCTTTTCTATAGATATATTCTGAGAAGCCATTTGTTTGGACATTAATACTACTCTTTTCTCTGCATCTAAAGGCCTATTAATCATAACAGGAAATAGAAAATGCTATTAACATTTGTTATTATTAACTATTTTATGATAGGCTGTACCATTTAATATTTGTTTCAAATAAGTATTTTGTGTAAATTAAAAACCAAAAAGTAAAAATATATCTATACCTTAATTAGTAAACTGTTTATGTAGGTTTGTAATCTTTATATTTTATACAAATTATTTAGTAAGTATTAATATTGTACAATAATAATAAAAATAAATTACTTACTTCAATAAAGGTATATTAAAATCAAATCTTAATTGTTGCATTTTTAAAGCTACATATACCCCAAAGCAAATATTCCCTGGTATCAACAGTTTTCCATTGTTTTCATTATAATCAGAGTTATATGTATTGGTGTTTATAGATTTAGACACTGGAAATTTAATAAATATTTTGCTGCAAGTAAAAAAAATAATAATTGTTTGTATTAAGTTATAACAACAAGAAAAAACGAGTTTATAAATGGTAGCATAAGTGTTGTGCTACAGAAGTGTCTCAAATTTTGTAAAATACACTATAAAAAAAATCGGCTAAGATGAAACCATCTCTTGTAGATGATTAGAGCTAGATTACTGGAAGAAAAGTTCATATAGTAAAAACAATGCATTTTTCAATGTCCTCGCAAATATAGAAAGATGTTATTTTAAAATTATGCTATTTTCAGCAGAAAGTTCATGTATCAAATGCAAGGATAAACATGTAAAAAATAGTTTATTTTATATTTTAATATTATAATTAATGATAAAAGATTTTCATTTAAGTTTATATAGTACTTTGTGAATAAATGTAAAATGTCTATAATTATATAACACAAGTCAGAAAAGGATCAATATTTATTGTCTTACTTTGAATAACCAAAATGAGCAGTAGGTTTTCCAACCAAATTGTGTGGAAACAGATTTTCTATAGCTTCTTTATATAATTCTTTGGGTTGATTACTTGGAAACCCCGTAAAATAAACTGTTTGATTTGGATCATGCTCATCTAACAATTTAAGTATCGCATGACTATCCATATATGTATTACTTGTTTCACTTATAAAGTAATTAGGATAAAACGCTCCTGCTAATATTACCTTTAAAAATAATATATATATATATATATATATATATATATACAGTGGAACCACGATAAGTCAAAATAATTGGTATTCCCTTGTAAAAATCTCGATAACTCGAAAGAAAAACTTTAGATAACTCGAATAAAATTAAGACAGATAATTTTTATAATCACTTGACTAATCAACCTTGAGTCCTATAATTTAACCTGATCGCGTTTATTGTGTCTATTGTTGTATATTTAATTTGGTTATACGTGTATGGTGTAATGAATATGAAATTACCTCGTGAATTTTTAGTAATACAATTTTAAAACAATAAAAAATAACACACATTTTTATTATTATGTGTACATATATACACTATATTATAATAATTAAAAACTCTTGAATTCAAATCCTTTTCCTAAAACCTTGATAACTCGTAAACCTTAACAAGTCAAATTATTTTTCCCATATACAATCGCTTGTAAAGGTTTGTAAAAATAAAATGTTTGTTTGTAAAGAAAACCAAAAAAGTTATTCGCATTTTAAATTGGGAGGGCTAAATAACTATGACGACTTATAATAATGATTTTTATTAGAAATATTTTACTGTACCCAAAGGTATAAACAAAAATACGTAAATGTCCACGATAAATAGAAGTATATCACATTAAATCGAAATGTATATACGATTAAATTAAAATTATTGCTGTTAAATAATTGATTGTAATGTGAATAACTTTTTTTGGTTTTCTTTACAAATCAAAAATGTTATTATTATAAACCTTAACAAACGACTTACAAATGTAATGTAAAAAAATGTGAATTTTTTTAATTGGGGAGCTGGGGAAATGGCCTTAAAAAAATTTCATTACCTTTGAATTTTGACTTATCAAAGTTTTAATGTATATCATGATTTATTTATTTAAATGAAAATATGATTTTATTTACATAAAAAAGAGCTCAAACTTTTGAATACCTATTACGTAATTTAAAAAAATAATTAATATTTTACTTTACAAGCCATGGATTTTTCTTCGTGTTTAACCCATTGTATATTACCAGAATTTGGTGATATTTTTACATTTTGTTTTAATCTAAAGACTACATCATCAATTAAATCATACAATTCTCGTATTGCTGACAGTTGTATATAATTTTTTTGAGCCCACAGTTTTTCATTATAACGGTCACGATCAAATTCAGGTTTTCGTTGAAGCCAACTCTGAAAAAATATGATTGTCATTAAATCAAGAAAATCAAATTAATAATCTATTATTGATAATAATCTACTTCATATGCAGCAATATATGCAATTGGATCACTACAAGAATTATTAGCCCAAAATAATTTTTGTGTATATGCTTCCAAACGTTTATTAAAAGGTTGACTAAATATACTTTTAATGGATATTCCGCATGCTGAAAAAAAAACATAGCTATTGGAATCTATTGATTTAATATCTTTAGTAGGAAATAATTTGGGATATTTTGTCATTTTTGGCAATTTTATAAAATGGAAAAATTATTTTAAACATTTTAATAACAATCTTACAGATAAGACTTTTAATAAAATGATTTATTAGTTTCAGTGAATATAATATAAATTAACTACTATAACCAGAGCCGTAACAATGCCTTTCAGTGCCCCTGACCACATAATAAATTCTAAAAATTTGCATGAACACAATTTTATATTTACATTTTGGATTTTCCACCCTTTTCTGAGATGCATATTTAGCCTATGCCCGCCTTACCAAATTCTAGTTACAGCTCTGAATGTAACGCATAACTAATTATTAATAAAATTAAATAAATTACCCATAATTATAGCCTCATTTAATATATTAAAAATATATCCAAAATAAATCAATTTTGTCATAGAAGGTTCCAAAGGAAGTTGTGCCATCACTTTTCCCATAAACGTTATGTCACCATCTACAGACGAAATAACTCCATTTACTGTTGGTAATAAAGCCCCTACCTAGATTTATTGGAAATAAAACTATTATTCATAATTACTTCAACAAATAAAAATAAGATTCTCTTATACAAAGTGATTTTTTTTTCATGAACCAAGAATTATTTTGGAATTTTTTAAGTGAATTTGATTTCTGTTTTTTCTATCATTGTGGAATCATTTAAGCTTTATTTTAAAACAAACCATTTTTAATTTTTTACTCAGACTCCATATACCTTATATAAGTACATACTTTTGATTTTTAAATAGGATCTCCACCTCTTTTGAACAATTTAAAGAAATTATTCAAGAAATTTTGATATGCATAACATTATATCACATGGTAAATCTGATATTTACTGTTTATGAGTTATAACAGTTTAAAGTTTAGACATCCGGTCTAAAGTAGGGAAGGGTAATAGATTGCTTATCTATAACTATCTATTCTATGATTAAAAATAACAGAAATCAAATTCACATAAAATCCTCTGAGATAATTGCTAATTCATGATAAAAAAAGATGTACTAGGATAATGGGGGTCAGGTGCAACAACTATTATAAGTAATTTAATGTATATCTGTAAACAACGATAAACCATTGGTAACGAAAAAACGATTCTAAGCAGATTTCAATTGATAGTGATGCTTTGTCAACAATATATATTATATTATGGTAAAATAATTAAATGGGCATTACATATTTTCTACAATATTTGTTTAATGTTGTGCTGATTTTCTCGTATTTCATTACATTTGCTGAGAAAACTGAGAAAATCGAAAAATTACCTCACTAACATAACTCCCCAGTCAGATTTATTTTCTAGAAACACTGCTATCATTATAAATTGGAGTAAAATTGTTGGTAGAAAAGTTGTCCACAGATAAAAAAAGAATAAACATCTTTTTAGAACTATAAGCTTCTTTGCTCTACTCAGAATCTACAATCACCCTGTATATGTTTATTGTAATAGTATTATAAAATAATCATCATCAAATAAGTTAATTTAGTGCCATAACTATTTATGTGTCAAATCTAGGAAATAGTATTAAATATTATTACGATAAATATAACTAAAATGTAAAAAGTAACCTGTTTAAGATTCATTATTGTATGAATAATATTTTTTAAATCTGGTGGATCCATTGCACATGACAGAAGTAATTTTGGTGTTCCCATGTCTAATATTTTAGACATTAATACAATACGACTAAGAGAACAACGACTCATTTCTGGTACTTCTTCTTTAGAAAAATCTTTCTAAAAGATAAATATATTAAGACAAAATAAAAGTGTAAGGTGTTGAATAATTACCACAAACATTTGTTCAGGAACAAGTCTATAAACTTTGCCATCTGCAACTCGTCCCACTCTTCCTGATCGTTGAATACAATTATTCTTTGAGGCCCAATTCAAAACCAACATGGAATAGTTTGACTTTAATTCATTTTTAAATTGTTTCATTAAACAAAAGTCCACCACTAAAAATATAATAATGAAATAAAATAGAATAATTGATTTTTTTTTTTTAACACTACTTATTAGTTATTACCATATGAAACATCTGGAACAGTTATTGAACTTTCTGCAATATTTGTGGCCAAAATAATTTTACGATAATGTACACTTGGCTGCTCAAAAACACGTTGCTGTTCTTCATTTGTAATCGACGAATGTAATGGTAAAAGTTTCCATTTAATTTTTCTGTAATTAAAAAATTGAATAGATATACAAAAATAAATTAAAATAAATGGTGATGATCAAAAATATTAATAATTACTCAGAAACTATTGCATATTCCATAAGTCTATGCATTTCTTCAATTTCAAAAATACCAGGTAGAAAAATCAATACAGAAGCTTTGATGCTATAATCTTTTTCTAAATCATCAAATCCCTTCACTAAATTAATAGCAGTATCATACCCGGCTTTGGTTATTTGAGGTCGATTAAATTCCATTGCTCGGGCCTAGAATATAAAACTATTACTAAAATTTACATATTCTATTCAACTGAAAAACAATAAACTATTAAAATAAATACCTAGTATTTAATCACATTAAATTGACCTAAATACAATGGTTATTAGTTAGAAGTAATAATTAATTAGATTTTGGTATAACATACACATTCAAGTACTAAAAGTGTATACTCACAGATGGTATCAACCCATATAATTCATCCAAATAATGTAGACTAACATTAAATTGAAGATTTCTGGGGATAGAAATTTGTTGAGCTTTAACATAACAATTATAAGGGGAACCATAATAATCACTAAAATAGTCACATAACTTAAAGTCTTGTGCAGTTGCAGACATCAGCACTACCTAATAATTATGCATTAATAATAAGATAATACATTATTTAAATAATATATTATGGCTAATGTCATTAGCTAACATTGGATAATGTTAAAATGTTTGTTTCAAAACCAATTTTGAGCTATTAATTTTAATATTGGAGGAAATTAGCCAATTATAAAACTTAAATGTAAGAACAATTTTTATGTTTATACATTGGTTTTTTACTAATATTTTAAGTTTTTAGTAAGATACGAGCATGTGAAGTATTAAAATTACAAAAACTTTGTATCTCGCTTGAAAATTAAAATATTGGAAAAAAACCAATAATGTTCTTACCTTTAAATTTGGTAGTAAGCTATTTACTCCAGTATTAAAACTGACAGCATAAAATTGATTCAACTGAACAAAAAGAGGATATTATCCAATTTTCAACATTAAATAATAATAATGTAACATAGAAAATTTAAATCACTTACCCGAGTTGATGGCGAATTAGTTTTTAACAATTTCTTTATAATTAATAATAAAAAATCCATTTCTAGTGTTCTTTCATGGACTTCATCTAAAATAATATGTGTAAAATCATTGAGATTTTTTGCTGAAATAATTTTCTGTAATAATATTCCTGTTGTACAAAATAACACTTTTGTTGTATTCGGGTCATAATCTTTTTTACGCCCTACTTGATAGCCAACAAGCAGTCCATTTCTCCAATTACGCTCATTGTTAACTTGCTTGCACACATTTATAGCAGCTATGCGGCGAGGTTGTGTAACAACAATATTACAGAATTTTTTTCTATTCATACAGTCATCTAAAATAAATTGAGGAACTTGAGTACTTTTACCACATCCAGTTGGACCAGATATCAAAACAACACAATTAGCATTGGTTATTTGAACAATCTATAGAAAATCAAACAAATACATATACATAAATCAATTACTTAAGTATAATTTTTGAATACAATTTTTTAAAAAAAGGTAAGATACTAGAGGTTAGTAGTTTGTATTTTGCCCCTTCCTATGTTCCACATACTACAGTGATTTATATATTAATGGATTAGATAATAAGGTCCTAGCAAAGATATAGGTAATTTAACCTATCTATATTGGACACAGACAATAATACTTCTCCTCATTAACATAACAGGCAATAATTTTACAGTAAAACCAAGAATTGTATTATCTTTCATTGAGGGGAAACTATTATTTTCAACATATAACAAATAAATAAATGAAAAAAAATGATGTTTTAGAACAAATGTATGATATAAACATGTTTATATTTCATGATATATTATTTTGAACTTAACTATATTATAAATTGTGTAAATAATTTTTGTAATTTAATACACTGATACACTTGCTCTCATTTAGATAGTGCAATGGAAGATTCCATTGATGAACTAGGACAAAAAATACCATGGTATTGCGTAAAGCTCCACAATTTATTCACACAAGAGTAGACCTGTACTGTTGTACATAAGAAATTAGGACAAGGAGTGATTGATTTCATAGAATTATAAACTTATGCTTTTTTTTTCTTTAGTATCTCTATTGTTACACTTGTTATTCTTTATACTCAATTTTTGACATTTATGTGTAAAAATGTAAATTTATTTAAAATAGCTTAAGATAAATTGAAATGAGAAAAAAATACTAAAACTTAGAAATTACATTACTTTTAAAAAATGTTAAACATATTTGGTTAAATGTTAAGTTTCCAGAATTTCTTAAGATATATGTTATAATTAATGTTTTTCTATTTATACTTATTGTGTATTAAAACCAATTTTGTACTATTAGTTTTAATATTAGAGTATATTAGCATATTATCAAATTTAAAGGTAAGAAATTTGTCAGTTTTTTTGTTCTCGATATTTTAATTTTCGAGCGAGTTACAAATATGTGAAATACTACAGTTAAAAATTATTGAATCTGGCTTATGATTTAAAATATCAAAAAAAAAAAAAAAACCAACATACAGAACACAGACAATACTTTTACTGTAATAAGCCAATAATCTAAAGTATTAACCCTGCATGTGTCACGTGGATTATTATTGTAATCCATCCAAAAATTCTAATAAATTAGTATTTATTTATTTTGAATTCAACGGGGCTTCAGCTAGCCCTTTTACATTATAGAGTGTAGTATAATGACCAATTGTGTAAAAAAATAAAAACATACAAAAAAAGAGAAAAATATTATGTATACAAATAGTTTAAGAAAGTATATAAGTTTATAAATTTATAGTTGATAGGTAGAAATTAATCTCCAACAAGAAAACAAGCAAAGCAAACAAAAATACAAAGAAATATAAGTAAATAAATATTAAAGAAAAAATTGATATGCTAGGACTTATTAAATTTATATTGCTTTTTTTTTTTTTTTTAAATAAAATAGACTTAAATCTAAAAATATCACGAGTTGTATTTAAGAAATCTAAGGCAGTGGAGACTGAATTAGCTAGTTTCAGAACTCTAACAAAAAAGGAGTCATTACCTGATTTGGACTTAAAGTGTGGGATGGCAAAAAGATCATGATTTCTCAAATAGTAGGAGGGAATACGGAAAATGAGGCTAAAAGCTCAGGACATACAATATTGCAATTTAATAAATTGTATACAAACATAATAGCATTCTTCTTAGTAGAAGAGAGTCTAAATTAACTAAATTTTGAATCAGAATAATAGAGTTTATAAATGGGTAAGTTGTTCATATAGGCAATTTTTTTAATTTGAATATTATCAAGGTCATGAATATGGGAGGATAAGGATTGACTCCAAACAACTGAGGCAAATTCAAGAACAGATTGTACAAGAGAACAATAAATTGTTTTTATTGTAGTGGAATTTTTAAATTTTTGAGTTCCGATTTATGAAGCCCAACATTTTATAAGCTTTTCTTGTCATATATTCATGATTTAGTTTAAAGGAAAAGTCAGAACAAAAATGAACACCAAGGTTTTTTACCGTATAAGCTATGTTTAAGATTATATTATCCAATGAGTAATTGTAAGTAATAAAATTTTTACGAGAGAAAAAGACATTTCTCTATATTTAGAGGTAAAAAATTATTTTTACTCCAAATTAAAAATGTATCCATGTTATTTTGCAAGTTGATTGAGTCATAAGTCGAATAATTTGAATGTAAAACTTTGCATAATCAGCAAAAAGTAGAGCTTTTACGTTGTGACTAAAAATTTGAAGTAGATCATTTATGAATAATAAGAATAGTAAAGGTGACCTAAGGGTGAGAGCCCTGGGGTACATCATATAATATTTGAAACTCTTTTGAAAATTGAAAAGATACTTATATAACCTGTTATTTATTCTCATTTAAGTTAAAATTCATATTCTGAAATAAAAAATAAAATATATATTTTCTCTTTATCTAAATGTATTTGTCAATATGTACATAGTATATAATTATAATTTATATCGTCAATATAGACTTAAAACTCAATAAAAAAAAAAAAATGTTATCTAAGCGATTACAGACACTCTATTAAGGCACACGACCTATATATGGTTAAACTAACATCACACAATTGATCAAGAATAATTATAACAACATTAATTAATTTTACAAATTAACTATAACATATATAAATAAAAAACTGAATTCAATAGTGTTATATAAAGACCGTTGTTTATCTGACAGTTTTTTAAGTTTTCATTATTACTAGGTAAAGTGCAAGAAATTTTAAAAATTAACCACCCAAACAAGATAAAAAAATACTTTATACTTTGAGAAATTTTTTCTGATTCTATGTTTACTATAGTTCATGCTACAAGAGAACGCTCATTCAAACGCACTCCAACAGTGTCAATGTGTTTTGTGGGAGTTGTCAGTTAATCATGTTTTGTAGTGAATATGTGCGAAAATACACAAGTTTTGGTCCGCCACTTTATTAATTCTCTTGTAACATGGAGTATAGTCAAAAAATTCTTCAGACAGAAAAATAATACCATATCAAAAAATCAATGTTATGAAACAACTATTTTAATAAGTAACTTTTTTTCTTTAATTTTTTCGATGACGATTCTGAAAATATTTGAATAGGGAGACCTTTATCAAAAAATGTATGGCAAAAATGTACTATTTAAAAACATAAAAACGCATTTTGGTAATATGTATGTAGATTGCAGCTCACTATACCAACTGGCTTTGCAAACTTTTTTTTTTTTAATGGGGGTTGTTGACATTTTTCCTTAATTCTATAATTTTGTCTGATTGAAAAACTAGCTTTTTTCTTCTTCATTATTTTAGGACTTATGATTTTTTAAAAATTTAACTAGTTTAATAAGATCAGTTTTGGTGCGAATTGAAACGTTTCTTCCCAAATATTATGCATACTTATGTTACCAGGATAGATAATACTAATCATAGATAATACATAATTACCTAACTTAAACCAGAAACTGGGTAAGACACATTTGATTCTCGCCAATACCGATCCTTTTGAATACTTTTAATTAATTGATTTTTAAACACAATTTATAAAGAGTTAAAATCTGAACAAAAAAAAGAATTTCATTTCTGAGCTTACCGTATTCATAACAAGAAAATTCGTGGATTTAATCAAACATTTTATTTATTTTTTTTGATAACCCTCAATTGCAGCTGTGGGGTTTGGTGGCTATGCACGATCTTCTTTATTCCCCCTTACAAGGGTTGGTGGATGGACAACTTGTTCACCTAATCTCAATTTCTAACCTGATTTAATATTTGATAATATGTGTATGATTATCACAACATATCAGAGCTGTTGTAAAATTTACAATGCACGTCTGCTCTTATTTTAGATAATGAATCGCTAGCTCGAAGGTTATACAAAAATAACAATCAAACTCTCCCTCTATTTGTTATGCTCAACCACTTTAGAGAATAAGAGAAAAAACTTTGAAGTTTTATCCCAAGATATTTTTTGTATAAGTTAACTTTTAGAAGAAAAAAAATAGTTATTTGAGTAAAACTAAAAAAAAAAACAAACGTCAAATGGCTATAATATTAAAACTTTCCTAAACACCATAGTAATTATTACCAGTTCATTTTTTACCTCGCTTAGAATTATATTAAGAATTGAAAAAAAAAATGTTAAATCATTTCAAAATAAATTATTTATACATATTATCCGACATTTTATAATATTGAATAATGCCAAAAAAATTACTAAAAATAATATGTATTTATAAAATTTATAAATGTTAATTAAATTTGTATTAATTTACATAAAACTATTCCCTACAACAATTTTTTTTTATTTTAATATTAAAAACTACAACATGCAACCAAATATATTGTTATAGTTATACATTTTTTTCCTAACAAATATGGTTGATAACAAGTAAAGTGTACATAAATTTAAAAATAAATTTATAACTACCTTAAATTTATGTCTAGCAATTTCTAAATTATTTGAAGCATGTGATGGATCCTTGTATATATAATTATCACAAATTTTTTGTTCATCAAAATTTAAATCTTTAAGATCTACTATTGATGATGAATAATTAGTAAGACTGTCAATACAACTCATATTTGAATTGGGTAAAGCTTTTCTTGACAACTAAAAAATGAAAATAAATCAATATAAACAACAATTCTCTAAAAAAGTCTTTTGTTACATACAGATTTTATAATATTATTAACTTTATTCTGTACATATTATACTAAAATATTTAATTATAATCATTACTTGAATTGAAAAGACTGTAGTCCTCATTTTTTTTTTTTTTTTTGTGAACAGTCAATTATTATTTATATTAGAATAGACAGACGATATATCTTTTTTTGCAAGTAATATTTTAGAAAATGTGTATCAGCTTAGGTAAATTGTTTGGTTTAGGAATCATAATAACTAATAAATAAAATAAATATCTGATTGGTAAATACTAGGTAAATATGAAGCTCTTCTCTAGTAGTACAAAAATACGCCTGTATACGGCAATAGTAAAACCAGAAATTACAATATGAGTCGAAAATAAACGAAGGGCCTTTGAAAACAAAGCACTAAGAAGTTCTTAGTAAGAACAATATGCGGATACATAAATGATACCATGCTGAACTGCTAGCAAAGAAGAAAGAACGCAAAGAGAACTCACAAAAATACTTGCAGTTACTAGTTATGTGAAGAGTCAAAGATTAAAGCGGTCTGGAAATATAAAGCAAAGAGGTAACAGCTGGAGCAGCTATTTAATGGCAACCAGAAGGAGATTAAAGAAATGGTAAATATATGACATACATTAAGACTTAGAGAGATTGGAAGGTATGGATTGAGAGAAAATGATCCAGAACTGTGGAAGTTGGAGAGCTCTAACAGTATCTACTAAGCTCTCGCAGAATTATAAAGCTATGTGATAATGATGATGATGAAAAAATATTTGTATTAAAACTTTGAACATCTTTTTTAGATTCTAAATAGAGCAAAGATGCTTATGGTTTTACAAAGATGTTAATTTTTTTTTTTTCTGTGGACAACTTTTCTACCAGAGAACTTGCTTCAATTTTTACATGTAACACATGATGTGAGGAGGTACTTTGGGAAGGTTTTTTTACAATTTTCTCAAGAGTTTTCTCATCAAATATGAAAAACCGTGAAAAAACATGGGAAAACATAGGAAAAACGGGAAAATCTGTACATAAAACCAATATTATTAAAGATAATACATAATGCTTATTTAATTATTTTACCATTATATGACATATATTGTTGACAAAGCATCACTATCAATTAAACTCCGCTCAAATTGGTTTTTTTATTAGCAATAGTTAATCGTTAAAAACAATAACATAAACAGTAAATTAGGTACCTATAAGAGAGGCTGCACCCAACCCCATTATCCTAGGATGTCTTCTGTGACTTTTTAAAAATAATAACATTACACTAATTTAACCAAAAGTTATGTAAAAAATTGAAGTTTTTTCTGAAAAGTTTAAAATTAAAATATACAAAAATAAATTTAAATACATTTGTATAAACTTAACGTACTTCTACATATTCCTCATTTTCATCTTCTTCTAAATTAATATTCACATAATTTTTACCATCACTATGACTAGTCAGATGCTGTGTATCTAAGTGAGAATTATATGAATATGAATCAAATAAATGCTCCATCTTTGGAATAGTACTTTGTATATTAGATCCAGGTATTATTTTTTTTTTTAGTTTATTTTCCGCTAATAGTTTCAACATGATGTCTATTCTGGAATATTTAAAATAATAATAGCAATTTTCAAGTTTTAAGAATTAATAAGGCTGTGAATTTGTAGGGAACTGCTTTTTATTTTAGCTGATTGATTGTAAATATAGCTTCCTAAATATAAAGTTTGAAAAATATAACAAATTAAAAGGTGAAACTTATATTTAGCTTTGTTTAGATGCTTTTTTTAAGTCATTTTACACTATATATATATACACACATTTTAACAGTTCCAAGCTCCACAGTCAAACATTTCTACTATCTCAGAAACACAATCACATATAATAAAACCGCAATTGACATCAAAAAAAAAAAAATCTCTAGCTAAACAAACATTCATGAAGAAAAACAGTTTATTAACTAGCAAACTGAGCTCGTAAACACCATTAAAATAAAAAAACTCACATAGGACACATAATGAGAAATGAGAGTAGGTATTCTATACTTGAATCTATTTTATAACAAGGGAAAATATTAAGAGAGAGGACCTGGCAGAAGAAGTAAATTATGATTTCAGAATCTAAGAGTATGGTTTGGAAATAGCTCATCAGAGTTGTTTCACATTGCAACAGACCCAGAAAGCATTGCTAGAATAGTCGCCAACATTCAGACTCGAATAAGCATCTGAAGAAGAAATTGCCAACACTTCAACACTGAAGCTAAGAAAAAATTCATTAGAATATTTGTGTGGAGTGCGTTGTTATATGGATGTGAGATCTACATCATGAGGAAAAACAAACAAGTGTTAAAAGATGTAAGAGAAAAAAGGGATATAATAAAACACATACTAAAAAAGAAAAAAATTAATAGGGTAAGTACCCTATTAATGTACTTGTACTTGTTCAGACATAATACATGTATAAAGAATATCTCTGAAGAAAAGATCTAGATAACGCCGAAGAATTTCTTATTTCCAAGACCTCAAGCATCTCATGAATGTCACATCCTACGATGAGGAATGTAATAAAAGACAAAGCCATATGGCTATTACGATAAGGCGCAGATTTTAGATGATGATACATTAACATAAATTCAATATTTTAAATTTAACATGTCATAATGTACTGAAATACATTATACTTATAATTTATATACTTGTTATAATTTTTGTTTTAATAATTATATAAATTATAAGTCAAATATTTTTACACTTAATGTTCAATTTGTCACAATTTGGTGAGAAAAGGCTAATCACAGTCTTTAAATGCAACATAATATCATTGCTGAATTTCTAATGTAAGAAGCTATCTGTAAACCAATAAGTTATTTAGATAATTTTGTTTATTATTTTAACATTTTTAGGGATTTTATTATGGTTTATAATATTTGTTGGAAATTTACAGAACAATTTTAGTTTAATACACTAGTGATTTTTTTTTTCCAATTGTATAGTCACGTATACAACAAAAATGTAAAAAAAAGCTGGCAATTTAGTAATTTATTTTTCTGTTAAGCATTATGAAGTATTTTACACGCATTATTTTAAAAATTAATAGAACATTATATTCACAGCCTTACTTAATAATAATAATATAAATATCTACATAATTTAGTATAGAAAAAAAAAAATATCAATGAAATTCAGTTAAATATTGTATACATAACATAAAATATTAAATTAATAATAACTCTACACTAATAGTAGAGTTAATATGGCAAATGGGATACTTACAAGGTTAGGCTAACCTCACTGACAGTTTACATTAGGTTAGTAATCAGATCGAGTACTACTTGACAACCATACTTACTAATCAGTGACACCTATATCAACTCCCACTCTTGTATTAAAATAAGTATAATTTATACATATCAACTCACCATAAAAATATTAACCGTTTTTAATAATAAAAGTAGTAACTAAATTAAAAATTTGAACTTTAAATGCTTTATGTTAAGGCACTTATTCGAAAAAAGCTGAGATGTAAGGCAATCATGATCGATAACTCTGCTCCCAATGTAAACACGGTTTTACAGTATACACTAGTACCCTAGTCATTACTAATCTCTGTGACAACTTCAAAAAGTTAAAAACATTTCCGTTGATCAAAACTATTAGTGAAATATTACACAAATATCAAAATTTAAATAATATAAACAACGATAAACAAATTAAACTGTAACTTGTGATAACGATTTAAGATAATATTGTATATACTTGTTGCCTGATCGTCTACTATTTACAATGCACATGAAGACTAGAAGACTAGATTAAGGAGACAAACTCCAGTCCACAGTCCGCGTCAGATAACGTCCCAAAATGAGTCGCAAGTTTAAATGGCCACAGGCTGCGCTGATTACGCTAGGGTTACTACTTTAACCCACGTTTATTCATATTTTTTGGAAAATGTATGCATTATTTGGAATCATGATTCATGACCCATTATTAATTGTATAGCTTGTAAAATTACGCATTCATACATGTGTATATATGTATATTTCATACAATCTTTTTTATAATAGATACTATATAGAATATACTAGTCTTCATGAATCATATACAGAGGCGTCTCCAGATTGATGATGGGGGGACTAAATAGTTAAATTTAATATTAAGGATTGATAAGAAAAAAAACTGACATATTTTGCACGATGGATGGACCACTGTTATAAATAAGAAGTTGGGAAGGTAGGATACTGAGGGAAATTGAATGTATATCTATAGTATATTCAATTTAGCATTGCCAACATAAAACTTTCTAATCGGAGCTCGGATAATAGTCTTACACAGGGACGTCTTCGAGTCAATTCCATCGGAGGGAAGGGGGTAGTGGCGACAATTTTTACTCTTAAATACCACTACTTTGGTGAACAAACAATTAAAACCTTTATGTATGATATCATTTCAACTCATATTAGTTTAAAAAACTGCAGATATATTGTACAAATGCAGTAAAACATTTAAAAGTTAAATTTATTTTAAATTCCAAGTGTAGCGAGGGAGCTATTGGTTTTACAACGCTGTTTATTTGCTCTTCTTTTTCATTGCTTTAGTATGTGGACACGTTATTTCCTAGTAAACTTGCTCCGATTTTTATATGTAGCTTCAACTTTTCTGAAAGCTCAATTTGTCTAAATGGTACTTTAGAAAAGTCATTTTTTGATTTTTGACGTCATTTTTTAAATAAAAGCACCTAAGTGGGAAAAAATGTAGGAATACGTACAATTTTACAATTTAATTATTCGAACTCCTATTTTCTGATGAAGAAATTAAGTCTAAACAAGGAAAACTCGCATAAATACGGAGTAATCTCTAATACTGCCATAAATAAAACCATTCACTCTTCTCGGCCTACTCTACAAAGAATGTCCATATATAAGCAGGTATCCATTACACATAACACGCAAATTGATCCGCTCTTATATATTGTATTCATTTATTTTATTTTTTATCCTTAATTTCTTTATTATTATTATTATTAATATTTTATAAATTTACAATTTTATAATTTAAAATTGTATAAAATATGCATTGTTATGAGGGCATAACGAAAAAAAAATACTGTGGTGCATGTAATGATATATACAATATGGTATACATCATAATTGGTCAACTAGTTATATCATAATATAATATTATATAGCATTAATATTATCTACACTACATTTTATTATAGTGGACACCACTTTATTTTATCAGTTTATAAGTCAATTTAGATTAATACAAAATAGTATGTATAACAGTTGAATATTTCAACATAACAATAAGACATGATGATGAGAACCGGACAACAGCACTCTACTCTTTTCCCCTTTCTTTCTCATAAAAGACTCCTCGACTTATTAGGCCACCGGATCCTGCCTTGGCGACTCGTCATCTTTTTCGTCTTTCCGCGAGTGCGTGTTGTTTCGGCTTCTAACATTCCGATATCATCATTTTTAATTTAATCAAGTGTTTATTTTATCATTCTTACTACCTATTTTCATCAACATAATAAATAAATATAATTATACCTGTATTCAAACTCAACATTGTTGCTGAGGGTACTCCGTTCAGGATAGGCAAGTATATTATTGTTACCCTTCATAGTGTATATCTTATGTTAATTGTTTCTTACCGTCGTAAGCTATAATAAAAAATCTAAGTGATTAGTGGGTATACATTCATTTATTTTGCACCCCTATATTCGTGTTATTACATATAAAAACACTCGACAACGTTTTCTACTAGCAAAAATAATTTAATCACAAAACATCTTTTTTATTGCCTTTTTGATTTATTTATTTTTTTGGTATCATCGCCAACACTTTTAAACCACTATTCAGCTTTAAAGGAATTTTAATTTTTGGTAGTTTTTATGCTTTAATTCGGTTGTAAATACATGTAGAGACTTGAAACCTGGTAATAATACTTATATTGGACTTACCTAGACGTGGTAAAATTTTCAAAATCATCGGACGACTTTTTTTTTTAATAAGCGTTTTGAAATTAAATTTAAACGAAAATCACAAAAAAAATTACTCCACTTCATTTTATATATTACCGAACTGCACTCGTAATCGTCTTTCGTCAGCAATGGTTTATCTTTGCTTATAGATATAGATTAAATAACCTTATGTATTCACCTTCTCAACTTCTCACCTACAACAGTAGCCGCTCCCATCCCCAATATCAGCTTTTTATTTTTTTCATAATGTATAATACTTAATATAGGATCTGAGCTTAATAATAATCGTTTGAAAAAATCTTTGTTTTTAATCTTAAACATTTTCTTGAATAATGTTCCATAAATCGTCTTATTTCTTTATTTTTCGCTTTATGTGACTCTCTCTCAACTAACCAATTGAAATAAAAAAATTTTGTATTACTTAGGACTCATGGATAAGTATTTTATACGCTGTGGTAGGTATATAATACTAATTATACAATAAATATTTTTGAAAGGAAAAATAACAGCAGGTGATCCTTCAACTTTACCAGTGTTAGAGTAACAAAAAAAAAATGTTAAAAATTAATTGTGTATTTTAATATATTGCAGTACACAATTAATAACTACTAAAAAAATTAAGTCTACAACAATTTTGAAAAATTAATTTTCGATCGTCATTTTCATGTGACGGCGAGTCGGTCGTGGCAAATCAGAAGCGGCGAAGTGTCCTACACCCTTTATGATAAGTGAGGTGATTACCCCAAAAAAGAAATTTTATCGCACTGCCATATCAAACCACCACGAGCCGTTACTGCACACAAATCACAACACAGAATTTCTTAAATTGCGGTGCAAGAGAAAAATCTATGAGACGTGCGATGTCAACATATAAGTGTACACTAGCAGCAGGTTGTTGAACAATTTATTACACTTGCCCGTTGCCACAAGTCAGCTGAATCACGAATCCATACGCGTTAAACATCATAACACTATTATATAGGTAGAAACTGATAAGTCGTAACACTCATAATAATGACTTCATTTTATTTGTTGTCATTGCGTGTTACGAAGTCACACCTGCGTGGTGTTTTGTTGTTTTTTTATCACGGCAACAGTTACGAACTCCTTACGGAGGGAGTCCCACCCTCTGTCATATACCTGTATCTATACCACCACGAAACAACTATCAATAATTCTAGTTTCTACCGTTTGAAATCCGATCACTTTCGTACACTAAACAATTGCAAGTTCATGAAAACGCACTTGTATGTTAGTTTTAACTCGTAGCAGAAGGGCGCGAACGCAATCAAGTCAAACCCGTACGATCGAATTTTCGATTGCGCCTTAGTCGAACATAGATGGTTTTACCGTATCCCTTAGATATTATGACTAGCGAAGTCATGAACGCCAACTTTTTACACACGGTCCTCTGGCTACTATATAGTTAGCTCCATGCGCGATCCGTTACGAAAAATCGCATAATTGACAACAGTATTATTACGTCTTATTATTTTAATGGTTATTACTCGTTATTTATTGGCATACAAATAAACAATACGCCACCACCAGTTAGCACGGCCATTACCGATGCGTCAATGTGTGTCGCAACACGTCGAGGGGTACGCGTACCATAGATAAACGATTCCCCACCTCGCCACCATAACCATGGCGCCGCCGCCTCAACGATACTGCTGCTGCACGGCGGCCAGCAGTCAGCAGTTCAGCACTCATTTTATTAACACTACTACCAAATAGTATTTGTTAACACTTCGACTGTCGTCATGTTTGGATTCGAGATTATAATGTAGTGTCGTTCGATTATTTTTCGTCACCGTTTTTTTCCCTGTCCCCTATCCCCAGAAGACCATTTTTGTGTCGACACCAATCAAATACTTCGTTACGCGAGTTCCAACCCTCTTCGCGTGTTTGAAGTGTGCTTTACTCCGGAACAGCTACCGACGCACGGGACGTCGTGAACCGCGGTAAAATCGCGCACGTCTCGGTGGTTCCCGCGTGCATCAAAGAATAATGTGCGGTGAAGCAACTGCAGCAGCGGATCGACGGCGAAGGCAACGATTACAGGTGAGTGCGATGATGCGTTCTATAAGGGTTGTAAATAACGAACGTATTGTGTACGGTCGCCACGGGTAGAATCCTGTGTGTAGGCGGTTTTAACGTTTTATTGATTCTTTCGTAAACTTTTTGTTGGCATTTTTATGTTTCCCCTGTTTTAATAAGACAGCTTTCGCTCTAATGATGCCCTTGAATATTTTTCACTTCACAGGATGATTGGCGAGGATAGCGTTTCTTTAAAAAATCGACATTGGAGATAAATAAAAAAAAATTAAAAGTACTTGACAATGAATTTGCAAGAAGTAAACACAACGACTGCTCAAATCCAAGGTAAAAAAAGCCTTTTAATTTTGGAATCTAGAGATCCTAACGTTTTTATAATATGTGTATATACAGGTAACTACAGTTGTTTTGATGGCGGAGGTTGTGTCAATGACACGGTATGGTCACCCTATAAAACCGTGCTGGACTCTATCACCATAGCTTTGCTCAGTCCAACGTGTTATTCCACTATATTCAACCATCCTTATTTTCATTTTTCACACGCCATCATGTTTATTTGCTACATGCTGCCATTCGGATCACCCTGCCAATTGGTCCTTCTCATCCGCATTGGCTTAGCCGGTGCTACCACCATTATGGCGTTGTGGGCTAGAAGTCTTGAATGTTGGGTAGTAAGCCTATTGTGGAATGCTGCTTCAGCTATTGTTAACATCATACATATATGTGTGCTATTTTATCAGCTTAGACCTATCAAATTTAACGATGAATTAGAACAAGTAAAATACAAATTTTAAACTAAACATTTGAAAATTATTTAGAATTTTATTAAATTTGTTAAAAAATGTTTTCAGGTCTATAAATCGCTTTTCTGTCCTCTAAAAGTTAGCCGTAAACAATTTAGAAAAATAATTTCTTGTATGAAAATGATAAGGCCTCTAAAAACCCTTGAAATATTTGCTGAAGAAAAAGTAACAAGAGTTGATAGTTTATCATTAGTGCTTTCAGGAAAGTAAGTGCAATTTAAAGTTTTGTTTTAAATATTATTTGATTAATGTTTGAAAATTAAACTTAACTTTGGAGTTCAATATTTATAATACAATATCCTTAATAATTAATAATTATTAATTTATTAATATTTTGATGATTCATAATGAATAAATGTATATAATAGTTGTATAAATCAATAATTATACAACAAAACAATACACTTATCTAAAATATTAATAATTATAGAGCAGCCATAGTAATTTATCAAATTATTTTAACAATAAATATACCTAGGTACATTACTACATTTCAAACCAAAATAAAAACTAAGTTATTATTTTTTATAAGATTTTTAGTAAAAATTCAATTATTATCAATACTATTTTATGAAATTTTAGATTAAATTTATTTTAAATTTTGATACTTACTAAAAATAATCAAAAGTACCTATGTATTTATTTCAATATTTATGGTATGTTTTAAATGTAAATACTCTTATGGCAATTTTTAAAAAAAATTAAAATCTAATTGTTTTATATAATTATTCAATTTATGTATTAACCTTTAATAATGGTACTGCTATATTAAATTATTACTATTTATATTAATATTACTTAATAAAAATTATATATTTGGTGTTATGTTAAAGATTAGTAATATCACAAAATGGTAATGCTTTGCATATTGTCTTCCCATATCAGTTTCTTGATTCTCCAGAGTGGTTTGGTGTATCTACTGATGAATTCTTTCAAGTATTAAATATAATTACCTATATAATTATTTAATTATTTAATTATAATATTATTTATTTAGGTATCAGTTACAGCTGTCGAAGATTCCAGAGTATTACTATGGCATAGAGACAAATTAAGATTGTCAATAATCACAGATCAGTTTTTATACACTATATTTGATCACATTCTTGGTCGAGATGTTGTAAAAAAACTTATGCAGGTATATCGTGTAATATTAACAATGTAACAATAATATAATAAGTAGAGCCCGGATTTTATATTTTTTAAAATATTTTATATTTGATTTAGATGGCCCGAAAAGTAGTTAAATAAGTTACATGTTTGAATTATCAATGGATCTAAAATACAATGTTTTATTATTTTTGCTTATTTTTTAATATTTTACTATTTTTTTGACTTGTACTGCATATTTCTGTATTTTATAATTTTCCATTGCATATAAATGATTTTGAAAAATAAAGATAGAATTAAAAAAATTTTGTATTTGAGTTTATATTTTATTTTAAAGGGTATATTTCTATAAAATAAAAGCATAAATTAATATTTCATTGTGCATATTTTTTAGGTTTTTAGAACTTATAAATCCGGGCTCTAATTGTAACTATTACTAGTGTAGTAAGGAATGTATTGGCTATGCTATTAATTTGTTTGTGTGATAAAAGCTTTTCAGCCAGAAACCTTGCTCCAATCATCAACTGTAGCATCTTTTCTAAAAGTAAATTTTGCCCAGTTGGTGCATTGAAAAAGTAATTTTTCAAATATTTATTTTGATTTTTATAATAATTAGGAAAAATCAAGGCAATGTCCATAATTATAGTTTTATTATTTTCAATATTGATTTTTTGTTGAGCTAAAATGTTTATATGATATTTATATTTATATTTATTAGCCTTTACTGGACATGGTATTTTCAAAATATTCTGGCAATTTTTGAAATATTTTTAAAAATTAAAAATTGTTTAGGACCAGCAAATATACTAAACAATTTAACATAAGGTGCACCTCAGGTCAGTTGAAATGAGTTCAACTACTGGTGGGTATGCCACTTTTGTAGGTGAAAAATTGAGAAGGTAGGATATTAAAGTTATTTAATTTACATCTGTACATCATACAACTTTGCAAACGAAAACAATTCTGAACAAAATTTGATTATATAATTGAAATGTTGTAATTTTAAATTCTGAGTAGAGCAAGGAATGTATTGGTTTTACAATATTTATTTTTATTTTTTTTATGTGAACACTGTCTACCAGAAAATTTAATTCTATTATTAAATATAGCACCTTTTCTGAATGTAAATTATCTCTTGGTGGTACTTTTAAAAAGTTAAATTCACATTAATATTCAAGATACTGAGGATAATCTGGTTCTTTAGATGTAAAAAGATTGAAAGATTAAAAGTAAAATTGCCATTGGCAACAGTTTTTATTTATTTTTTGTTATTATTAAATTTTTATTATTTTAATCTTTTTTAAACAATCATTGTTATCATGGAAACGCACATTGTTTAAATCATTTTACCATAATATGGCTTATATATTGTTGACAAAGCAACACTCTGAACTCTGCTCAGAATCGTTTTTCAGTAGCAATGGTTTATCATTGCTTACAAATATACATATTAAATTCCCATCTGTATCCTACCTTCTCAACTTCCCACCCACAACAGTAGCTGCGTCCATGTGTGGAGTATGTACGTCCTTTTTACATATTTTTTTTTATCAAAAGTTGAATCTTCATATACTTAAAATTAAACTACTACAGTATAATAATAAACTTCTTTATTTTACTGCCATGTTTCTTATTATAATAAACTTCTCATTAAACTTTCAAGTATTTTTGTTCAGTTAAACAATTTTATCCTCATTAAACCAATATAATTGATAATAATAACTAAAAAAGAAATTACTTTTGGTTTTTCCCAATTATTAAAGTTAATGCTTTTAATGTTCAAATTTTAATGATATTGAAAAATCACATCAATTTAAAAAAATGTTAATCGAAATACATTCTGAATTGTTTTTTAACAATGATTTATCTTTGTACACCACTGTATTTTAAATTACTCTATTTATCTTTCTTCCCTACAATAGTGGCATACCCGTTAGTAACATTAACTTTTTTTTAACTATTTAAAAAATAGTATTGAATTTGTATTATTTCATGTGATGCTGTTCACTTAGTTGGTATAACATTATATATAGAATAATTGTTTTTTCTTTAACTGGTTTTAGGTAAGTGAAACTATGTCTAACGGCCATTTACCAAATCAGTGGTATGAAGGTGAAGAAGCTGATATAATAAATAATGTGAATGATGAAAAACAAACAGTTCTTTATTTGAAACGTAATGGTGATGGACAAGCTGGAATTGAAACAATATTAAAAAGAGAGCTTCAAGGTATGTACTTTCAAATATATATATATATATATATATATATTGTATTCTGTTAATATATGTGTACCTATTCTTAATATTTTGCATAAAAAGTTAGCTTTAATGTAATATAATGTATCGCACTGAGTACAGTTTTGTAAAATATTATATACATTTATATTATTAAAATAAGAATTCCAACATTAAAGTCAAATTTCGTCTAATAGAAATATTCTTTGCAAAACAATAAATAACTGAATACTATAGTAATACATTACAATACTATACTTTAAAAAAATATTGTAGTAGGGGTTAAAAGTTAAAACCTTCAAAAGGCACATTATTGATACTAACACCATGCATATACAAAATTGTATCCTTCTAGCTTCATTTGGGTAGTCTATTAGTGTGCACAAAGCTATATAGAACACCCTTCACCTAGAAAAATGGTTAAATTCACATTGAGTTCAACCCAACTTTAACCAATCTACCTACAAAACAAAATTCTTGAATTTCAATTAATTTAGTCAAAAGGGAGTTGCTAGAAATATCCAAAACTAGCAGGAAAATGATATATATATACAATTCACTATAATCTATTTCTGGAAAAAATTTGACAAAAAAAAATTCTTCTTTAAGTTAGTTATATTAATAATATTAACCTATGGCCACAATATTTTTAATTTAAACATTTTAATCATAGTCTTCATCATGACAAATTAAAATTGTTATATTTACAAATGTTATCGTAGTTTTTTATTGTATATAGGCTCTAAGTTTTCTAATAAAAAAAAAAAAAAAAATAAAGTAAAAATCAGTTTACAAGGAAAAAAACAAAATTTAATTATTTAATAACTATATATTGAATTATAATAACAAGATCTAATACTCTAAAACTCATTGGTTTTATTTTTCTTAATATTTAAATTATTTTTATTTTTTATGCTCCAAGAAATAATGTAATAAGTGTAATTAATCATACATTAAGACTTAGTGTATACCACAAAATTAATTAATTGAATGATGTCATATTGCACAATAATTGTGTTAATTTGTATTTTCTATTTTGCTACTGAAAATGCCAGTTCTCAACTTGTAAAACTATGCAAAACGGATCGATCTTCATTGGAATAGTACATTCCTTATCAAACAGAATACAGTTTTAATTTACAATTATTAATTGATGTTAAAAAATATGTTATGCATACATTTATTCAATTAGCTCAATCTATTCAATGCCGTAATGAGCAATAAAATAAAATTACCCAATGCAGAACTTAAATTGTGGCATTTATATTAAATTACATGTTTATTGGTCCCATATAGTTTTTTATAAAATATAGATTAGTAATATTTTATTTTATACATAGTAATAGCTTTAGTTATTTTATTACAAAGACTAAAAGTATACTAATATTTTACTTTGATTAATGGTTCAGAATCCATACATTCCCTAATTCATCTGTGATTGCATCGGTGGTGGCATTACTGATAGCACCACAAAATATTATGAGAATATCATTTTTTTTTTTTTTATAGCTTTTTTCATATAAATACATAAAATAAATTTTAATTTAAAATCAATTGTTTCTTGTGTTTTGATACATAAATTCTTTATAATTACATCTAGCAATGGTGTTTTAACTAAAATCACTATTAAATCAAAATAATGTAAAACATCGTACCTGGGACTTTCTGTTAATTCAAGTACTCTATAATGACATTGATTACAGATTACATGAAATAACCAAATTAAATGTAATGAAAGAGATGCAAATATGATATGAAATGAAAATAGTTAGAAAAATAAATATAATATTACATCTTATCAACCGACTTGGAAACAAGGTGAGTGATAAAGCTTTCAGAGATTTTTGGATCTAAAAAGAAACATCTATCATAGATGAATTAAGGGAATTATGAAATATTTTTATTTTATTATTTGTACCAATACACTGTGTCCCACCATGTTTGACTGATTTTTCTAGCGCTGTTAATATTAAATTTTTTTTTCAAGCGGTTTTTCTTTGGGGGGGGGGGGGATATTGATTTGGAGAAAAAATTACAGTTTTAAAATATTATTCATAAAATTTTATTGTATCACAAATTTATATCTGATAAATAATTTCTTAGTTATAGATGTTTTAATTAGGCGTGAAAAAAATTAATATTTAATAAAATAACACATTATGCGATAAGAAATTACAATCAGCACAGTAATTCTTTACATTTTATTGAATATTAATTGTTTTCAGGCCTATTTTATAAAAATTAAAACAGTTATGATTAAGAAACTATTAATCAGATATGAATGTATGATACATTAATATTTTTTACAAAATGGCTATTTTGAAAATTTTCCAAAGTGAATAAATAAAGTTATTTTTTTTTTTTGTGTGTGTTTAGGGGATGAAATAAAATTTGTATTATTCTCCAAATTGATGTGTCCCTCGAATACAAACCGATTGAAAAAAAAAATCAAAAAGCATTTAATATTAACAACGCTAGAAAAATTTGTTAAATATGATGGGACACACTGTATAGGCCAATACCGAAAAACCTAGTGATATAATGTGATAATCTATTGAATAATGAAGAACATTAACAGTAATAAAAGACCCAGTTGATCTATAGTTTATGGGTAGTTAAAAATGCGGTTTTATTAGTAAGACTTAGGGGGGAGTTTAGTATATAATTGGAAGAGGAAAATGGAATAACAAAGAGAAAAGTAGATCTAATATTACTAGGGGAATTTTAAAATCAATTTTTGAAAGAAATATAAGACAGTCGATTAAATTTGATAGAAGTTTAGAAAGAAATGATACAAGATATATTTTATAGGTACTCTAAAATATGCCAACAATTTAATTTCTACACAATTTAATTCTCCTATTTAATTTAGTATGTGTATGATATTATTTTAACATATTTTTGATATTTATATATCAATAAAATCTAATAATTGTACTGTTTGGTATTTGTGTTTAAAATTATAGTCTATTATTTAATAAAACAACATTGTTTATAGAATTTAATAAGTATTTTTGTATATTACAATATTTTATAATTTACTTAATTTTAAATTAAGTGTTGAAACATAACAAAATGCCAAAAGGTAAGCAAATTTTGGGTACTGTGTACCCAAACATCTGTGTACTTTTCATTACTGATAACATTATTATAATAATGAAACACATATTAAATTAATAATTTTAATATAAATAAATTATCAATAGATATCATTAAACCAAATAAAATTTTTAGATTCTAAGCAAAGCGAGGTATGTATTGATTTTACAGTGGTTTATTTTTTTTATATGTGAATAACTTTTCCACCAGAAATCTTGCTTAAATTTTTATGTGGAGTACTTTTTCTGAAATTAATGTTAATTAGATGGTACTTTGAGGAGGTCATTTTTTGATATTTTCAGATGGTTTCATAATAAATGGGAAAATTTATTATTTGCAATTTTTGTTTTTAGATTCTGAGTGAAGCAAAGAAGCTTATAGTTAGTTTTACAATGATATTTATTTATTTTTTATATTATTTATGGACAACTTCTCTACCAGTAATTTTTCTCAGATTTACAATGATCGCACTTTTTATAAAAGGAAATCTGACTGAGGAGGTACTTTAGATGTCATTTTTTGATTTTCTTAAGATTTTTCTCAATAAATAGGAAAAACTGGAAGAACAAAAAATAGGTACAATATTTTACAATAATATAGCATATATATTGTTGAAAAAGCTACACTGACCTCCGCTTAGAATCATTTTTACTTTACCATTTTCCCACCTATATAAGTGCTTTTCCCTGTCCTCATTATCCTAGGACAGCTCTTTTGTTATAATTCAGTAAAAAAATATCTGTAGATTTGAAATTTGGACAAAAGCTGATATTTACCTTTTTTAAATATGGTAAAATTTTCAAAACATTTTGGTCATTTTTAGCTATTTATAGACATTTAAATTTTACGAGTTTTACATAATTTTTATTTGATAGGTAGGTACTGTGTGAATAAAATTTTCAGACCAAACAGAAATGGTGGTAAATTTAACAGCAAGTTCTTTGAAATTCATTATAAGTTGTACATTGTTAACAAAAAAAATAATAATAATGTAGGTTATGTAGTATTTCTTTTATTAGAATTTTAATTTCAAATTTTGATGAAAATCGTAAATATTATAGCCTTTTTAAAAACATGTAAAACCAAACTTCACTCTAATCTCTTTTCGTTAGAAATGATTAATTGTTACATAAAAATATACATTAAATTCCCCTCAGCTTTATCATACACCCACACCCAGTCGAAATATATTGCGTCTTTTTTTGTGTCTTAGCTTTGTCAATAGCATCTATAGCTCTTTTAAAAATAAATAAATAATTTTTCTAGGCTGTCGAAATCTGGAACTACAATGCCTTGAACTACAACATTTTGAAAAAAATTCGGCAAAATCTTAAACCAGCTAATTTTTATCCTTCAGAAAATGATCTAATAGGTATTGCCATTTCAAGAATTTACCATTCAAGATTTTGACATAGATCCATTAGAATGACCTGTTATGATTACATTTTTATGTGTTACAAAAAATAGGTATACTGTCCTAGTGAAACAAGCAATAAATGCTAAATTTTTAAAATCTAGGTTATTTCACATTATAATTAGATAATTTTGTCGTTTTTTATCTTAGTTAAAGCATAGTATGTACATATACGTAACATGTCCTAGAGAATAAAGCAGTATGTACAGTGCTTATTTTATTAGCTTTTTTAATTGTTTTAATGCATATTTACCTGGAAATCTTAGCTAAAATGGCTTTTGTACACTTTATATTTTATCTTTGAATGATCACGGTACTAGTCAGATACCTTGGTATTAACTATAACCATTATTTATTTATTTAACCCGCCATGAATCGCATCACGGTCTTTTAGACCATAAGTTTATTATTTTACTAATTACTCATTGTGAGTAATTTACTTTATTTCATGCACTTTGTTACCTTTAATGTACATATTAAGCTATTTTTTAAAACTATTTAGAACATTTATTATTGTTTATTGAATTTATAGCTATTTTTAAAATCTATAACCAGTCAAAAATACCGTGTGCGACTAAACTCGGTATCAATTTTTTTAGGTATTATTTTCTTCATCATCCAATTTTTAATAAAAAAAAATCTACAAAAACAATCTATTCAGTCACTCTTCTCTTATCTCTTAAAATAATTAATCGAAGGTTGCAATATTTTTGTTTAGTTTTATACGCGTCATGTTAGTCATCACACACTTATGTCGGTATTTTCATTAATTTATTTTCACTTTAAACTTAAGTAAAATAGTTTCATTAATACCAAATATTATTGGAAAATATAGTAAATAAATGAATTATAATTTTTGTAAATCATTAATTAATGTATTTGTATATAAAATATTTGAAAAAATATAAGATATAAATGAACGGTCAAAAAGACCACATGTGTTACTAATAATGATGCGACTCATAGCAGATTAAATAGGCTAAGCCAAAGAAAAAAAAATGTATTATGTGTTAATCATTCTACTAATATTTTGTTATTAAATATTACTTTCAATAAACACAACATTTTTATAATATACAAATTTCTAAATAATTTTTTCATACTTTAGTACAATAACTCCATTATTTTATTTGATTTATTAGCATGACATTTTAACAAGTGCATTGTACTTCAAACTAGATAATAGGTTTAAATTTAATTTTCAGTTAATACAGGAGATGGGATACTGTGATACTGTATTTTGTGAAGGTTTATTTTGTCATTAATACACAATAATACTAGATTAAAATTCACTATCTCCTTAAAAATATAAAAAAACAAAAATAATAATATAAAAAAACTTTCAAAAAATTAAGTATGCCTATTACTAATAATTTAAAAAAAAAAAAAGTGATTTAAATATTAATACCATGGTGAAACACAAAGAAATTAAAAAACTTATTTTCCTAACAATTCAATTATTTGAGATACTGCTTGTTTTACTAGAAGGGCAGTATACAGGTATAATACAAGTTAAGATCTTTTTTTTTGCTATCACTAAAATAATCCCTCCCAGAATTCAATCAAATCTCTGTCTATGCAGACTATATGTAAATCATACCATCTATACTATACAAGTATTATAAATTGCAAAACATTCCATTTTATTCTATGTAGAATTTTACATCTAGAGAGCCTATACAGGATGTCTAACAAAAATATACCCATTATAATATCTCCAGAGATAATAAAAATTACCAAATTCTATTTTTTTTTTTTTTTTTTATTACTCAGGGATGAAGAATACAAACATTTATATTGCAATTAATTTGCTATGCTTTGATAAAAATAACTTTTTATTTTATTATTTTTTCAAGTTTTTCACCAAAACATAATTTGTTGTCCTATAATAATATTAAAAAAAAAAAAAACAGTTATATTATCTTTATTATTTTTGAAGATATTACAGTGGGTATATCTTTGTGGGGCCCTGTGTAATAAAATTGTGGACAACTGCTCTTTTAAGTGATACATAAATCACACTATTTTGTGATTGTATAATTTTTTATTAGAATATAGTATATTCTAGGAGTAAACTTATTGAAGAGAACTAATAATATTAGTAGTAAACATTTCGTAAAGAATTAGAAAAATTGTAAAATGGCATCACTCTTGACAAGTAGCCAATTAAAAACAATTCCCTAGTAGGCCACCGTCTGATTATATAGACTCACTAATTATATCTATTATTTTTTTATATGTCGGGAAATTGTATTCATTACGATTTTATGGATTACCATAAATTTGCTTTAAAGAATCTATATCAGTTATTTAATGGAATGTAAAATTTTAATTTTTTTTTTTTATTGTAGTAAATTTGTATGAATGTTGTCTCTTAGCTTTTGAAATTATTTTTAACTATTCGTAGTTACTTTATAAAGCATTGTTTTGGGTTTTTTTTAAGCATGTAATTTAAATTTGATGTTATCTATTAGTTTTTGCATGATTTACTTGTGTTATTATCAGAGAATGACAACGCATGCCTGGAACATTGTCCATTGATTAATGATCAGTCTTCATGGTACTCGCAACAGACTCTACATAATGTGTTGAGAACCCTTCACAGATAATCACTTTTAGGTAAGTGTGGTACAAGTTTTTTAGAAAATGTAAAATGTTTATTTATAATTTAATTCTATGTTTTCATATTACATGCACATAGATAGGTATAAAATATATACTTAGGTAGACTGGGTATAAAATAGAATAGCTAACATTTTATTAGTTTTAGATCCAAAATGATTAAGTGCTATTACATTGATTAATGTAATACAGTAGATAGTTAAACCACTAGTTTAGTAAATACATTTAGCAGCCATAATTTAAAATTATGTTATTATTATTATTACTTTGCCCTCTGTGCTTAATCTGATAATGTCTAACAGCCAACCTGACTAGTCTGCCTTTGTATTTATATATACATATAAAATAATGGGTTAAGGTTGAGTTATTTATGCTTTATTTTTGTACACCATATTGAGGTGATGGAAATATTGAAATTTGAAGGATCCAACATGCATAATGTATAATATGAAATATAATAAAATATTATTAAGATTGAAAAAGTAATTATTTTTTTTTAGGTGACCCAAATGGATGGAGGTTAAGTAGAATCGAAGAAGTTGACCACGAGACACCTGTGTAAAAAAATATTTCCTTATACAATTCATAATCTTGTGATCTTAGGATAAGTTAATGTCTGTTTTCTATATGACTCTGACACTTTGGTATATATATATTTTTTTTTTACCTGTCAGATTTGATTTTTGGCACCTACCGAATTTAATAATCACTGTAGTTTTATTAATTAATTAATTAATTGTACTCATTTTGCTATTATTAATGTTTAAAAAACAATATTAAGTGAAAACATTGAATGAACTATACAAATATTACTTATAAACTAGCTTTTATTTTCTTTGTGTAATAATACTAATTTTGTTTTGTTTCAAAAGTACTGATATTTAAATGTTTTATGTAATAAATATATTAAATGTTGTTTATTGTTGTTCCAATATTATAATGTATTATTATGCATATTATGTAAATGCATTACTAAAGTGATATTTATAAAAGTTACTAGTCTATTATTACATAATTTGAATCGAGTGTCCCATAACCTAGGACTTTTTGATTTGGTTATTACCTCAAAAAATTCAATTTACACTTACCAACCCCTTGAACAAAATAAAAATATATATTCTAAACACTGGGGCACTCTTTATGTTGTATATAGGTGACTCATTTAATGTACTAGACTTATGGTTTTCAACCTGGGGATTGCGACCCAAAAAGGGGTCGTGAGTAATAGGGAGTCGCCAAAAACCTTTAGTATGGTACATACTGTACATTATATTATTCAAGTTCTATTAAACAAATTTTGAATGGGTCGTCTTAAAAAAAAAAAAAATTGTAGGTCCCCATTCATAAAAGGTTAAAAACCATTGTTCTAGACTGTAGTTGTATTTTTGTTCAGTGACATTAAATGGATCACCTAAATTACATTTATTATAAGGATACCATTATATTTTAAAACAAATTAAATGTATTATCCTGTTATTGTACAAAAACCGATTTTTAAAAAAAAAATCGACTAATGAAAGAAACGAATAATATATTATGATATAATTGTAGTAATGTTTTAATGTTGCTAATTTGAATTAGCAATAATTACAAGTATTACTTTAGATAAGGTTCTGAACATTTTATTATTTTAAGTTTTAACATATAAAAAATATTAAAAACAGTTTATTGACAGTTTTTGTGATGGGTGGTTGGATATATTTTAATTATATTTCATCCTAAGATTTATAAGTAGAAATAGACACCACTGCTTCTGTGTTTACGATTTTAATACAATTTATTTTGATGTGTTTTGATAAAATGTGTCAATGATTTATTTACATGTTACAAGTTGACCTGCAGATTTATAACATTTACAATGTATTTGCAACGATGACCATCTTGAAATTAAGCTATTCATTTCTAATTATGTATTTTTTTCTTTTATAAAGTTTACAGAATGTCAATTAGAATTTTCTAAACTGTGACAGTGAGAAAGAACAAAAGGGTGGTATTGCTGGTTTATAAACATTTCATTATGGGTAAACTTTATTTTAATTTAAGAACAACTTGGCAATACATTTTATTATATAAAATTATGGAGCTTTTGATAACCAAAAAACCTATACACAGTAAAATAAATGCTCTAAACATATAAAAAAAAATAACCAAGAAAACTTCATTAAACTAAAACAATTTTATGCTAAGCCAAATTCCTAATAAAAAAAAGTAAAATGAACTTATGGAGTGTTTTATAATAAGTAAGCATTAACACTATATTAACTACTCTAAGATATGAAACAAAATCTATTTATTAAAAAGTCTAAACTGAAATCAAGAAAATAACACATAACGGATACTCAGGGAACATCAATTCCTGAAGTTGCTGAAACAATTGATACATACTTTGAAGCAAATTTCAGCAATACAATTTATTAACAAAGTAAAAACTCCAACTTAAAATATACCAGTAAACTCGAGCATAACACTCAACAAAATGGAAAATGCACTTAAAAATATAATTATAAAAACCCCGACAGCATCCCATATTACTTAGGTTCGTTCTGTGCTTGAATACAGATCTGTATTGTGAGATCCTTGTCATAGTTATCTCTTCTTATTTTCTTGTTGCGAAAATTGCCTCATCCTCATTCTAATATAATACTTCACTGTAAATTACTTCCCCACCATGACTAGGACATGGGAAATTTATTATATTTTCAGACATCAAATCTCTGATGATGAGTTGAAATACTTGCATGGATGAAGAATGTTTTATGAAACTACATACAATTTTTTTTGATGAAATCTTAGGATGTATCAATCGTCCCTTCGTTTTCATATTAACTAATAAAGACAACGTTTGTTCAGAAAAACTTTATGATGTTATAAAAGCTGACTTACAAGTATTGCAATCACCAGTGTATTTCAACATTTGTTTCGATAGATACCTTATAAAAGTAATTATTGATTTTAAACATTTAATAACATTTTACATATGAATAATTAATGTTAAATGTATCACATTATTTTGTTACATAACAGTTAAATAATATATTAGACATTCTATTATTTCAGCCTTAGTATAATTGTGTTCAACAACTTCATCAAATTTTCAATCTTTATCTTCAATTATTTTATTAATTTTTACCTTTAATTTTCAAATAAATTTGACTTTGATCTTTTTCTATATTGACATATACACACCTGCATGTCAATTATATTTACTGAGCAAATAGCATTTCCTAGCTTATCAACAATATCTTTTGATCTTATTATTAGATCATCCTAAAAATGTTTTTCACAAATAACCTCATTAACATTAAAATAATCTATCCTAAAAGATTGTAGCCATTTCTCCTTTAAATGTTTATCTTAAAAGAAATTAAAAATAGTTTCTCGGAGTTATTACAATGAAAGTAACAAATTTTATTCTGCATTTTCAAAATAAAACACATCAAAAATCAAATACCTATGTATAAAATAGGTTTAAGGTTGCCACTAAACAGTATAGACAAGTATACTAAATAGTAGACATTATGCGTTTTACATAGTTGTTAGAATCATCAATTAAAACATATATAAAATAATATAATATAAAAATCCAATCTCAGTAATTTGAATAATTTTTTTGGAGGGCTGTTCCTAACCTAAATATAAGTCTACCCGACAGCGCTTTTGTAACAATACGAGAAACGTTCTTTTTTTTCGTTAAGCGGAAATATTGTAATAGGTGGAAGATTAGGAAGTTGTTCAACCTTATCTTCTAAAAATCATTCTACATCTTCTACACAATTTTTGGAGTTGTACGAAGGTAAGCCATGGAATATAAGTAATTTAAATCACAAATTTCAGAACCATGTTCATGATGCTTGGGAAATCACATTCCGTCTAATCATACAGGCGCATGGAACAGTATATACAAGCTCCACATACCACGCCACGTGCCGTGTGATCTTGGCTTTAATCTCTTCTCTTGCATTAATTATAAAGTCCCTACGGTGGCCTCACGTAATAACTATCTGTTTTATATCCCTGTGTGTAACACAAATTGTGCTGCTAATGAGCGACTCCTAAGAATAATGAGGATTACCAATACAGAACCGTTTCACTCTTCTAATTAATTACTTTATCTTATTATATACACCTATTTTATGTTTTGTTCATCATTAATTATTATTGTATTTATTTCATATTTTCGTATTGTTGTCTATAGATTGTGCTAATGTTCATATGTTGGTTACTTGTAATATAATCATTGAGCTACCAGCTCAACTTTAAAATAAATAAATAATTATAATATTGATAACAGATTGTAAACATTGTTCAACTTACTTGGCTTCAAAGACATGGTTTACGAAATTATTAAAATTGAGATAGATAACAGTATCAAAATTATATTTTGTCATGAATATTAAATTAATTATATTAATTCTATATTATAACTAAAACTATTAATTTACAATTAAATTAATTTTGTTTATAGTTGTAACCGAAAGTTATAATACATATTTTCATATATACTATTCATCTAAGTACTAAATTGAACGTGTTAATAGTTTACTAGTGTTACGAATATCATTGATATCGTAAAGCAATACATTTGAAATGTCTGCAGAAGATGTGCTGTTCGATATGCTACACTCGGAAATTGTGTCGTATTTAGTATCCAAATCCGCTGAGGTAATTCGTTGTAACTGATTATTTAATTTTACTTTTGTGTGATTAAAAAAACTTTATCTCTTATTAGGACGAGGATATCTCGATTTTAGAACATCTGGGTTACTCTTGTGGTTGGCGATTAATCGAAAGGTAATTTGAATTTATTTGATTGAATATTTTCCCTAAACCATAGTTTGTTATTTAGAATAACCAAAGAACTACCACGATATAAAGAAGAACTTGATATTTTAAAATTTATATGCACAGACTTTTGGTCATGTGTTTATAAAAAACAAGTGGACAATTTACGGACCAATCATCAAGGTGTATATGTTTTGCATGACAATGAGTTTCGATTTTTCAGTAAACTATCAAATGGTACACAATATTTGAAGTCTGCACCTAAAGTTAGTCAAATAAAAAATATTAATTGTAAAGATAATTATTTTAATTAAACCAATCTTGTTTTTTTTTGTTTTAGTATGCTACATTCACATGTGGTCTAATTAGAGGAGCTTTAGAAAATTTTGGAATCTCAAGTATTGTAACTGTCGAAATATCTAGAATGCCATTATGTAAATTTAATATTCAAGTACTGCCCTCTTCTTCATAGTAGTATTAGGTCATTTTTTTTCTCATACATGTATAATAGACAAAATCCATATAATATTGTACAATTTTTATATTTAACTATCAGTTATTATTTTATGCAAGTATCTAATTAAAAACTTACATACAACAAAACATTGTATTATAATTCTATTTTTAAATAATTCCTTGAAAAGATTAGTTTAATACACAATAACAAATATTAATACAAATAATAGAAATTAAAAATAAAAACCAACTGTTGATTAAATCTTTACTATATCTTGTTACCTTTTTAGTGTTAAATATGCAACTATATAAGATCAAATAATGTTTATGTTATAAAGCAATGTTAAAAATTCTAATGATTTTTTTTTGTTCTTAAAACTGATTTCGTGCTGTTAGTTTTAACATTAGAGCGGATTGACCTATTATCAAACTTAAAGATAAGATATGTTTGTACATTGGTAATGGTACATTGTTAACACACCACAGACTGTACCACCAAACTAATAATAATCCACTATTCTCCTCCAACCCAAATTTAAAAGTGGATTATCTTGTCTACGGATTGACGAAAATCAAGTGTCAACACTAAAATTTATTTTATTTAATATTTCATCTATTAATGGACTTTTTAGTATAGGTTGCTGTTTGAAAATCAAAAGTAGGTAGTGGTTTTACTCTCAAAAGTAACATAAATATAAAATTGCAGAGCAACTTGTTTCTTAAATATTCTGGAAAACAAATTCCAGAAAAAATTAATACTTTCAGAGATAATGAGTGTGTACCCACTTAAATAAAACACCTGATATAATAATTCACATGTCCATATCGTACTAAAAACTTAAAATATAGGAGACAAAAATAATGTACATAGACATTATTTTTATCTTTAAGTATGATAATAGGCCAATTCACTGTAATATTAAAACTAACATAAAATTGTTTTTTATTTGTTGGTAAAAACATGTTCAAATTATACATTGTTGAAAATATAGCCTATCGAGTAAAAACTGCCAATACATTTACATATTACTCAGGCTGTAATTATCCAATCTCTTTGAAAATTTATAAAAGCATCTTTTACGTAACATACTGATAAGTCCATTTAAATTTCAAAACAATCGGTCCATTAGATAAGTCTACAGCGGTCCCCTCTTTTTTTTTTTACTTAGTTCTGCGCAGTGGTTGTGGCACAGGATCACCTTAAAACCAAGTCAATAAATAGGTTATATCGTTTATTCCCTATTTTTTACAACAAATTTGTTATACACACTCAATATTTTATCTTTAGTGCCAAAGTAAAGACTGTACACTATACATTGATTTAAAAAATGTATAATATAAGAACAATAATAATTTAAATATACCTGGCAATTATCTTTATTGTCTTATCTTAATTATACATAAATATAGAAATTCGACCATATAATATTTTTGTAGACTATTTTTACGGGATTAAATAAATGAATGGAGTTATAATATAGGTTTAGTATATTTCAAATGTGAGTATAAAATATTAAATTAAATTGATTGATGTGCAAACCACAGACAAAATGAAATAAGTTGACTTAACTACTAAGTTAATAAATCAAAAGTATAAAGGAATAGTAAAACTATATATTGATCATTAGCGGAAAGTAAATAAAATCAATATAAAATTAATAATAAATGCTTTATGTGTACTTTGGATATCTATACAATTTTGGAGGAGCTGAAGCAGTTATGTCCTTAAAAGGTGGTGTATTTTCAACACCATTAGTAACTCCTTTTTTTACCCTCTCTTCTTCCATGTTACGCCAGACTTTACGTCGCATATCTGTCTTGGGTGTTTCAATCAGACGATTTTTAATACACCCCAGTGCCCTCCTTTGTATAAATTTATTTTTCTTCACTTTTGGAGTGGTCATATTAGGAATAAGAAGTTCCATGTCATCATCATCAACTGCTGAATGGAATGAATCATCTGTATCTGTATTGCTACTAACAATTGGTATAGATTTCACTTGATCACAGGACAAGTTGTTGATTAAACGTGTCTCAGTAGGAATATTTTCTTCATCAATTATCATTTTAACTACCTAATAAGTTAAAATTAACAAAATAAAAATATTATAATTGATTATGTAACTTACTCGTAGTGGAGTTCTGACAAATTCTACCGTAGGGGATCTTGGGTCCGATATTTCAACTATGTTTGACATGACTGAAATATTATTATATATTAGATCAAATCACATTAAACAATTTATATAGGTAAATATACATACTTTTAATGTTTTATGTAAATGAGTGTTAAAAATAAATCTGCTAACAATATTTTTAATTTACACAACAAAAACCAATGAATAATAACTCTTTAATATAAACTGTTAATAAATTTAAGACGGTTATAAAATTTAGGTGTTCAACAAATTTTGTTTGAGTATATTATTATTACTAAGATAATTTACATAAGTATGACGTTTTTAATAATAACAATGTCTTAACGTAACCTTATAGCTTCAACAACATTATAACGGAATTTTCAAATTGTACCATTTGCTACAGTGTAACCATTAATCAAGATAATAACAAAATATACAGTTATTTGACACTGGTGAGAATTAATATGTCATACGAAAATCGTAACGGCGAAGCCCTCTTTGCAATTTCTTAATATTCAGTATGCCAAGACCTGACCAATCTATAAAATTACATCACAAATCACTGTTAATAGTTAATACCATTGCTAAATATATAGGTATGATCACAACTTTGTGATACAGTTACAATAGTCACCACTGGCAGAATTCCCGTTTTATTTTAATTTAACAGATAATAAATGTCACTGTCAGCTGAGTTTTCTCTGGTTAATACCACAGACCATTAACCTAACCGCGCCACAGCCATGCTGTCATGGTTGGAAGATGTGATACGTAGATAATATAAGACTTCACTATTCTTTTCTAACGGATTGACGGCAATCAAAAATGTCAATACTAAAATTTGTTTTAATTAGATATTTCATCGATTCAAAATGTTGTTATTTTATCATTTTTCGTTTGATCAAAATTATGTCGGAATTATAAATCAAAACTTGCACATTCTTTGAAATATTTTAATTTTTGTACAAAATATCAACCTTCAAAACTTCAAAGTTTTCTAATTCAATATTTTAATTCTGCTTAAAAGCAATGATAAGTATTTTTGTAGTTGTACAAGTTGATAATCAGTAGTTTCCAGCAATTTGGCTGAAATACATTTGGTTGTTTTATTTTCGGTCAAAATATTTTCTGATAATTTTACTTTTGGCTTAAATACAGTCTGTTGAAATATTTTCGGCTGAAGTATGGTTCACCAAACCTTCAATTATGCCTATTTTTTTTTTTTTGTCATAATTAGCCAAATAATTAAAATTTTAAAATAATCGGCTCTAAATAATATAAAATTATATTAATAATTAATCATAACATATGGTATGGTTATCACTTGTAAAAGGTAAAGATAAAAAGTGTTACATATCACATAAATACAATTTGATATAATTGAATAATTAATTAATAACCTAGGCAAATTGATTAATTAAATTTTCTTTTTTTGTACACAACTATTTAAAGTGTATTTAGAAGGTTGAACCCAATTGATCCATGATATGACTTGCAAAAAATTATTTTTACTTTTAAATTCGCTTTGCTGTTTTAATCTTTTCTTGGATACACAATGGAAAATCTGTAATATTTTTTCTTGCACATACAGAACAAAATATCTTTGAAAAAAATATACTACATTCAGGTTTAATGCAAACATCTATATCACAAACAGAACATACAGATCCTAAAATTAAGAATTGTCTTTTGTTACGAGAAGAAAATGGATCCTTTGCTAGATAACAATCAACTTTTGTTCTCACATTGCGGTTAAATAGTACATGGTCACCAAAACAATCATATTGTTCAGTCATTCTGCAATTTTTACATTGGAATATTGGTCTTTCTTCTATTGATGGTAAAGGCCTAAAAGAATAATTAAATTATAAAATATATTCCAATTAATAGTTTTACTAATTGTTTTGATTTTTAAACAAATTAAAAATAAATCCAAATCAAATAATATGTCAACTATTCAATAATTTTTGGATAATAGGGAAAAGATTCTAATTGTCAATTTAAATTTGAATTTCTGTGTTATGAAAACTATGTAAAATCTTAACAATATTTTATAATGTTAAATACTAAAAATGCAAATGATTATTATGGTTAATACTTACTCGATATCCTCACTTTTTATTAAATCAGATTTTTTTTCTTGACTTTTAGTATCATCATCATCAGTTATCTCTATTTTAATTTTTGTATTCAAATTTAAAGGATGTTCGTTTTTGACAGACATTAAATCTCTAAAAATCAAGATAAATAATTATTTTATCAGGATTTTGTTATACAGCAAATTTAAAATGAAATATAATGAATATTATGTTGTAAACATTATAGAAAGATACATGTATAATTCGTTAGATAGAAAATGAAGAATAGGAAGATAAAAAATGATGTTGAATGGGATTATGAATGACATGTGGGGGTGTAAACAAGGACAATGTGGGGATCAGATTAAACGAAAAAGGAAGATGAGGGTGGCAACTGGCCAAACCCAAATCTTTGGTTGTGAAGGTAAAAGAGAAGAAGAATTCTAATTCAAATTTGTGTATTTTTGGGATAAACATATATACATATGCATTGTTTTATTTTTATATATCTATATTAAATATGTTTAATATCTAAGTATTCAAACATTCAAAATATATGGTTGATCTCTTACTTATGAGAAAGGAAAAAAAAGTCAAAAAACCTATAAGACAACTTCTTTATATAATTTATGACAGAAATCCGAGGTCAGATTTTAGATTTCTGTATTTATCACAGGTCCCGTGGTTTTATCTACTAAGCAAAAATGTCAATTAGAAAATACGAACAATTTTATGTCTGACCACAGATTACTTATTTGTGAGGGCATACAAAGAAAATTTGTTTTTTTTATGGTTTTTGATATATTTTCTCCAGTCCAAAAGCCAGAGATCAACTAAATATAATTATTAATAAAATAGTATAGTAAAAACAAAATTAATAAAATAATTAATACCCGTGAATAAATAAAGTAAATAAAATAAATAAATAAGACAAATAGACATTTTAAAATAAAATATCAAGAACACATTTCTAAAATAAAATTTAAAAAAATTGCTCCAAATTCAAATTTTGCTAAACATGTTTTAGAAATATTAAATATCCAAAATAACATTTACCTTAATTCAGTTTAAAAGAATTATACCTACACAATGAAATAAAGAAAAATAATTTTAAAAATATTTTAAATGTTCAAACCAATTTTAAAAATAATATCTTAATCAATACATTTTAGATAATAATAACCAAATAATTTATATTTCTTAACATATCTAAGTATGTTTAATAATAACTAATTTTAAATAATCTCTCTTATTAAAATTAATTATTTCATTTTATTTTTATATATTCAGTCGCGTTTTACATTTTGACTGATATACCTGATGATGAATTTTTAATTGGAACCCGATCGTGTAATACACTTATAATACTCCAGGAGACGCATTCATTAATTTATTTATTTTATATTTATTTACTTTATTTAAATATAATAGTTTTGTATTGTTTGATTATTACTTTGTTATTTTTTGAATTGCACGGTTGATAATTCAATTTTGTTGACATGTAACAACTAACATTCAGTGTAATTGAGTAATAGTTTGATTTAATGGATATGAAAGTCAAGTAGTTCACTTCAGCATATCAATGTACAAAACTTGATCAAATTCTGGTCCTTCTGAGCTACAGCCTTCTGACATTCATGATATTTCATATCACTAATCAGTAACTGGATTCAAATTCAGATATTCCCACAGATAAATAAAACAACTAGATAGCCGACTTTATACTATTATTGTCGTCAACAAAATGCCCGTCATCCTTATTTAAGAGATGAATGTTTATGTCAAGGTGGATTAAAAAGGTGTAATCACTAAAGCTTTAGATAAACTGATTGAAAACATTAATGCAGTTAAAATTACCGCTAGGTTCGCTGCATACCCGATAGAGGACCAGAAATTGTATTGTTAGTATATTTTAATAGGAAATTGACTAAAATTATGGACGTTTTCAATTTTTATTTTTTCTGTAAAATTGCTTTTAAAATGATACAGCATTTATAAAGATAAATTATGCTATAATTATTAATACATTAATACACAATATAATAGTATAAAATAGTTATTTATGAATAATATATTATAGGTACCTAACTATCTGGTATGTGTCAATAGGGTAACTATTGCTTGAACAATTTGATATTATTATTATTAAGAAGTAGAACTCGTAATTACTTTTGGTGATAAGTAATAAAAATACTTTTGTTAATATAATTATATTATTAAAATATTTTTTATCGTAGTCAAGAATCGTTTTTTGGTTATTATATTTTCTACAACAAAAATCATTTTAGTATTTAAATAAAATTGTATAATGTATTTCGTAAGTTCTTATTCATGATTTGTACGGCCAACTATACCAATTCATAACTATATATTAGAAATGAAAAATATAACATATTTATGAAAGGTATGTATAAGAAAAAATGAATTATTCAAAATAATTGATTAAATTAAATAAATGATATTTCGATTAAATTATTTTTTCTGGTAGAAAACGTCGTCGGTGTTTTTATAAAATAATAAAATCGTGAAATTGTTCGTTTTCCTAGGTTTTTTCCCACCTAAGTGCTTTTATTTAAAAAAATGTCGAAAATCAAAAAATAACATCTTTAAAGTAAAATGTAGACAGCTTGAGTTTTTAGAAAGTGCTACACTTTTATATTGGGGTAAGTTTACTTGAAAAAACTTGTCCACCGAGTAGAAAAAAATAAAAATTAACAGCATTGCAAAACCAATAGCAATAGATCCCTCGCTAAGTTTCGAAACTAATACAATTTCTGGTTCTCTATCGGGTAGGCAGCGAACCTAGCGATAATTTTAACTGCAGTAATGTTTTGAATCAACTGATAAGCCAAATGTTCACACCACGATGTAGATAACATATCTATATCTACATCGTTGTTTACACCTTAGGTCATATACTATGGACAAAGCTACTGCATGATAAACACATACTACGAGTTGAAGACATCATTATTAACGAGTGCTAAGGGAATTGATGTCTATTGTGCTTGCGTATCAGTACTCATCGCATATATATCGTATATGATCTAAGCTTTAATCATTATAATATCACCAGGCAGTGATAATAGGTGCGTCACACGTGATAACATAAATTCGACCAATTGTGCGTGATATAAATTTTGCACATGCACATTTGTCCCTACTCTCCTTAGTTTGCTTGCTTTAAATATTTAGTCAATAGTTCTATCCATATTATATGATTCAAGGTTTACACCTTATTAATCCATCTTGGTTTATGTTTTATAATATTGATAGTGGGTGTCGGGCACTTTTCCCGAAGATAACAAAATCTGAATCAGATACACCAACTTAGAAAACTCAATTCTTAGCAAATTATTATCACTTTTCCCTATTACCTACCCGACGTAGTTTTGCACAACTAATCAAGGATTATTTTAAATTAAAACAGTCCACGGTCTTAAAGACCTTATAATGTATTTTTTATATCATCAAAAATGATGTTATAATCACGTTTCATATTATAATTATTAATTATATTACGACAATAATTGTTATGACGTGGTATATGAAACATGATTATGATAAATAAACGTAAAATATCAATAATAGATGAGGATTATGATTGAATAAGATGGTATAAACTTCTGTGGGGGCTAATATTTATAATGGGGTGTTAAGCTGCCCTCTAGATACGCCTATGGTATTCTTATTACTTACCAATTCAATTCAACTGGTAATGGGCCCAGAACATTCGGGTCTAAGGGTAAAATAAGCAGTGTATTAACTGTAAAAACATTATTTGTGTGATTTATTTTCTGTGTACAGTTAATTCGAAACATTTATGGAAAACGAATTTGTAAAAAAGGTAAGATGATATGGACGGGTGCAACCACTGGTGTAGGTCGGAAGTTGGGAAGGTAGGATATAGACGGGAATTTAATGTATACCTGCAAGCAACGATAAATCATTGCTTATGAAAAATCGATCCTGTTCAGTTCAGTTGATAGTGATGCTTTATCAACAATATATATATGTCATTTTATAGTAAAATAATTAAATAGACTATACATTTTCTATAATACAATTTGTTTAATGCTGTACCGATTTTTCCAGTTTTTTTACGTTTTTCACATTTGTTGGGAAAATTATTGAGAAAATCAAGAAATGGCCTCTCTAAAGTACTTCTCTAGTGATATTTTCTTTCAGAAACATTGTTATCATTGGAGCAAAATTGCTGATAGAAAAGCTGTCCACAGAAAAAAAAATTGTAAAATTATATTTATATGTTTTGTAAATTTGAAAAATGGGCTTCCTACAGTACTTCCCCACGCCGATTTCCTTTCAGAAAAGGTGCTACACGTAGAAATCCGAGCAAGTCTTCTGGTAGAAAAGTTACGTATAGATAAAAAATAAACATCTTTATAAAACTATAAGCTTCTTCGCTCCACTCAGAATTTAAAATAAATAGGCTAATAGGCAATGAAAATTGGGCCAAATGGAAGTTCTAGATGCCAGTAATATTGAAATCGTACGATTTTCTGTTTACTGTAATAGATGAAAGCTATCCAAGACTGAAATCCTCAATTAAACGGACAGGTGAGTCAGATGCAGATGCACAATTGCGTATAAACTAGAATTGAAAAATTTGATAACTGAAGATGCAAAGGCTCAGTGCTTCATAGTTACATCAGTAAACTAAAAGTCATTAGATTATATAATGAATTGTGACACCACAAGACATGTGGGAAAAACTATTGAGTGTATATGAACACTAAATCTGACATTAAGTCTGACACGTCTGTTACGTTCATTCAGCAAAAGTTGTATAGTTGTCATGAATCCAAATGATAATATTGCTCAGCATATATCAAAATTGAAAAATTTGAGTCGGCAATAAAAATAGCTAGGTAAACCAATATCATACTCGATGTTGATAAACTAAATTCTAATAACATTGCCAGATAGATACAAACACTTCTATAGTGCATTGAACTTGATGTCAAATGAGGCCAAAACTTTGTCAAATCTATCTTCAAGACTCATGGTGGAAGAAGCAAGGCAACTATAAGGACAAGAGGTTCATGAAGAAACAGTCGACGGTAGTGCTTTTACAGCAAAAGGTGATAAGATATTTAATAATCAAAAAGGCTGGAAAATGCAATCATTGCAAGAAATTAGGTAATTGGAAACTGGATTGCCACATATATAAAAAGGATTACGAAAATAAAAATATTGGATCGTCATAATCAATAGGGGACGCATTCATAGACTGCTCAAAGGTTATGAGGCCGAATGATGAAAACAGTAAGTGGTATGTAGATTCGGGAGCCATTAATCATATTGAATGGTTTGTATATTACAAACAATTTTACGATACTATGGAGGTGCATATTGGAGGTAGAACAAAAATTACAGCATATGGTAAAGACAGCATAAATATACTCGCCCTTGTGAATGGACCACTGTGAACAGTGGACAAAGAATCATTTGTCAAATGTTCTATGTTCCAGAAATAAAGGAAAATGTATTTTCATCGAGCGCTTGTTTGGATAAAGTGATAAAAATGATCTCAGATAATAAAATGTGCAAAATCATTAAAACTGGAAAAACTCTAGCAGTGGGATCACGTGACAATAAATTATTTACTTTAGAATTTAAAACAATATCTATAAAACAAGTATGTCAAGCTAACTTAGTAAAAAAGGTCGACATATTAGAACAGTAGCATCAATGACTTGTACACCAAAATATGCAGTATATACAAAAATATTCGACACATATGCAATTACCATTTGTTGATTCAAAAAAGGATTTTGTTTCGTGAAGCGTGCATCTATGGGAAACAGTACAGGGAACTATTTCCAACAAGCAAAACAACAGCTGAACCAGGAGAAATTATTCATTCTGACGTATGTGGGCCTATGAAAACAAATTTTTTGGGAAGTAAAAAGTATTTTGTATTGTTTAAAGATGATTTTTCAAATATTCGGTATGTGTATTTTCTAACACATAAATCAGAGATGTTAGAAAAAAATGCAAATATATTTAAATATGATTAAAACTTAACATGATAACCTGTGAAAATGTTGAGAAGTGATAACAGACTGGAATACATTAATGCTGATATAAAAGCAATATTAAATAAATTAAGAATTCAGCATCAAATAAGTACTCCTTATACACAACAGAATGGGTCGGCAAAACATGATATACAAATTATTATTGAAACGGCCAGAACTTTAATAGCCAGCAAGAATTTATCAAAAAATGTATGGACTAAAGTGGTTAATATGGTATATGTGTTGAATCACACAGGGAACTCAGACCACGAAAGTAAAGTGCCTTACGAATTATGGTATAATCAAACTCCCCAAATAAATCACCTAAGAATATTTAGAAGCGATGTATACATTCATATACCAAATGAGAAGCGACAAAAATGGGACGTAAAAGGCAAAAAAGGAATATTTGTAGGATACCAGGAAAACTCAAAATGATATAGAGTGTGCTTCAATCGGAAAGTCGAGATAAATGTAATATTTAAAGAAGGAATATCAATTCCGTCAGAAATTAATGGAGAAAAATTCACAAAAGAAAAAGAAGGAAAAACAAACTCAGGAAGTGTGATTGAAAATGAAGATAAAAATCTTAACAAAGATGCACAAATTCCAGTGGATATAGAACAGATAGTTTAAAATTATAGCAAAATATACAAGTGTATTTTTTTAAATTTTACAATTAATACAATATATATGTGTTAAAAATGATACATAAAAAATAATTTTAATAATAAATGAATAATTTTATTTAATTAATTTTATAACAAAATGGATTGTCATTAATTTTACGAAAATAAAGTTTATTTACGCCTTAAGTTATCTAATCTAGCTTGCAAGTCAGCATCAGCATCATTTGGTTGTGCAGCAGCAGCACCACCGCCTCCACCACCTCCATCTTGAGCTACCACTGGTACTTTGCCTGTGGCAGCTATACTTATTGAGCCAGAGGCTGAAGGTAATCCAGATAGTTGATCCGTGAGCTGAAGACCTAACTCATCTAACACTTGAGTTACAATTTGGTCTCTAAAATAAAAATTATATTTTCAATAATTCAAAATACTCTAAAGCTATAATAATATTCATGATTATGGTCCTAAGAGTTAATGGGTTCTCGATTAAATTAAAAATGCAATTTTAAACAATTAACTTTTATGTAAATATGTATTCTAATTGTTGATATATACAGGGTGATTTTTTTTTATCACGAACCAGCAATTATCTCAGGATTTTAAATGAATTTTATTTCTGTTTTTTCTAATCATTATGGAATCGTTTAAGCTTTATTATTATAAAACCATTTTTAATTTTTTACCCCTACTCCATGTACCTTAAATAGGTACATACTTTTGATTTTAAAATAGGATCCCCCCTCTTTTGAACACAAATTTGAATACAAAATATTTTTCTAGAAATTTAGGTATGCATAACACTAATATCAGATTTAAAGTTTATGAGTTATAACACTTTAAAGTTTAGACTAAAAGAACAGGGAAGGGTAACAATTAAATTCAAAATAATATTATCCTCCCACAAAATTTCAGAAATAATTTAGAACTATGCACATTAGTTGGTCCTGGTAATAATTTATATTTAAAAAAAAACAACACTAGCTTTCATTTATAATAAAAATAATAATATTATTATCATACGTTTCTTCTTCATCCCCTTCGTCTTCCATCGCATCATCCATAGCATCATTCATTACTTCTTCTTTCATGTCCATAACTTCAGACTGTTTTTCAAACTCTTGTAATATCCTTTGAATTTGAGGTAAATTCAACTGTCTAATACAATACAAATATAATATATTATGAGTATTTTGATAAATTAATATAAAGTGTATACTACCAAAGTTTTTTTTTCACTGATATTTGATTTGTATTTAAAACACATACCTGTTCATATTTTGCATGGCTTTAGTCACGCCTTTCATTGCTTCCCCCATAGCGTTTTGCGATTTCAGTGTTTGTATTTTCAAGGACACTGCTTGTATATTTGCTTTCATCACCATAAATTTTTTTTGGTAACGTCTTGTTCTCACCAAGTCTCTTGCCATGATTTTCACAGATTCCTAAATCCTCAAAATATTCATCTAAATAATTTAACAATTGGTAGGCTAAAACTTAGATTTCTAAAAAATATGATTTTAAGGAAATAAAAACAATTTGTTTAATGAAAATATTTAAGATTTATAATATTAAATTTAGTACTTCAATTAACCACACTTGACTCATAAGTTGGAATTATGTATTTAATGTTAATAAATGCATGAGCTCCACCGTGTCGTTCAAGTATTTCTAAAGTATTGTTGACTAAGTCTCCAATATCTTCTTGTTGATATTGAGCGTAATCAATGCCATCCCCTGTGTTTTTGTTAAGATTCTTATACACATTAAGAGGCGGTAATATTTGTCTATAGTAAGGCACTAGAGCTTCTCCTACCATATCAGCTGATGTCACTAAGGTTTGAATCATTTTTAATGTAGCTATCACTACATCTGGATGACCAGTGTTGAGTGCTAATTTGATTGGAATAATTAACTGAGGGACAACAGGTAGTACACGATCTGGTGTACCATTTCTCAACAAATCTGTAACTCCACGTTCTGCTACTGTCCGATATGGGTATGCTACTTCTCGTAATCCATCAAAAAAAATTGGTAAATAATGGTGATAGTCAATATTATCAAATGATGTTTTCCACATGACTCGTCCACTATCGACAGATAACATAAAATCACCTCTATCGTAATAACGCCGAAATGCAGTATTTCCAATTGGAGTGTGACGTGAGCGTGATCGTGGAGGACCAGCAACAATTGTGTTCGGTTGTCGTGATTGAGAACTAAACGGTGGAACTATGCGCTTATTTCTTAAATTAAAAGATTTCATAGTAAAATATTATTTAAAAAATACAACACCTAATTAAAAACAATTATCTAAATTATTTTAATAAACTATACTTGTAATTGTGTAGAGTAATATAAACATTTTGTTTTAATCATAAGTGGATTTGTTTTTCTATGTATGTCATTTTGTAACTAGGATACAGTTTTATATTGATCAAATAAAACATACAAAATAAATATATTATTGTAATTTTAGTTTTTTTTTTTCGTAAAAGTTTAAATAGATACACCTTGTTCACATAAAATATCTAATTTTATAAAATTGTGTGGATGATTTTAGCTTTTTAATAAAAGAAAGTATAATTACTTGTAAAATAAATAATTATTCAATTTCTTTCGTGTTATAATTCGAATAAGTTAAGATCCAAGCTAAGAAGTCACTCAACAATAGAATTGACTATTTTTTTATGGGCAAAGTAATCTAAATTGTTGTTTATACATTGTAGATTACTGTAGATTACTCTATTAAGGAAATGTAGAATTATATAAATAAACATAAATTTCATATTTTATGACAATAGATATTAATTAAATAGGTAGGCACACACAAAAAATGAAAAAACATATACCTATTTGTTTTATATTTTATCTTTTAGTATTCCATAAAAGTATAATTCATTTAATGATATAGGTACATAAGAGATGAACACATAGAACAATATTAATTTGATATAAAAAAAGCCGTATACCAAAAAAATAAACCTAGTAAAAAAAAAACCAGTACAAAATTATTAGGAAAAATCCCCACTGTAAATTAAAAGGTATATAAAAAATAATAATTTATTTGTAAGTGAATTGAACAACATTGGTCTTTTTTTTTAATTGAACTAATTTGTTTTAACGATACATTATCTGAGAATATTGCATATTATTTAGGTACTTTTTTTTAAAGTGTTTATAATTATTTTAGATTCTGAGAGGAGCGAATAATGTATTGGGTTTACATGTTTTTTTTAAACTGTAAACAACTTTTCTACCAGAAATATTGATCCAATTTACAAATGTAGTACTTTTTCTGAAAGGAAATCTGACTTGGATGGTACTTTAGGAAAGTATTTTTTTGATTTTCCCTGGAGTCTTCTCAATAAATAGGAAACATTGTAGAAAAAACAGGAAAATAAATGTAATACTAAACAAATATTATTAAAGATAATATATAAGTAATACATATGTATTTTACCATAATGTGACATATATATTGTTGACAAAGTTACACTATTAACCAAACTCCGCTCAAAATCGTTTTTCGTTAGTAATGATTAATCACTAAGTACAGACATAAATTCTACATACTAGCTTCCCAAATTTTCACCTACAAGATTGGCCTGTCTACATGTAAAGTATGTCGGCCTTTTTTTAAATTTGAATAATATATATTAATTTATAAGCATTTTTTTGGTTTGGGGCCTTTTCCCTTTCTTACGGATAAATTGCTTGCTAGTTGTTATACTAAAAATGTAAGTAATAAATGTCAAGTGACAAGTCATTATTTATCATATTTATGTTTTCATAATATAATGTTATTATAAGTTAATTACCAAGAAAATCATTAAAAATATTATCTAAGACATTTATAATAAGTTTAATAACGAATTTTCAATTTATATCAATAACCTAAGTCTAAATTTTTCAAAATCAAATACTTAAAATACAAAATTATGACATACCATTTGTCCATCTTTGGCCATTTTTTTAATGTCCATAATAATTTTCTTTTCTTGCTGTTCCATTCTCATATTTTCACGGTCCAAATCACGCATAGCTTTATTGAGAGCTCGTTGATTTTTTCTCAACATCTCGTCGGGTGTCATACGACGTCCAAATAACCATTCCAACGGCATTTTGGGCTGTAGTATTTCTATTCACTTGTACTGCATAAATTCGAAAAGTGACTTGGGAAAAGACAATAGTATAACATAGAATAATACCAATGGACTTAAGTTATAATCACAGATATATCTGATATCTGTGATTAAAATTCATTATAACTATTCTGTAATATAAATACTGAACTATCTGAACTGTGGAATCAGCGGATATATCCCGTTGATAAAAAAGTAACCATGAACTTATCTGTGAAGATAACAAATATTCTTTATCAGAATAACCACTTTATAACCATAGATAACATAACCATCTTAATTGATATCAATGTTGACTATATTGTTTACTTTAGCCGTCATGGTATAAAATTAATATAGGATGTAAATTATAAAACTTCTATTTAATATCTTGTGTGTGTAGATTATTAATTGTAAACATTCTTGCTTATAATTATTTTTATTGTTCTTTTAAAATTTATAAGTTTTCATGTATTCATTATAATTTAAAAACACTTAATATCAATGCATTTTGTATGGAGAACAAGACATCAGATACAATAATTAACGAGCTATTCAATTCCTTAAACTTCAAAGTGGCCTGTGTTCCTGAATCAGATAGTGCATCTGCTTACTCAATGGCAGAGTCAATTAAAAAACATAAACGACATGACAAATCAAAAAAACATAAAAAACATAAGAAAAAATCAAAGAAATCTAAGAAATCAGTACACCATTCAAGGTCCAATTCACCTGATGATTACATTATATTGAAACTCAAAAAAGATAAACTCGAAGAAGCCGAATCTGGTATGCCTGTAACATTAGATGTAGTTATGGAAACAATTGTAACTACAGCAAATGAAAAAAGTGAAGAGTTTAAAGATATCAAATGTGATGCAAATAAGAACAGTCCAAAAGAAAACATATTAACAGATGAAAACAAATTACTAACATTAGAAAACGATATAAATCAAACAAGTAATATACCTGTATTATATATACATTAAAAAAACCGTTATGTATTGTTAGTGATTTTAAATAAATATTTTTTTTAATACTTAAAACTTTGTGCTGTAGGGTTAAATAATGGCAAGATAATTATTAAGGATTTAAAAGATAGTCGTTTTTACCATGAATTAATTAATACGATTCACGATGATAAAAGTCCAAAAGTTAATAAATATGAAGATAGAGAACAAAGTTGTTCTTCTCATGAAATAGATAAAAAAAAAAAAAAAGGTGAGAAACAAAATACATAATAAATAATTTCACGAAATATATTAAATTTCATTATATTATTTTTTATCAAATATTTATAGAAAAACATAAATCAAAAAAAAAGAAAAGATCAAGGAGTAAAAATAGATCCAGTACTCCAAAACGGCATAAAAAACGTAAAAGGTCTCTTTCACGTAGTAGTAGAGATAAGTATGTTTTTTTTAAATGTATTATATACAAATTATCTTATTGTATGATTAAGAATTTAGATGTACTACCTTGATCAAGTATTTTCAAATTGACCAAATAATACAATTGAGTTACATAAATATAAAATATACTTCATACATTTTCAGAAATATTTATAAAACATTAGACTACTTGCTGCAAATTCCTTAAGTTCATTGGCTTCGTCTGATTTCCACTTAATAACTTCATTTAAATCTTTATATTGCGTATTAATTCACCCTATCCTGGAGACAGTTCTATTAGGGGGACCCAAACTCCTCTGTCATCAAAAATATGATCGAGAGAGTCTAAAGAAGGTTCCTTGAGATGGTTGCTTACAGATTTAAGATTACTTGCCTCCCATATGACTCACCTGTTTTGCTTGCGCTGGACTTCACATCCCTTTCAGATCGTAGGCATCAGGCGTTTATTGAATTCTCTCCAAACATTTATTCAAGCAAGTAGACTCCCTTTCTTTACTTAGTGAAATAATCTCCCGTGAACCTCCACATCATACTTATTCTTTTATTCCTTTTTCCATCCCATGTTTATCTTCTAATTTCCTTCGCAAAGCCCCAATGGTTCATCTCCCCTATTCTGCTATCACCAACCCTATCTTTCATTGTTAAAATTATGAAATATTTAATTATTATATAAATGTATATGCACTTCACATTTGTATTTGGACTTATCTGTTTGAAAATAAAACTAAAATAAATTTGATACTTTAATTTTTTAATGGTTTAAAAAATGTACTTTTTTTTATTAAGGTATTCAAAGTATGATGATTTCAAGAAATCGTCGAATTCAAGAGATCAAAATAGATACAAAGATAGCAATATTAAATCAAAAGATAAAGATAACCACTATAAACGTTCTATAACACCTGTTAAAGACCATAGACATTCAAGATCAAAAGACATTAAAAAACTAAAGAGATTAGATGAAAATTACAAAACGAAAAAACGTTCAAGATCAAGAGAAACATCTAATTATAGGACTAAAAATAGATCTTCTTCTTGGTAAAGAAATATTTTTTATTTTTGTAATATATTTTATTAATAGGTAACTTAATTTTTCAGCGAAAAAATTGATAAAAAAAAACTATTTAAAATAGCTCGTAAAAATGCCTTATCATTAGTACAACAAGGTGTATTACCAGTGGGAAGTGTAAAAAAAGAAAATTTGCCTAATGTACCTACTAAAACTGTTGATGAATTAACAGGTGATATATTTTAAATAATAATCTACACAAAATATAAATTAAAAATTACATATCACTTAATTTTTGGATTCTTAATTCTGTAATAAAAATATATTAAACTGTTCATTTTGTTAAGGTGTCATTTTTTCTTGCAAAATACTTTTAGTTAGTCGAAACTAATATTACTACTCTATGGTTAGTTATAATGCTTAGATGTTTTTTAACGTAATCCTTTAAAAAGTAAAAAATTTCCCCTGGTAGAAACTATATTTTTTAGAGTTTGTTAATATGATGTAGATTATTGTTATTGTATTTTATAAAATATGTAGTTATTTGTTAAATTTTACCAGATTTCCATGTTCATCAAAACAAATTTAAAAACTGATAGTAATTTAACCTTGTTGTCAGTTAATTGTTTCGTTTCATAATTATTTGAGAATCGTTTTTATAATTGCAATGGTTTATACTTTCAATATATTAATTAAATTACACTATATCCTATACCTTACCAACACCCAGTTACAAAAGTGAATTACCACTTACCAACACACCATCTTCAGAATTTAATTCAATTCTTTTTGTTTAATTTGTAAATTGCGTAAATACGTTGAAAAATTTATATTTTAATGTAAACCAATGTTTTGTAAATTAATATTATTATACAAATTGTTTAAAAATAAATTATATTAGGTACGAGTATTATTGTTTTTAGATTTTTGTCGGAAACTCTCTAAAAAGGATAAAGATCATGATGATTCTTCTCTATCGAGTTCTGATGAAGAATTTAAACAACCTTTCCACCATCCATTTTTGGTTAAGGAAAGACCCAATATAGTCTTGAACATTAGAGTAAGTAAATCTCTTAATGCAATCAAGATGTTTTAATCATACCTTCTTCAAATGATATGATTCATTCTAAAATTCAAACTTACCTTCTTCAAATGATAAGTTTGAATTTTAGATTCTGAGCAGAGCAAGGAATGTATTGGTTTTAAAATGATGTTTATTTTTCATTTTTTTTTTCTATCAGCAATTTTATTCTAATTTTTTAAGCATAGCACTTTTTTCCAAAAGGAAATCTGACTGGAGTATCAACTACTACCCGATGACCTCTCTACATATTATTAAAAGTTGTGTTTTGATTTAGTTAAAAATATTTGTAGAGAATTGAAGTTTGGACATAAAATTTATATTTGATCCATTTCGCCTTTTACAGATGTGGTAGAATTTGCAAAACAGCTATTTTTGAACTATTTTTTTTTTTTTCATAATTTTATTTGGTAGGTACTTCGTAGATGAAATTGTTAAACAAAATAAAAATGCTAGAAAATTTAACAGGAGGTTCATTATAAAGGTTATACTTTGAGGTATAAATAATAAATTGAGTGTAGTATAAAATTTTTTTTATAAGTATTGTAATATCTAAGTTTGACGAAAATCATTTTAGTAAAAAACATTATTAAAGAAAATATACAATGCATAAGTAATTATTTTACCCTATATGACATATATATTGTTGAAAAAGCAACACTATTAACTGAATTCCATTTTGAATCATTTTTTGTAAGCAATGGTTAATTGTTGCATACAGACACATTAAATTTCCTCTTTTTCTTCCCAACTTCTCACCTCGCAGAGGCCTACTCAATATATGAAGTATGTTCGTCTTTTTTAATATACAATCACTACATATTTTAGAATGCAACTCAATTGCCTACAAAATCATTTCAAGAAAAAACTATTGGGCAAGATGTATTGAGACAACAGTTTCCTGTGTCCAGTGGTCAAATTCATAGTTTAGCCGTTAATGAATGGGTACCTCTAGGTCCTGAAGAGTCTGCAAAATTGAATAAAATTTCCCGACCAGATGAAGGTAACAAACTCTCTGCAAAACCACTAGTTCAACAAGCACCAAAAGTTATCTCTGTAAGATGGATATAGTTTTTACCTTTTACATAATTTTTAATGCGCAGTATTATTTAGGTGGAACCTGTTGTTCAACCTGATACAAGTAATGCTATAGTATCAATGGAATATGAGTATACTTTACCAGCTATCGAACCTTCAGCAACCATAAATTCTTATGTAAAACTATCAGATTCAAATAGTTTAATTTTATCATTATTACAAAAAATGTGTAAATTAAATGTTTTAGGCACACGGTAGTTATTCATTGTTATCATATGAAACAGGACAATTCACAGGCCATACTGGTGCTAAAATATTAACTCCTGCAGAATTATCTGCTGGTTATCAACCTTGGGTGAAAAAGGTAAAATGTATAGTAAAATTGTTATAGTATCTCCTATTATTTGTTTTGTTTGTATAATTTACTGGGTGTAGCACAATTTTTTGCACTGTACATTTTCTTCAAATTCGACATTGATTTTCATTGGGCTTTCAACCACTTGGAAATACTACTTAAAGGTAGTATAAGATTAAAATTCTATATGTATTTTAAGTAAATAAAATTTCTATACATAATTATTAAAACTATACTATATCTACATATTTATTTATTATAATATATAACTATTAAGATTTACATGAAATTTAAATTTTAAACCATTTATAAGATGCACAGTCTATTAGAAACTTTATGTTGCATCTAATTATGTGTTTAGTTAATTATAAAATTTGTAAGAAATGGTCTCGATCTAATATTTCAAAAGGTAAATTTAATTATTTATAATAATTAAATTTTAATTATTTTTTATATCAAGACATTTTCTTGTCAGTTGTATGTTTATTTAGCAATAAAATAATTGCTAAATAAACATGCATATGTAGTGCACGAAAGCCAAATGAAAATCTGTTACAGGCAGTTTTACTTGTGTTTAACGTATTTAAGCGCTAAATCGAGAACACCTCAATCAAACCAACGTTTGTCTGCTGAGCATTCATGGGATATCTGATGCGGCCCCTGGTAATTTTAATGAATACGTGAACGTATTTACTTATGAGTGTATACGTTTACAGTATTTTGTTAAATTTTATTATAAATGGAAAAAAAGAATTGAAAATACTTATTATGTATTTTAGTAAGTATTAAAATTAATAAATGAAAATGTAGTATTTATATACATTTCAATGATCATTTAGTTCAACACGGATATTTTACACTGAAAACTACACAACTTTTAAAGATTCTATACATTCCACTATACATATATGTATTAACAAACAACTACTTCTTAAAAACCATATACCATAAATTATTAAAATATTCAATTAATTTAATTATAGGATCAGCTTAAAAATACTGCTCCTGTTAATAGTGGTATAGGAATTCATTTGTTACAAAAAATGGGATGGAAGCCTGGTGAAGGTCTTGGTAAAAATCAATCTGGGTCTTTAGAACCTCTTTTATTAGACGTCAAAATGGATAAACGAGGTGAAAAAAAAACTATGTGTACTTGCAGTATTGTTATAGTAAATATAATAATAGTTTTTAAATGTTTTATAGGACTAGTTGCTGAAGAAGAACTCCAAGGAAATCGTACAAAACGCTTTTCAAAAAAACCAGCTCCAGCTGTGATGTCATTAGAAGGTAAACATTTAAATAAATAATTTAATGATAATATTGTTTAATCATTATTTAATAAATACATATTGTTATAGGAAAACATCCGGTTTCATTGTTAAATGAATTTTGTGCTAAACGTAAGTGGGATGTACCTAAATTTAATACAATAGAAGAATCTGGTCCTAGTCATAGAAAATCATTTGTAATGGCAGTAAGTATTCAAAATGTTTATGCAATTAGTCCTCTACTTATAGTTTTTGGTTTATGTAGGTAGCTGTTAATGGAAAGCAGTATTGTTCATCAAAATGTCAAACAAAAAAATTGGCGAAAATGGATGCTGCTAAGATGTGTTTAAAAGAAATTGGATTTGTTAAATTGAATTGAGATTATTAAACTGAATTTTGATTAAGAAAATCTTTAAATTACTAACCTTATTTATAATATTCTCACTCTGTAATATAATTGTATATTATTGATATAGTTTTTAAATCAAACTATTTATTTGATTACAAATAATATTAATTGTATAGATTATTTTCCATTTTGATATAGGCCATATTTTAGACTTCGAGTAGAAGAGATATTTACTATTTGGTTTAGTGGTGTTTCTTTAGTTTTGTACAAACAAATTATTTGTTCAATAACATTGCTTTTAAATGTTTAAAGAAGTAGTGTTGATTATATAGTAGGCCATACAATTTTAATATTTGGCTACCTCCTGTAGTCACTATGTAACTAAATAATGGCTATTCTCACCAACATAAACCTTTTTGTTTACCTGATTTTTAAATCGAGTTTATGGTTAATAATCAATTACAATAAGTCACCCGCTTATAAACTCAGTTTAAAAATCAATGTTTGTTAGTGAAAACAGCACTAACTCATTAAATATTTCTATACTAGGGGCTATATATAAGTCTATTGTATAATATTAATGATAATAGTATATAATACTTTATACTACTAATATATAAAACCGCATTGCTGTGATGTAGTTAAATGAAGCAACAGGAGTGCCCAAAATTGAACCTTCTATCTGTATGTCCATTTAATAGTTGTAATCAATATTATTTTCTTTAAAATATACAGATTAATTTAGACATAATAATAGTAAAACGAAACTAATACAAAAATAAAATATCACTGCTTCTATACAAGCAATTATTAATTCCTTATTTTTAAATGTTCAGGATTTTAATTTCTTTTGATATTACTCATAAATTTACAAAATAATGCTGGATTAAGTTATGTATTTTAGTAAATATTAACACAATAAGATATCTTTTTGGACTATACATAAATAACATAAATGTAAAAATAACGATGTTTTTATTTAAAATAAAACAAAAATGGCCTAACTTAATTTAAATTATAAATATTTATTTTTTTAAACTTTAGTAAAGAATGTGTTCACCAAATTATAGTATAGATCAAAGGTAGCCAACAGGCATGGAGTTTGGGTGGAGGTTCATAGAGTCTAGATCACCCTCAAATTTGAGATTTTCATAAAAAAATCAGATTATTGGTAGTTGGTGATAAATTTTATGATTGGACTCGACCCCTCCAAAAAAAAAAAAAAATCTTAGCCATGTGCCTGATAGTCAACATGAGTATATTCACGATGCATAAATACAATGGTATCAAGAGCTAAAATGTTTATAAATACATTTTATAATTTTAAAAACAGTAGAACCTTGATTATCCAAACTTATTAGGAATACACTTAGTTCGGATACTGGAAACTTTTTAAAAATTTAAAAATCTCACATTAAAACACTTTAATGTAGAAAGTAAATAAATATTATTGATATTATGTACAAAATTACATACAAATTACATACAGTATGTATTAATGTACTGCCCTCACATAGATATGCTGTTTAAATAAATGCATAGTGTATCAATTATACTATTTTACATTATGAGTATTGCAATAATAATTTGTGACAAAAATGATAAAATCGGTATACTAACAGTGATAACATTTTAGATTCCGAGTGGAGCGAATAGTTTTACAAAGATGTTTATATATTTTTGTTTATCTGTGCGTAACTTTTCTACCAGAAGACTTGCTTGGATCAGCACCTTTTTTGAAAGAAAATCGGCATGGTGGAGTATTTTAAGGAAGTTATTTTTTGACTTTTTGAAAAGTTTCCTCATTAAATATGAAAAAATGGTAATATGTATGAAATATAATCTTATGATTTTTTTTTCTGTGCATAACTTTTCTATCAGCAGTCAGTTTTGCTCAAACTTTTAATGATAGCAATGTTTCTAAAAGAAAATTTCACTAGTGAGGTAATTTTTTGATTTTATTAAAAGTTTTCTCATTAAATTTGAAAAAGCAAAAAAAAAAAATAAATGAGAAAATATAAGAAATGTTGGTAGATATTAGTTAAAATATATTATGGTTGTTATATTTACTATAATATAAAAATGTCAAATAGTTTTATTACATCTTGTATACTACTATTGTATATGTATGTACTTGTATTTGTCGGGTATAAACCAAACAAATATAAATTCATAATAATTATAAGTTTTTATAAATAAGACTCAAGTCACAAGTTTGTCACCTCTATTGTAGGTATATATTTATTTGACCATATAATTATTATATTACTTATTTGACAACTATATAAAGATTAAATAAAAGCCATAAAGAAAATGTAGGTAAAATACTGTGATTTTATTACAATAATATGTATTTGAATTATTTTAAAAATGTTTTCATATACTGGTTGTAAATTATTTTAAATTGACGTTTTGTATATGGAGGTGGAATATTATTTCGAATATAATTTTCGGAATATGATTTATAAATATAATCCAAACAAATGCTAGTCTCAAAGAATTGTTTTTTTAACTCTCCAGGAGCTTGATAAGAGCTTAAAACCCTAGGAATACCTTTTATGTATGAAAATACCTTTTCGTATTCTTCAAAGGGTACATTTTCCAGATTAACTTCAGAATCACTTTCAGGCTCATACAAATTATAATCATTGTCTAATAGTTTTAAAGATTCCCTCATGAAATCTGTCATTAAAACCGACTTGCCAGTTACTTTTACTTGGTTTGGTAAATTAGCTTTCAATGCCGTATCTTTGTCTGAATACCAACTGTAATTAATTGGCTTTAGAACACCATTGAGACGGTTTTCTGTGATACCCAATGTGTTGATAAAAAATGTTCGGCACACTTTTACAGTCAAACTATTCATTATCAAATGGTATAATGGACAGCACTCAAATGTTTCATTGCTCTTTTTAATCAAACGTAATTTTACTAATTGAGTGATTTTACAATTTTGCTCAGTTACATTGTGCAGTATCTGAAACTGGTTATAGATCTCTCTTCGTTGAGGACCAGGTATTGAATAGTAACATATAAGTTGACAATCTGTATCACAGGTGGCAGGAAGCATTTCACCATAACATTCTGTTAAGTCTGAATCGTATATTATGGATTTTGGAATTCCTAAAGAAAAGAAGTGAATTATAGAATAATATAATGTGTTTATAATTTTATATGAAATTCAAATACTTAACAAAATATTTTGGCCAATAATAAGATATGCAACAAATACAGAGGTGTTAATGTATTGATTAAAATTTTACAAATATTCTTTTAAAAAGGATTTTTTGGTTAATAATTATCTATTTTTTTTATTTAATAACTATAAATTGTATAATAATTGTATGATAATAGTATTAAATTTTTTCAAAAATAAAAACAAAACACAATTTCTACATTACTTTAATAGGTAATGAATATAAATGGTATTATAAATATAATGCATAAAATAATATTTTAACTTAAAATACAATTTTTTTTTCTACTAAGAGAAACACTATTTTTCAAGTAGATAACACTTTATATTTGATTGATAAATTTGTTAGAAGTACTTGTATTTCTAATTTGTACACAAATGTTAAATTAAAATCACTATCAGATTACCTTTAGTTTGTTTTTTTTCTATTAGCTCTGGAATTTTTGATTTAGTATTCTTGGGTATATATTTTTTTTCAAATGTTAAAAACTCTCCCACATCATCACCATTTAACATGTCTAAGTAAATATAGTCACGATCATTTCCATTGTTTTTTGATTTTGGAATAATATTGACTTCTGTAAATAATAAAATTAAGTGAGGAAGAATGTAAGATATATTTTATGAGTAAATTTTGGTAGTATTTTAGTGTGGAAAAAAAATTTTTACAAAATAGAATGTGTCTTTCTTCAATTCATGATAAAATATCTTTTGACATTATCCATATTTGTAGAGGTATATAAATATCCTCATGATTGTTTAGAAGAAATTACGAAAATTCTGATAGAATTAAAATGACTACATTACAAATTTGTTGAGGCTGCATACAATTCAGTGAATAGAGAAGGACTATGGAAAATAATAGACCAAATGGGGATACCAAGAAATATAAGGATGATTCGAGCATGTATGTATGAATTGAAAAGTAACGTAAAGTATAGAGGGGAAGAATCAGAAGAATTTAAGGTAAGGACGGGATTAAGACAGGGAGATGCCTTATCATCAGCCCTTTTTAAAATAACTCTGAAATCAATGATGAGAGAAATCTTGGCCGGAGCAACAGGAATCAAAATAAGAAATGACTGGCAACTGGTAGTAGCAGGTTAAACTGACAAAGATATAATTGAGAGAGAGGAAAACCTTAACAGAACTACTAGCAAACTGTTGGAAGAAAGCGAAAAATATGATTAATGATAAATGAGAGAAAAACAAAATTTATGGTTAGGTTAGATATTTGTAAAAGTGTTGGAACATTTTTCAGGTCAGTACTCCTTAAAATGTTCAAATTCAAAAATAACAGGCATCTTAATAAATATTAACATGGAACTTACCCTTAAAATCATATTTTTCCGAAAATTCCACTTGTGATTTTTTAATGCCATTTGAAAACATTTGTTTATTAGGTACATTGTTAATAGGATTAACATTTGAACTATTAATGTCTGAATACATATTACTCAAATTATTTTCATTTGTTGCCATTTTCATCTTTTTACATTCTGATTCATTAATCAAAAAATAAAATAGAACAATACCGTTACAACCAAAATAATTAAATTTGTAAGTTCAATATCATATATAAAAAATCTGTCTAACGGGCATAGCCATTGTTATGAGTGGGAAGTTGGAATGTAGGATATAGAGAGGAATTTAATGTATATTTGTACGAAACAATATTAACCATTGTTAATGAAAATGATTTTGAGCGAAGTTCGGTTGATAATGTTGCTTTGTCAACAATATATGTTATATTATAATAAAATAATTACATATGTATTAAACATTTTTTTTAATAATTTCCCTGTGTTTTTTCCATTTAATGGAAAACTCCTGGGAAAAACAAAAATTACTTCTCTTAAGTACCTCCCCAATCAGATTTCTTTTTAGAAAAAGTTCTATAATTGTAAGTTAGATCAAAATTGCTGATAGAAAATTGTTCACAGGAAAAAAAAGGCCATACAATTTTTTAACTTATACCTAAAACATTGCATAAACTTTCAAAAGCAAATCGGATAGTTTAGGAAGATACTTTAAAAGATGCTTGATAACTACATCAGATGGATTAAGCTGTTTTACTGAAGTGGTCATTAGAGTACCTGGCCATGAAATATATGTTAATAGAGGGTATAGAAGAAGATTTATTCTTGGTTGGAGTAGGCAAAATGATGAGCAACACAGAGACAGGAAAGTAGCCATTGGGGAGGGTCCATTGGGTTTGGATGAAATTTAAGTTTCATACAGAAAAATCATATGGTAGTTTGATTTTCTAGCCAATACGTTTTAAATTTTCTTTTCCTAGACAATTATTGGTAGTTGATGATGAATTTCATGTTTGGACCACCAAAAAAAATCCTGGCTATGTGTCTGTACAGAGAATATATAGCAACTGGAAACTCCATGATTGTAATACTCTCCTTGACTTCAAGAAGAGATAAAAGAATTAAGATGATAGAAAATATAAATTATAAACTCTCTATCAGGAAATCTTGGGAAACCATAGGGTTTTCCATAGGGAAAATCAGTCCTAATACTAAATGGAAGATGTTTGCTATGAAAATCCAACTAGATACTTTCTAGATCAAATATTGATAAAAAAAACTTTTAGAAAAAAAACCGATTTTATTTATAAAAAAAACTTGGTGGAAGAAAGATGTGAGTCTGAATTAAACGAGGTAATTAAGAAAATTAGAACCAGTAAAATGACATGTTTTGACAGGAGTTTTTAAGCAATTGTGGGACTAAAACCAGACTTTGAATAATTAAATTTTACTCAAACATTTTTTGTACTGGAATACTCCCAAACAATTTAAATGTACTAAGATTCTTATAATACTGAAGCCCGGAAAACCAGACAAAGAAGGACAGAGTTATCACCCCATTGTTTTTCTAAGTGTTAGACATAAACTGTTAGAAAGGCTAATCTCCAATCAAATTTTAGAACCTATAAACAAAATTATTCCTATCAAACGGGTAAGCTTCCATCCTAACATAATTGGCTGTAACTAGGAGGTTTTCTCCCTAACGACACACATATAGGCTAGGAAAACATCTAAACCTGCTGCAAAATTTATAGGTCAGACATTAGTGTATGACATTGTATGGTGTTTGAGAGTGATCAATAAACTTTTACATGTAATTCCTTGTAGATTAATTAATAGAATTATAAATAAAATTTTTTCTTATAAGCTATTCACAATAATAATTGGGTAAAATAAAAACACACAATAGTACTTAATAATGGACTACCTCAGGGATCTGTTTTTGCACCACTCTTATTTATTTATATATTTACGAGTTAAAACTCATATGTATATAAGTAAATTTGTTATAGAATTTTCATGCGAAGTTTTTAAAACAGATGATAAAATATTATATTGTATTATTTGTGATCAAGCTGTGCCAGTAAAAACGTTTTCAGGTAGTAGAACATTTAAATACAAATAAGCATACAAAAAATATTAATTTAAAAGCTGAAGACACAGTAAAATTGATAGAAGCCTCTGACATTAACATTTAATATTAACCAATATATACCTACGACATTATCACATATTGTCAATGTTTGACCCACATTTATCAGGTATATAATTCTATTAAAACTCAAGAACTACTTTTTTAGAATTTTAATACAAAATAAATGTATGAAGTAAAAATTAAACAAAAATGTCAGTGTATGATAAAAAGACTAAAAACAAATCAGGTTAGTGGATAAATTTCACAAAAACCTAATCAATCAACCTACCTAAAAACAATTATAAAATGCATAAAAATACATAAAATATTCTAAAGAAAACAGTTGATGTAATTAGTTCTAATACTTCAGAAAATCACTATACACAATGCACAAAGATAGAGAAATAATAAGAGTAATTGAAACTAATTCTGTAATTAAAAAACTTTGATAATTCGGAAATAGTTACAAAAAACATAAATGACTCGAAAAACGCAAACTAAAATGAAATACCAATAATTTTTTAAAAAAAATAGTTAAATAATATAGAATAATTAAAACGGAGAAATGGAAACAAATTATACGAAGAAAATATGAAAAATTAAGTCTAAATAAATATTACACTTAAAAATTACTATTAAATAAATAATGATCTTTTTGTGTTTCAAATATGAATACAAAATATTCACATACAGATTATTCTAGTATAAATAAAATGTAGTTCAGTATTTTTATTCTGTACAAATATTAGTAATGATTTTTGATAATTCGATGATACTTTTATTACCTACCTATTTACACAGTGTAATTATGTAAATGGTCTAAGCTATTTTTATCATAAATTTAAAATTAAATTGAAGATATTACACAGATTCCATATGAATAAGTATGCACTGTGTGCAATGTGTTTTAATTGAACTAAATTGATAAAATATGAGTAAACAAATAATCAAATATTATACAGTAATATATTTTGCCTTGCTTTTAAGAAATAGTATGAGACAGCAACATCTGATAATTATTACTTTTATAGAAATAGTTAACATAATATATTTAAAATAAAGATTTTGATTTACCATCTGCAATTTCTTTTTCAAATGATTCCAGGTATAATTTCGTTGCACTTGAAGTAGTTTTATTTTGAAATTGTGACCCTCCATTCATTGAGAAGTTGCTCCCATTGCTATCATTATTGAAAATGTTCATAAAGTACTCAAGATTTGATTTTTTAAACTTTTTTGGGGAATATACAAATGGTTGTTCTGTTTAAATGAAAATAAATGAATAAACATAATAGAATTTGTGATTGTGTTGCTGAAAAATATATATATACAGGGTGATTTTTTTTATTATGTTGTTTATCTGTGACCCTTCTCTACTCCTTCGGTCTAAACTTTAAACTGTTATAATTCATAAACGGTTTTTCTATACTTTTAAATAACCAAAAATTAAATACATACAATGAAATTAATTATTTTGAATTATCATATAGATATACATTTTTGTAACTCACTCTAAATAAAAATTGTTTTAGGTTTTCATTTTTAGTGATTTTATCATTGTAATCCTTCTTAAGCTTTACTCTCCTTTCAGCACTATCATTAACTATTTGTAAAGAATCTTTAGTCCTTTTTGCCGACTGGTATGCATGATTATCATTTCACTTGGTTGGATCTATTTGTAGATACTCTGATGAAATTCTGAATCTTTCAAATAATTTACATGACTTATAACTTAACAAATTTACAGGTAGTTCTTTTTTTAAAAACTTATCCACGTCTTCTAACTTTAAACACAAATTTTTGTCCAGATAAAAATTTGTCTACGTCTCCCGGTGTTAATTCTATTCGTTCTTGATATTTAAAGTTTATCAGCAAAATTTTTTTTTTTTCAAATTAAATCCTTTCATCAAATACAAAAAATGCAGCACATTCTTCATTCAGATACCATAAATAATTTAAACATTTTGACAAACATGCATCTGCAATTTTTTTTATCATCATTTTTGTATTTATTTAAAGTACGTATTAAATTTATATCATTAAATGGAAACTCATTAACATTTGTGACTGTAAACCAATATTTAATATAATTTTTAACGATAAAGACATTAATTCTCACTATAGCATTTTCTTTCGTTTTTGTTATTTTGAATTCAGTTCATAGTAAAAATATTTTCAGTCAATAAATATATTTTGCCATCCACCTTGCCTGATGACATGCGTCAGGTTGACAAATTTTCATTCCACCAAGTGAAGTTTCTCCAAGTAAAATAAGAACTAGTTCAATAATTCTTTGTAATCGTCTCTAGGATGATCTTCAGAAATATTTTGTAAGTAAAATGAAACAAATTAGCGTATTGGCAAAATTATTTTTTCAAACTTTTTACTTGTATTCCAAATCAATATATTTGTTTTATTAATTTCTTTCCATGCATTTTATAAGAGGTTGAAAATAAGTATAATTGGTCCAAACAATATGTATAATTTGGCCTCGTTAATGTAGCCTGGATAATCAACTTTGAAAAATGATGCCTACAAGCAAAATAAATAATTGCTCTATTCAATATCTGCTCCAAAAGTGTATAAGACCCATTTAGTCAGCTGGTGTTTGATGCAGTAGTATCAAATACAAAATTTTGTACCTTGTCAAGTTATGCCCATTTGTCTAAACAATCATATATGGGTAAACTCCAAGAAGTTGTTCTCCATTAGGAGTTGAGATAATTACTGGAAATTGTTAAACTTTTACTTGGTCACTCAAGTAGAGAAGTAATTTTGTATCATAATGTACAACTACTAAATCAGTATTTAAGCTAAAAAAATCTGAACAAATTTTTTCCGAGATTTCTTTTCGATAAATGCTCGGTTAATTTTAATAGACGTTCAATTAATAATATAACTGGCTGGATTTAAAAAAATACTTTCAAGAAGTACTGTTAATAACAGTAACCTAACCTTACACTTATCTGTAAGTACAAATATGTACTAAATTCCCATGATAAAATTTATTTTGATAATATTATTTCAGCTGAAGTTTGTATAAGGTAAATCTACGAAATGATAGATATACATAAATTAATAATAAATAAATAATATCATTAATCAATTTTTCCAAATAAATTAAATATTTTATTATTTTTCATGTTGTATAATAGATACGAAAAATGTTATAAATACATTTTTTATAGAAAACAATTTTTTCTACAGTTAAAGTTCAATGCATTTTTATGTTAAATCTTCTATTTTTTGATTAAAATATAAAAAACTATTAAACTACCCTTGTTGGCTTATTTTCAATCCCCTTGAGCTACGAGAATAGGATGAGTAATTATGCTCAAATTTCTTTAACTTATATATAACATATGATAATAAAAAAAATGGGAGGGTCCAGCAATACAAATAATATTTTTTTATCATCAATAAATAATGGTCACCCTAATGTATATAACTAAAGATTAATAATAAATAACATTTGCATTACCTTTAGTAGTATCTCTGTCTGTTAAATCAGATTGCATTGCTGCAGTTGTGAATACTTGTTTATGATCTATTATACTTCTTGATGAATTTAACAAATTACTTTCTATTTCATTTTTTTCCATTATTAAAATATCTTCATGTAAATTTTCAAAGTTGAGTTCTTCACCTTTATTAGTTGAATCCTTTAAATTTGTATGCCATATTAAGAATTTAAAAATGAATTGCACAAGAAACTATTTTTAGAAATTTTTTGTTCACATACCTTACATATCTTGGGTTTATTTGAGGAAATTGCATGGATTTGCAAATCATAATTACAATTACTAAATTCCTTATCACCTTCTACAAGCTGATTTATGTTGTAATATTTAATATGATCAGAACATATCCTATCAGTTTCTGAAGGCTGCCAATTCGGTACTCCAATATTGTTCAGCCATTTGTTAAGCATAACTTTGTTTTCTAATGGAAATCTATAATTGAAAAAATTAATAAAAAAAAAAAATTAAAACTTGAAGACAATATATACATAGTTTATATAGTAGGATTCATATAAAAAAGGCTTGGATTCTTAAATAATCTAACATGAATTAAAACAATATTTTTACTTGAAAAATAATCCTATTTTTTCATTTTTCAAAGATATATTTTTACAACCTTGGATAGAACAATTTACAATCTGTGATGTATTTAATATTTTAGTTCCTGAAATATTTTTTTTTATAAATATTAGCACACAATATAAATAAATATAATATTATATACAATATAAGATAATTATACTTACTATTATTATCAGTAATAGTAGTGTTCTTCCGTTTTCTGATAAGTCTTGCAAATTCATGGGGCAATAAATAAAGAGTTGGCACAATATTAAAGTTCTTTAAAACAGTTTGATGATTGAGTTGATCACCTTGTTTTATAGTAACAGTAGTAAAATCATTCACATCAAAATGAATTGAACATATTTTAAATGATGAATCAAATGTATTATTATGTCCACAGATTTTCCACCAAGTATCACAAAGTTCTTTATCTTTTGGAAAATCGATAAAAAATAATTGATCAAACTTCAATCTAGCTTTCTCATTACAAAATACAACTGCACATTTATTGTTATTTAACCGGTGAATCTAAACAAATTATTAATAATAATTATTATTCACTTTGTATAACATTATTAATTATATTTAGTCTATTTACTATTATAAAGTTTAATGATAGCTCCAATCAATTGTGATCTGAATACTCCAAATCTCCAATTTATTCTACACAGAAAAAGTATAAAAGGACTCTTGCTGTAATTAACTTTAATCAATTTTAAATCTACATTTAAATTTTGTGTTTGAAACTCCCATGCTATGCATATGGTTTACAAATCAAAAATATCTTGTCCAACTTGGACACTATATAAAGTAGACCATGTGGTAAACACTCTCCATTGCTACAGCAATAGGCAATGAATGAACATGATAATTTAGACTGACTTTATAGAAGTTGATTAAATTTGGCCTAACTAGAAGTACAGAACTATATAGGAAATGAATGCAGTTTAGCTCCCAAGTAATTTTTTGGTATTTTCATAAAAAGTCACTCAAACTTCCGTTGAAAGTTATTGTCAAAATGCTAGAATTTATCAAAAATTATGTTATAAGTTTAAAATACCAAAATTTTTTCATAAATTTTAGTAATTTTATGCTCAACATTTTGGTGAAATCAGAATTTATATATTGTACTTGCATTTTATAGTATTGTTAACAAAACCATGCAAAACTTAAACATACAATTATCTCAAACATTAGCATGTTAAAATATGTTAACATTAGCAAATTAAAATATGTTTATTATTATTATTTTTTTTTTTATCTGGGCACAAATTTTTTACCAAAAAACTTATAAAAAAGAAATCTGCATGAGGAAGTGTTTTAGGGATGTAATTTTTCGAATTTTTCAAAAGTTTCTTCATCAAATGTGAAAAACTGAAAAAAACGGGAAAACTTACGAAATATAATAAATATAATATACAATTTTTTTTCCGCGGACAACCTTTCTACCAGTAATATTGCTCCAACTTTTAATGGTAGCAATGTTTTCGAAAGAAAATTTTACTAGGGAGGTACTTTAAAGAGGTATTTTAATTTTCCCAAGAATTTTTCTCATAGATAAACAATTTATTACCCTTCCCTACTCCTACGGTCTAAACTTTATACTGTTATAATTCATAAATGGTAAATCTGATATTAGTGTGATACATATTAAAATTTCAAGAAAATATTCTCTATTCAAATTTGTATTCAAAAGAGAGGTGGTTCCTATTTGAAAATTAAAAGTATGCACTTTTTTAAGGTATATGGAGTAGGAGGAATAAATCAAAAATGGTTTTAAAATACAGCTTAAACGATTCCATAAAGATTAGAAAAAACATAAATCAAATTCACTTAAAATCTTCTAAACTAATTACTGGTTCATAATAAAAAAATCACCTTGTATATTACATAAAATACCCTGTAAAATTAAAATGTCTATAAATAGCTCGAAAATTGTTTGAATGTTCTGGAAATTTTACATCCAGAAAAGGCGAATATAAGTTTTCTGTCCAAATTTCAAGTCTACAAATATCTTTAACGGAATTAAAAAAAAAAAAATTATAACAATGCATTTAATACATTTTTCTATTTATTAAGAAAACAACTGGGAAAATCCAAAAATTACCTCCTTAGAGTACCATCCTAGTCAAATTTTCCTTCAGAAAAGGTGCTATACTTAAAATTGGAGACAAATTTCAGGTTTTTCACAGAAAGAAAAAAAATATACATTGTAAATCCAATACATTTTTGATCTGCTTAGAATCTAAACAAGTCAATTTTGAGTTACTTTAAAATCAAAAGTTTCAAATAAATTTAAAATTGAATTGTATGTGGTTTATTAACAATAACATAAAAAGTAAGAACGGTAGGTAAATTCTGATTTTATCAAAATGTTAAAAATACTAACATTTACAAAAAAAAAATGTCCAAATATTTAAACTTTTGGTATTTGAAACTTATAAACACAATTTTTGGATATTATGTAGTTTTTTGGCCATAACTTCTAAGGGAAGTTTAAGCAACTTTTTTTTTTAAGAATCATCTAACTAAAGCATGCAAAAACACAAATACTCTGAAAAATTGCATGTATATCCTACCTAATATTTCATATAGTTTATATTACTAAAGTATCTAAACTTACATTTCCAAAATTTTTTTCAGTTGAAGACAATGCCACAGAGTTATGTACACAATTGATGCTTCTGATATCCGTGGTTTCTTGATCAGTTTGATTGTAAGAATTTGATGGTTGAAAATGTTTGTTTCTAAATCCAGTAGTTTTATTTAAATTCTACAAATCAAGTATAAAATAAATAATATATCAAAATAATCTCTAAAAATCTTACAAAGATAAGTCATACACAAGTTATTGATGAAATACTCAAAATTGAATCATCGTCACTAAATTTCATATCACTAGTATTTGGTGTATCTAACAAATCATCAGTATTAAGATCTGAAAAATTGATATCACTCGTAGAAGAAATGTCAACATCAGAAATATCCGAATCTGTCATTTCTTTACTATTTTCAATAGCCTAAAAGTAATTACAAAAAATACAAAATGAGCAGGTAATATAAAATTATAATTATATAACATGTTATTATAATTATACTTACATTGCTAGGAGTATTGAACATAGGACAAGCATTTGTCTTAAGATTATTATTTTTGTTACCATCTTCATAGTCGTCAATACTGAAATGTCTGTTACATATCCTACTTTTGACAACAGGCAGCCAATCTGCACGGTTTGTTGCCATAATCCATACGGGTAGTAATGCCTGATTATCAAAGGGAAATCTAGAACAACATAGTTTAAAATGTTATGAAACGTTTGGCTATAAGTAAACATATTTTAGGTAAAGATTCTATACTCGTGTAGTCCAACTCCATTGTTAGATGTCTTCAAACAACCTAAAACACAGCAACGATACTCCATAGCGGAGGAAATTAGGTACAATAGATTTTCAGTAGGTAGATAAAACGTTCATTCTTAATTCGTATTTCTTATCAACATTTGAAAAAGTAAATAAACTATAGATAATGATATCTTTAATCACTTTAATACTATTTTTTTTCCTTGTTTGAACTATAAAGTAATATTAATAATAATACTAATAATAACAATATTACTCTATAGTTTAAACCTAGAGCAATGAGGACTGTGGGATAAAAATACTAACCCACTGCTGCGATTGTTTATTGAAAAGTTCTTGCTAAAAAACATATTTTAAGTCTTGTTTCCTATATGCGGGACAGGGTGACATATTTAGGTAATTAACAAACTTACAACGAAGCAAAATAACCCTATGTCTTATTTAACTAATTTAATATTACTATACCCAGGGGCGCATTTAAAGGGGGGCAAAGTGGTCAATTTCCCCCGGTGGCAGTTTTTGTATATATTAATAAAAAATAATAATGTCTATACACTATACTACTATACACATTTTATATATTTTGTTTTATAAAATTTATAATTTTGTAATTTGTTCTGAAATAATGTTAGCCACTGGGTACGGGTACTTAGTACCTACCTAAGTATGAAACAATTTGAACATAATATGTTATTAACATAATACATAAACCGTTTATACATACGACATATTGTTCGCAAAACAATTTCAGGTTTGGGTATGTTATAAATACAGATTGTGAAAATCGAAATTTATTATTATGACGTTCTATGCGGAATAGTGAGAATATTGATAACGTAAATGGTTGCTCATTACCTCGTGGCCTACTAGCTACCATACTATCTGTATTTGACGTGTATTATAAGAATAGTTTTTCATTTCAGATTTGATTGTTCGTTTTTCGTTCTTCGTTCTGAAAATGTTTGGTCATTTCTGATCTCATAAACGTCTCTCGTCTGCAGTTATTACTGATAAGATTTTTTTAAAATGTTTGTGTTTAGGTTTTAATCAACTATAAATTAGTATATTATTGGTACCTAACCGAACAAAGAAGTTTTATGTATCTTTAAATTTGAAATATGGACAGGCGAAAATAGTTAAGCAATGCTCAATATAGTAAAAAACAGAAACATGCTGTTCTTAGAAACAGTTGTATGAAAATTCAAGATATGTTTAAATCTTCAAATTTAACAACTGAAGGTAAATTATTGTTTTATTTTACTATTTTATTAATTAATTTTAAGTATTAATTATGTAGGTATTATATTTCAAAGCTAGTTCCTTTTTTTTTTTTTTATCTAATTACAAGTTTGCTGTTTGAAATTTATTTGAATACTATTTATTTAAAATAATCAGGTGCATGAAACGATTTAATAATAATACAGTTAGAAAAACTTAATAGCTTTTGGTTTATTGTAGTGTATTCAAGTAATTTTAAATTAAAAAAATTGTTAAGCTACTTAGTTAAAACATCCTATAATACTAAATAGTTAATTTCTTACAAGTCAATATATAATGAATAACAACGAATTAGTTTATAATAATTGGCTATGTACTTATTATGTAGTGATAAACAAAAATGTTGAGAATGAACCTTGTTCTATTGGAACAACTAATGTTTTACCCAATACCGTTGACAGTTTACCAGACTACCAGACCATGTACTAGTTATTGAATGTGAGTATTTAAGTTTTGATTATGTGTATTTTTAGTTATTACTATAATTTAATCACAGTATTTATTGTTTTTTTGAATAAAATGCTTAGTATGCAGTCACTTAGTATATTTAAAAATATGTTTTTTTATAATAATTATTTTTTTAAATATAATAAATAATTGTGTATAACAATTGTATTTTATGATTAATAGTAATAAGAGTTAAGCAATAATATCAATATATTATTGTAAATCAATTATTTGTATACAGTTGACTGTATACTTATTGATTCTTGTATAGTGATGAAAAAAAATATTGTGGACAAATCTAGTTTTATGGAAACCATTACCCTTGACATCTTATCAGAATACTCCCCATCTATTGAAAAGAAATTTTAGTTCTCTTAAGTTGATATATTATTTAATTTGTATTATTTTGTTTTAATAGTTGACTTGGTTGACACCAGTCTCAATTTGTCAATTCTTAACAAAACAAACGACCAACAAACTGATTCAATTTCAGAGTGCGATATTAGGAGTATTTATTATCCTGGGTATTATATACTATATAATCTTTAAGTTATAATTTTAATTATTAATCTATCTACTTTCTTAACAGATCTGATCCAGCCATGTGGGTAATAGATGCTACTTTAAGACATTTTTAATCTAGTTATGGTTTTACTCGAGATTTGAAAAATCTTAATATTTCCTATTCTAAAAGGCCATACACAAAATGTCTTAAAGAAATCAATAAAACTTTCTTCAGGTACTTAAGTTTTAAACAATATTACATATTTACCTTATTAATTAATTAATTTTGTAATTAGATACTTTAACAAAAATTGTCTTCAAACCACCCAACAAAATAGAAAAATAAATAGCACGTAGTTACTTACTCTATTTGGAAAGCAAAGAGGCTCTTTTTTGTTACCCTTGTATTATATTTGGTGGAGTAACTAACTTCGCAACAACAGGATTTTCGTTATGGAAAAAAATAGAAGAACGAATAATGAAACATAGTAATTTATTAAAGCATCGAAACTGTATGATTAAATTGAAAAACTATTGCAAGGTAAACTGCAGAATTGATCAGCAATTAATTATTCAGATTGATGATGAACGTTTATATTGGATAAACGTTTTGAAGAGATTAGTAGCAGTTGTGAAGTCATCAGTGTCAAGGGGATTGCCATTTGGAGTCATGATTTAAAAATAGGAAGTCCTAATAATGAAAATGTTTTAATGGCTTTTTAGAGTTAATTGCAGAGTTTGATTCGTTTCTTGCTACTCACCTCTCAGAACATGGTAATCTCAGAAAAGGAAAAACTTCTTACATATCATACCAAACTTACAAACAGTTTATTTATATTATGGCTGAAGAAGTACAGAAAACCATTATCGAAGAAATACAAATTGCCAGGTATTACTTTATAAGTGTTGACTCAACACCTGATATTGCGCATATAAATCAATTATCTTTCATTGTACGGTATGTAAATAAAAATGGTCAACCAATAGAACAATTTGTATGCTTTATAGAAGATGTTGGGAATAAGTCTGAACAAATTGCTACAGTAGTCTGACAAAGAATACTGTAAACAAGCACATAAAGAAAAGGAAAATGTTTCGTGATGAAAATGTAGATTTTAAGACAACAACAGTGACATAAATTTTAAGATAACTACATATTTTTTTTTATCTTAGATAGACTTAATAATGAGCTAGAAAAAATAAAAATAGCCTATGATAAATTATTTAAAAAGTACTCGTTTTTCTTTAAATTGAAAAAATTGAATAGCATAGAAATCTGAGAACAGACAAAATTTCTTCAAGATATGTAGATAATTTAAGTAGTTCTTTCCCCAATGAATGTGTTCACTTTAAATCACATATAAATAACCTTGAAGTTGATGAAAAGCCAAAAAATATTCAGCAAATGCTTGTTTTTATCAAAAATAATGATTTTTCTGAAATGTCTCCTTACATTGTTATTGCGTTAAGAATGTTATAATGTACACCATATAGTAACTGTTCTAGTGTACAGTCTTTTTCAGCTTTAAAAAGAGTACAATCATACCTAAGATCAAATATAAAAGAGGAAAGATTAAATGCATTGGCAATCCTAAATATTGAAAATGACATTACAACCAAACTTAATTATAACAATGTTATTAATATTTTTGCTGCTAAACAAGCACGCAGAAGATTGTACATTTTTATTATACTAATAGTTAAAAAATACCGTTTCGAGGAAAAGTTTTTACACTTTAACTTCAAAAAAATGTTAGAATGATGTCTATTGAATTTGCTTATATTATTATTGTTTTTTTGGTAGGGGTAGTGGCGGCTAAAATATATTGCCCCGAGGAGCAAATTCTCCAAATGTGCCCCTGACTATACCTATTTGCCAGCGCTCCAAGTCTTTCTAACCCGATTCAATAAACTGACAGTTTGGAGGTTTGTAGGTACAAATAAGGTGCTCAGCAGAAAAACCTTAGAAGAACCACGTAACCGTGTTTACTTCCATCCTAGTGCGAAATATAAAAGGTTTAATTCGTATGACTTGTTTTCGTGGTTTTTCGGTTTTTCAAAATTAGTACTTTTTTCATTATACTTTGTATGTAACTAGTGGCTAGTGTATATTGATATATCTATTGTGACAAAATAGATTTATTTTGTTACGCAATATTGAATATATTGTAACATTAAAATAATATGAAATCTATAGCTTGTTCGTTTTAACAAAAAATGTAGGTACCTACATTTTTTAACATAGAATTTAAATTATAGTTGTAGATTCGATCTGATAACGTGACTGGTGTGAGTAATATATTCCTTATCAAAAAAATAGTGAAAAGTGTAAATTCTATGTAAAAAAGTGTACACTTTTTGTTAAAACGAACAAAGCTTATGACAACTCCTAGTGTAGGTCACTGAAGTCTGTGTAAGTCAGTGTTAGTAAGTGTAAGTACCTATTATAATCTATGGTAATTGTTCACAATTTATTTTAATTAATTTATCATTTATATTTTATAATTTTTTTGTAATATTGTTAATAAATAGTCTAAAAAAGTATTTAAAGCAATTTTAAAAAATTAATAATCTGACACTAGTTTATTATTACTATACTTAATATAAGTAGATACTTATGTACTTACATGATTATTGTTATTCAATATATTTTGAATTTATTATGTCATTTTCACCTTATATACCAAAAAATTTAAAGATTGATCTCACGAGTAAGTTTTTTTTTACAGTTACTTACATATAAATACTAGGAATGATTCTAGTTTAGCAACCTAGTAAATTTTTTCCTCAACATTAGTGTTTTCGCTTGTTTAATAAGAATGTAAAAAAAGAATGACGAATCTTTGGTTGACATTTATTGATGAAAAACATGAAAAAGTTTGGATTAGCCGTAATGTGCATTTATTTTTTTTTAAAAGAATCCTTAGAATTAAATATTTTTAACATTTGTTTTTCTATGTGTAGTTTTTACGATTATTCGATTTTTAAAATAAAGCTTACTTATCATAGTAACTTTTAAAGTAATTGCATGTTTACTAGGGTGGCCCTTAGTTTATTCTTGTAAATTTTTTTTTTTTATTGTAGTTTGCGGAAATCTCCTATTTTTTGCTAATCCCAAAATAATAAGAACTGCAAAATTTGAAAATCGTACGATTTGGGTATAAGGTACGATATTCTAGTGAAGCACCTTTTTTGAAAGGAAATTTTATTTAGTTGGTATTTGGAAGATGTCATTTTTTGAGCATTTTTTATAAGAATTGAGAAAACCGGAAAATTTACAAAAATAATGCTTTTATTATTTTTAATTTTATTTATTGTAAATCATTTTAAAATGTTTGTACCTATAGTTTTGGAATTTAGACAGAAAACTTATATTTGCATTTTCTAAACGTGATAAAATTTTCAAAATATTTATGCTATTTTTTAGCTATCTATAAGCATTTTAATTTTACGAGTTTTGTATGTAATTTTTATTTGGTTGGTCATATAAGTCGTACTTTTGTGGTCTATAAAAAATTGAGTGAAATGGAGAATTATTTTTATCAAATTTTAAATTATTTACGAAAATCGTAAATATTAAAATTATAAAATATTTATAATTGAACTCCGCTCAGAATCGTTTTTCGTTAGCAAAGATTAATCGTTACATACAAATGTACATTAAATTCCCCTCTATCCTACCTTGACAAATTCTCACTAACAACAGTGGCTCACCCATCATGTGGTGTCTGTCCGTATTTTTTATTGTTTAGATACATAATTTATTTTAAAATTAATATTGTGTTTTTCTTTTGAATTAAAAACAAAAACAGGATTAGGAGTATGACTTTACGTAGATATTGTTCATGATTATCAAATTTTTTTTAATAAATAGTAATGATTCGTGAATCGTTGCATACGGTAATATCCGGTCGCAGTCACAAGTTATTTGGTGGCTCCTGGTTGCATAACAAACTTTGATAAGGATTAACCACCTAACCACATAACCATTAGATAATACACCTAAAATCGTGAACATAACCAATAACCATAGATGAAGTTCATAATCATTTATCATTTTATTTATATGTGAATTATTTTATTTTTGTTTTGTTGCAAATGCAAATTAATACACTAGGTAACGAAATTAAAATTTTAAACATAACAAAATGTACTAATGAGTAACGAACTACAACGAATTACGTATCATCATGAGGATATAATAAAGCATAACCATCTCATCACTTAATAATATGGACAATTGTTCGGAAATTATAAGAACAAATAATGGTAATAAGAATAAATAATAACGGAACGAAAGTGTAATTTTTATATCTATTTGGCTATATATTATTTTAAATTTGTAATATTTGAATACTAAATGCTATTACATTTAATTTGAGTATTACTTTAGCGCTTTTGGCTAACCTAATCTTTGGCTACAGACGAAGCGAATGGAGGAAATTAATTGAAAACAACACTGATTTATTGCACAAAACCATGTCTGGTAGTATTTTATTTCGTTTGCCCTGTGTGAAGTTTGTTAATATGCGACCACGTCGGCTTTTCGAAAACTTTTTTCCTGTGAAAAACTTTTCCACCAACAATTTTGCTCCAATTTACAATGATAGCATTTTTTCTGAAAGGAAATCTGACCGGGAAGGTACTTTAAGGAAGACATTTTTCGATTTTCCCAAGAGTTTTTCAAGCAAATGTGAAAAGCCAGGAAAAAACATGGGAAAATCGGTATACTTTATAATGCCTATTTTATTATTTAACCATAATATGACATATATATTGTTGACAAAACATCGCTATCAACTAAAATCCGCTTAGATTCGTTTTTCGTTAGCAATGGTTTATTGTTGCTTATAGATATAAAATAATTCCCTTCTGTACCTACCTTCCTAACTTTCCATCTACAACAGTGGCTGCGTCGACGTGTGAAATATGTCCGTCTTTTTTATATTGGTTTTAAGATAAAATTTTGTTGAAAAACGTAAAAATTACAGCATTTTAAAACATGTATAACCAAAATTTGCTCAAAATCGTTTTTCATGAGAAATGGTTTATCATTGCTTACAGATATAGATTAAGTAACTTTATGAATCTGAATTTTCCATCTTTTCCACTACAATAGTGGTGCATCCATCAGTAGTATCTGCTCTTTTTTTTGTATTTTTGTGTTTTACTTTATTTTTAAGCTTATTACTTTTACATATCTTCTTATAATAGTTATAACTTATAAGGTTCCTATCTCATAATCGTTCCCCTTATCGCAAAATTCTCAATTCCTAACACATTTACCATCCCAATATCTTTTTCTCTTATGTTTTCAAAATTTGTGTTTATATTAATTAATATAGTATAATTCCGGGACGTTATAATTACACGGGACGTATTAAAATATATTTTATAGCCGCACCGGATACGGTGTTGTTCAATGCGAATCTCTCAGTGTCGTATAGCGACATGTTAGATGCCGAATGCGATGAGGACTGCGATTTGAACTGCGTGGTGACCGTGTCGGAGAACGGCCGAAAGGCCGCGTATGACAGTTTTTGCGGCGTGGCTACAGACGCGCGCGTGGCTCAAAACCTGTATCTATTGCGGTCATGCGTCGTGTTCAAATACCAGACGGTCGATACGGATATCATCGAACAGACCGTAGAATTTTGGCTCGGCGACGAGATTAAAATTGAGGTGTGCAAAACCTTTTTTGCCCGCACTTTGGGACTACCAGACGCCCGGCTGGACGCTCTGTTCGAACCTGAAACATTAGAATGGTTCTCGAGATATTGTAAATCCGATGACGAGGCCACAATCGATGATTACGGCGAACAGCAGCCGCTGGCCACCATCTTCGACAACGAACAGTTATGTTCGGAGTTTGTATTCAACTCTAGGTAACAGCAATAAGATAATAATACTGTTTTGATTTTATATAATTATGTTAACCATTAGGTATACCTATATAACTACCTACCTATTGGTTTATAAGTTATAGACTGTTCAAAAATGAATGATAAATACCGACGTGGAGCAGTATCACAAGGTTGAATCTTTCACTAGTTCATGATGACGCATGACGTCTTAATATATATATATATATATATTATTGTTATTATTATTTAAATTTAGACTTTTTAAGTTTTGCTTATCCAAATTTTAATTTTCCAAGCTTTGTTTCTCTAAGTTTTGCAAAGTTCCCGCTCATGCTCACAAAGTGACAACCATGACTGTAGATAGCGAATTTACAGCCGTGGTTATATATTAATAAATGATAATTTTCATACCAATTTGATAAAATCTATTTAGATAGATTTCATCTATTCCGTGATCGTTCTATTTTATAGTTATTTATGTTTTATTTGCTATTTTTTCAATTATTGTCTATATAGGAAACATTTGGAAAAAAACAGTTGGGCATTTGTCGAAGAAACCGATTCGGATGCCGAAATGTATTTAGACGACATACCTCCTTCGGTCTACAAAAATGTTATAACTCACATTCAAACCACACCTAGGGTAGTAAATACATGGACAAACGAAAAAAACAAACAGAAAATTTTGAAATTCGAGTGTAGTATCAACTATCGTCACATGTATTTAAATTATTTACAAACGTTGAGGAAAAATAAAAAAAAAGTTAACGAAAAACAATATAAGAAAATATACAACAGATATGTAGAGACAATTTTTATGGTTTAACATAATACCTATTTATTATGTTATTGTAATTCTGAAGAGTTTATTGAAACATATTCCTGTATATTATTATATACTTAAAAGTTAAATTGTTTGATAATTACATATTTAAACTTAAATTGAATTATATTCTTGATTTTTCAGGAAAAAAATTGTTTTGTATAGGTGAATGATAAAATATATTTGAACAAATAATATGTTATTTATGAAATATATATTTATAATTATTTAACATTTAACAGTTTAATTTTAAAATTATTTAGCATTTTCAGAAATTCAATTTTTTTTTTTAAACTTAATATTTATCTTAATTTTTGAACAAATAAACCATAGGTATGTAATATTTTTGGGTCGCTGTAAATTGTGGTTCATTTTAAATTTTGTGTGTAAATTGCATGTATATTTTATGCATACGTAAATTGCGGCCGAGTATATTTTGTATATATGTCTAAATAATTTATTTTAAAAAAAATACACAGAGCAACGTAAAAACTTATATTAGTGATCATAGGTAATATTATCTGTATCCTAGAATATTACTAGGTAATCTTTAAATTGTATAGTCGACTGGTATTTTTTAAAAGTGTACACTTAATCGTATAGCTTTGTGTGTAGTTTGTTCAATTTAATAAAAATTAACGTTATGAAAAGTGAATTATTTTAAATAATTTTTTTCTGACACTTATTATTACTAATTGTTTATAATATATTTTTAAAGATACGAAAAACAAAAGCAAAACCTATATTTTTCACCCTAAAATAATATAAATTATTGTATATTCGTACAATTTTAATTACATACATATACATTATATACACATTAATACAATTATATTGCCAGTCCTAAGTCTGTAAAATGGGAAGGAAAATATTGATTTTGCAAAAAAAAACAGACATAATTTACGTATCAATAAAAAATATTTAGGTATAAATTGTATAAAATATACCCTAACCGTAATTTACATAGCTTATGATTATAACCTTTATTCAAGGACGCAATTCACTGACTCCGCATTTTTTAACGCATCGTTTTAAGGTATTACCTGGAAAAGATTTGGGGAGATTAATCCAATCAAATTTGTTGTTTTTTTTTTTTTATAATTGTATTAAATTCAAATTAAAATTTCAAAATTTTACCTCCACCAAATTAGATACTTCCTTACTCTGCATTTGTTTCTAGGTACACATATTACGTTACTGGATTGTACATATGATTTTCTAATTACTAAACAATATTGTTTATAATTCTAAGCGTTTAAAAATAAAACAATAAAACAAGTGGCATAATAATAGTGATACTGTTAATTTTATCTCGAGTTTTATAATGAGCCGGATCCCGCATGGTTTTAAAAAGGTTCGGAATTTAATGTATATCTACAAGCAACGATAAACCATTCTAACGAAAAAACGATACTGAGCGGAGTTCAGTTGATAGTGTTGCTTTGTCAATAATATATAACATGTCATATTATGATAAAATAATTACATACCTACTAAACATTTTCTTTAATATTATATAAATATGATTTGTTTAATATTGTACCTATTTTCTCGTTCTCCTGTTTTTCCTTAGTTTTTTCCGGGTTTTCCAATATATAGAGAAAACTCTTGAGAAAATTAAAAAATGACCTCCCAGGACCATCCTAGTTAGATTTCCTTTCAGATAAAGTGTTACACTAGTGGTAGTGGTTGGAAATCAATACTTTTAGTTTAGTGCACTATTACTATTGTTACATTTTTTTTAAAAGGAGTACCCTATAATTATTGGTATTTTTTTTCTACTTAAAAAATTACACTTTTGATTTTTCCAGTTTATGAACAGGTTACCAACAGTTGATTTACATTTGACGTTCCCAATAATAGAAAAATACTTACATTATGTAACTTGTTTACAGTTTGTATGTTATTTTATTTTATTATGGATTAAAATTAAAATAATATGACTACAATGCATTATTTCATATGTTATAAAACCCGCAATTTTATTTGAGTAAAAAGTAGCATTCAAAGCAGCGAAATTCCCACTGTTCTCCTATGAAAATATGAGTACTGTCTACAAAAAAAAAAAGGTAAGATAATAAGGACATGGGGACGGGTGCTGCCACTGGTATAGGTGGGAAGTTGGGAAGTTGGAAAAGTAGGATATAGACGAGAATTTAATGCATATCTGTAAGCAAAAATAAACCATTGCTTACGAAAAAACGATTCTGAGAGCAGTTCAGTTGACAGTGATGCATTTTCAACAATATATATGTCATTTTATAATAAAATAATTAAAAAGGCTTTATATATTTTCTTTAATAAAATTTGTTTAATGTTGTACCGTTTTCCTGCGTTTTTCCCGGTTTTTCACATTTGCTAGAAAAACTAGTGGGAAAATCGAAAAATAACCGAGCAATGTCTTCTGGTGAAAAATAAGCGCAGAAGTAAAAAAAAAAATAATAATCATCTTTGTAAAATCATAAGCTTCTTCGCTCCACTCAGAATCTAAAAGGTAACGTGCTACTGATGCGTTGCCACAAATAGTGCACTATTTCGAACCAATGGATATTATAAGTAAGGTAACACTGCATACGTATAAAACACATAATAATATTAAACAAAATTATTCATTCCAAGGTCCGTTGTATATTACTTCGTTGATTATTCGATTTAAATACGGTTGATCTTGCATTTCTATAAGAGTCGCGATGATTTTTATTAACAATACTATAATCTGAAAAAAAAAATGTATCGAGTATAATATACTTTACCTGCGATATACTTAACTATTTAATTATTAATTCATACGCCTAATAATTGTATTTTATAATACTATTATATCATGTTTACATCAGAGCACATAAAATGACAAGGATTCTCTTTGCCATGAGTTAATCGTACAAAATAAAAGACTATACCTAAATAAAAGTTTCAACCACCAAAAATGTTCTAAAAAGCTATTTTGATAATAATAAACATATAATGTATACATATACATAATGTATATAAATATAGTATGTATGTCATTATATCACAACATTTATAAAATATTTTAGTTTTTTTTTATTTAATTTTGGATTTTTTACAGGATATCTGAACAGTTGCCAAACACAATATAGGTAGGTATTTTAAATTTCAGACTCACTGGTATTAAAAATTGTAACTTGTAATTGAATAACCCGCAAGCTAATGTCTCTTCCATTTCGTAAGTTGATATTTGATTCATGAAAAACTGTATCTATTTAAAAAATAAACTCAAATTATGTTTCCTATTGTACATTTATTATATAGACTATATTATAACTAAGTATATCTTATAATTTTACTACAATTAATTCAAAGGTACTACCTGGATTTGAATATCCTTTGACAAGTTAGAAATCTGACTACATCTCAAAAGCAAGATAATCTGTTTCTTCTGAAATACATTTTAAAAATATTAACCTAAATATGAACGAATAATTAAAATGTGTAATAATAATATAATAATTATTAATACGGATTTTTTTTTTTTTTTAAGAGATATTTATGCCAAACTTCAAACAAACACCAACTGCCTCATTTCATTGTTAGCTTTGAAGACACTCCTGGGCAATCCAGACCTCCCGACTACTCAAACGCAACTGTTGTACAGACCTACTTAACTTGTATACAGATTGTATAATTTATATTAATATAATATGTTTTTACCATTAGTTAAAGTGTGTCGACGAGTCTTCTTTTATCAGCCAATATTTTTATTTTACTACCTAATAACATTAACTTTGTCAAAACAAATATAAACTATCTATACGAAGTTAAACCGATATAATATATAATTAATGTTCATAAATATAAAATATATGAATATATTATTTATTATACATACAAATAATATATATTTATACAGTATCAGTTTTTTCAATCTTGGCCGCGGTATAATTAATCATTAATTATGTGGGATAGTTAAATATTTAAAATCAAAGTAATCGGCGCGGCGGTTGGAATCAATGAGCCATTTACGAATTTTTGATAGATATTTCGCAGTTTTGACATCGAATTATGAAAGCAGTAAAGTAGTTAGTTAGTATAAATAATAAGACATACCAATACAATGATTAAACTAAGTGCCAATTTGCAATACTAATCTACTGTAATTCCGAAATACATCTATTAAATAAATACATCTATTCCACCTGTATAAATGTTGAATAATATTTACAAAATAATGGAGTAAAATTATCAAAAGCTACAGCTAAACTTAAGATAATGAGACGTTTAAATTATAAAATATGTCCAAAAAAGTCTAGCCTCTCTTTTCCCAAAATTCAGCCAAGTCTCCCTAAATAAAGTCCTCATCAATATATACATACACTTCAGTTCTTTAATTAATATTATGGCGGACTATTAAGCCTTCCCCAAAATATTTGGACTATTTGCGCTTCTTATGATGATAAGTATACAAACATATATTTTAATGACATTATTAATAGGTAATAATATATTTTAGTTTTTAATTATATATTTTAATATCTTATGTTTGTAAATAAATGTACATAATAATACATAATATTATACGTATAAGATATCCCACAGAAATCTAACAATTACAATTACTTTTGTCCTGTTCAATTATATTTTTAAAATTTTCTCTTTTATAAGATTTACTAGTCTTGGTGCTACAGTTCTTACATTTTATAAAAAATTTTAAGCTAAAAATAAAATATTTTTTACAAATTCTAGATAGCCGCTTTATACATTCTTTTTGAAACGAAATGTTGGTCTTACAATCGTTTACTAATGATAAGTTTTTTAATTTTCTACAAGTTTTGAATTTATGATAATTTATATTATTTTAATTGTCATTACTTAATAATATAAATTGATTCACTAATTTGTCTATGAAAAATAATTTTGTAAATGATTATTCAAATTTCAAAATATCTTAAAAAAATTAATAATTCATCATTAGTAAATATATGTAAAACCACTATATTTTTTCAAAATAAATGTATAAAATAGATAACTTAGATTCTGTATAACTGAGTAGTTAAAAAATAAAATTATTTTTTTTGTTAACAAATAGAAGAAGCATATATCACTAGGCTATAATAATTATTATAAAAAAGTTTATTATATACAAATTATTTTAAAATTTTGAATGGAACCAAAATTATTATTACATTTATATGATCTTCGTGAGGCACTGTATACTGCAGTATAAGGGTATTAGGTACCGAAATATAATAATGCGTTTGGTACGTAATAGGATTATTAATATACATATTCTAAATATGTAATAGATATTTGAATAATATTATCAATATTCAATATTCATTATTTGATAATTTTGTGCTACATTAAATAAGTTTTTATTTTTTATTTTTAATGTCGTAGCTCTAGAATGAAGGTAAAATAATTCGTTGACCTCGAATTGTCATTCAAATTATTATTGTAAAGGACATTATTATACCTATATATTAATTGGGTTTCAAAGGTATAAATTACAATGAATAAATGATAGGTAGATACTCTATATTACATTATATTATATTATACATATACCTATGTACCTATATGAAACATCGTATTCCAGGGTTATTGTAAAACATAATTTATAAAACAACTATCTGATTTCCGTTCTAATTAGTTATTAGACTAAAATATATATGTATATTATACAGAGGGAGATTATGCCTTTTATACTATCATGTTTTTTTTTTTTTTTAAATAAATTGTGTATATTCGTCATCATAACCCGTTTAAACAACTTATGTTTTATATGAAAACAAAATTAGACGTGTATTACGATCATTAAAATATGAAAAAATATTAATCTTAATATATTATACAGGTAAGTACCTTATAATAGTGTGTTCGACAAATTCCATTGATGCAAACGCATAGATTTTCATTGAAGTACTTATACCTATTACCTATAATATATTGAATTGGAAATAAAATGTAATGTATGGAATTGAATTGTAAACGAATTAATCTCTAGCGCTGTGGAAAATTGTAAAATTATAAAATTTAAACGGGCAATTAATAAAACAAAAATTTCACTGACAGGTTCAAATTATAATATATTATATTTTATATACCTATATGTGTAGTGGTGAGCCGATATGACTTCTTTCCGATATTCGATCCGATATTTGAAATCGAAAGCTTGCAATGCGTTTAAATTGTAGAAAGCAACCACGATATCGTCGGTGACACGAAAAAACTTTCTATGTTCTAAATTTATGATTTTGAGATTTACCTCATACTACCTAGGTTACATACTACATAGGTTCATGAAGTTAGCCACAATCCATCAATAGTTTCGAACCAAATTTTCCTAAAAATTTGTAAGTCATTTGTACGTATTTGTAAGAAAAAATTTGAAATTTATAAGTACAGTCATTTTCAATTTTCCACTAATATTTATTTCGCGGCTAATTTTTGCAAAATTTAGCCATTTTGCCATTTTCAAATTTTTAACCCGAAATGTTTTACACTATTTTTAAGTATCTATAAGCGTAAATCGACAATTTGTAAGTCATCCCTTCTTGAGTTATCATCAAAAATAAAGTTTTCTGTGGATCGTAAGACTTTCGATTTTTAACCCAGCTAAAATTTTTTGCACTATTTGTAAGTATTTGTAAGCGCAAATCTACAATTTGTAAGTCATCCCTTCTAGAGTTATCCTTGACAAGTAGAAGTGGTCAATAGTGTTTATTGTTCCACAATAATAGTTAAAGTTAAAGTGGACAAAAAAACGACTAAGTTCGGAACTAATTCCCTGATAGCTGAATTTTAATACAGAAGTAGTTTATATTTCACTTATAAACATACTAAAAGTCCTGACACCTATATATTTTGTGTAGCCCCCTAGCTAGGGGTCTACACTATTGATCACTTCTACTTTTCAGGGATAACTCAAGAAGGGATGACTTACAAATTGTAGATTTACTCTTATAGATACTTAAAAATAGTGTAAAACATTTCGGGTTAAAAATTTGGAAATGGCAAAATGGTAAAATTTCGCGAAAGTTAGTCGTGAAATAAATATTAGTGGATAATTAAAAAGGACTGTACTTACAAATTTCAAATTTTTTCTTACAAATACTTATAAATGATTTAAAAAATTTTGGGAAAATTTGGTTCGAAACTATTGATGGGTTGCGACTAACTTCACGGGCATTACCTACATTCTAAGTGATTTAATTGCCATTCAAAAAACCCCTTGTGTAACATTGAAAAATCACCAGTGTAAATTTAGCTGTATAGTACTATTTTGTATTTACACCTATTTTTTTAAAGATAAGAATTTATATGTATTTAAAATTTTAAAATTTGTTAGATTTATCAATGGCCATTTTCGTTTTTTTTTAGAATGTTTGTTTCTTCTGAAAAAGCATTTCAGTACATAGTGGTTTTTTGTGTCAACGACAATATATCAGTTGAAAACCCATTTTTTTTTCTAAAATAATATAAAAAGAAGGATCTATTAGTCATTTTTTGATTTTCTGTGGAATATTCATAATTGGGAATAACTAAAAACAGACGAAAAATTAAAACTGATAAATTTACTTCGTTACGATTTCATTTTTTTAAATTTTTACATTTTATGTTTTCCATTTAATAATTTTGTTTTTACTAAATTATTTTATTATTTATTTGTTTGTTGTAATTCAGTTAAAATATTTGTAGAGACTTGAAATTTTGACAGAAAACTTATATTTGCCTTTTCGAGACGTGATAAAATTGTAAAAACATTTTAATTAATTTGAACACTTTTATATACATTTCAATTTTGCGAGTTTTTAAGTAACTGTTATTCGGTAGATACTCTGTGGATACAATTTTTGGACCGAACAGAAATGCTTATACATTTAACAGGAGGTTGATTACAAGTCGTACTTTGTGACCAAAAAAAAAAAGTCAGTATAAAGTAGGTCTGTTTATAAGAATTTTAATACCAAATTCTAATGAAAATCGTAAATATTACGGTCTTTCAAAACATGTATAACCGAATTCTGTTCAGAATTGTTCATTAGCAATGATTGATCGTTGCATACAAAAACTGTAATACAGATTTATGTCCGTATCTTTTTTTATATAAAATTGACATAATTTTTCCCTAAAAATATCGATTTTTTCAAAACCCGATGTCCTAAAAATTGATCTCCTCAATATTGGTTCATGCTAATACTTACTATATTAATAATATCCTTACTTGTTCGCTCACCCACGTGGTCAACCCGACCACGGAAACCATGAACAGTATGTTCTGTGAGTCCAGCGCTATGGTCGGTAACGGGTCCAAATGTAATTTTTCGTTAAACAACGTTATGAAACAATGGAATGTCATGTCAAAAACGACAGAGCCGAAGAATATCGTCACGGCGGGACCATACGCCCGGTTGAACACTCTTAGCAGATCAGAAAGGTCGGCGTGCAACAGTCTCACGCATTCGATAAGTACGGCTACTTCTTCGGCCGACCAATCTCCGGCGTCATCCCGTGACAGTCGACTGGTCACCAACCGTTTCCAGAACGCGTTCAAGGCCGAGAATCTTTGCCCGAGTTGCCCGAGGTAGAAACACAGGATGGAGGTTACCGCGAAATCGGTGACCCGGGGTACGGAAAATATGTTTTCGATCATGTAGTAATGGTCGAATTTGTGTATTATGAATACATGTAAGTAAATCACCATCCATATGTAGTACGCAAAGTACATCGAAAAAATCACAAACCAAAAACATCTCCGCTGTGTTCTGATTATGACGTGCGCCGTCGAGGGCAAGGCACCAAATTTTCGGTCAAACGTGACGATGCCGTTGGTCAATCTGAAATAGTTTTACTTGTATATAGGCACTATTAATCTGGATCTAATGGTCACAAAAAAAAAAAATTTAAAAAACAAAAATTAGACGAATATTTCTTAAAAATGGCTTTTAAAAAAAAATCAAAATTCAAAAAACGGGAAAAATGAAAAAAAAAACGTTTAATTATGAATCGTAAATGCACTTAATATCCTATCCTTATCTTAGAACAATTAAAAAATATTACGAAAATTAACTACTCGTAATTGCCCGAGATAATATTATTATAATAATATTTTAACCAACCTAGTAACAGTCAGAAACCCGTAATAGAGACCTGATCAAAGAACCATTTAAAAAAGTCCCTGGCTGGGATAGCACAAGGGCTATATGGACAACGCTTAATCGAATAAGATCGGAACAAGGAAGATGCAATTACCTACTTCACAAATGGGGAATGGTAGACTCTCCACTTTGTGAATGTGGAGAAATGCAGACAATCAAACATATGGTTGAGTCGTGTCCCATTACAATGTTCAAAGAAGGATTAACAAAACTACACGAGGGTGGCCCAACAGCTATAAAATGGCTTGAAGAACTAAATATTCGTCTGTGATTTCTATTGTTATTAGTATTGATGTTATTATAATTTACTATACCTACTATAACCTACCATACTAACATTTTTTTTTTTTTTTTTAATTAGTTGACTAGTTATCTTAATTATCATATTTATTTATTTGTTTTAATTTTACTAACTTTATCTATAACATTTCTCACGTTATCTAAAGTCGAATATGCCATATGAAATTATTAACCAACCTAGTAAAAATTTCAATAATATCTGCAGTTGCAGATTCTATTGAAATGGTATACTTGTATCGAAATTGTGTATGTATAACAAAAATAAAAATATGCATTTTGAGTTGATATCTATCGGCTTTAATAATTTATGAGTAGGTACCTATTAAGTTTAATCGAATTAATGAGCCTTTTATTTTTATTTTTAAAAAATATTACTTGATAGCCCATTCTTCCGTGAATCTCATTGCGATTATTATCACCCAGTATCGGACCAAGTTTATGTAGCGAAAAAAAAACACGGGCATTTGCAACACCACAAACGTACACGCGAGATAAAAAGTTATTTGTACTATGTCCATCAAAGTACACCACATCGTACCCGATATGTATAGAGTAGAGTCTAAATTCACGCAACACGAATACCGTATGATTCCCAATATTTTGGATAGAATCATGATTGGCATTAAAGTCTTCACTAAATTCGATTTCATTATTCGGCGGGACCCGGTTCCACTACACTACCAACACGCATCACCAGTAGAATCAAATGATTCAAGGGTATATTATTTATTATTCGAGTGTATATGTCGCACCTTAAAACCTAAACCTAATGATTTATTTACAAAAAATACTTTATTTATTCGGGAAAATATTTTATTTATCGCGTTATAATGTTATTATTTTCTCGTTGTGTGCCGATGTGTAATTCGTTAATATATAATAATATAGGTACTCCATCTCCGCCCATTTTAAATCGTTATTTTATAACTATATAAACATATACAGAGTGATTCATTAAGCGTGCTCCACTCATTTTTTGGTTAAATTTTGTACATTAAAATTTTTATAAATAGACGGAGTATTACTTTAAATTAAATTTAGTATCAATATTTTTGATTTCTGTTTACTCGTTAACGAGATATTCCATTTTTCAGTTTAGGTAGGGGTAAAGTAGTGGAGCAATAATAAAACGACGCGCGTCGTGCCGCCGTACAAATAATACTCCACTACTCTCCCCTACCTAAACTTAAAACTAAAATATCTCGTCAACGGGTTGACGGAAATTAAAAATTTAAATACTAAAATTTATTTAAAGTAATACTCAATCTTTTTATGGAATTTTTAATATAGAGTCTTATTTGAAAGTTGGTATTGCCACAGGATACTTTTTAGATATTGGGAAAAATCAAAGAATTTTAAAATATCGGCTTTAACTACACTTATAAATATCAAAAATCGGAATTTTTATAAATGCAAAATTTAACAAAAAAAAAAAAAAAAAAAAAATAAAGTGAGTACACTTAGTGAATTACTCTGTATATGCACTATACAGAGTGATCAACATAATGTAAGACACATTCATTGTTTCAGAAAGTTTTAAATTTTTTTGGAATGTGGAGAGTGGTAGTGGAACATACTTTATGTGGTAGCATGTCTGAATATTTATCTCTACTATACCTCTCCTCTTTATACAAAACAATACAAATTTAATAGTGGAATATCTCGTCAACGTTTAACTAAACATTTATCTATGTATGAAATGTGTAGATTCTTGGCGTATTGGTTTTATGTATGATGAGTGCGATTTTTATTTTTTTATTCTATTTACTTTTTCTGTCTACAAATAACTTTTCTACCAGAAATATGGCACCAACCAGAAAACGACATGAGAGATTTTTTGTAGTATTTTGATTTTAGGTTATATTGAGGAGGTTATTTATCCTTGTAGTTTTCTTAATAATTGGGAAAAAAACGTAGAACAACTAAGAAAGTATACGGCATTCATATTTAATGGTCTAATTATTTTTGATTTTGTTTTTTTGTTGTAATTCGGCTAAAAAAAAAAATAAAGATCTAAAATTTCACAGAATACTTAAAATAACCTTTTGTAAACGTGATAACATTTTAAAAATTTGATTTTTGACTATTTTTAGATATTTAAAATTGTCTAGTTTTTTGTTTTTTATAATTGTAGGCGGATAAAATTTTTTTGGTCAGCTTTCAAATTAAATGTTTATAAGTATAGTGCTATGTTCATGGTTAGTTGTACTTGAAGAACAAAATAAAATGGATTGAAAGATGGTAACATATCATATACAAATTAAATTACTTTACTATGTATTTCTAATTCCACCTTCTCAACAACAATTGTACATCCATCAGTAATATTAATTCTTTTTTTTTTAATATATGTATAGGTGTTTATTTGAAAATAAAAAGTGAGTAGTGATATTGGTTTCACTCTCATGTGACAATAAATAACGGTTATGTAATCATTTCAAAGTTGCTTGTTTTATACATTTTATAAAAAAATAAATAAATTCCGAAAAATGTTTATTCTTTATTGACTAAATTTTCAAGACAATAACTATTCTATTGTTATGTTAGGATATTTTAGAATACTTATGTATCTAATGTTATGTTTATCACTCTGTATAGTACACACAATATACATATTATATATTATTTTGTACTAGTTGTATTAAACGTATGTGGTCAATATTTTTATAAATTAAAAAAAAATACGACATATTTGATCAATACAATGACAATATAAAATAACTTTTCATAAATACTAAAGTTACTATATATATATATATATATAGTATATACGTATAATATGTTTAAAAGAGATGAATTATTGACATTATTTTTCATGCTTTAATACACACACTGTAATATTTGTTATATCATTATTGTTACCAATTGAAATTATACATTTGTTATCACCTTTATGTCAATGTATAGTAATATTTTATATTTATATTTTATTGGTTAAAATTGTATTCAAATACGTAAAAACGATTCTCATAGTTAGGTACACCGTTTTATGAGTATTATACGTTATACCAAATATTTTGTAAATGACAGCACGGCATCATAATAATAGGTATATAATAATGAATTGTAATTAACTAATTATTCTTACCACATATTTTATAGTAAACACGTTTTTATCCATCCTTAGTCTTCAAATATACATATTAAGTATATGAAAAAAAAAAATGGCGGTGTTTGACAAAAATTTCTACGAAGACGTAAGACCGACGTTGATGTTGTACAAAATTATTGGATTGACTAGTCTCAAAAATGTATTTTTCGGTCGATTAGAATTTCAATGGGGGATTAATTTTGTATGGCCGGTGGTATGTATTAGTATATAAGATATATTAAATATTTGTATAACAAAAAAAAATATATATTAAAATAATCAACATTTTCATGACAACATATTAACTAGAGTTAGAGACTTCTATCATTTGCATTTTGTTTTGAAAATATTAAAAAAATAGCAGCCACATATAAATAATGTTCATGATTAAAGGAATCTAAATTCTAAATTCTATTTTGGATATATTTGCATATTTTACATGTCTTGCTTATTAGAGAGTATTTTAGCAGTATGTAGATTTTAAGTGCTATCAAAAGTCATGTACTCATGTCTTAAAAAACCTTATAGTTTAACCTAATCTTGTTAGTTGTTAGCTAACAACTAGGTAGGCCGAACAAATTTTCAGCAAGCCAATATATATTTTACTATAGATTTATTACAAAAAAAAGTGTTGACACATGCTATAGCTCATAGCCACAGTTACGATACTTAAGACCAATTAAAAAAAAAATAAAATATTTTTTCCCGTCGCAGAAATATAAGTCAGGCTGAAATGTAATGTAATGTTGATGAATTATAGGTATGCATAAGCATACCCTGCAATACCTCAAATGATGTCCCTGATGTCTTATAATATTTTTCAGTATCTAGGTAAGGCTTGCATTTACCAATAATTAATATAAATTGTATTCAATGTATAACTTTAAGAGTATATTTAGTTGTTTTAAACTCTGAGTGGAGCGAAGAAGCTTATGATTTTACAAAGATTTTTTTTTTTTTTTTAATTTGATGGACAACTTTTCTACCAGAAATCTTGCTCCGATTTTTAAGTGTAGCATCTTTTCTAAAAGGAAATTTGACTGAATAGGTACTTTAAAGAGGTAATTTTTTTGATTTTATCAGGAGTTTTCTTAATAAATGCAAAAAACAGGAAGATAGGTACAATATTAAACACTATCAACGGTATTTTACTCAGTATAGCTTTTTTGTTAGCAATGGTTAATCGTTGCTTATAGATATAATTTAAATAACTTTATGTATCCTACCTTCTCGATTTCCTTCCCTCGATACCTTCCCGTATCAGCTGCGTACTAGTACTTAACGGACACCTATAAGTAGTTAACATTCAAATAGCGGATGTTTTTTGGGGAGCTTTTCACTACTTACCTATATGAAAGCCTTTAAATATAAATATGGGACACTAAATAATGGACACTTTCTTTCTTTAAATAGCAGATACCTCAGAATAGCGGACAAAATGTCAGTAACTGAGTGTCCAGTATTTAGACATTTCACTGTATTGATATTTTAATATATTTCATTTTGTATTTTTTGTAACAAGTTAAAAAAGAAAAAAATATATGATTCTGGACTTGTTTAGGGGTGATGTATCACCCACATCACCCCCTTTGAGTACGTCACTGACCCATATGGATACACAAATCCAATCGTTTAAAATATTGGGAGGAGGTACTTTAGAGAGGTTGTCTTTCGATTTTCTCGGGAGTTCAATGTTGAAAACTGGGAAAAACATAAGAAAACCGAGAAAAACGTAGGGAAACCGGGAAAATCGGTAAACATTAAACAAATATTATTAAAGCAAATATATAGAGCCTACTTAATTATTTTACTATAATATGGCATACATATTTTTGACAAAGTATCAATATCAAATGAACTCCACTCACAATCGTTTTTTCGTAAGCAATGGTTTATCGTTGCTTACAGGTATGCATTAAATTATATATACAGTGGCTGCACCCGTCCCCATTATTCTAGAATTTCTTTTTAAATGCAAATTTTGTATAATTAATAATATTTATTTTGAATATGATCTGTTCTTTCGATCAAGGTGACGTACACCACGCCATGTTATTTTTTGCTATTGAACGTCATACAAAATCCGACGGCTACCCTATGGTTTTGGACGGTCAACTTTATACTGCGGGAATTTTTCAGCCAACTGACGTCGATATACGTCGATGTACGTTTGCCTAATATTATCGAAAACATCAATCGGTTCGATATGGAACACGGACGACCTACTGAACATGGAACCCGTCCCCGTTACTACGTGATCGCTTATTTGGGATGCACGTTGACGTTGTTAGCATGTGCTTGTATAGATATTTTACTCAACAAAATGTCCGTAAAAGTGATCTTCGAAACGATGATAAGGTAAATTTTAGAGAAGTACTTACCCATACCGTTTATCTACATACGTGCGATAGTAAAATAATACTGCCTATCAATGCACCACCCATATCGTTGTGGTTAAAAACTTGAAATTTCTACATTATGTGCCTTTTATATCGTAGATATCCACTAAGGAATAACTTTAAAAATCACACCTTTAAAAATAATTTCTATTTGTTGATTTATAGGTTACTTTGATGACATGGATGATAATTTGGTTGTCACGAACATGACATCTATTATTATTGTTACTATTCCTATTATTTACACTATTTTATTTTTGAACATGTTTTTATATAACATGCAACAACTATTATCTGTGATAGGAGTAGAGGTGGAAACGGGGAGTCATCGGAAATCATGTTTGGAAAATGTACACAAATTAATGTTTTCGTTCAATATTAATAATACGGGCAAATCCGCGTGGAACATACTTCCAAACGGCAAGTGAGGTAAAGGGAGTAGAGTTTCCGTGAAGATCGAAATGTTTCTTAATGGCGAAGTGAGTAAAGGAAGTAATTTGAGAACCAAAATGAGATTTTCCCGGGAAAATCACCGGAAAGCTTTCCAATGGACACTCATTAATTGAACTGTTGGTTCCTGGGAAGGTCGAAATGATTTGCGATGAGAAGTTCCTGATAGACACTTATTCGGAGTAAAATAAGAGTACACACACACTAAAATGTACAGACGTATACAATGCACACGGATGAAGTCGGGTAGTATAGCTATATTTTTATACTGCTCTAATATTGTTTCTATAATAAAACATTTGATCCAACAAAAAAAGTAGCCCGGGTAACGGCGAACGGAACAGTATAATATACTTATATAATAGTTATAACGGTTTCGCAGGTACATGAGTTCAGTGTTTCCACTATTGTACCTGTTGTTCTGTGACGAAATGTGCCTGCGTTTCCGGTCACTACGAACAAGATGGCGCATAGAAGTCGCCAAGGTGCTGGCATCTACGCCACGGACCACGTGCCAGGCACTGGAGTCGGAACGGCTGGCGCACGCCCAGCTCTGCGATCTGGTAGAAGAGATACGCGTGGCGTTTGGGCCCCGTCTTACTGCGTACCTGCTATTTGTGTTCCTCGAACATTTGGCCCGGTTCTATTTTGATACTTACGTAATGCCCACGTACCGGCCCAAGTACTCGGAGCTGGAAAACAAGGGAGTCAGTCCACTGGAGTCGTTTATGTTTCTGGCACACGCTTGGATCGGCACGTACTTGGTCGCTTATCTATCTGACTCGCTAACCGAATCTGTAATAATCTATAATAAGTCAACGACTTAATTTATTTTCTTTATAATTACCAATATTTAATTATTACGGACCAACTTACTGAAATTACGAGTTTGAAATCAACATTTTTTATTTTTGCATATTTCAAAAGACAATAAAAACCGGCTGTGGTAAACAATGAATATATAATATCATTTCTCCATCGTCTCATATGCTTCCAACAATTGGTTATCGTTATTAAAAAAATCCCGGTAAATAAGTGCGAAAAATTTCCAAAGATTTTAAACAAATATGTGAATTATAAACGTTACAAACAAACAAAAGTTTCAAAAGTAGGGTGCACAACTAGACTAGCTTCTTAAGTTAGGTTAGGTTAGGTTACTTAACCGTAATCGGGGTGAATCAAACAAATATAGAAATGGAATAGCAAAAATCTAACATTTCTCTTTAATGCATATATTATTATTTGCCAAATGTACATATTATTTTATATTGATTTGTTTGATAATCGGTGACATTTAAATATGTAATATATTTTTTCTAGAGCAAAGAAATAATAACAGACTTAAGGAATATACCAATATGGAAACTACCACAGGATTGCTGTGAACAGGTAAATTACATTTCAAATTTAAATACTTATCTAACGTGATTCACCTATCGCCCTCTTGGAACCACCAGTGTGGGGGAGGGGGTTGAATAAAGGCTCACTCAAGGAAAACGTGGAGTGGAGTTACAATGGGCCTCAAGTACCCAACTAAATGATTTATATATTTATTTGTTTCAATATTCCGGTATTTTGGCTCAAATTAATTTGTATTAACTATTAATTGTATTTTCCCTCCCTCCCCCCCCCAAAAAAAATTCTAAGTTTGCTCTGGGTATTGAAACAAAATATACTGTACCTAATATTTTTATAAATCAACATATCATATCAAATATAGTATGATATTTTTACTAAACGAAACAATTCAGGAAAAATAAATGATTTGAATAATGAGTGATTAAAAAAAAAATTAAATTGTAATTTTATATTTATAACATACCTACAAAAATTAATTAATTGATAGGTTTGAGGTGATCGTCTCCATCGCCCCCTCAAAAGCCATTAAAATATACCGATGGACTTGTTTATAAATTCAAACAGCTTTATATTTATAAAATTGAATCACAGGAAGCACCTTAATTTGTAGATGTTTAGGTTTTTTTGATAGAAATTGTTTGGTGTTCGCGATGGTTTTAACCAAATTCAATTAAATGAACTGATTTTTAACTGATTCCAACTCTGAAAAATATGTCATCTAAAACATACATATTATGTAAATTCATAAGGTTTTTAACTTAGTTTCTTCATTTATAGAATAAAAAAAACGTATCCACTTTATTATATTACAGGTTACTTTCTTCATGTCTCAAGTACAGAATTCGCAAACTGTCATTACGGCTTCTGGTCTCTTTACAGTCAATAAAACCATTTTATCTTCAGTAAGTACTATTATACCTGTTACTTATGTTGATTATTTATAGTATTTAAAATATACATATACATTTTATGTATTAAATGTTTAATGTACTGTAATTATAAAAACGAAAAAAAAATATCTATGGGTTTGTATATTAACATATTCACTTATTCATGAACTTAAATGATGAATTGTCACAATATTAAAAACTAATATAATACGTGATTTTCATGATTTAATATTCATGGTCGAATCATCATTGCTATATAGTCTATTTATCTTTGTGTATTGTTGTCTACGTCTTCACGAGATATTATTATATTATAATTATGTATAATTCGTTATAGAATTAATGATCAGTAGGTAGATAGCATACATTATTATTATAATTTTTTTAGGATTATCTTATCTTAGAAACAGCATGAGAGAAGAAATATATTTTATACTTTTTCCTATTTGTTATTGAGGTATAATTGCTCGTATGAATAATTATATATATTCTTACTACTTATTCGAATAAACCATATGGGTTGGCCTTATTGACATGCCAGTTTTCATCACAATAACATCATAATAATACCAGGTCGACAGATGGGGATGAGCTAAGTCTCAAAAATAGAAAATTAAATTTTCAGATGTAAAATTATAAATGTGTATTACTGTATGCAATTTATTAGGTATGTAAATAATACCATAAAAATACAACATGTTCTATATAATTTTGTCAATAAATTTGTATTTATGATGTATTGATATTAATAAATTATTATAATTTAAAACAGTTTTGAGGATTTTGAGTGTAGCAAAGCCCCACTCGTATTATATTGATCTCTGAATAAATACATATTTTTCCGTCAAGGTGTCAATTAAGATTTTTTTAAATACGCTATTTCTGCAATAGATTCTTTACTAATTAGCCTAAGTGGGTTTAACTAAACCTAGTTTATATGAAAGTTGTGGAGAATTTTCGCCAGACGAAAAACTTTTTTTCAAGAAATAAAGAAATAATCTTGGTATGGACCAAATTAATAAGGCATTGGTTAATTATTAAGGTCCAGACATTCTTGAAAATATTAAAAGTAATAAATAATGCGTGAATGAAAAAGCTCATAGTATTATTATTATTATTATTTTAAAATTGCATATTACATGTAAATATTACTAATAAAAAATCTGGCATACGTACATCACCTTAGGCGCGTCCAATAAGTATTAAGTGTTTTAGCCCATTTGTATTATAATCATAAACATTTTAAACGTATGGGAGCTAATCATTATTGTTATTATCAAATAGTTTATAATCATGATCCTGGATGAAGTTGTTTTTATGATTTTCCGAATTTCTGGTATTCTATATTATGTTCTTGGTAAAAAGTATGTTTTAAAAGGTTGCTAATTCATAAAAACCATTATCGTAAAAAAATACAAAGACGTTTATTGTATTTCTATAAAAAGTAATCAAAATGTTTTCTAATAATAGTATTTGACGAATGCCTGAGATATAATTACTCGAAAATACGCAATGTAATAAATGCAAATTTATAAACGCTGTTTAATTTATTTCGAGCTAATTGAAATTCCAACGATAAATAATTACCTACATGTATGATATTCCTGGTCCAAAATTATTTTTATAATTATCATATGTATTCGTTTCTATTTTTATTGTAATATATAAATCACTCGCGCAGTAAATTTTTAGTGCACGATTATTATAATTTTGGTAGAATGTTGACAAATCGTCGTCGTCTCATATAATCTAATAAAATAAAACGCTAACGCGTTGTATGAATGTCCTTTAGTTACTTGGCATTGTGTTTCTTTTAAACGACAATAATTTATACAAATTATTCCAACGCACTATTACAGGCCTTCTTATGATTATTATTATTTCGTATATAATTTTAGTCATACATTTTGATGTTACAAAATTTTATAATATTTTTGAATTCACATAATTTATAAAACAATTAGTGTTGAGTCCAGTTATATGACGGGGGGCGATAGCCCTCCTAGAAATATTGTTTACCCTCTCCCCTTGTTTAATGTTGATAAATTAATAATTAATTAAAATCTTAGGTAAGCAGTAGAAAAAAAGGTCATTACTTACTATAATTTTAGTGATGCCCCAATCCTAGACAAATTGTATGAATTCAACACTGATAACATCATCTATAATATCAATACAAGATGTATAGTTATTTACATAGGCGTGTGCAGACCTTGCTGGCAAGAGGGGCAGAATATATATTAAGGTGTCCTGTATATTATTGCATGTAATATAATATAATATTATTTTGGTTATTATTTAATCGTAAGGTTCGGATTTTAAGGCAATATGATCAATAAAAAAAAGGAATTAATTTGTAAAAAAATAAATAGATTTCAGTTGATTTAACTAGTTCATACTACAAAAAATTCACTACCATGTACTTGATAAATTATCTTCAGTAATACGTTGACGGTTTGGGCTCAAAATATTTACGTACATAGAAAAGGATCTTTCTGCGTTCCCTGAAGTTATTGGGGGTATAAGTTATTAAATCGTCATCTTCATCAACATCAAAAAAGGAATTTATATAAGTAAAAAAGGGGGAAAAAAAAGGCTGATATTGGAGACGGGTGTGACCATTGTTGTAAGTGGCAAGTGAGGAAGGTGAGATACATAAAGTTCTTTAATTTATTCTTGTAATCAACGATAAATCATTGATAACGAAAAACGTTTCGGAGCGAAGTTTGGTTATACATGTTTTGAAAGGTCGTAATATTTACGATTTTCGTCAAAATTTGATATTAAAATTCCTTTATAAAAAAAATACTACCTAAAGCTTAAATTTTTTTAACACAAAGTACAACATTTAAAGAACCTCCTGTTAAATTGTCAAGCATTTCTGTTTAGTCTAACTGTTTTATCTACAGAGTACCTATCGAATAAAAATATGTACAAAACTCTCAAAATTAAAATTTCTATAATTAGCTCAAAAATGGATCAAATGTTTTGAAAATTTTATTTTGCCTTAAAAAACAAATACAAGTTTTCTGTCAAACTTTAAAGTCTTTATGGAATATATTAAACTAAATTACATTGAAAAAACAAAATTAAAAATAATAAAAGAATTATTTTCGTACATGTTCCTGTAATTTCTGCATTTTTTGTCGGTTTTACTTAATTATTAAAAAAACTACAGAGAAAATCAAAAAACGACTTTATAGTTCACTAACTTGATTAAAAATACAACAATATTATAATGACTTATAATAAATAGGTAAATGCATATTATACTGACACAATGTATCATTTAAAATTTATAAATTATAACATTGAATACAAATTATTTATTATTCCCCTCTTTATAGATTAATATAAATTTCGTTACACAAAATGTTTGCAGAAAAAAATGTATTAAAAACATAATCTCGCTAAAAAATATAAGGTATAATAGTTATTATTATAATTAAAATAGTTGAAATTATTTTTATCTTTATAGGTTTATTCAATTGTTGTACTTAGTGTATTTATATAAAATTATTGATATTGAACAATATTTTTGTCTACATCGTTTCTAGAAGAATCAGGGACGGAAAATGTTCGGGGGTGATTGCATAGACCCATAAAATTAATTTCATCCATTATCCACATCGTATTATATAATATATAATATATATGTATATATTTATGATAAAATAAAGAGATCCCGCTATTTCAACTTTTCTACTTTAAGTACAGTAGTTATTGAGGTTAAAATAATTTCACAATTATCTCATCATTGAAATATGAAGTACCTTTATCGAAATCTAATAAATTACGACAACCTTACCATACAAAATATCAACCATATTATCAGCTATGTCTGAGTATAAATATTTATCGGCTTCAACTGTCAGTTTTGTTATTATTACAAGTAAAATTTACTATTATAATATAAAAATTTTTGATCTGTAATATTGAAATAATATACTATGAAAGTATACGTATGGGTAAAATACAATATTATTTTATAATTATAAAAACATTCATTTTTGACAAAGGTCATTTAATATTCACATGTTGAAAAAATTCTAAAAATATGTCCTTAACGCAAACTCTAAAATAATGCAATTTCGCAATTAATTTGAATTAATCTTTTTATTGTTTATTATTTATTAAGTTATGTTCAATTTTACAATTTTAGGACCTAAGTAGTCTTTTCGGTTTTTATAAATAGTTTTTAAAAGTTGACATTAGTTTGAAAAATTGTAAAAATATAATGAAAATTATATTTAAAAAAAATATCAGCGTACAATTTGTTTTCCCTCTTTGACCCACATACAACATAATATATATTCGGCAGAACCAAATTTATGTTTTTAACTATAATACTAGAGTGATTAATGAATTAGCCTATTATCAAACTTAAAATTAAGAATAATAGCAGTGTCCTTACGTTGGTGATTTCAGTTATTTTAATTTTTAAGTGAGATATGTGATGTGTAGTTATATTTTATTTAACAATTTAAAAATCGAAAAAACCACGAAGTTAAGACGCAGATAACATTTTTAACTTTTAAGTTTGATATTAAGCCAATTCACTCTAATACAACACACGTTTGATTCTCCTAAATTCAAAGTTACTATGTTACGTGTGAATCAGAGAGAGAAAACAAATGTTGCAAATAGTACAAATAGTACTAAGACAGTTGGATGTAAACTCATGTAATTCATTTTTTTGTACAATTAAACTAATAAGCTGCCAAAAAATAAAAATCAGTTCGGTTTTAAAATGCCGTAATTTTTAAATTTGTTATCAAAATTTGAACTAAAAAACGTATACAAAAAACATTATGCTCAACTTTATTATTATTATTTTTTCAATTACTAAAGGCAAAAATTATGATGAATCTAGTATTCAATTTTCGATCATTTCTGCTCGGTTAAAAAAATTGTATTTACATAAAAACTAAACAAACTCGAAAATTTAACCTAACCTAATTTAATCTAATCAAACCTACAAATAGTTCAAAAATACCCAAAATATTTTGAAAATGTTACTATATCTAGAATATAACTATTCTCGTATCAGCAATTGTTTTTAATTGAATTAAAAAAAAAAAATCGAAAAAACAGAAATCATTATATTATTTTCGTAAATTTTCTCATTTTTTCCAACTATTAAGAAAATTCAAATCTGAAAAAGAAAAAAATCTTGGAAAATCAAAAACTGACATCTTCAACGCACTGACTAAACAAAAAAGATTACATTTGCAAAATTAAAGCAATATTTCAGGTAGAAAAGTTGTTTACAATCAGAAGATAACAAAAAATACACATACATCATAAATATTATAGTATTAAACCAGTACCCGATTTGCTCAGTATTTAAAACAAATAAACTTTACTGTCGAAATTTCATCAAATTATATTGGAATACGATGGAGTTATAAATCTATGATATAAACAAGAAGGACATGATGAAATTATAATATTGTAACTTATAAGTATTTTATATTGGCTACAAAACCCTGTATAAAAATGCGATCGTTATAATATATCTACATCATAATATATTAGTATAGGTGCCATTAAAATATTTGTTCTGGATTCTGATCCTAATTCATCTAACCAGTACCAATCCAGCCTAACCCGATCAGAATGCGGATCAGTTGTCCAGAACAGTACTTTTTATACTTCATCGTATTATAATAATAATCGAAATATTTTGCGTTGACAAGTTTGGTATTATTTTTTTTCCAGATAATCATCTCGTTGGCCACGTACATAATCGTGCTCATACAATTGGCACCCGATTTGGGGCGCGTATTTGTCGAATAAATAATTACGATACAATGTTACTACTGTTTACTGTAGATCAACAAACACAATACTTACATGAATACGCTTCGTTATAAAAATAATGTCATTTTTCAAAACAATACTGCACTCGACATTGTGTTATTATTATAATATTACTTATCCCACGCACCTATATGCACTTTTATATTGGGACACGCCCGTTAAATATATTATATATGAGTAAGTAATAATAAAAATAAAAAAAAATACATTGAAGAATTTTTCGTTTATTACACATACGCATACTTCGGGCATTCGTTGCCCTTCAAAAAATGCATATTAACTATCACCGTCACCATAAAATATCCACATAATGTATATCATATTGTATTACGTATTAACCCGTCTGGGTTGATCTCGTTTCGGTCAAGCGTTTTGTATTTTTTTTTCGCCCAGGAAGTGTAAAATATACGCGCGCGACCAACGTAAAAGGAATGATTGTTTTTTTTTTTTTTTTTAATTTTAACAACAATCTCATTTATTCCCTCCATTCCAAATATCCATACTCGGAGTATCTATAAGCTGTACTACGATATCCTTAGGGCGTATCCGCGGAGATTGGTAACCTTGCTGACGGACGCAAGGCGACCAGGACGCGGGCGACGACGATTTATAAATACGCCGAACGTCGGTACCGATCAGTACAGTTCACATTTTGTAAGTTGCCAAGTAGCACAAGACAATATCGAAGAAATCATGAACGGATTTGTCGTGAGTATTTATATAATATATACTCGCATTATGTCTTGCTAGGGACTTAGACGATATACGCACCGCTTCCAAAAACAGACAGAGTGTTATCGTCGAAACATTCAGAGTTTCGTCGGTAAAAATGACTGAAAAATAATCGATCGAATAGCTACTATATTATAATAATATGTATTTAAAATATTTAATACTATGTTGATTTTTTTAACGTGTTCGAAAAATAGACATTATACGCATCTTAAATAACTCTTGTAAATCTTTTTAAGTACCTCTTGGAAATTTTATTCGCACTTTTAAAAATTCTAACAACTTTGTTATAATATATACCAAATATTAAACTGTTGCACACGGTTCATATTGAATATTATATATTTTCAGTCACTTCGGTGCAGAATACTTTCGATAGATCAAGTCGTCTTTTTTTCCCCACGTTAGTTTTCTTCATTTATACCAGCATTAAAATAAAATCATCATAATATCAAAATGTACATAATACTATCGTAATATTACATATCTGATTGTGTGTATTAATGTGGGGGGGGGAGGGATAAAATTAATTTTTTATTTTGAATAACTCTTATTCTCGCCTTCTGCGCTCGAATCTAACCTAACTTTACACATAATAATCCTCCCTGCATCTACTCCCTTTATAAAGTTATGTATAACTTCTATTTTAATTATTTTTTGTTTCGACCTATTCCTCGGCAATATAAATTTACCTAGGCGTATTATTCTAATCGCATTGAAACACGTATTCAGGTATTCGTCTTAGTAGCGTTGACGTCGTCGGTGGCGCTGGTGGCCGGCCAACACGGTAATGCAGCCATTATATCGGACGCCCGATACCTATCCAACAACGGCCAGTTCGGATCCGCTTACAAGCAAGGTGACGGGGTTGAGTTCAAAGAGGAGGCGGACGCTGAAGGCAACAGGAGAGGCTCTTACAGCTACTTGGACCCCAATGGCCAGAGGCGCACCGTCACCTACACGGCCGGCAAGGACGGTTTCAAGGCTACTGGCGACCATCTACCCGTAGCTCCGACACCGGTTGCCGTCCCCGCAGTTCCCGCAGTCCCGGTCCCACAAGCCCCGTGGCAAGACCAATGGTGAGTCGGTTCAGAATTATTATTTATTATTATTATTGTATACTAACCTATACCTGTACTAGAACACTATAATATTATTGTTATAATATTCTCATATTTTATATTCGTTTTCGTTTCACTGTTGTTTGAATTTATCGAATTTCGAAAATGTCTTCAAACTGTACAAGAATAATACGTAAAATACGTAATTGGAAAATGATTATCTTTGAATGCAATTCGATCGTATAATACCTAACTGTAGTCGTGATATTTATAGTCATACGTATCAGCCGTTATATTAATATGTCGTATACTCAGATTTTCTAAATAGGCCAACGATAAAAAAAAACACGAATACTTTTTTTTGGAAACGTTGTTAACGTCGAAACAGCGTTTACGAGATTTTATAAACACAATTCCTATTCCAGGTCTCAACCACAAGCCGTCCCAGACCAATGGAACCAATGGAACTCGGCGCCTACACCCAAGTACGACGACGGACAGTGGAACCAATGGAGCGCAGAGTCGACGACCAAGTACGACGATGGCCAATGGAACCAATGGAACTCAGACTCGTCCATTGACGGTCAATGGAACCAATGGAACTCTGTGCCGACGACCGCGGCGCCGAAACACAGCCAATGGAACCAATGGAACTCAATTCCGACCACCGCCAAGTGGAACCAATGGAACTCCGCACCCACGGCACCGCCCGCGTCATACAAAATCAACCAAGCTACCGGCAAAATCAATTTGAACAGATCTCCAGACGGTTTCAGCTACACGTTCAGTCAAAACTGATGCGCCCACTCATCATAATATGTATTATAAGCTAAGGCCCAAACGAAACTATGTACACTATATTGTTCTTTTATCGATTTGTTTTTATGTTTAATTAAAGACTAGTCAAAATTTAAAAAAAAAAATTATATGTATTATAAAAAAAAAAAATAAAAATAAAATAAAATAAATAATGCACGTGTTTGTTTCGTCCGGCATTCAGTAATCCTCTGCTGTTATTGGTCAAAAAAGGTATAGGTAAAAGTAATACGATAAATATATCTGAACGTGTATCTATATATCGGTACATTATTCAATTTCCGAATGTACAACGAATTATTAAAAAAACTTGTATTTATTTTTTTTTTTTATTATTTAGTATTTATATTTACTAAAAATAATATTATTCAAAACCATTTTACTCGTTTGTTTTCAAAAAATATTGAAATAATTTTAAAAAATAAAAAGTAAATTGAGCAAAATCACAGATTCCTAAGAAATATACTCGTATACCTATAGCTATAAATTATATTTAAACAATAATTCATAATATTTTTATCTACGATTATAATAGGACTACAAAAACGACGAATTCGCGTCTATGTTCTTATCGCGATAACTAAATAAAATATTGTAATATGTATAAAATGCGACGTATGGAATTAGTTATAATATTATAGTTCATAGTGTATACGTTTCCGTAAAATCTTCGGTGGTGTCCACCGGTTCGGAGATTGGTTTTTCCGACGTCTTGAAGTAATTTGATTCCACGAACAAGTACTCCACACTGTCGTGTCCGTCCAAAGAATTGACCGGAATTACGCGATGGCCGTTCTCGGACGCGATGACGGCCGCCGCAGTAAGCCCGGGCGCGCATCTCGCCGATCCCGTAAAAACTAAAAAGCACACGATCGATATCACCTGTAAACGACAACGAATGTATACACGTCAACAAGTCGCGCATATTGTGTTTATTTTATTCAGAAAAAGATTACGGTAATGCAAAAGCAAACGATGTGTACTCACGGTAAAAGATTTCATGGTGTTTGATGCAGCGAGCCCGAAGGAATACGTTCGATTAGTGCTGGGCGTATGTATCCGTCCCGAAGCTTTTATAGAAGGACGCGCACAAAACGTTCTGGATCACGTTCAAGGTCGACTGGTCGCGATATACGAATTATTATACACATTGGGCGTATATTTTTTATAGTTATTTTTTTCAAATTTTTTTTTCTTATGTATAATTATACTGTGTGTATAAATATAGGTATATTTAAATTTAATATTTCTTCATCGTTGCTATTATTATATTATACTGTTATAAATACCACGAATCTGTTGCAGTGGCGCTGAGGAGGATATTTTTTTCCAAGGCGTGGCGAGGTATTTTACATTTTAACGACCCCCGACCATAGATAATAAAGAAATTGATAGGATACGTGTATATCAATATTTATAGGGTATGCGGTTTTTTTGTTCATGCTATTTCTCACTAACAGTCTACGCGGGATACTGCCATACTATCTTTCATCGTATAACGGTTTAGAATACAATATTAAAACTGATCGTGCAATAAGCTATAATTGCCCGTCTATTTTTTTATTATCTATGCTTCCTCCTCTATCAAGTAAAGTTTTTTTAAAAATAACATTTACCACACATTACGGAAATATCCATCGCATAGGTTTTGTTTTTTAAAAGGAGTAAACTGGAGATATAGAGGAATGAGTACAAAATGAATTTAAGGTAGGTGTCTAATGTCTATATGAATCTGCAGACGCCCACCACCGTTTATATTCGTTTCATCCAGTAAACGTATTTAGCTTTTACCGTCTCTTGGTTTTTTATTCTCGGTCATTCTTCTACCAAAATCAAACCTATACTAATATTTGTCATTTATTTCAATTAGATAATTCAACATCATTCTTATCAGCAAAAAAAAAAAAAAAACATAATTTGAAATTAAAACTTAAATTTACTACTCTTCCCAAAAATATCGCTTCGGCCTATATAGCCTGATGTTATATTTGCCACCGACTTTACTGGGATCTATATAGATGACAAGTTCGAAAAAACTCCGGACAAGTTCATAACTGGACCAAATTTTTAAAGTGGTCTTAAATTAAATTATCTATTATTTTGTATTACAAAACATAATTAGCATTTAACTTGAAAATAATAAACAATTTCGGAGGGGGTGAATTCTTAAAATCTTCCCCACATACGGCCTCGTCTCTAGATAACTTCTGTATTATAGATATTCAAAATGGTATTTCATATATTAAATATTAATATTGTATATTTTACAACTTTTTATTGTTTTAACGTTATACGATTAAGACTCATAACACGTTACTCGTGATATTTTTTATAAATTTATAAATTTTTTATTTTATAAATTTCATTAGTCCTTGCATATCAATTGTTTCTTTAATGTTTTCATATGTATATTTCTATGTATTTTTGTTTACTTTGCTTTTTTCTTGTTGGAGATTAATTCTACTTATCAACTATACATTTATATACTTTCTTAAACTATTTTTATACGTAATAATTTTCTCTTTTTTTGTGTATTTTTTTTTTACATAATTGGTCATCATACCACACTATATATTGTAAAAAGGCTAGCCTTATTGAATTCTAAATAAATAAATAAATAAAGATTATAAATAACAGAGCGTTCTGCAGATCATTATAATTTACTAATAAGACTATCGAATATTAAAAACTTTTTAGTTGAAATTAAAAGATTTCAGATTGCAGTTAATATATTCTACTAATATACACGATTCTATTGTATATCAATAAGGTTATGCAAATTAATGAGTAAAAATACATTTCTTTAATAAGTTAAAAGTTAATTTGAAAATATTATAAACTAATGAACTTTTGGTAAAATTTGTATTGTCATAATGAAAATACTCAAACCTATAGAGTTTATAAATTTTTGAAAATATAGATGATCAATCAGATCAATACTAAATTTAATTTTGATTTTAGATTATAAGTGTAGTGAAAAATCTATCAGTTTTATTAAGATAATAGATTTTTTTTAACTTGGAAAACACTTCGGTTAATAAAAATGATTCGATTTGTTCATTGCATACCTTAAAATATGCGATATTTTTAACTGATGTTACATAATTTAAAACATTTATCGACATTTTCAATAGTATTTTTGTGTTTTTGATTTTTGTTGTTTTAAGGGAAAAACACAATTTATCCGCGTAGAATTGTTTTCGTTTGCTTTAATTTATCGTCACATGCAGTATATTATTAACTAAATTACTTTGTATATCCTATTTTCCCAACTACCTACCTATAACTATGCCTTGTCCATGATCAATATCAAATATTTTTTTTAGATTAACTTTTATAGCTTGTTTAAGATACGCACTTTATACTTTATATCATATATACATACGAGCATATGATATAATATAATATGCCGTCTCGTTTTATTATTAAGGATATAAAAAACAGGTTTTTGTTTTACATACGTTAATGCATTAATTTGCTTTGTGTGTGCGTGTATTCAAATCAAGCAAAATCTGTAAACGTTTTGATTTACATATAAGTACCTAAAAGATATAAATATATAATAGCTGTAGGTAGCGGTTATACAATTATCATAAATTTATGAGATCACCTATGTGGAATGTGGATTTTATAATGAAATATAGGTAATAGGTATGTGTCTGTCGTTTTCGCAGTTGCCCAATACCAAATTAGTATTATTATTGTATTAAAATATCAAACGGAAACGATAAATTAAGAAATGCCAATATATTTCGAAAAATATAGAAATGAAAATCCGTATATTTATCCGGAAATGTTTTTGTATAAAATACAAGACTATATACTGTAAATTCAGTACCGAAGAAAACTAATTTATATTATATTTAGGTATACAGAACAAAAGTATTATCCTATAGTGTATTAAATATTTTTATGATTTCGTGACAATGACAAAAATAGTTTGATTTTTTTCGAAACTTGTCAACAAAAGGTGCCGTTTTTATAAAGCACCTGCTAAAAATATATTATAATATTAACACTCGCGAAATAAGACGTTCTCTGTGTAGGTATAAGACACTTTACATAAAATCAGGCCTTAACCTTTGGCGGTAACACAGTAGTAGATTATTTACCATTAGTTCTATTATTACTATTATTATTGCATAGGATTGGCTTGTTTTCACGCCTAGTAAACCATTGGAATACAATATATATTATAAATATATATAGATCGAATTCACTGAATGATTTATAGTATCAAAGCAACTCTTTTGTGCTACAAGGTATAAATTATACAATAATTATTATTGTTCTAAGTGCAGCTGAACAACGTATTCATATTTCAAAACACCGGTATTACGAAGTTATAATGTAATAGTATAAGCAGTAGCGTACGCAGGGGGGTTAAAAGGCTAAAGCTACTCCCAATGACCGTATTTATATATGTATATTTGTTTATATTTTACAAGTTTCAACTGTAAAAATAAATAGTAAATAAGGACTTTTTTTCATAAAAAGGCTATTTTTGTAATGATTTGATACTACTGTCTATTAATAACCTTACTATACTACTATATTATCACAAAATAAGATTTTATTAGATTTATAAGATTATTATTTTTTATTATTTATTTTAACTGTGTTCATTCTTGTTATAAACAATGGTTTTGTTATTATTACAACTTTGGTAGTTGCAACTTTGGTTACCGTATATACGAGCTTCCACTTAACCTTACATAATATCTATGATTGCAAATTGCAATACTGAACTTACTGAACTGATGTTAATAACAATTAACACATCGTTAAGTTAGCCCACGGATGTTATAGATAATATTTGTATAATTTTTAATATGTGGAAACAATTAGGTAAGTATGTAGAAAATTTTTTTTCACATATTTCTCTTGAGTATCAAAGTAATAATATTTTGTATACGTTTTTCTTGTTGTTTTTGTATATAACGTATCACATAATTTTGCACATTAAAATAACTATTTAATTATTCATTATGGCAGAAAAAAGATAGAATTTTTTTCGACTTTTAGTTTGAAGAAAAAAACGGTAGGTAAGTATGCAATCCACAATTCATGAAATTCTAATTTTTGTTGTTCTCTGGCTTTTTTAATCCTCTACAAGCTTAAAAAGATATAACTTATTGATCAAAATTTTCATAGTTACCTAAATATTACTTTTTATATTTTGAGTTAAGTAAAGAATGTATTACAAAGATGTTTATTTTTTTTAAATTTTTTTTTTATGTGAACACTTTTACAACCAGAAATCTTACTCCGGTTATCAAGTATAGCACCTTTTCTGAAAGGAAATGTTCTCTGAGTGGTACTTTAGAGAGGTTATTTTTTGAAATTCTCATTAATATTCAAGATAATGAGGAAAACCTGGTTCTATAGATTTGACAAGATTGAAATAATAAAAATAAGGTTGTCATTGGCAACCTTATTAATTTTTATTTATTTTTTGTTATTATATTACATTTTTATTATTTTTATTTTTTTTAAACAATCATTGTTTTCATGGAAACCCACATTGTTGTAATCATTTTAACATAATATGATATATTATGTACTGTTGACAAAATAACACTATCAACTGAACTCCGTTCAGAATCGCTTTTTCGGTAGTAATGATTTATCGCTGGCGTATAAAACGTTTGCGTATCGTGACATACGCAAATTCTGCGTTCACCATTGAGTATAAGTATCTACTTTTATAATAATATTTTAAAAATAGCAATAATATGATTTATAAAGGAATGTTTCTCAGCGAATACCGTCGCAGTGAATTGAAGAACATTTTTCCCGTTTATCGTAATATTATATAGAAATTTATTACAAATATATTTTAAAACTAGGTACGTTACCCTCCTCAGTAAGGAGTCCTCACATTTAGCGGATTTCAATTTGTTTTGATACTGAAATTTACTCTGATTTCACTATTATTTCAGTGTAATGCGAAATCTGAAATTGATCATGCAAATTCACGGCGATCGCATGCTCATATGCTTTAAGAAAAAACAAGTTGTGGTTAAATAAGAAGAGGGAGGGGAGTAAGATAAAAGCCTTCAACCCGTTTTGAAACCTAAACCTTCAAAACGTCTAAACATTGTCCATTCAAGTAGATAATACATGTATACCAACGCGGGGTCCGTTGCATTTCGTTATAACTTTCAGCTTTTACTTATTTATATAATATATACTATTCCTACTATATTCGAAAAAAAGTTTACAAATCTCATTTGGCTTATCATATAAAAAAGCAATGGTCGAATAATTACGGCATCCGGCTGGAAGACTAAATTATTGTAATATTGATAAATATCGAAATCGAGTTCACATAAAAATGATGCGTATTTATTTCATTGATTATGATATAAGTATTTGTATATTATTTATAATAGGTATGCCTCTATGCGGTATTTAAAAAATATAATTAAAAAACAGATAAATCGCATAATATATATATATATATATATAAAAATATGATACTATGTAATGTGTAAACCAATATAAATTAATGAAATAAAACTAAATAAATTGCACAATGATATTATGATAAAATATAAAATATTTACCTATAATATATTATTATAAAATGGTATTTTATCTATCATCGTGCATTCATTGTTCAAAAAATACTATAAAAATACTATAATAATATTTCAAATTAGACATATTGTATTATTTTTATTTGAATGTTTTCCTCCCCAGGGATGTGAAGTCTGAGGAATAATACGAAGGCCTGCAATCACGTAAATAATTATTTCTATTGATCAATACATATCTACTAACTGTTATATTTATTTAAGCTTTTTTATTTTGCAATTGTAATAAAATTAATTTTGATACAAGACGTTATTAATATAAGAGAAAATAAAGTTTTACATTTTTGTAAGCGTTAAATTATTTAACATTATTGAGATGGACTGTATACAATTACCAAAATATAATTTTTATTATAAATTGAAATAATAAACATAGTACCTATATCATTGATTCCAGAGAAGAAGTCAATTCCTTATAGTTTTCATTAAAAGTAAATTCGATATTAAAAATTGCTAAATAACATAATAGCATTATGCTAAATTACTTTAAATATAACGTTCTAAATGGCTTAAATCATATAAAAATTGTATGACTTTTACTCTTTTGCCAAAAATGCTAAAATTTGACTTAAATCCTTCCCTGGTACTAAATATATATTATGTATAAAACAATTTTAAAAAAAGTGCTCATACTACTGGTAGGTATGCCACTGTTATAGGTGGGACGTTGAGAAGGTATAGAATACATAAAGTTATTAAATTTATATCTGTAAGCAACGATAAGCCATTGCTAATGAAAAACGATTAGGACCAATTATTGGGAAAACTCCTGGGAAAATCTAAAAATAACTTCTTATAGTACCTCCCCAGTCGAATTTATTTTTAGAAAAAGTGCTATCATTGTAAATCGGAGCAAAATTTCTGGTAAAAAGATATTAACAGAAAAAAAGCTGAAATATTTTTCAACTAATACCTACATTTCGTACATTTTCCCATTTTTTGAGAAAACACCAGCGCAAATCAAATTATAACTACCATAAAGTACATTCCCTGTTAGTTTTTCTTTCAGAAAAGGTGCTACACTTAAAAATCGAAGTAAGTTTTCTGGTAGAAAAGTTGTTCACAGACATAAAAAAAAAAAATATGTACAAATACAGAAAAAAAAATACACACATATTATAGTAAAACCATTAAGTTCCTCACTACGCTCCGAATCTAAAACTATTATTATTACTGTAATTTTATACGCTACATTAATTCTGTGGAATTGATAAAAAAAATGATAAGATATAATTGATACATAGGTTTGAAGCTGCACCTAAACAAAAATACACAATCTAAATCCACAAATATAAATATCCTATATGTGCAACAAGAATTAGTTTTTTAACAACCCATAAACGCCAATAAGTTTTAAAATAAAAGTAGTGTATTTGATTAAAATCATAGTCATTATTTTTTGAATTTTGACATTAATATTATAATGAGTACCTTAAAAGTAAACTTGAAATTTGAAAACCACAATTTTTAATTGTTTTTACTTTTCTTTTAATTAGATAATATTTTTTTTTTCTTTAAATGTTCTATGATTTCATATTGGAGATGACTAGCTATGATTCGTAGTTTAAACGACTGATAAGGTCAGATAGTAAGCTAAATAGTTATAAACCTACAGTTATCAAAAATCTCATTCTTAGAATAATCAATTTGTATAATATACTGTATAGTTATCTTAAATGATTATCAGCTATAATCATAATTTATTATTATGAAGTATGATACAATAAAACTAAACTTCAACTGAACTCGATCACTGTTGTTTTAGAAGTAGAAGATTACTGTTTATATGATAACTATAGAAAATTAGTGTCCAATTTTAAACTGATACTTATATTGCAACCGATACAATATTGTACCAGGAAATAACATTTACTTGCGTTTTTATCCTACTACAAAGGTACAAAAGCGCAAATGAGTTTCGCACTTTTGGGCTATCGAACAAAATAGACGACTCACTCATTTGGGTATCATCATGAAGTTTGGTAGAATTAATAAATATTTACTAGTAAAATTTAAAAATAAACTATAAAAACATCCGCTGAAAAGTTTATGACATAACGTATGGAAAGAAATATACCAATAAGTCAAAAAGAAAGTTTTGATAAGTTTGCCCAAACATTACTATATTAAAAAAAAAAGGTAATGCTTAAATAGCACATTTATTTTGTGTTAAATTTATTAAATATTATCTTAAATGTTGCAAATATTTTGATGAGCGTCCATATATTTTAGTCCATCAAATTAAGTACTTATTATGAGCACACGAGGACAGGATAAGTATATAAAACAGAGGATGTCAGTTGATCTCGTAGGTAAAAAAAATGAGTTTATATTTACAACGATAAACCATTGTTAACGAAAGACGATTCTAATTCAATTCTGATCAGAATATTATTAGTCATATTTGTTTCTTGTTGTCAAGGTAACCCGAAAATTCAATTTTTTCTCAAGGCTATAAAATAATTATTTTAAATAAATTAAAAATTATAATATTTTTTAGACGACTTTAAATGACTTACTATTTGTTTTCATAAATAAGAAAAAGTTCGAATAAAAATAATAAAATAATTTTAAGGCAGTTCTAAAAAAACTTGTGTGATAAACGTTTAACAAATAGGTAGGTAGGTGTAGTAATCAATTTACCGATAAATGCGATGAATTTCAGCTTTCTTTTCCTTAAATGAAAACACTCATGTATTATACAACCATTTTTTTTCTTTAAATATTATATTCTATCCAAAATCGTGTAGAAACTGCACGCCCAAAATATGTAGGAAACTATTAATTAATATTCAACACAAAACTACAAAGATAACATTGAAGGAAGAAAACATATACTATATACCTATTTCTGGAATCGGTAACTACAAAACAAATAAATAAATAATAAAAAAACATTTTATATAACGTGCGTGTTTACAATTGGTTGTATGAATAATATCTATGTAGGTACCTCTATATTTTCGAAAAAGAAAATCACACTAAGTTCTGTCTGTTTTTAACGTATGACCATTATTAATACTATCTATACTCAATAGTATAAGTAACTTATTGCAGGTTTAGCCTTGCACTTTGTACTTGAATCAAAATATGCGGTTTTTTTCTCCTCAAACATTTGTTGCATTTTGTATAGCTATCTGTATAACAGTCCCGTAGAACCGTAGGAATAATGTAATTAATATATTAATTTTCATAACCTTGTGATATTATTATTATATTTTATGACCTCGAGGTTAACGATCCACTTATCTGGTCATAACTGTATAACAATAATATCGAACGGTCGAAATCATTTGGTACGGATGTATTGAAAATTGAATGCTCTAAACATATTTGTTATCCCGGTTATGAAAGCAAGTGGTCGGCGGTTTTCACTGTGATTGTTATTATTGTTTTGATTATTATTACTTTTTTTTTCGTAAACAATAATCTAAATAGTATTAAAATATATTATATTTGAAAATCAATGAAAAAGTGAATAATACGGTACAACATGTAAGTAGAATTATTACGATATTATATTATAATTAGGAATGAGAATTTAACTTAAATCATTAAATAGAAATCGGAATGTTAATAAATAATAACTAATAAGTGGAATAGGTGTTAAATCAACTTTTCAGTAGAGCAAAAATAAACTTAAAACTGAAAACACATTTACCATGATTTATGTAACTAGTAAGAGTTTTGTATGTCTACTAGTTATTCTGTATTGTTCAACATAATTTTTATATTTTAATATTCAAAACTCCACTGTTTTTTTTATCGATTGATGAAAATTAATGTGACTTAACTTAATAAGCACATTAATCTCAGTTAAATATGTTTTTAAGGACTTAACTTAACTGTTATTAGATTTAGGAAACGCATAATATAGTTAGTTAACTTAACTTTTTTTACACAGGACATTTGAAAAATGCATTATAGTATATGTCACTGCAATGTATGTAACATAAATTAAAATTTTAAAACTCACGAAAAACGGAAATATACGACTGATAATACTCTATTCAGAATCGTTTTTCGTTAGCAATATTTTATCGTTGCATGCAGATGTAAATTAAATCACCTACTCTGTATATTTTTCTTTTCAACTTCCTTCTTATAACAGTGGCACACCATCTTACCCATCAACTCATCTCTTTTTTTTTTCACAAACACTTTTTTCAACACTTTTTCTACCGGAAAGCTTACTCTGATATTTTCTGAAAGGAAATTCTTGGGGTGGTACTTAAAGGAGATAATTTTTTGGTTTTTCCAGGAGTTTTCTCAACAAATATGAAAAACCGAAAAAAAAAAAAAACTGAGGAAAAATGGAAAAATTAACAAAATGTAGGTACCAGTTCAAAAACATAACGGCCTTATTTTTTTCCTGCACACATTTTTCTGCTAGCAATTTATCATCCATCCCAGCCAGATTTTCTTTCAGAAAAAGTGCTATACTTGAAAATCGGAGCAAGATTTCTGGTAGAAAAGTTCTTCACTGTTAAAAAAAAATAAATATCATTGTAAAACCAATATATTCCCGTTCTGCTCAGAATCATTATATTCAATTAGACTAAAAGACAAAGTAATAACTAGTAGTTAACAAACATCTCATTGAGAGGTACTAATAAAAGTGTGAAAAAGGATCTTGAAACGGGTGGCAAACTTTGAAATTAATCAATGAGAACAGCATTAGAGAATCTGTTTAGTGTTTAATCAAACAATAAAAATATAAAACCCATTCATGTACTATAGGTATCTATTTAGAATGTAAAATAAATATTTAACAAAAATTAATACGATTTAAACATATTATTATTATTATGTCTTTCGAGTGGAAATAAAATAATACACATTCGAGTGATATCTTTCGTTAAAAAAAAAACCACGCTAAATTTTTCGGTAAATACAGAAATCATACGTAGGGCATTGAACTTTCTGTGTTCTAATTTTTTTACGAACGCAATAATCAACACATTATTACAAATATTTATTTCATCTGAAATAATCTGTATTTTTAGGTTTCTTTCTCAGGCGTTTTATATAGTAAAGTGAGTGTACCTGTATACCTACAGGTTAGGTATATCTGCAGGTGTGATTCTTCTTTCATGATCTAGTAACTTTCTCGGAAGATTTTAAGTAAATTCGATTTCTGTTATATCCAATCATTATACATTATACATTGGTACAGCCACTGCTGTTATAGATAATTTAATGTATTACCTGTAAGTAACGATAAACCATTGCTTATGAAAAAACTGTTCTGAGCGGAGAACAGTTAATAATGATGCTTTGTCAACAATATATGTCATTTTATAGTAAAATAATTAAACAAGCTTAATACATTTTCTTTAATAATATATTTGTTTAATGTTGTACCGATTTTCCAAGTTTTCCTACATTTTTCCCGGTTTTCCCATGTTTTATCCGGGTTTTTCACATTTGCTGGATAACTCTTAGGAAAATCGAAAGTACTTAAGTACTTTACTCCCTAAAGTACCTTCCCAATTTCTTTTCAGAAAAATTTCTATCATCGTAAATTGGAGCAAAATTTATGGCAGAAAAGTTGTGCACAGAAAATAAGAAGGCAGTAGGATTAACATCTTTATAAAACTATAACCTTTTTCACTCCACTCAGAATCTAAAATGTACTCCACCTTTAAGGTATACCTTAAATGATTTTGTATTAACTTTTGATTTTGAAATGCCTCTTTTCAACATAAATTTAAGAAACATACTTCCAACGATGAGATGGGTGGGCCACTGTTGTAGATGAAAAGTTGTAAAGGTATGATATAAATGAGAATTTAATGTATATCTACGATTAATTATTGCTGATGAAAAACGATTTTGAGTGGAATTCAGTTATATACATGTTTTGAAGGACAGTAATATTTAAGATTTTCGTCAGAATTTGGTATTAAAATATTTAAAAAAAAAATTCTATATTGCACTTATTTTGTTTAGATTCTGAGTGCAGCAAGGAATGTATTAGTTTTACAATGATGTTTATTATTTTTTTCTAAGGACAACAAATTTTCTACCAGCAATTTTGGTCCGATTTACAATTATAGCACTTTTTTTGAAAAGATAAGGTGGTAATATTTGATTTTCCCAGGAATTTTCCCAATAAAGGGGAAAAACATGGGAAGAACCGGAAAAATAAATACAATATTAAACAAATATTATTAAAGAAAATATAATATACATATATACAATTATTTTACCATAATGTGACATATATATTGTTGATAAAACAACAGTATTAACCGAACTCCGCTCAGAATCGTTTTTCGTTAACAATGGTTCATCTTTTGGTACAGATATACATTAAATTTCCCCTCTACCTTCCCAACTTCTCATCTACAACAGTGGCCCACCTATGTGAGAAGTATATCAGTTTTTTTTTTAACCATAAAGTACGACTAATTATAAACCTCCTTTAAAATGTTCAAGCATTTCGGTTTGGTCTAGTAATTTTATTCACAAAGTGCCTGCCGAATAAAAATTACATAAAAAAACTCGCAAAATTAAAATGCCTATAAAAAAGTTCAAACTAGTTAAAATGTTTTAACAATTTACCACGTCTATAAAAGATAAATATAAGTTTTCTGTTCTAATTACAAGTCTCTATAAATATTTTTAACAGAATAACAATAAAAAACAAAATTTAAAATAATATATTTCGTAAAATTTTCAAATTATTATGAAAATTGCTTGGAAAATCAAAAAATGACTTGCTCGTAGTTATTACACTTGAAAATCTGATCGAAATTACAGGTAGAAGTTGTTCACAGAAAAAATAAATAAATAAACGTTAATGTAAAACCAATAAATTCCACGCTTTGCTCAGAATCTAAAAAAATATTATGAATAATATTATTTATGAATTTACTGTTTATCAATTATTAAGTATAATAGTTTAGAATTTAGACCGGAGAAATAGAGGTGGGTAATAAATTGATCATAATAATGGTGTAATCGGTTGTAATGTAACAGAATCACTATGTATTATGGTAAAATATTTTTCAGACAAACGTTGTATAGGAATTCACACAAATTCCACATCATATTAATTTAAGTTTTGTTGGAGAATTTGTTATATTTAATTCAGTGGCTTATAATTATTATTATTGTTATTTATTTATTTTTATTTTTTTAGTTTTATTAGTTTATCGGTTTTTGTGTACCGCTATCGTCAACATTTCCGCTTCAAAACGGAACCCAACAAATAGATCAAGGGTTATTCTTATCACGCAGACCATATACAAATAATATTAAAATAAATGTCTATAATATATATGTGTGTGTATATGAATGTGAACATATTATTATATTGTGTAAATAATTTTATATTTCATTCGGGGGACGATGAAACTGCGGTTTACTCGGATGTGAAATGTGTATACATATAAAACACGCAGACGTCGTTTTAGTCGCACACAGCGCGCACTGAAATTATTTCATCGAAATTATTATTATAATATATTAATATAGACACCTATATTTTTTTTATAAACTTATACTTAGCTTAGATATTTTACAGCGAAAATGTGGCCGAAAACCGTCACCGTTGCTACGTGCCTGTGGCTGTTGACCTCCAACGACTTCCGTTTATCGTCGGCTTCTAAAGACGCCACGTAAGTATAATATACCTATATTAAATTTAAATTCATTGATTTATCTATTAAAAGTTAAATGTTTCACGCTATCTAATCTGTTCGATATGGTTACACTGACCGCCTCTGACCGTATACGCATGAGCATGCGCACGGGGTGTGCAGGGTGGGTAGCTGCACACCCTGCAAACAATTGTGTCTCCTTTAAATTTTTGATTTATTTGTAAATATTATAGTTTTTAATTGTAATTAAAATGTATAATAAATCTAATATAGGTATAAATAATAAAAAAAATGTTGTGTATATTAAAAACTGATAACCCATCAGTCATTAGCATTGTTTGTTTTAAAAAGTTAGTCTGTATACTAAAGTGTTAAAGCGTCGTACTGTCGTGATTGCATTGGTGTATACTGGTATTTCAATTCAATTCAATTTTTTGTGTAAAATAGTCACATGTAAATTAATAATTGTTTTTAAATTATAAACAAATACGGGCCAAAAATAAAAATTTTAAACAATGATATTAAATTAATATTTAATATTCTTCTTTTCGTTATTAATGCAACAATGTATACAAATAAAAATTATAAACTAAATTTGAATTATTGCAATATAGAGACAATTATCTTACTGGATTGTAGTAGAGTCCTTACAAAAAATTATTTTGTACACTCCACGAAAATTCCTGCGCACGCCTGTGTATACGCGATATGCTGCAAATGCCTGTACCAACTGTAACTATACACTTTTGATTTTTACAATTAATGTAAAAATTACAAATTACACCGATCCGATTAAAAATACGTAGACGTTTAATACATTTTTAACGATTTACTGAATTTTAAAGCGTCCCAAGCGGGTAAAACTAAAAAACAATTCTAACAAATAACACTTGTCCTTCGAAAATATTACAGTTTTGTTTAGAGGTACTAAAAGTATATTTCGACACCCTCCAATCATTTATTACTTTGTCTTCTTTGATTTATTTTTTTATTTAAATGTTAAAAGTGTAGATCTATATTTTCAAAATTAAATATATTTATATACTTAAAAATTATTAGAAATTGACTCAAGCCTATATTATCTGGTATCAAATATTTATTATAATAAAAATGTACGCGACAATAATTATGATGTATATATAGGTACGAAGATATCAGGACGGCCATATATTCGTTTGCACACTCGTTACGCGACAATGTGGACAAACTGGAGCGACACGAACGCCGCGAAATACAGTCAGGCGACAAAATGCAAAATATGCTGTTGACGATCGTGAACAAGCAGATTCAACAGAAAGCCGACTATCAAGCCCTGGAAACCGCCATCAAAGACTTGGGGCACAATGTGGACGTACTGACGAACGCGGAAAAAGATGAGGTATAAACGACGAAAATCGTTACCTATTAATAATTTCATATTTATTATATTAATATATTATTATTTTTTTCGCTTGATAATATTTAATAGTTTAAAAATTCGTATACGAAGATAATTTAAAGTAATATTACGAGTATATTACCTCATGTTTTTTGACCGGGGTTGTAAACTAAAAAACATGTGTTTTCAACTAAAGCAATAGGTATTATAGGTACCATTTAATTTTAATCTCTATACTAAGATAGGACATTTTTGTTGGCCCATCGAATTTTAGGATTCACATCAGCCTGAAATCAGTGCAGCGCATCAGAAGATGGCTGCATGGTGTTAACTAATATCTTTTGAAAATGAATCGTATATAATAGTTATTTCTACCACGGTTCCTATTCAAACCCTATTCGACCCTACTATTATCCTATTTAAACTAAAAAATTAATGAACTTTAAAAAATCATGGAGCAAAATAAAGTATTAACAAAAAAACCTATTTAAAACTTGCCCCGATTTATGGTAGTTTTATATTTGACACCTTCCTGAAATATTCACATTGGCAGACATTTTTTATAATTTTAGAGCGGTCTGATATTTTAAAATACTTAATTGTTATTACAATACTTTGTTATATTTTCAAAGTCACTCTATGTAAAAATCATCTTATCTAACACCATGAAAAACCATGAAACTGATGATTTATTTTAGACATTCTATATTGGCTATACGATACATATACGAGTAAGTATATAATCTGTAAGTAAGTATACATTATGTATTAGTACTTTTGAACTGTCACTTAAGCAATTTTAAAAAGAGTTTCTACTGGGACGAGTGTGCCACTGCTGTAGGTGGGAAGTTGAGAAAGTAGAATACATGTAGTTATTTAATTTATATTTGTAAGCTCGTTGCTTACAAATATAAACTATTGTAAATAAAAAACAATTCGGAACGAAATTCGGGTATACGTGTTTTGAAAGGCCATAATATTTACGAATTTTTAACGATAGGTAGCTTTTTTTAACCACCGCGTACAATCTATAAGGAATATCCTGTTAAATTTCCAAGCATTTCTGTTTGGTCAAACAATTTTACCCACAAAGTAAATCTACCAAATAAAATCAATATAAAATTCTCGGAAATATAAAATGCTTATAAATAGGTCAAACATTGCCAAAATATTTTGAAAATTTTACCACGTCTATAAAAAAAAAATATAAGTTTCCTATCAAAATTTCAAGTCTCTACGAATTTTTTAACTCAATTACATTGGTAATTTGTTACAATCGGTAACGCCGCGGTGTGCCATAAATATTTTCCGTTTAACCGATCATTTTTTCCGGTTTTTTCCAATTATTATGAAAACCCTTTGGAAAATCAAAAAAATTACTTCATCACATCAATATAAATAAACTAATATAAAATTGTATTTTAGATAATTTTATAAGAATTATAAAGAAAAACAAATGTACAAAATATTTCTTTGCAGTTACATTAAATATATTTCATATTTTTTAAAAAAAATATGTAAAATTGTACAATGTACCTTATGTAGAGCGATTTTTTTTTTTTGTAAAATTTTACCGTTTTTATTCATGCACCTACTATATTTTAATTGAAAGTTAAATAGGGAAAGTTACACCTAACCCATATATATTTATAGTAATTTAAACTACTACCCTGATCTGTCGCGAAAAATTGTCCACCCTTCAGCAAATATAATGCCACCCCTAAAAGTAAAATATATAGTACACAATTTTAATATATTATTAATATATAATGAATAATAACAGTTGAATTTGATTGTTGAATTCTTGTAGATTTCAATAAAAATGTTGTGAAATTTCCTACTCGTTTATCAATATATTTTTGTTTAGCTTCTCTATTTTTTTTTTATTTTATCCCAGAGAATCGTTTCCGTGATGCCATAATTAATATAAGAATATATTTTTAAATAATGGCCCTAATAATTTTATTAGTCTAAAAATGAGCATGAACCCATGATAAATGTGTAATATAGTAAATATAATACAGTGGAAAGTGCGCGGGAGGCATGAGTTTCCCTCATTTGGTTGAAAAAATATCTTCCATAAAATAATTGTGTGAGAGCATAAGACACTTTTTAGATTCTGAGTGGAGCGAGTGGTTTTACAAAGATGTTTATTTTTTTTTTTTATCTGTAAGCAATTTTTTTACCAGAAGACTTGCTGGGATTTCTAAGTGTAGCACATTTTTTGAAAGGAAATCGGTGTGGGGAGGTACTTTAAGTAGGTAATTTTTCGATTTTCTCAAGAGTTTTCCCGGCAAATGTGAAAACCAGGAAAAACGTAAAAAAAACCTGGAAAATCGGTACAACATTAAACAAATATTATTAAAGAAAATATTTAAAGCCTATTTAACTATTTTACTATAAAATGACATATATTCTTGACAAAGCATCACAATCAATTTAACTCCGCTCAGAATCTTTTTTTTGTAAGCAACGATTTATTGTTGCTTTGTTGCTTACAGGTATACATTAAATTACCTATACAAATGGCTGCACTCGTCCCTATTATCCTAGGCCTTTTTTTTATATCTGGAATCACCGACCAGTGGCCTGTGAAAGAAGTGTATGTGCCGTATGGTAAATTTAAACCTTATAAATTTCATGAAATTTAATACCTATAAATTGAATCTATTGTGATTAATATTTATATTAAATCTAAAAATAAATATTATATTCAAACAGTTATCATCGTAATCGAAATGTAATATTGTACACGTCATAAGATTACAATGTGGGGGCGGTAAAATATTGGAATATAATATATATATATATACAGGGTGATTTTTTTATCATTTTTTTACCGTAGATAATTGTTGGTTCATGATAAAAAAATCACTCTGTATACATATATTATTATATATATTTTTCCAACCAAATGTGGTTTAAATAAAGTACGGCTCCGACAAAACACTAGATTGGTTAGGCATAAAAGCGATTGACATAAAATAATAACAATATATAATACGCTATTAAATAAGATGATAGGATAGATACCTACCTACCTACTCTAAACACTCATTGCTCTTACATTACTTGTATTGTTTTGAAACTTGTTTTCATCTTTCGGATTTATTAATGATTGTCAACCAATGATTTGTTGGGTTTTATTAAATTTATTAGTTGTGAAACTTAATACAACAAATATTCTATCATAGAAAAAGCCACCTCAGTTTCATTGAATATATTTCCACCCTTAGGCAATGGCCTAACCTGATTTTTCCCTTATGACGGGCCTGCTACTACCCTATTTCATTACCCGAAATTTTACGAACCAGATAAAATGGATAAATTGATTTATGTTATACCTATATTAGTTTGTCGAATCAATAACGAGTTTTCGATTTATGATCTATATTATGCGTGTTGACATTAAACTACGAACATTAGGATATACTTATTATATTTTAATTCGTACGTTAAACCGGCGCACGTGTAATAGAGATTAAGTATCCTCTGCATATCTTTCGATTTCATATAAACCATATTTACAGAGTAATTTGTATTGAACGCTCAATCAATTTGTATCGTTAAATTGTGTATGTATTTAAATTCTTATTTTTTGAATTCTTAAGTGTATAATTAAAATTTATATTTTCGAATATTTGAATATTTGTCGCTCCACTCAGAATCTAAAATGAAGTGAGCATGCTTAATGAACCATCCTGCATACATAAATATATCTAAATATAAATGTATTAATATTTACACAAGTATAACCTTGAGTCCAGGTTAAGGGGAAAGGCCATGACCCCTGGACAATAAAATTACAAGGGCCCTACATTTTTCATAGTGTGTTCTTTATCTTTGCATTTAATTGCTAACTTATAGTATTTGTTGATATTTTATTACTTTTAATATTTTTTCCATTACCTGATGATGTCTAGTGGATAAAGTACTAGTAAGCTTTTTATAATATTTATTTATTTATAAAATAGGTGTGGCTTTTGAGTTAACATATATTATTTCTACTTTATTTATTATAATTAATTATTTTGTTAAAACATATTGACATAATGAGTACCTTTTAATTTTTAATATATTTTTTTTTTATTATTATTCTTATTGAGGACCTCATTGAAAAGTTTATTCCCGGGGCTTTTATAAATGTATTAATCAAGGGTTTATTTAACCGGCAACTTATACACTTATTAACAATAACATATTCTGCTATTCTGGATCTTTCCATCACATAGTTTGTTAGAGAAAAAACCCGGAAATGTTAGTGTTTTATAATCACGTAATTTTGTTCAATTTTTTTCAACTAGAATAAATAATAATCTAAATTGTGTACATCAAAAATAACATTCCCATGTACAGCTATGTTTCGTCCGAATATTATATTTCTTATAAAGTTATAAAAGAATAATATATATATACCTCTAATTTCCTATCTCTAATTTGTTTCAATATCCAAATATATTTAATATTACTTAAACATCTCACAGGTATCTGAAAACCATCATTGTGTGCTTATTGTCCGATATAGTGTTTTGAAAATTAAAATTAAGATTATATAATTTTATTTTCAGGTCACCAGTACAATCAGCGTGAAATCCATGTTGAATAACATAGACAATCGTATCGTTAATGGGGAGGCTGAGTTAATGTCAATATTGATAACGCAACAAAAGTCTGCGGATGAATCGCGTCAGTTATTAGACACCAAGCTAGCTGCAATGTCAGAGCAAATCATTGCGTTACAGTCTCGGTTCGAAGCTATAGAACAGGCCCCCAAGGCCAAGGTGTCGAATGACGTCATTTTCGAACTGATGCAAAAGATTTCGGCCGACCAGCAGAGCTTCTTAATAGCCAGCCAGACGTCCGGACCGAGTAATGATACATCCCAGATGGTACAAGAGGCCAAGCACGCGGTGGTGGAGACGATCAATGTGTTGTCCACGAAATTGGACGACGACAAACGGAGACGCGAGGCGTTCGAGACCAAGCTAATCGGGGCTGTAGAATCGACGAAAGCGTTCCAGGACGATGTGCAGAACAGCTTCCAGCTGATGTCGGAAGAGGTGAGGACGTTGTCGGACGTGCAGAAGACGCTGGCACAGACGTCCGATAACGTGATGGACGCCAAGCGAAGGATCGAGTACAGCACTCACCAGATACTAACAGAGGTGACAAGCGTAGTCAACGAAAGGTCAAAGGAGCTGAATGATTCGGTTAACGCCGGCATTGAACGGGCGATGAAGGCGGTGCTGGATGCGCAAACCACAGGTATGGCTAACGTCAGCTTGAAAATCGAGATGGAAATCAGCCAAGTATGGAGGCAGATCGGCATCATGTACCAGACGTTGACGGATTCGGCGTCCACATTAGCCACACTTCAAAAGCAGACGGACACGTTTGTCAACAGCACGGCCACGTCGGTGGATGGCATGAACAACAAGGTATCCGCCATCGCCGGGCGTATGTCCGAGGTAGATGACAACCTCAACTATTTGCTGGGTCGACTATCCTTGGTCACGCAGGAATTCAAGGAAATTAAAGTGGGCCTGGGGGAGGCACTGGAGAACATCCGGATAGGTTTGGAAACGGTCCAGGGAAGCAAAAAAGCCGTGGATCTAGGACCGGGCCCGAACCCGATCGACGAGGAACCACTGTCCGAGAACATCAACCCACACATACTGTCCAAAACCGTATACACCGTGTCTTAGTTAACAGTTAACATCAAGCGTATCCATTGCATTATTTGCAACACCCTATACTATACCTAATCATCATCGTAGGTACTGCAGATTTCCCAATTGCATCTATCATATATTTAACAATACTAAACACTTTAAGTACAATAGTGTTCGAACATATCATTTTGTATTTATTTATTTTTTACAGTATCTGTATTAATATAGCATAGGTATTCTACAAAAGTTGTTCTGTCAATCTGTTCAATTTTATACTTCAAATTTTTTTTACAAATATAAGTAGGTACCTAATTGCCCACTGGCCACTAATCGATTTCAGTTGATAAATACAATTATAGTTTGTTATATTTTGTGGATTATTGTGTAAAATAAAATCATTTATAATCTAAATATACACGAATTTCGACAAAATATAATTAAGTATAATGCCAATATACCGCAATGATTCTAATTTAGCTCTTGAGCAATTTTTTTTTCAAATTGTATGTTTTTACATGTGAACTAAGAATGTAAAAAAAGTTGGACAAACTTCGTTGAATCGGTGAAAAAATATAAAAGTTCGGGTTTTTCCGTAACGCTATTTTTTTTTTTTTTTAAATAATACTTTAATAATAATTAATATTTGTAATAAAAAAGTGGTTTTTAAATTTGTTATGTTTAATTGATTGGAAATATCAAAATCTTAACTATTCTACTTACTTATAGTTTATTTGATATTTCACATAAACTTTAAAAAATAGCATTTACGAAATTAATCCAAAATTTGTTTGCAAAATAGTTGAAAACAGACATTTTTTTTTTTTTTTTAATTTGTATAGTTTTTGATGACAATTTTTAGAAAAATACAAAAATCGCAGCTAAATTAGAATTATGCCATTTACCTATTGTATAAACAATTTAAAAGAAGAAAAACAAGTGAAACAAGAACTTTTTCTATTATTACCAGATACCGGTTTACGCGTCGAAGAAACTATAGTAGTCGGCTAAACAAATGTCGGCGAGTACTGTAATCACTGTTAGGTACGTGTGATGTGTAGTTGCAATTAAAATTGCTTCCGGTTACATTATATTATTAGGTACCATTAGCCTATTTATACTTCCACCAAATTTTTAGTATGGATGTCTAAGTCTAAGATAAATGATTATAAAACATTATTATGCACATAATTAGTAACAGTTAAACGTTCAACCGAATTTTAACCAAACATTATGCGCCACTTGGTGCACGACATATGACAGAACTGGTTTTAATTTTATGAATTTTATTTTAACATCCATTAAAATACGAATACCTACCCAGGCACTGATTTACCAATTCATGGGCCCACTACAACATCAAATTGTTGGATCCTTATCATATCATATATTTCCTTCAATTCTAGCTTATTCAAGAAGTATTAATAAAAAGAAATCATAATCTAAATTAAAAATACACACAAATACAAAAAAAAACACACATTATAATAAAACCATTAGATCCCTTACTACGCTCCGAATCTAAAACCTAAAGGCTAAATTATGTCTTAATTTTTTTATCAACTAGTATTATAATATAATGCTCACCATTTACGTGTCGAAACATAAATTAATTGATAATCTTAATAATAAATTCCTCAACCTTTTTAATGTCGCGACCCCCAAAATAGGTAAAAGATAAAGTCAGTTACCTTACGACCCCCCCTCCCTTATAATTAAAACTAATATATTATAATAATATTACATTTATTATTATATTGTACTCTTACTTCTTCATTTTTCCATTAATAATGGTTATGTATTAATTTTTTATTTTTAATGTAAACAAAATGTTTAATTATTTCTGACCGATGCAACCGTCAGGTTAAGAAACGCTGGCTTACACAGTAGGTAGGGTAAATATTTAAAGTACATGTTATTTATCTCTTATTTGTTGATTTTACCTGTAATCGGTGGCATCCTGTAAAATCACGCGAGAAGTACATCACTATTGATCTTTTCGACCGAACTATACAAAATGATAAATGTTGATAAAATAGACCGCCTTTAATTAAAGGGGATTGGAAGCGACGAGTTTCTGTCTTTTTCTTACACACGTGAGATATACGTATTTAAACATGTTTTATTTCCAACGTATCTATTGATCTAGTGAAGCCATTAAAATTCTGAAAGCAGATTTGAATTTGTCGTAAAGTCTATTGAGATCGACTTTCCCATTTTTTAAATTAACCTCCTTAAATTTTAAAAAAAAGCCACACAAACAAAAGAGTAATATTGAAAAAAATAGAATATTTTAATTTGTTGAGAAATTAAAATCAAAAATCAAAAATTAAAAAAGTGGAAAGTCGATCTCAAGTAGACTTCACGGCAATTTTAAATTCGCTTTCAGACTTCTTATCACTTCACTAGATCAATCGGTACGTTTGAAATAAAATATGTATAAATCCATATAACTCACGTATGTAAGACAAAGACAGAAACTTGTCGCTTCCAATCCCCTTAATATTTGTTTTAAATATTTTTGCATTTTATTATTATATTTTTAAGAACCTAATAGATAAATATGTTTTTGAAAAACAATTAGATACGATAAAAATAAAAATATGAAATGCAATGCAATGCATATGAAATTATTTAGTCGATGAAACTACACGTGACCAGTGGCGTAACTAGAACTTCTAATGCCTGTGGCAAAATATTATATTAAAATCCTAAAGGCCGAAAAGGTCTTTCAAAAAGATTCTAACCTAATTGTTAAATAATTCCTTGGACCTTGATCCAGGCCACAACTAGGGCCCTCATCGGTTTTGGGTCCGTTGTTATTTGCCCACCTTATCCACACAGTATTTATGCTATTGCGCGTGACAGTCAAGACTCTTAAAGATGAAAATAGAAAATTAGGATAGGATTTTCAAAAGCGTGATGGCAAATAATACATATCTGTAAAAAAAAGTATTATGTATAACTATGGGAATAACCAAGTATCAAGGTGGATTAATAATTATTGATGTGGATTTTGGAATATGGATTATTAATCCTAATCAACCTTGACAAGTAGCATAAAAATATCCGAAATATAGTAAGAATTATAGACCAATTATTACTGTGTAAACAACATAGTATGAACATTCAATGTACCTACCAACCAAAAATAAATATTAATAAAACTAAATATGTTAATACAGTTAAATGTGAATTGTGGCATCGGTCATTTGACCGATAAATTATTAATAAACAGTATTATTCCGAGTACACCAATATGAAATTAGAACAAAACACAAATAAACTACTCTATATCGACAGAAGAAAAGATATTGAAGTATTAAAAGAGAATATAAGTGGTTTCAAATATATATTATTTAGAATATTAAAAAATTGACGGTCAAATAGATCTAAGCCGCTGATCACGGGTTAATATTGGCAAACAGTTATGAACAGACGATATTGGTCGTAAAACGTGAGTGCTATGTAATTTCATTTCTTAACCATTGATTTATTAGACATTGCTTGTTATTTTTTAAATATCTCCTAAAAAGCAGATAGCATATTATAACATACCTATTTTAGTGCATATGTACGCATTATTAAAATGATGTCATGTGTAGTAAAATATAACTTAATTTCCTAGAATATAAATTGTTGGTACTTACTTTAAAAGTCCAAACTATATGGACAACTGAAACTGACTATTTTAGTATTTTATACCTATATCATATTATAGTTATGAGCTATGCTATTTGTAATAATTTTGTTTACTTACTTTTTTATAGCAACGCTATTACTTATCTATTAAAATAAACTGTATATTAATAATATAGGCAACAATTAAGTACATACAATTAAAAAAAAATGTAGAAAATCAGTAACCTTAATCTAACTGCAAATTAATGGAAAAAATGTTATTTAATTGCTCCTTTGGGTTCAGGAATATCATTTATTTTTATTCTAATTAATTTATGAAAGAAAAACTTTCAAATAAAGTCATGTTTTGGTTTTTAATTTTTTGATTATTTCAATTAAAAATGATAAATGAGTTATATAAATGTTAATTTATTCACACTAATCGATCTATCAACCTATCTTTAATAATATCAAGTACTTTTTTAAAACATTGTGCATTATTTTCTGCGACCTTTTCAAATTCCTTTTGATATTTTTAAAAAAAAACGGCTATCCATGTTTCCTCGTTATTATCGGAATAAGTGGTAAACGTATATTTTTCCATTTCATTTTTCAAAGTTGAAATTCTGCTAGGAAAATTTGAAAATATTTTTTTTATTGTTGGTTATTACTGATTAATATTATCATTCATTAAAATATGTGTTTACAACTATCCATACAAGTGAAATATGCAAAATACAATTTTAGTAATGGATTCCAATTAGTATGATTCGTCAAGATTATTAACAAAATTTTGAAAAAAGGAAAAAAATATGTGAAAACATACATATTCGTTTTCTAGTAATAACTATTAAGTCATTCTCAATTTTTTGTATGGTTTTAGCCAACATTAAAACAACTACTCTTTTCAAAATAAATGTAAAGCAATTCATTTACTATCTACTTCTAAATAGTTTAAATTAAAACATATGATAGTAGAAGATACAATTTTTTTTTCAAAAATTCATCGGTAGCTATCTACTACTTACCTCACCTTATTGATTCATGATTAAAAGCCATTTGAATATAGTAGAATCCCTCGACAACCGATTACAATATTGTATCTTAGTTACGATACACTATTTATTGCGTACCTATTGGATATACCTAATATAAATAGTTAAATTTATAAATTACTTACCTGTCATCATCAGTTTAAATATTAAGTTAAATGATTTCAAGTATCCACTCATCATAGTTTTATATTTATAAAACAATATCCTTTCACATTATTAATTTTTTGAAATTACCATTTAATTATAGTTCCATATAAGTGATTCTTTATTGATTCAATAGCAGATAGGTGATTTAAATCAATTATTATAAATAAATAAGTAGGTAGTAAAAATATTGTAAACTGTATAATCAATTTTGTTCCGATATTTTTATATTTATTTATACAGTATAACTGTAGTATAACTATAGTATAACTTAATACATAAAATCACCAATGTACACATAGTGTGTGCATATAAAATATAAAGTAAAGTAGGTTATCATAGTTACTACAACTAGTATTGCACTAGTAAAAATAATAATAGTAAATGACAACATATATTTGTATTAGTCTCACTTTGATATTTGTAAACATTTAAAATAGGTACCTAACTACCTAAATTTAAAGTTTAAGATATTATTATTAAGTAATAATTCCAAATATCAAAATAATATTGTGTGTACAAAATTTAAAAAATTAATAATAATCTGTACATTAATTCACAGTTGTTATATTTTATCTTTTTTGTAAAGACTTGATCAGTAATACTTCAAGTTTCAATTTTGTAATGGTTTTGTTAATTCTGGTTCATTAAGTTGTAGACCATTTAATTCCGCTTTATTCGATTCTGAATTCCATGATAACGTTTTTGCTGTTCCGAATATTAAAAATATCAAAGCACCACACATGTATGTTATAGCCAAAATCCAAAATACAATTCGCCATTGTTCAAATGTTTGCTAAAAGAATGATACAAAAATTTACCCATAAATATAAATAAATGACCAAACCTTAACAAAATGTTTTTGTGAAGAGAATTGCGTCGGCTTTATTATTTTTAGTACAACTTTCTTAATATCTAATGAGTGATTTTTATTTTAAATGTGCTATACCAATATTTTATCATAGAACTTATATTATAATATTATGGATTAATACTGCCAAATATACACATGTGTATTATAAAAAATATGTTTTATAAGGATTAATGATTAAAATAATTAGTTTTAAACTAATAATAGCTCATTATTATAAAATAAAAATAAATTTAAATAAATATTTACGTTAAACAATTTTTGAGGGTTGTCTAAAAAATAATAACTAATACAATTTTATACTATGTAATAAAAGTATGTACTAATATAATCAATTTATTATGTTATAAAACAGAATAGATAATATGTATTAAATCCACTATATAACTATAAATACCTACACACACACATATATATATATATAGATATATATTTAAATGCACACACTGCAACAGATTTTCAAATATGATTGATTGACTTATGACATTATAGATAATATTATGAAAGCCATAACTATTAAACTTAAATTTGTATATACATAACTTAACCTACAGTACTTAAAAAAAATTATTAAATTAAAATAGTTGGTTATATTAGTTTTATCAAGATCAAGATAGATTCTATAACCTTAGTTTAGGTTTGACCGACAAAAATTATGCAATTTGTATTTTGTAAGTTGTATAATAGACATTCAGGTCATTAAGGTTATTTTTTATTAAAATTTGGAACCAAAAAAATGTTTAAAAATATTTTTTAAATATGTATGCACATTGCAAAATGATAAATTTAGGACATAGCATATAATATATAGATATAATGATTTTATACTATGTGTGGTTAATTTTTTTAATAGTAATACAGATCTTTATACACATTAGGAGGACATATGATGGTATGGGCTTAACAAACCTGAGAGCTCCTACTAGTGCAAAACCCATGTGGGTAATTCCAATAGTCATATGGTATTATTTCTGTAGGGTGGAGGAATTCACTTTATAGTTAACAATACCATTATCTGTGGAAGGGGATCAGAATCTACGTTACCTCTACTTTTCATAAGAGTTAACAAAGGAGGTTGTGTCAGGTCAACAGTTAGCAAAATTCTGTCAAACAGTATGAGGAGTTCTAAAAACTTTAGCAGATTGCCCCATCTCAGATGTGCACGGGGACAACAAGAGAGAGGAGGTACCATGATGTTTGCAGATAGTATAACTTTAATAGGAGAAAATAATAATACAATAATAAACGGTTATAGGTGAAGTAGAAACTTTCTTTTGTATAAAAAAAATGGTGTCTTTTTGAAGATGTGAAACAGAGGTTAAGTATGGTTGAATTAAGTGGAGAGAAGCATCTGGTGTTTTAAACTACAATGAACGTATAGTTAAGTTCTACAAAAATCTACTTATCTATAGACTTACTATGTGTGGGTTTATTATAATTTAATAACATATTATGTTTGTATATTAGATGTACATTACTTTTTTTTTTATTTTTAAAGAACTTTTCTACCAGAAATCTTGCTTCAATTAAAAAATAACAAGACATCTTTTTCTTGCATTTTAGATGTAACTGCTCACAAAGTAGTTTTTTTTTGTTTTTGAAGATGTTTTTCATAATAATTGAGAAAGCCGAAAAAAAAATTTTGAAAGAACAGTATAATTTATGAAAATAATTCTTTTAATATTTTCAATTTTTTTTTTTTTTTTGTTCTGATTCAGATAAAAATATTCATATAGACTTAAATAGACAGAAAACTTATATTTACCTTTTCTAAATGTGGTGAAATTTCAAAACATTTAAGCCATTTCTGAGCTATTTATATACATTTAGATTTTGCAAATTTTTTACATAATTTTTATTTGGTAGATACTTATACTCTGTGAATAAAATTGTTGGACGAAACAGAAATGCTTGAAAATTTAACAAGAGATTCATTATAAGTCGTACTTGGTGGTAAAAAAAATAAAGTTGAACGTAACATAGTTTTTTTTTTTTATATATATAAAAGTATTATTATCAAATTTTTTGATAAAAATTGTAAATATTATCGCCTTTTAAAACGTGTATAACTGAACTCCGCACAGAATTGTTTTTCATTAGCAGTGATTAATATTTCTGTACAGTTAAAAAATATAATTTCTTTCTACCTTCTCAACTTTTCACCAAAACAGTGACTCACTCTTTGTGTGAAGTATGTCTATTTTTTTAAAATTTAAATCATTAATATACTTACATTATTATTTGTAAGTTTTCCCACAATGTATGAAGATAAGAATCCTCCAAAGGAAGACAAAGTATTGGCCATTCCAAATATTGTACCTAAAATATAATAAGTTTACATTTATTTTGTTGATACAAATATGTAGTAGACATTTGTATATACCAGAGAAATTTGGAGCTATGTCTAAACCATTTCCCAGATAACCCCCTGTCACAGCTCCATTTAACGTTAATGCAATAGTGAATATAACTACTGACCACACTGCATTTTCTCCAAAATAGGCTTGTAGGATCATCAATAAACCAGGAGCAAATACGCCTGTAAATATAAATAATTTGTTAAATATGATTCATAAAGCATAAAAGTAAAACTACATAATTAATATTCTAATACATAGATTAGAATCATTTAAGAAACATTTAATAGAAATATTATTATTAGTCAAATACCAATTGCAGTGAAAATTTTTCTTGTCATTGTTTTTGTCATTTTTTCAGCATTGAGAATACGATCAGCAATTATTCCAGCAGTAAATGCCATAAAAAATTTACCCAAATAAGGAAGACTGGATAATAGTCCGTTCTAAAAAGTTAATTCCAATAATCAGATTATTTTATAAGTATAATCATGTCTAATAGAATCCAATATACATATTGAATATTAAAATAATTAAAGTAAATCAACTATACCGCTTTGATGTCATAATGAAGTAAATATTTCATATATGTAGGTAACTGATTAACAATAGTAAAATAACCAAATACACTGGCTCCATGGGTAATAACAATAGCCCACACTGGTAATGATGTAAGTATATTCTTCCATGGTAACTTATGTGGCTATATAAAATATGTAAGATGTAAAACGAATCATATTAATAATATACCTATCATAAGTACATTTTTTAATAAATAAAATAAATACAAAATATCTTTCATTTTGTGTGTGTGTGAGTAAAAAATGTTTTAATATACATATTTGTATTTGGACTATTTACTGTAGACAAATGTTATTGAACTTATTCAACCTTTTTTGGTCTATCTATAAAATTAACTTATCAAATTATAAAAAGGTCTACGGATAATGGGGACGGGTAAATCCATTGTTATGGGCAATTTAATGTATGCCTGTAAACAATGATACAAACCATTGTTTATGAAAAAACAATTCCAAGTGGAGTTCAGTTTATATTCAATAATATATATGCCATATTATATTAAAATAATTAAATAGGCTCTATATATTTTCTTAAGATGAAGCTAACTATTCTAAGATCAGAATTTTACCTAACACTAAACAATCTAAAACAAAACAAAGCACCTTGAGTAGATAATATAGTAGCAGAACTACTGCAATGTGCCAGTACAAAGATAAAGGATGCGTTAATACCAACTAATTAGTGATATCTATGATAAAGGAGAGGCACCGAATTATTACTGTAGCTATACCAAAAAAAAGAGGAGCAAGCTCTTTTGAACAGTTTAGAACTCTGAGCCTGCTAACACATGCCTCAAAAATCTTAACAAAAATAATATACCAAAGAATAGAGGGAAAAGTGGAAGAGTATTTAGAAAATAACCAGTTTGAATTTAGGAGGCAAAAAGGCACATGAGAAGCAATTCTATAACTACAAGTACTGATTGAAAAGCAGATTAACGGAAATAAAACTATATATTTGGCCTTTATAAATTTAGAAAAATCATTCGTAAAGTAAACTGGAATAAAATGCTTATCTCACTACGAGAAATAGGTATAGAACAACAGGACCTAAGAATAATTCATAATCTGTACAAAAATCAGACAGCCAGTATTCATAAAGGAGAAATAACTACTAGCACACAGATAAATAAGGAGTCTGACAAGGATGTACGTTATGAACTCCACTTTTCAATTGCTAGATTGAAAAAACTATAAATGAAGTAAAAGCAAAGTGAACAAGACTAAACTTTGGAATCAAAATTGGAGGGCAAAATGTCTCAATGATAAGATCTGCAGATTTTGTGATGATAGCAGAGAGTGAAAGTGACATTCAACCGTACAGTGGATGAAATGACTGAAATGCTCAGAATATCAGAAATGAAAATAAATAGCAAAAAACAAAGAGGTGCCAGCCAAAGACCCAAAAATAAATGTCGAGGTATACATAGTTAGTAAAGAATTAGAACAAGTAGAGGAAATGGTGTATCTGAGGAGCAAATTAACATTTGATAGTAAGAGCACCAGAGAAATCAAACAGCGTATAGCATTGGCAAAAATTGCCTTCAGCAAGAAACACAAACTATTTACGTCGAAAAAGTTGCAGCACAATATTAAGAAGAGGCTCATTAAAACATATATATGGATTGTTGCAGCATATGGAAGTGAGACATGGGTCATAAACAATGATGAAAAGAAAAACCTGGAGGCTTTTGAAATGTGGTGCTGGAAGCGTATGGAAGGGATAAGTTGAATGGAGAGAAAAACAAATGAAGAAGTACTAAGAACTGTAAAGGAAAAACGGACATTCACAGATACAATTAGAACAATAAAAATGATTGGACATGCCCTGAGACACCCAGAAGAACTGCATAATATAATCATAGAGGGTATGATAGAGGGAAAGTAAACAGTAGAACGCACTTGAAACTCTTATAATGAATAAATAAAAAAAGATTGTAAGGGTAAAAACGTTTAAAGAAATGAAGGAAAATGCGAGCAATCGAGCACTTCTTCACTCCATTTAGAATCTAAAATATGTATAAATAACATTAAGTTATAATAAAAAAATAATGGTATTATATTACTGTAAATAAATAAATAAATTTGTATAACTTTTGAGCAAATAATATACCTTAGTACCAGGACTGCTTTGCTTAGCAATTTGTGTTTCAATATAATTTCTTTCATATTCAGAAATTCTAGGATGTTCGGCAGGTGTCTCAAAAATTAAATTAAACCACATCACAGACCATGCAATGCCTATGAGACCAGTTATATAAAACACCGATTCCCAGCCCCAAGCAGATATAAGTATACCGCAAATTGGCAAAGTAAATGCTGCTCCTAAAGTTGAAGCTGAAATTATTAAAATTAAATACATTTTATATTAATTCAAATATAGTTAAAATAAAATTGTAATAAATTTGAGTAAAAAAAAATTATTATTATTTGTTTTAAGTTAGAATAATTCTTCACAATAATGTTAAGTATTAGTAGGATAGGTATACATTTATATATTCTTAAGGTTGAGGTTAAGTGTTACTTAGTCAACAATATATGTCATATTATGGTAAAATAATTGCATATGCATTATGTATTTCTTTTAATAATATTTGTTTAATATTGTACCATTTTTCCTATGTTTTTTCTGGTTTTCCAGGTTTTCAGATTTGCTGGGAAAACTCTTGAAAAAATCGGAAAAATGACCTCCTTAAAATACCTTTCCACACCGATTTCCTTTCAGATAAGATGCTACACTTAAAACTCAGAGCAAGACTTCTGGTAGAAAAGTTTTCCACAGATTAATAAAAAAAGAAAAAGAAATAAACATCTTTGTAAAACAATACGATTTTTCGCTTCACTAAGAATCTAAAAATGTCATTAGTATTTTTTTCATGAGGGTACTCTATCCGCCCATAGTGTGTGGTGTATGGTAGGTATAAATTTAATCATTGTGCCTCATTAGATTATTAAGTTTGCCATGCCATTGATCTGATCTATTATTACATTGGGCAGTAAATGACAATACATGTATTGTTCAGTATTTTATTTGTTTAACAGATCAATGATGTTAGAAATGGAAATGTATAAACTAAATTAAACAAAATGTACATTCTGTATTATGTTCATTAGATACCTAGATATGCATTTTAGTTATATTTTTAAAAACCTTGTTATTTCATAAACTAATTGATTCAACACTTTAACTGTTCATGGTGTATATTATATAATATTCAAGCAGACAATTTTTTTAAAAAAATTAAGAAAGTAGGCAAATTAATTAGGTACCCATGTATATCATTTGCTTCTCAATATATTAAACTAGTTTTGACAATATAACATTTGTGATACTAAACATTAAGGGTTCAAAGAGTTTAAAATTAGTTACCAAGAATTTAATTTTGTACAGTACCTAGTTAAATAAATTAAAATACAGTATTCCTCCTCACATATTAAAGTAATTAACAAAGCCATAAAGGTTTGTAACTGAATAATTTTGATCTATATAGCTAATTTAAAGAGGTCATATCTATTGTACATTGCCATTAATAAAAATAAAAATGTTTAATAAACTTCCATTTACCCATCATATTGGCCATGAATTTGCTACGCTCATTTGGTGGGATCCAATTGGCAGCTAATGGCAATATAGCCGGCCATGTTACACCCTAAAATATGAAGATAATATACAGAAATTAGATATAATTGAAGTACATTATAATTTTGCTTAATAAATGATTGGTGGAGAATTTTAAATTAACTGTAATTAGAAATAATACCTACTATTATAAATATTTTACTACGCCACAAGAACAAAAAAAGTATTTCTAAATGTTCTAATTAATTATGAAATATATAATTTGATTTTTCAAAAAAAATTTTAAATTATCAAAATTAGATAGGTGATTGAATCTCATATTAATTATAGAAAAAAATTTACTTCTTGACTTTTTAAGTATTTTTCACAAAGTCAAGTAATTCTCAATTTTTAAAATGAAAATGATATAATAATAATTAGGTATTATTATATAACTTTTGATAAATCTGATAAACCTTATATTATTAATATAATATAAGATTTATCGGTTTAAAGATAATATTACAAATGTTGAGGATACATAAAAATATCTGTTATTGAAATTCTGAAGATATATAAATAACAAAATGATATCATTATACACGTAGGGACTATATCATATAAAATCATATATATCATTCATATAAAAAAGTAGCTCTATAAATATTGTGTACTTACCTATATCATTAATATTATTTGAATGTCTTAAAAAACATTTTCCTCTAAATAAATTCATAAATTACTAATGAATGAAAGTAATAGGTAAATACACAATATGATATATAGGTCAATTTTTTATTCTACATTTAAAACATTATTCTTGGTTGGTTCAAAATACAAAAAAATAATTTTGATTATCAATAATTAAATACAATACTCACTAAAGTAAAACCTAATATTACTCTACAAATTATAATGAAATAGAAGCCCATTTTCGCTGCCATAGGTGTCAATAGTGTAACCATAGACGCTAATAGCATAGAGTAACCGAAAACTGGTCGGGCTCCGATCATTTCAGCCAAACGACCGCCTGGCAACTCCGTAAGAACATAACCCCAATAGAAGCTGCCCAATATAAAATTCTGTTCATACTCGGACCAAATAAACTTCATCCCATTGGATGAATTCGAATATGTTTTACTCGTGGTAGCCTAAAAACAAATTTTTAATTCAAATATAATTTAAAAAAAAAAAATACGTATATTATCAAATTTAGCATTAAGTAGGTATTGTAGGTAGGTAGGTACACGTATGTAAATAGGTACCTCGGTCTTTGATACACAATATTTCATGCTCAGATCATATATTATTGTAAACCTAATAATTTATAGGTTGTGATTATATTTTTATAATAAATTAATAAAAAAAAAGAGACCTGATACTGGAGACAAGTGCGGCCTTTGTTGTAGGCATGTAGTGGGGAAGGTGGGATATATAAAGTAATTTAAACCAACGATAAACCATTGATAACGAACAACGATTTAGACCGAAGTTCAATTATACATATTTTGAAAGGCCGTAATATTTATGATTTTCATCAAAATTTGATTTTAAAACTTTTGTACAGAAAAAAAAATACTGCATTAAACTATTTCTTTTTTGGCCACTAAGTACGATTTCTAATGAACCTACTATCAAATTTTAAAGCATTTCTGTTTCGTCTAAACATTGATCTACATAGTTCCTACCAAATAAAAATTACGTAAAAAAACACGCAAAATTAAAATATCAATAAATAGCTCAAAAATAACTAGCAGTTTTACCACGTTTAGAAAAAGTAAGTATACATATTCTGTTAAAATTGTAAATCTACAAATATTTTAACCTGAATAACAACGAAAAAACAAAATTAAAAATAATAGTTGCACTATTTTTGTACATTTTCCCGTACTTTCTGCATTTTTTTTTCAGATTTACTCAATTATTAAAAAAACTGCAAACAAAATCAAAAATTGACTTTCTTGAGTTACCGACCACATTAAAAATTAAACAGAAAAGATTTCTTATTGTTTTTTTTTTTTTTAAGCAATATTTATGGTAGAAAACATAAGCTGTATAAATTTAAAATAATAAAATTATTCATTTATTTATTCATTTATATATTTATTTACCTGTACAATTTGATAATTTTGTTTTTACTTTATTTTTCTATTGTTGAAAATATTTATGCCATAATTTGAAAAATAAACGTTTATTTCGTCTTTTTAATTTTTCCCAATTATTATAAAAAATCCTTTAGATATCATAAAACGAAACGAATCACATAACGTATAACATATTAAAGTAATTAAACCATGACGCTACGTTGCCATAAATATTAATCAATTTTAAATTTTTGGTTTTTCTCAATATTAGGAATTCGTTCTTGATTTTTTTTTTTGTTTTTTAACAACTTTTCGAAAGAAATCTTACTCCGATGTATAAAGTATAGTACCTTTTCTGAGAGGAAATTTATTTTAGTTGGTACAGTTGAGAGGTTTTTTTTGATTTTCTATGGGGTTTTCGAATAATTGGGAAAGACCCGAATTAAAATTATAGGTAGGTAAAAAGGCAAATATTTATTGCGACGCGGCAATACGGATTTCAATATTTTTAATTTTTACAACTTATGTTTTCTAAAAGAAATATTGCTCCAATCGAAAAATAATATGAGATCAATTTTGTTTCTAATAACATATAGCTACTGACAAAGAAAGTTGGTTTTTGATATCCAACGTATTTTTTATAATAGTTGGGAAAAACCAAAGAAGACGAAAAGTACGATTTTTTCAAATTACGGCGTAACGATTTCATTATTTTAAATTTGTATGGCTTATGTTTTCATAATTTTTCGTTTGAGATGCAATCGGATGCATAGTTGTTAAAATCTGACGCAATGGAAGTTCACGATTTTTTATTTGGGACGCAATCGAATGCATACCTGCCAAAACCGGACGTAAACGAAACTAGAAAAGTTTTAAAAAGGTCAAAACGGGACGCAATCGAATGATGCCCCAAATAAATATTCATGAAATAGGTATCTTACTATTTTTTTTTTCATACATTTTTTTATTCATATTTCAATGTTTTTAAATATATAAATTATTAACTGATGTTAACAATTATGATTAATATTACTGTTATATTTAAGTATCTACACGTTTAATTTAATTTTAACTATACAGTTGCAGTGTCTCTATTGAAGTAGGTACCTACTCAAATATTTGACAACTTATATCCAAATGGATTACAACTCATAAAAAGATAATGTAGCTACACACAAATATTGAATTATGTCACTGGGTTTTCTAAAACTAAACTTGTAAAATACGTATATATTTAAGAAAGAAAATAGTACCCGTGCAAAATGTAATATCTTCTTATTCTTTTCCTTTACCTTCATCCCAACTATTTGGGGTAGATCAGCCTTGTTCTAAACTTCCACTTGACCCAATCACCAACAGCATCCTCACACTATCCATTTTCACACAGTTTTCAATCGCATCTACATGCAACTACTTATTTGTCGGTCTTCCTTTTCTCTTCTTTCCTACTTCTATTTTTAATGAGTATTATATTTTGTTAATAATTTACTATTTTAGTATGTACTTTGAAATATAAATTTAAAAAAGGTTCTCACAGCATGGATGCGAGATAAGGCATATAAAATTATACAGGTACTTACTTACCTTTTATATATAGATTATTATTATGTAACGAAAATATTAAAACTGTAGATTTTATAAAATAGATGCTGTACCAATTAAAACTATAAAAGTAAAAATAACAAAATTAATGGCGCGTGGCCAAATTCAAATTATATGTATATTATTATTTTTCATAGTGAAGTATAAAACCCATTTTAGAAATTTATTTTTAATAACTGTACGAATTCTATAAACAATGCTCTTTTTCAACTTTATTAAGTAGGTATATTTTATAGAAATTCAAAATAATAATAATAATAATAAAAATGTAGAATATGGTAATGACTAATTTCGTTTAATATATTTAGTAAGAAATAAAAAATTACATTGTATTTTGCATATGTTTGAGGTATGTATTTGACTTTTTTTTATGTAGTATAACATGCAGTAATTTTAGTAATTTGCTATAGATTATAGGGATCCAAGATTTATTTATTATAAGTACGGGACATTTTAAATCGTACCTTTTATATATTTGTCTTAACTCATAAAATATGTTAAATATTTGAATTTAAAAATATTCAAAACTATCTGTCAAAGATTAATGTGCGAAAACAAACATTAGATACAAAACATTTTATAATATCCTTATTTTGTTCACCTTTGTATTTATTAATTGAGCCATTATCAAATTTCGATTTTAAAATAACAAGGTTTATTACGATCAAAATACTAAAATAAACCATACAATTAGAAAAAAAAACCTTGACCCTTCGCGTGACATCATCAGCAGAATGTTGGTAAAAGATATTATCTGCAGATGTCATAGACATATGTTTATATTAGATAAAAAACGAAAATATAATGCAAGTACCATATGTATTAAATATAATATATTTAAATGTACAACATATGTGTATAAATCTGTACATAGGTACTAATTACACCAAGCTCTACTCAGTATTATTTTTTTAATACAAAATATTTATAATATTTATTGACTTAAATTTTAAAATAATATTATAATAATTGCTGCAGTTTACTGTAAAAAAATGTAATCTGATCACTTAAATTAATTTGTTTATTGAGTTATACTTGTACTGTATTTACGAACTATAGCTCAACAACTAAATCAAAGTGCATAATAAGTACCTAAGTACAATAAACAAATCAATTTCCTGATAAATTTTATCGTTAATAAAATACACACGTAAAAATAATCTTTATAGTAGGTATTATGAAACATACTACTTTTAAATTTGGGAGCGGCTAAATAGGAATTATTAGGTAGCTAATGTTAAACAGCATAGTAAAATATTATAATTTATAATTGTTATTGTTCGATAAATATTTTTTACACTGATCGATAATTTTCCATTAAATCAATGTTCACTTATAATATATGATAAATATTATGTATTTAAACGTGTAATACGAGTTTTATTGAAGAATTTATTTATTTTATTTTGTTTAAACATCCAAGTTTTCTGAATTGATATTGAATTTTTATTGTTACCTATTAGTTTTAGCAATCATTATTTAATGATGTGTATTATATTTAGGTACCTACTTATAAAGTAATAATATTTTTTTTTACAAGAGCATGATTTTTTTTAAAATTTCAGACAACACCTGTAGCTACTATAATAAAGATTCAGGAGAAACCATTTTTAAAACACATTCCTAAATACTTGTGAGTTATGACAGAAAATGAAACATATAAATATAGAATGTAGGTACATAATATAATGTTGACTTTTATTCGTAAGATGAGCCAAGGATTAGCCATGTAACTTTGAAAATATATCATTTACATAATCATATTTCAACTTTCAATATAGATAAGAAATAATAATGTGTGTTTCTTATAGTAAGCACCTGCATAATATAAATATATATTTAGTACTTCCTGTGCGTCTTTCCTTCGAGTTATTTTGGTTTAGTTAATGAAATATTTTTACTATATAATTTACTACCAGTTTTATAATAAATATATATGTGTGATAAAAAAATAAAATCAAACAGGTATGTTAGAGTCAAGTAAAAGTTATTTATTTGGAACATTAGACCCGTATAGCCACTCTCTTGGGTACCACTGACCTACGTAGATAATTTATATTTATCATTATTTTCTAATTCTGAATACTGCAGTATTTAAATTAATTTAAATAATCTTAATTTAAACATGTTAAACAAAACCTAAATTAATGTCATACAAAATTAGTTATACACAAATAAGTCATTTTATTCTATAAAAAAAACCTATAAGTATCAAATTTTAACAATATAAAATAACTTTTATTATTGTTACGAATATATATACTTATAAATTCTTACTTTTATTACACAAATTATTGTAATATTCACGTTATTCGCAATCATTTGGTTACATAAAAATAAAATACGAATTCTTTAATTTATGAGTACAGCTACACGTGCGAAACTTAAAATTTAATAACTTTGACATAATAGTCAAGTGTAATACTATTAAAATATAAGCTAGATTGTTTAAAGCTAGGGATTGAGATAAATTTAGTTAAATAGGTACAACACAAAAAAACATGGGAATCTAGCTGATATGCAAAAAAAATTAATTAATATAGTGTTACAGGTTACAGGTAATTAAATTATATATATTTATTATTAGGTTAAATATTTTGAATATATAAGTACCTACACAATAAAAATTAAAACATAATAGTCTCAAAAATGTAATTTCTATATTTGTTTAGAAGTGTTTGTACATGTACGAGTATTATAATACATTATTAATTATAAACTAAAAATCAAATAATCGAAAATATGCAAAAGAAAATTGAGTAAAATAATTTATTTAAAAAATGCATTATTTATTGTATATTGAATATTATAATTATTTTATAGTAAAATATATATTAATTTAATCAAACTTTATTTAAATCTTAATTTAGTTCTAAAATCATGATTTATGTTGAGAATAAAAATAATAAATAATCTAATTAAAACAAACACGGTTCTTAAACTTTTTAAACTTTTACCATGTGTTACACGTCTTTAGCACGTTTTACATTGTACAACTAATGTTTTTTTAAACATCTTTGTTTTTTACATTAAATGCTCACCGATTTACAGCCAGTATGTTTTTAGAGAAAAATACCTCAAGACGTCTATGGTCAGTAGATATTATTAGCGAGTTTATAAAAAGTTAAATAATTTCTACATTTTCTGATATTCTGGTCAAATTGTTTACCATTATTACATTTTTTTACCATATTACACCGAATTTTTTCATTCATATTTGTGAAATATGTTTCAAATAATTAGATATTCGTTTTTGTTGAAAATCTTTAAAGTATGAAAGAAAACAAAATCATATTTAAACTTTACCTAGTGTTTATGACCTATATTTTGTATGTTAGTTTGCCATAAAATTGAGGCCTAGAAAAAACCATGCAAGTCCTACTCATAACTTCTCATCCCTAATAATAATACCTAATAACTGAAACTAGTTCAAAAATATCTATATTTGTATCCTATCTATTTTTATATTTGAAAAAATATTTTAAATATTAACTAAATTTCAAAAAATAAGAAATTGTCAAAAACTTAGTGTACCTATTGGTGTTTTACCATATTAAAACCTTTAATGTATTTTTATTGACTGAAGGTTAACAAATTTAAACCGAAATATAATATAAAAATTACCTACAAATTATTTATCGCTTATTAATATAATATTTTAACCGATATAACACCTATTTCAACAAAATATTGTTGATTACCAACATCGATATTATCATATTGTTACGATCGTCATAGTATTTACATAATAAATAATTTGTTACTAAGGCAATTGTTATTAAATAACAAAATAAAAAAAAAAAAAAAACGTGTAGGTAGTCTATCTTTATAGACATATATATATAAAAATGTCAATAGGTACCTAACCTACTTATAAGACCAATATCAGAAGGCCAAAGGCCATGAATTAATCGTGAAAAAAAATAGCACAAATCGGTATTAAGTAGTTTTAAACTATATACCGTGATCTAATGCCCTAAATGATTATTACTGATAAGTGATTAACTATTTTTACTTCCTCCGGGCTACGAAGCAATATCTGGAATAGGCCCATAACATATAACCGATAGTATTTACTACGAACAAATAAATACCTATAAGACTTATTTAATATACACCCTAGGGGCTAAAAATATAAATTCATAAAATAAATTATTAGTTTATTTCATGACCTCGGATCAATTTATAAAAATGCAATTGATAAAAATATTAAAATCGTATGTTTACTTATTTAACTTTATTCAAATAACTACATATTATTAATAATTATTATTACCTATATTAAATAGATTATATAGCATTAATTTTTATATTCAACTGATTTATAATTCTTAACGTAACATTATCATTTATCATTGATTAAAAATACTATAAAAATAATCATAATTAATGTTGTTATAATATTATATATTCCTACATATTATATTTTAAAAAATCGATGTATATCTTTTCCTCAGCAATTATACCAGAATACCTGAATAGCTACTAGAATATTTACATCTTTTATAATATTATAATAATATAATAATATATTAGTTTAATAATTTAATAGTTTTATAATAGATTACAAATAGTATGTTTATTTTCAATAGTTAATCATAAAATAAGGGAGGAAATGATAAAAAATAAAATAAAATAAAAAACCTTTGTGGGTTTAGCTAAGGTATATAAAAGAAGGAATTGTTCAAGATTATTGTATAACAAACAAATTTATTTCTGAAATGGTTAAAGTAAACTATACTTGCACCGATCATCGAAATTATTTATATTCTTCAAATTGTTCAAAAAAATCAGTTAATTTTACTTACATATTATCACAGATTCACAGCTATATTGTACATAATATTGCTATTGGGAATATTGTTTTTATTTTTATAAGGAAATAAATAAATGTGCCTAAATTATATTTTAAACTATTTAAATAATAGGTAGGTACAAATGCATTAAAACGATTTTATCTTTCTGTATATTATCAAAATTAAAAGTGTACACTGTACATTGATATTGTGTATAATAAATAAATAATAGTAATAATAATAATAATGATTTATCGATAAAAATCAAAACATAATCAATTATTAATGTTAAATGTGTTAAATTATTGAACAACACATTAAAACATAATATAATATAATATGTTGTTATGAAATATTTCGAATACTTCGTTACTTAATTTAAAACATGATACCTAGATAACTTACTTATACTTATACTTATACATATATATATATATATATCATTATTTAATAATTCATTTACTATAATTCGTTAGTCAGGCCATTAAAATAATAATAATAATAATAATAGGTCAGCTGAAAATTAGTTAATTTATAAATGAAATCGAACTTTGATCTAAATGTGAACCATTAGGTACTAGTTATCTTAGTTATAACTTACATCTTCCAAAATTCTACGGCGTAAATTTATAAAAATTGTGTAGCATAAATAATAATAATACGTATACGAATATATATAATAAATTCTTTTAATAATTTTATGACAATAAAAAAATACCGAGTGATTTTTTTTATCATGAACCAGCAATTATCTCAGAGGATTTTAAGTGAACTTTCTGTTCTTTCTAATCACTATTGAATCGTTTAAGCTTTATTTTAAAACCATTTTTTATTTTTTATCTCAACTTCATATACCTTAAATAAATGCACACTTTTGATTTTCAAATAAGAACTCCCCTTTTTGAACACATATTTGAATAGAGAATATTTTTCTAGACATTTTGATATGCATAACACTAATATCAGATTTACCGTTTATGAGTTATAACAGTTTAAAGTTTAGACCAAAGGAATAGAAAAGCGTAAAAAATTGCCATGTCATCCTTTAAATACCTATTATAGTTGGTGAATCTATTAATAAAGAACTGAAATGAAAATGATTTCAGATTTAATACCAGTTCATACTGTACATTTATGGGAAAATAATAGAAAAAAAAACATGTGTTAATGTATCTAAAACCATTTTAACGTCATTATCTAAACGCTATAGTATCACGTCATTAATAACACTTTCATGAGACACACTAACATATTATTATGCGTCGTGTACAAATATGCTCGTGGGTTCAAAGGTCTAGGCCATTAAAATTGCAATTTTTCTTGAACATTGTCGATAGTGTATTAAACTAATATAAGTAACTTAAGTTATATCTAGATTATTACAGATTAAATTTTTCTATTGTTATTTTTTCATACCAATCAACGATAATAGTTAATTGATTTTGAAAATGCGTAATGTTTATTGTAATCATAATACTATACTTAATCATAATACATTTGTTCTTCTTCTTCTTATTCACCTTCATACAAACTAATTGGGGTCGGCCATCCTTATGCTTAACTTCCACTTGATACGATCTCCCACCTCGCATACACTAGTTGTCCTCATTTTCAATTAGATCCAACCACCTCTTTTTCAGTCTTTCTCTATACCTCTTTCCTCGTACGTTTATTTTCATTAAAATTCTTACAGAACTATTACACTAGGTTTATCAAATTCAACTTAAAATAGAAAAAAGTTTAATAATTGAATTAATATAAATAATAACACCAATGGCAGGTTTATATTGTAAGAAAATTATATAGCCGATAAACAAAAGATCACGTACTCAAACTTTTTGGCAGTAAACAGTAAATAATGCAATTCCCATTATTCTTAATTCTTACTTCATTAACACCAAAAAGAAAAAAATGAAAAAATGTACAACAATCATTTTAAGACTAAATTAATATATTTATAAAAGTGCTGTAATTGCTGATAAATGTGCCACTGGTGTAGGTGGAAAGTTAAGAATGTAGTTATAGGTGAATAATATTTTATAATTTGAATTTAAAACTTTTTAAACAATTTGAAATTTAAATTTTAAAAAATAATCTATTACATTACGTTAAACTTATTTAGATTCTGAACACAACATGAATTGTATTTATTTCACTTTATTTTATTGTTGTAATTCAGGTTAAAAATAATCGCAGAGACCTATAATTTTCACAGAATGTCTACTTATATTGCACTTTTATAGTGACAACATTTTCAAACTATTCCGGAAATTTTTGAACTATCTACATTCCACATATAGGCATTTAACATTTTCGAGTGTCTTTTAAATTTGTTTTGTCGAAATGATTAAAATTTTAAACGATATGTGTCATAAGTTATAGTTTGTATTTAAAAAAGGAAGGTGAGCATAATATAGTATTATTTTAATACATTTTTTTAAGTTCAAATTTTGATGAAATTTGTAAAAATCACGGCATTTCAATACATGTTAAATTGAATTTATTATAATATTTTATTATTTTTCTCCCAAAGAGATTTTTTTTATAAAAGTAATTTCATTCAAACAGCATACCTATAGGCTATAACTAATATTTTGTATTTATATAATTTTATAAATAAATAAAATTAAAATTTTTACTTTTAACCGACATAATATTATTTTTAGAGCTGATCATTCTCTTTCAATAACCAATAGATAATTAATTTCTGATTTCTGTACGAAATGATGTCTTATTAATATAATTAAATTTACTGAGAAAAGTGTTTAATGGGCTACACCAAAATAAAATTAGATTATAATAATATATATCGTCATAGTAAAACCAATGTTTTTACTTTGGTGTACATCCAAAAACTTTCAGATTTCGTGCCAATGAAGTAAAATAACTGACCAACAATATGTTGTCATAAACTAGTGAAATTAAATTCAAGGGTAATATTTTCTTATAAGAACCGATTTCTTAAAGTAGTAACACTATAGTAACAAATAATTAGTGCTGAAAAGCTTATGCAAATAAAATATTACATGGGAAATGAATCGAGTTCTTATTACACTTATACATAATTAGACCAGACTGCATTTGTATACTCAATTCGTCCATCATAATGTATACAATAGCATAATTAAAAAAATAATTGTATTATTAGGTACTAAATTGTATTACCTATAGTTAACTGGCTCTTCAAAAGTTTCTAGTTTTTCAAAAAAAAAATGATGTTATCAGAAATAAGGTCGATTTACCTACTAACTATAAGTGATTGATAATTTATATTTAAGATTTAATCGTTATTAATTTGAAATATATTTATTTAACTGTATAAAATTCTAACTAGATCCTAATTAACTAAGTGTATCCAATTTGTGTACCTTGTATATTTTGTCATCAGTTACTCTCGTAATATGACTCACTTAAATTTTAATTCTGGAAAAATGTAGCAGATGATACTTAAACAAGAAACGAAGAAAAACTCAAACTTAGAGTAGAGATGTCCTCACGATCACAACTGATTATAATATATTAAATCTGCTATTTACGAAATCTAATTTTATGAAATGAAATGAAATACTTATACCTAATTACCTTTAAAAAAGTTTAATTTGTTTTAAAATTATATTCTAGTTATATTTTACGATGTACCTACTCAGCACATGCGTATTTGCTAATATATTCTATTTTTTTTTTTTCCCAGGACGATTATAACAAATTATTTATCTGTGTGTTAATAAGACAAATTATTTATTTACCATATTTATGAAAACATTAATATAAAACATTATCTATATTTATATAATATAAAAATCTACTAGAAAAAGTGTATAGATTTATACATAGCTTCTACGTATATTTTTAAATTCAGCGTTAGTAAATATAACATATAGGTATAATATATTGTTGTACTTACAATGGTATCATTTAAAGATGAACTTGAAATATTGTTAACTTGTTCTCTTGAAAAATTTTGCTTATTGTTAGGTACCATGTCTACGATAGCGATAGTAAAATTGACTCGTAACATATAATTGACCATAAATCCAATTAAAACCATGCAATTTAATACTCTTGAACAGTTCATTGACCCTATACAAAATTATAACTTTACAACATTTATACTAAGTGTCAAGCTTGCATAGCATATCGTATTTAACCACTAAAAATACTTACGATTTTGTTTTATAACCAATCCGGTTTCTGCATTGACCGTCGTTTCTTCTTTTTTCATTTTTCTTAAGTATAGTAATTTGTATTATATAAATAAATTGTTTATCCTGAAATATTAGAGAAAATTAACATTACTTGTAGAAATTAAATAAATAATAATGAAAAATACCATTTACTAAAATTCCAAATGAGACGTATACAATATATAATTGCAATATCAAAGTTTCATAATTTAAAGTTATTTAATAGAAATACATATCATTAGTTTGGAAAAATTTGCAAGAGTTACAACGCATGCATCTTTATATCAAATTTAAAACCGAAACACATCATATCTGTTATAATTAAATACATTTTTTAAGTCGAAATTTATGTAAACCCATTTTCATCTCTTTTTTGTGTTCAAGTTCAATAATTTTGCTATTTAATTAGATACAATTATGTTTTAATTAAAATTTAAACACCCTCAGATTTGTATCACGATGGGTAATAATAATTGTATTTTTAATATGCTAATATACTGAAAGCAACAATATAATTATATTATTATTTATTGTATTTTTTAATTTTAAAAAAAATTAATTAAAGAATTAAAATTAAAAAGTAAATTTAATAAGACAAATTTAACTTAAAACGCTTCTAAATAAAACCAACTACATTACGCTCAATTTTTATTACCACTAAGTACAATTTCATAATATGAACGACTAATGTTAAAGTTTCAAATATTTCTCTTTGGCTAAAATAATTTTATTTGTATAAAACTAAATGAAAACTAATTCAAAAATGTCAAATACCTATAAATAACTCAAATATCACTAGCATAATAGTTTGGAAATTTTTTAACGTCTAGAAAAAGCTAATATGAGTATTTCGTGTTTTACAATAATCTATGTACTATACGATTATTTTCAACAGAATTACAATAAATAACTATAATCGAAAATCATGCCCCCTCTTTTTGTTCTTGGTTATTTTGATGAATTTTTATCGTACTAAAAAATAGTAGCTTACATAAAAATTATAAGTTCCCACCTCCAAAAAAAAAAAAAGAATGGATACGGTACTGATAGACACTTACGAATAATGAACAAAGTTTTATTGATCTCAAGGTTCTGAATGTTTAAGTAGTTTACATTTACTCGTATTTGATTCAGCAAAGAGTTAAGTATGTATGTGGAGTAAGGTGAGGTTAATTTCAAAATATTATATAAATACTGCTGTGCAGCACCTCAGAATTGCGGATTTTTTTTAGGAACTTTATACTCCAAACTGAACTTTCTCTTAATAGCAGCTGATACAATAGTCTGATAGTCAGAACTTCAGAAAGTATTGGGGGCCCTCCCCCCCCCGATATTTTTAGTTAAATTGGTTATTTCGATTTTTATTAGTTCTAAAAAATAGTAAGTTATAAATGGTGGCGGGTGGTGACGGGGTATACCAACATAAATAAGTTTAAAATTCACTAACAACTACTAACTGTTATAGTTAACAATAGGTTATTAAATAGTGCACTATTAAAGAACTACTTATTACAATAGTTAACTATTAAATATTAATAGTTTTTTTAGGGAAACTAATCGATTTTACATAAATATAACTACATTAATTAATGTATGTATCTATATTCTATATAAAAAACAAACCACGTATGCCAAAGGTACCCATATGCAGTTCAAAATATGCATTAACAATGCGCATTAATCAATAAAAAAACTAAATAAATTTAAAAACCAACATTTTACACAAGAAAATGTTAACGAAACGAAAAAAATGTATTATTTCAAGTTTAGTGTAGAAATTCGATTAGTTTTGTTTGCACGAATAAGCTAGGTCAATTTCCACAACTCCGTTTTTCTCGTGTCCAATATGCTACCATATCAATCAATAATATACAATTTTATTTTTAAAGAAATATAAAGAAATTTAAATAATACATATTATGTATAATTCAAATTGAATATATTTAAATTATTTCTGTACAAACGTAAATTAGAACTAGTCTTTTATTGTGAATTTATTATTTAATTGGATTGCATATTTTATCAATGTATTGTGTTTATGAATTTTCTATTTTCTTTTTACATTTTAATTTATCGAAGCCACAAATGTTCACTATATATCCAATGTAAGAAAACAATGATGTAGTATAACATCATTCAGTATATATTATATTATATATACATATATATATATGTAAATAACAAAAGAAATCAATATAATGTTAAAATTACAAATTTTACTGAAGGACTGTATTTGTCATCTTTGCCGTTAAAAATGAAAAAAAAATAAATAAAAACAGTTGTGTGCTTTTTAATTTAGTTTTTTTCTTTTAGGTCAATTATTATAATTAACATATAAACGATATATGATACAAAAAAAAAAAAAAAAAAAAAACTTTNAATAATAATGTACATCAAGTTAAAACTACATCATAACAATAATATATATTGGCATATTTAGCATAGGTAGATATTATATTTTTTCACGTTTAACTCTATATGTATAATAATATTATGATGCTACCATAATTTCAAAAAAAATAAAGAGCTGATACTGGCGTTGGATGCGGCCACTGTTGTAGGTGGGTAGTGGGGAAGGTGGAATACATAAGGTTATTTCATTTACATCTGTAAACAACGATAAACCATAGCTGACGAAAGACGATTCCGAGCGCAGTTCGGTAATACATCATTTGAAGTGTCATACATTTTTTTTGCGATTTTGGTTTCAAATTTGATTTCAAAACGCTTATTAAAAAAAAAAAAACGACCTGCATCATTAAAACCAAGATCAATAGTCTAACACAAAAGGTCTCGTGTCGTTTTTCAATTGGAGCCATAATTGTGCTAGAAAACGTGACAGGTACTTATTTAAAATAACAAAAAATCGTATTTTTTTTCCCGGTTAATCGTTTAACCCAGAAAATCAAAAAAATGACCTATGTATTTACCAAGTAGATAAAATTGACTCTCAGAAAAGTTGTTACACTTATACATCGGAGCAAGTTTAGTTTTCTAGGATAAAAGAAGTCTACAGTATAAAAAAATAAAGTACCATGGTTAAAAAATTAAAAAAAGGAAAAAAGTCATCCGATAATTTTGGAAATTTCACCACGTCTAGGTAAGTCCAATATAAGTATTATTTTCAAGATTTAAGTCTTTACTCTCTACGTGTATTTATAACCGAATTACAGCAAAGAAACTCCCAAAAATTGAAATTCGTTAAAAGCTTAACAGTGGCTCAAAAGTTTTAGCGATGATACCGTAAGAAAGTAAATCAAGAAGGCAACAAAAGAGGTACTTTGTGATTTTTCGATTAAATCATTTTTTCTGGTAGAAAACGTCGTCCGTGTTTTTTCAAAATAATGAAATCGTGAAATTGTATGTTTTCCTACGTTTTTTCCTACTTAAATGCTTTTATTTAAAAAACGAAATCGAAAATCAGAAAAAGACCTTTTTAAATTTCCATCTAGACAACTTGAGCTTTCCGAAAAATTGCTACACTTATACATCGAAGCAAATTTACTAGAAAAAACTGTGTCCACAGTCTAGAACAAAGAACAAAGAATAAGGAATAAACATCTTGGTAAAACCAATAGCTCCCTCGCTGTGCTCGGAATCTAAGAAACGGCCAGTAAAAATATATAATTGATGATTTTATGTACAAACTTTATTTTATAAGTTCTAATCCATTTTCTAAACAACAATATTTTATTATTTTCTTCATATTCGCCTCTAATTTATCCTACATAATAAATGGGGTTGGCTACCCATCTACTCTTATTACGTGTTTAATAATTAATTACATGCTAATGCCGAAATAATAATTATATTTTTTTAGTTACGTTTAGGTACCATTAATTTCTCTATAACAAATAAAATAAAATACATTTAAAATATCAACAAGGCAATGTTACAGTAATTTTACTGTATTCAAAATTAAATCTTGATACCCATTTCAAATTTATATCAACTGTAAGTAATATATCAAAAATATTGTGCAGATATAATTATGTTTAATTATAATAATGTATCAATATTATTAAAGAACTATTTGGGAACATAAATATTCAATATTCAATTTATTATTGATATTAGGTATTACATTTACCTATAATAAAAAAACAAAAAAGTTTTTGATTAAACTAAAGCCAATAGACAAAAAAAAATAATTATCATCATTATTATTAGTTAGGTAATACTAGTTTCTGAAGCATCAAACATCCTGATAGGCAGAATAATGTTACCTAACTGTGATTATATTCACGCAGTTTCTACACTTAAAATTAAATATACCTACACGTTGTATGAAAAACAAGATACGAACATACTTCACATAATGGGTGGGCCACTGTTGTAGATGAGAAATTGGGAAGATAGAGGGGAAATTTAATACATATTTGTACACAACGATTAACTTTTACTAACGAAAAACGATTCTCAGCGGAGTTCGGTCAATAGTGTTGCTTTGTCAACAATATATATGCCATATTTATTTTCTTTCATAATATTTGTTTAATATTGAACCTACTTTCCCGTTTTCCCTACGTTTTTTCCGAGTTTTTCTCATTTATTATGAAAACAGATGGGAAAATAAAAAATTACCTTCTTTAAGTATCATCCCAGTCAGATTTCCTTTCAAAAAAAGTATTTTAATTGAAAATCAGAAAAAAATTATTTGTAGAAAAGTTGGCCACGAATAAAAAAAAAATTTAAAAATAAACATCATTGTAAAACCAATACATTCTTCTACAAAACTTTATTTACACCAAGTCTTTACAATTTGTTAAATTCGCATCGAATATCATCTTTGTTATATAAGATATTCTTGGATCTCCTCGATCTCTTTAACTATATATCTTCTCTTCTACTATAATATACAGACATTTCTATTCGTGTCTCAGAACATATTTAATTATATTGCATCTTCTGTCTTTGGTTGTTTTTAGTATCCTGGGTTCATATATTTAGCTTATTATACTGTCATTTTTCTACATTCTGTTCAACTCACACTCATCATTCTTCTCCGACACCTCCACATCTCAAAACTTACTAGAACCATTTTTTCCACTTTCTTCAGTACCTAGATTTCACATCCTTTTAGTGCAACACTCCACATCAGTGGCAGACAGGGATATTTTCTGTTACCGAGAACTAAATTTAAGGACCCCTAAATGAAAGAGCACTCCTATCCAATAAATCTTAGGTTTTATAGCGCTAGCTTCCCCCCTCGTTATTTGAGCCTATAAAAAACAACTGCTTTAGTTTTTTAATGGATAATAATAGTATTTGGTTGAATAATTGATAATTACTAATTAGTATTGTATATAATGTTAAATATGATTGAATAAATCATTTAAATGTAATTTCTTAGGATTACTTAAGGAATGTTTTAATAGTTTATAGCGTTTACCGGTAAGTACCTATACTTCACGTTATCGAAATTTGAATACATTTATAAGATTAGATATTAACTTTATTGTACCTACTACAACCTCTGTAAGACTAAGGCGTAAACTAAATCAATCAACAAAAGTAAAATAAGTATATAAAATTCTAATTTATCTCAATCGAAACTTACTAATTATATAGTAAGCTAATATACCAACGTATTTATATGCATACTGTATGTATTACTGTTACTACATTATTTTTACACAAATTTTAATTACTTCAATTACAAATTAATTAATTTTGTCCGTTTTTTATTTATGTATAAAATTATTTACCTATTTTAACTTAAGTATCTTTCTATACCAAATTCTAAACAACCCCAAAATTATTAATAATAATATAATATAACAATATTTTAAAAAGTGGAGTAATTTTCTTTATCGTTAAAATATTAGCACAGAAGATTATGGCAAAATCTTAATGCCATTATTTTAAAGAATTGTAAAGAAATTCAATTTAAATTTGTCATCATTATTACCTACGTATGCTGTTTGTCGTTGATTATTTGAAATCCAAATATATAGAATATTGTAGGCACCATAGATATGTCTGTACTTTATTTTGCATTAATAAAACGTAAACAATTATAATCGTTATATTTTAACATAAACTTTCGAAAAATGCTTTGAAATATAACTCGTTAGAAGATCGCTATCAAAAGTTTACACTATGTATCTGAAGTAGGTCTAAAATATTTAAATAGTTACCCACCTACCTATTATATCATAGTACCAGTACATAAGTACTTGTATATAGATTATCGATCGTCACCACTGCAAATTATTTTACACCTATTACCAAGAAATTAAATCAGTATAATATTAAGTACTCCAACATATTGAATCGGTAAATTTCCGTTTTTCATTTTATTATTATAATATAGGTAATATTATTATGATTTGTTTAAAAAAAAAAAAAAAACAATATTGTAAAAATATAAACGATTTTTCATTAATCGTTAAAAGTAGTGTAAATAAAATGAGACAAGTGGATTAGTTGTTACTAGTCAAATTATTCACAGTAGAATCAAAAATTATTTTCATTCGCCACGAATAAGAGAAAAGAGAAAAAATGAAAGTAGACATATGTAGAAAATACATTTTATACATAAAAAAAATAAAAACCTTTTAAAGACTTGTTCTACAATATATTTATATATAACAACAATATTAATCTCTATTGTACGAGAATTTCTATTTACAAAAAAAAATCTCATGAAAATTGCACATAAATGTATTGTAAATGCATTTTAAATAATTAACACTGTTGTAAAAAATATAATACCCACTTTAAACCAACAGAAATTTCCAGTGAACATTTTTCAGTTTAAACGATATCCATATTATATTATCAAAGATTATAAATCCATTTAAAACTAATATAAAAATTAACTTTTATAACTATTCCATATTTGTTTATGTTAATACCTATACATTTGATTAGAAGACAACAAAAAAATATACCATAGTAAAACCAATAGATCCCTCGCTTCACTCAGAATCTAAAATGTATTACCCGTACGTTATATAATTAGCCATATAAGTATTTCATAAACACGTTCAGCAGTTATTGGACGAAGACTTTGTGTAGGGTATTGGTAAAATTATAGTTTCTAAAATGATTTTAGCCTAGGCATCCTCACACTGTATGTATTGTATTTTATTTGTCAATAAACAATGGCAGCGGCGGGGTAATAATGTTCACACAAATCCTAATCTCAATTCAAATTGGAGAAAAAATGACAAAAATCACCAAAAAATAGGTGATTTTTTTTTCTTCTGATAATCGTGGTTTAAAAACAAAAATATTTTTTTAATCGAAGATTTCAATGACAAATCCTATAGGTAGCGATTTTTGAGAATATTTCATAAGGCACCTTCAGCCATACATGGATATAATATACATGCTTAATATATTATAAATGTACTCTAATGGCGATAGTATTAAGAATTTGATAGGTAGGTATACTTCCGAAGGACAAATACAATAATAGCCTTTTTTTTTCTATTATTCTAAAAATAAATTTAAAAAAAAAAAAAAAAGAGGTAAAAAATAAATTCTTCACACACGTGCTGTCGTCTACGTTTTACCGGCTCGAGTATTTGACCACCTGCCGCCCCATTCTCCCCACCACCAAAACTCTAAATAAGGCTTTGCTGGTGACAGATATTACAACGATGTTTCGGTCAGTGGCCAGTGCTGTCGCGAACACGTTGTGTTGCGTTGTTCTTGCGACCGTGAGAAAAATTTAATTTATACGTCGTTATAAAATGACAACATTATAATATGGAGTACCATAAAAACGAGCACGCGATTTATTATTATATTGAACGAAATTATTATCACGAAGATAAAAATGCTGTCATAATAATATATTATTTTATAAGAAAAAAACAAAAAAAATAATACTCCGTAATACACAAGATAATAAAATCCAAATAGTTGTAGAAATAAAACTCACGGTTATTGCACGATTTTAGCTGTGTACAATCGGTATAACTATAAAATTTTCGCGTTTGCTCGCGATTACTCCCGTCGTGACCCGGCGGTGGAAAACGAAAAAAACTGAAGGAAGAAAAAAAAAAAATTTCAAAAATGATCACAGACTATTGTTATAACATTATTTTAATGTACTCAGAAGGACGGATAATATTATATGCGTGTTATGCGGAGTAGTTGTGCGGGATTGGCGCGCAATAACAACCGTACCGGTCAACTGTCGGAAGACGAGTTGCCGCGACGACGAATCCACGAGTGGTCGACACAACCAACGACGACGACGTGGTCCGGCAACGATAACAGGTGCGCGGCGCGAACAACCACTTTTTCACTACGTGCGTGCGATGTATGGTACACCCGACCGTTGCGTTTCTCGCGGGAACGGGCACCGCGAACGATAATAATAATACAACGGCTAAACAGCGGTCGTCTTGCCGACGCCCGGCGATGACGATAGAAAAAAAAAAATAGCAATAAAAAATATAAAAAAAAAAAAAAAATCATAATTAGATTAGATTAGAAAAAAAAATAATAATAAATAACCGTCCGTTAAATAAAATAATAATAATAAGTGTATAGTAGCTACCTATATAGTGTATATCGAGTTGCAGAAGAAACACTATAAATAATATTTATGTAATGTGTTCAGTCGTAACGTATTATAATATAGTAGCCGCACATAAACGGTAAAAGCAGAAAAAAATAAACGCCTCATACGCCACAGCGTCGACACACGACTGACGCGCTACGCCGCGCCATTTGAACCCGCGCCGCGCAAACGGATATGAATAGAAAAAAAAAAAAAATCATAATTAGATTAGATTAGAAAAAAAAATAATAATAAATACATATTCACCGTTTGGCGAATATTTTTTCTTAACGAATCGGCCGATCGATCGGATCGGCGGTTCGTTTTTAATTTTTGGCGCCTTTTTTTAATTTTTTATTTTTCCGCATCGAAATCGCGACACTAAATACCGTTTGTCTCCCAGTCACCGTCCATTCCAACACGTATTTTGTTCTCGTAATGTTATGCGAAATGTGTAAATATGTTGGGATAAGCATGTTATAATACCTACCATTCTGGTATTTACCGGGCAGCAGCCACGCCACTGCCGTTTTACGATTTGAATATCATATAATAATAATAAAGTGGCCTCGTCTACGACAACATCGGTTGTCCTCTCGGCGAAGACGAGAGAAAGAAAAAACGACAATTTTTGTACGCCGTCGTAATAATATTGTGCAGTTATTTCTATAAATCGTTTCGGATAAAACACGTAACAAGTGTTTCAATTTATTGTCGAATTATTGTGTAGGTAAAATAATTGACGATTCACACGCTGTACGCATATTAAGTATACCTACATACTGTTATATCTATTTACAGTGGCGGCTCGTGGGAAAATAATTTGTGGTGCACATTTAAAAAATTGTATACAATAAGTACAGTCGATTCAGAAAACAGGTATTTTATTGAAATATGAATATATTTGTTTTTATTTTTTTATAGTAGGTTCTTAGATAGAAATCTACAGTATATTAGGAAATTAATATGTTTGTTTTTGTTAGATTACATTAAATAATATTATTTGGGAATTGAATGTAAACCGGGTCGGTCAGTATTTTCTATAGGGTATTTTTGGAGATAACGCCACCCGCCGGACAAATTTAATATTATCCAAAAGAATATAATCAGTTCTCAAGTATTCACAGTCGGCAACAGCTGACGGAGATTGCTGTACGGCCACCGCGGTGCAATATTCGTTTGTGCACCAACACATCACTATGACTAATGGTAGTTGTACTAGTAGTGGAACCGAAACGGTCAAATGCGTATGCGCAACTTGTGCAAAAATTGTATTTGCCCGTCAAAACTCCGTGATCGCTGCCGCTGCGAGGTGTGTACGATGGCATACCTATAACGTGCGATAACATTCGTTTTTCTCGATTTTTCGCATTATATTATTACAATAATATATTTGTATATTGTAGTAATATAATAAAACAACGGGAACTATTTTTGTGTGCAATACCAAATCTGTTGTGTGTACCTAGATCGAAATTATTAAACGTGTAGTACGGAATTATAAAATATACAATGTTATGAAAAAATATTTCTAAATTATGTTTTGTCGTTATAATATTTTTTAATTATTTAACAAATTTAGAATAAGTATATCAAAGAGATTTGATCAAGTACAAAGTATTTTAAAATTTGTTATTTATTATTATGATGTTTCAAAACTTATCTCAATGCTTGTTGTAATTAGTTTACTGACTTTAAATAAGAAATTAAACCCAGAGGAACGTTATTCAAACAAATTTGTTGAAAGAATAATCTATAAATTAAGTACTAACACTAACTGGTTGATATTATGTAATATTTTTTTTAAGTTTACTTCTTAAATTACCCATACATTTTTCCTTAATAAAATTTAAAACTGGAAACATTTGTTTAAAAAAAAACAAATACATATTGGTTTATATTATATATTAAATTTTATTGCAATTTTAAATTCAAACGTCCATCACAAAAGTACTATAATACAAATAAGTTAAATTAGCTAGGTTAGGTCCAGAATCGAGAACGAGACTTTTCGAAATTATAATTTTTTTAAGTTGTTGTATTATGCGAATATTATATGTATGTTATGTTAAACAACTCAATATTGTGAATATTATATTATGTCTGTCCTAGTCTAATGGTGTAACGTATTTATTTTCATCCCAGAGATCAAAAGTTCAAACCCGAGTTTGAAAAAAAAATGTTCATTTTGGGTGCACCTAGACTTCCTAAGGCCCAAGCTATCGCTCACTGGACTATTTAGATCGAAAAATATTCTTCGATTTATTGTGCAAACTTTTCTATCAGAAATTTTGCTCCAATTTACACTGATTTCGCTCTTCTCCTGAAAGAAAATCTGACTGGTGTGGTACTTTGATGAAGTTATTTTTGGGTTTTCCCAAGAGTTTTCCCGATAAACGTGAAAAACTTTTTAAAAAACTTTAGAGAGGTCTTTTTTTGATTTTCGATTTCGTTTTTTAAATAAAAGCATTTAAGTAGGAAAAAACGTAGGAAAACATACAATTTCACGATTTCATTATTTTGAAAAAACACGGACGACGTTTTCTACCAGAAAAAATGATTTAATCGAAAAATCACAAAGTACCTCTTTTGTTGCCTTCTTGATTTACTTTCTTACGGTATCATCGCTAAAACTTTTGAGCCACTGTTAAGCTTTTAACGAATTTCAATTTTTGGGAGTTTCTTTGCTGTAATTCGGTTATAAATACACGTAGAGAGTAAAGACTTGAATCTTGAAAATAATACTTATATTGGACTTACCTAGACGTGGTGAAATTTCCAAAATTATCGGATGACTTTTTTCCTTTTTTTAATTTTTTAACCATGGTACTTTATTTTTTTATACTGTAGACTTCTTTTATCCTAGAAAACTAAACTTGCTCCGATGTATAAGTGTAACAGCTTTTCTGAGAGTCAATTTTATCTACTTGGTATATACATAGGTCATTTTTTTGATTTTCTGGGTTAAGTGATTAACCGGGAAAAAAAATACGATTTTTTNGTTTTTTTTTTTTAATAAGCGTTTTGAAATCAAATTTGAAACCAAAATCGCAAAAAAAATGTATGACACTTCAAATGATATATTACCGAACTGCGCTCGGAATCGTCTTTCGTCAGCTATGGTTTATCGTTATTTACAGATGTAAATGAAATAACCTTATGTATTCCACCTTCCCCACTACCCACCTACAACAGTGGCCACATCCAACGCCAGTATCAGCTCTTTATTTTTTTTGAAATTATGGTAGCATCATAATATTATTATACATATAGAGTTAAACGTGAAAAAATATAATATCTACCTATGCTAAATATGCCAATATATATTATTGTTATGATGTAGTTTTAACTTGAAGTACATTATTATTTTTTGTGTATGCCATTAAAAAGAAATGCCTATATTGGATTACGTAATACTTGTAATACAAACAGTAACAGCTATTCTAGTCAAATTCTAAACATAGTTTGAAAGTTTGTTTTTTTTTTTTTTTAGTATCATATATTGTTTATATGTTAATTATAATAATTGACCTAAAAGAAAAAAACTAAATTAAAAAGCACACAACTATTTTTATTTATTTATTTTTCATTTTTAACCGGATAAATATGATAATAATGGTAATTGACTGCAAAAACAGGTCAAGTATATAAGTTATATTATTTTTGTGTGCATAAACGGGTTCGATAAAAAAAAAAATACACGAGAAGTACCATATTATCTACTATATTTAAAAAATATTAAAAACTAACAATAAAAAAACGGACTTCTTTCGCAAAATGCGTGAAAAGATAGGGTATAACTATTTTATACAATAAAACCTTCTTTTAATGAATAAGGCGGAAATCTCCTTAAAACGGAAAACAACAACAGTTCTGCATAACCTTTATCTCGTATATTTTAGTCCTCCTATAACGGAAACTCATTTGTAACGGAAAAATCAGTGACCGATGGATTCCATTATAAAAAGGTTTTTCTATACTTCTATATATGAACGTAACGATTTATCATAACGAAAAATGATTCTGAGCGGAGTTCGGTTATACATGTTTTGAAAGGCCGTAATATTTACGATTTTCGTAAAAATTTGATACTAAAATTTAAATTTAAATTTTATTTCGGAAAAAGTTCTAGATAGTAGGTACACTTGAAAATCGGAGTAAGATTTCTAGTAAAAAATTACAGTTAAAAAAAAAATATTTAAAAATACATAAACATCATTGTAAAATAAATTAGAATCCTAGATTTGATACCGTATTCCGAAGCGTGGTCATCTTTTTATTTATCGTATTTTCGAATGACCTTTTCAAAACTTAAATAAGACCTATTTGTGATCATTTTAACAAGGTTCCCAGTTGATTCCTGACAGTTGGTGATTGGAATGGTTTAATCACAGACATTTGGAATGCTACAATCTTAGCACATTCCGGGAATTAAACAGGCGCTTTCTGAGCTTTTTGTATTCGAGTCTCTATACCTATTCCTATTTGTTTCAAGAACTTCCCGGGAACATAGGCTTCATTACAAGGTAACAACTTCTATCTCACCATTTTTATCGGGGTTGTAGATAAATAGCTCAGCTACCTTATGAGTAATTTATAAAAAGTATAATTGTCTTGCTTTTTTTTCATAATACGTATGATTACACGAATGTAATAATTATACTATCGACTATATTAAATTTTAAACGTATACTTCAGGCTGTGGGACAGTCTGTATACAAATTAGTCAATTGATTAATTATATTTCTAAATGTTTTTGGTATCATTGGTACAGTATATTTTGGAAACCGCATGGCACAAACAGACACCATTATAAAAGCACCACACCACACGATACGGTGTAGTGTAAACCTGCCTTAATTCTAATAAACAATTGACTACGATTTAATTGATGGTTCACCGAGTAATAAAGTGAGGAACACTTCATTAGACCACAAATGAATTCAAAATATTATTCAAGATGCTTGCTACCCCATGATTTTACTTCAAATGACGCCTAGATGTATGATGAATACCAATCATCAGTGCCTACCCAGGTAATAATCATTATGAAATTACATCACTACAACTCATTATTTCTGTATTTTATTTAGGCGGGTAGGTACTTATGGTACGCATTCGTTTTATTAATATTTAGAATTTAAAATAAATGTTTATACTTTTAGAAAAATATAATATAGGTATGTACCTTAAACTTATTTTGGTCATTTATGTTTATAATCCATTGAAATGTATATTATATAAGTATTTCAAAGACCTTTAAACAAGTAATTCAAAATAATCAGTATATATTATCACAGTACATCATCGCTCAGAATCTAAAATTAACTGTTTTAATTTAAAAGTGCATTAAATCAAAACAAAATAAAATAGTAAGTAGGTATGTAAAAGTTCTAATAACATTATTATAAAGCAACCAATACGCGTTCTTTATAATTATGATCATTGAAGTAATTTATTATTCATTATTCACAATCATAAATTATAAATATCACAGCCTATAGGCAGCTTATAATTATCAGTTTTGCTTAAGATTAATGTAACACCTAAACGTACACTCGATAATCTACTATATACCAAGGTACTGGTTTTACTTATGTGTACGAAAATAACAGGTTCCCAATTTCCAATAATATCGTTCTAAAAAGTATATGTATTACGTACTTACTATACTTATTAACCTATTACGACCAACTCCAATTCCTATAATTGCTTTGCGATTTTGATCGATAGACTACAATCTATAATTCTAGAAAAACCTTGAAATGTATATTTCATAGTATACAGGTGTATTATAATATTTATGCTACATATGTCTATCTAATAAAATATAGGTTAGTTAGTTTTCTTCTTTGTTATTCTATTCACAGACCAATCACAGTTAAAGACACACTTTAGATATTTTTAATCGTGATTCTACTTATTTTATTTTACAAATTATAAACGGGTAAAAAACCCTTTAACAAAAGAAATGTGACATTCTAATAAATATAAATTAATAGAACACGAATAAAATTACAGCATACAATTTGTTAACGCGTTATATACCTAAATTAAATTTAAAAACTTCACGAGACACAAAAAAAAATCAACACAAGATGGTAATTTATTTGCTAACATTAGAACACGGAAAATACGATGCTGAGCTATAATTATTGATAAAATATGGAACCTAAAAAAATTTATTAACCCAGAAGTAGATATGACTAGTGTGAAAGCCAACCATTGAAAATAACTTCCAGCAATCTACATTTTCATTGAACAAGTCAAATAAAAACATTAAATCAATAACTTTTTTCTGAGATCACAATATGTAATACATATTACAATACCGAGAAGAGATATAAATGATATGAATCGATAGACATATTTAATGTATAACAGATAGATTTAGTATATTTATATTGAACATTTTCAATAAAATTAATAAAAGCCACATAGTTAGGGGACCAAACCAAAGAACCAAAATCGAGCTTTGACGTAACAAGAGAGAAATTTAACATTTTTGAAGTATTTATATTTTTAAAATCTTTAGTATTTCTATTAACAAAACCCTGAATCTTGAAAGCATTACTAACTTATACTTTATTTACAATTAATTGGAAATCAATTTCTCATTTCCACCAATCAAAACACTAATTAATAATTATGATAAGTATTTAACGCTGACCTATAAAAATTCAAATTTTAATGAAAACTTTGCAATTATATGTTCCACACATTTGCAATCTTGCACCTATCATACGACAGTTTATGGAAAAATATTATGACTGTTAATGGACTGAAAAACTATACATTTTTGGTATACGTACCACATACCTACATTCATAAACGATTACGTCCATGTGGAATAACCTACAAGAGTAAAAAATATAAACGCATATTTCTGTAATTATTCATTAATTTTTTTACATATTTAAAAAAAAATCCTGTGCGGAATATGTTTTGATAAATTTAAATTTACAATTGCATTTATTTGTAACTACAAAATAAATATGACAATACTGTTTTTTTTTTCGTCTAAAATTATTGAACATTTTTATAGGGCCAAATGCCAAAAGTTGTATCTCCATAAATAGGAAAATACAATACTAAATCTTGAGATTTTTAAGAAAATCAAAAAGTAAACTTTAACACTTAAAAAAATAAAACCAAGAACATGGATTTTCAATATTTAAATAGTGTTATTATATTAATATATCTATCAGTGTTTGGAAAGTTCTTTTTAAAAAGGAATTAGGTAACATTTCTCATTCTTTTTTAAAAAAGGAACTCGATCCTAACTCGAAACGGTCCTATTTTTAAATTCGGAGCGTAGCGAGAAATTTATTGGTTTAACGATGAATGTTTTTGAATTATGAATTATTAAAAAAAATAGTTTAAAAACTTAAAAGATTTTTGAGTCTTTTATATCGAGCTGTATAGGTATTTAGTGTAATACATAAACTCGATGTGGTTCCCTTCAAAATATTCTCTATAAATTACATAATAAGTACTTTTACTCCAAAATCAAAATTAGCTAGTTTCACTTAATCTGGATAAGCATTGTTTTTGCATGTTTGCTTGGTAGTTAGGCTGAAACAGTAAATGCGGGTATGCTGTCCTCTTAATGCTATTGTATGTTTTTATTGTCTATAAAACGATTCGGAGAAAAGTTCGGTTATAAATGTTTTGAAAACCATACAGTTTACCATTTGATGATACTACATTTAGTAAACTTTTCAGACTTTCTTAGAGATTTTTAGCATTTATTATGAAAACTCGTGGGCAAATCAAAAAATGATCTCTCTAATGCACCAATTAGAGAAAATTTCCTTTCAGAAAAGGCGTTACATTTGATATTTTTGGAGCAAAATGTCTGAAATAAGTTGTGTATAAACAGAAGAAACACACATCATAAAAAAAACAAATAAATCCCTAGCTACGCTCTGAATATAAAAAAAAAAAAAAATTGATAAACAAGTTATGATCTATAATATAAAGATGAAAAATATGTATACTAATTTATTTAGTAAACAATTTTAAATTTGTAATTATTATTTAAAATGTTGTTATTTTATTTATTAATCAAAACTTTAATACTTTGATTATTAAACAAACTTGTCTGGGCACAAATTATTTTTGCTCTTATTGTTACAAAACAACATTAATAATGAACAACACATAATATGAAATTATGAGTAATTCAATACAAAAAAATTACTAATACAAATTTGTCAACACTTTATTATTATTTATTTTCTTGAAGACATCCTTTTTTTTTTAGCTATTCTACCCTTATTTTTTTCTTTTGATGGTTTTTTGCTGCCGCCAAATGTACTTTCTTTGGTATTTCCTTTAATTCCTCTTTTTTTACCACCAAATCCATATTTAGCATCTTTCCCCTTTCTTTTATGTTGTGATCTATAAAATAAAATAAAATAAGTCAACATACTTAAGAATATGATTTTCATAAATTAAATTGGAAATTATAAATACAACAGATGAAATAAATATTTATTATGTACGTAATATTTATTAATACAATAAACTCAAGGGCTATTAGAGAAATAAAACATTCTTAATAAAGAAATTGTCAGTTTTATACAATTTTTGTAGAGATAAATTACAAAATTATCTTTAATTTCAGAAAAGTTTAATGAAACAAATTAAAAATAATTTCATTGAAATTAATATAATTTGTATAGATTAACCCATCAACAAATGTAGATTAGTTCTAACAAGTTATATTGTTAATAATTGTTCATTAAATTAAAATCACTTCTAATTTTACAAAGTTATTACATAGTGAGCAAATAATGATTAAGTATTTCAAAAATGTATTCAAGTCAATTGGAAAATCAAATATATAAATTATATTAATTAGCATTGTGTAAGTCAACAAATAACCACAATGATTCATAATTTGAATGAAAAAAAATATGTATGCAGGTATTGCAATAGTACATATATGTACCTAAAAGTAAATCTAATTAATGATTAAAATACATACTTGGTAAGATTCTTTTTCTTCCCGTTACTATCATCTTGTTTCTTATTTTTTTTAGTATCAGTTTCCAGAAAATCTAAATCATTCCTTAAACCTTTTCTAAATTTCTTTATATTTTCATTAAGTTCTCGTTTCTGTTTATGTTTATCTTGTACAGCTGCTACACGTTTCTCTTTAGCTAATTTTTTTTCTTGTCGAATACGCCGCACTTTTTCTGTTTGTTCCAGAGCAGTTTTTCTCTGTAAAAGTGCATGTCGTACCTTTTGCATATGCTCATCAGATTTAAACATTTCTGCAAAATAATCTTCAGGACGATGTGTAGCAATATTATTTTTAAGTAACAATTGTACACCTCGCATAACAGCAGATTGGGCTTGACGATGAAACATAGTTTCCCGTTTAAAATCATTTAATGCAACTTCATCAATTTTTCCAGCTTTCAGAAATTGTTGTTGTTCTGTAATCTAAAACAATACATTGATAATTTAATTTAAAAATATTATACTACTTAACACATTTTAATTAAAACAACAGAACTTTATAGCAACAGTTAAGACTAAATAGATTTAGTGATATCATATTAATACATAAAAATAAATAATAAGTAGATATAAATTGTAAAAACCTTCAAAAATAGTATATGGTTTTTCTTTAGTTTATTATTTATTATGAAAAATGGTAAGAATAAATCTCACATAAATCACTATGTCTTAAAACTATATTTAATTCCTTAATCAAATCTAAGTTTAATATAATTATTTAGTTTGCTCTCCACATATGTAATGTTTAGAGAATGTTTAAAATTATTTTTTTCTTTTTATGGTTGCATATAATATGATATGTATACTTCATTTTTATTACTCACTCTTTATGAACACATTTAATCTTATGTTTATCAAATAGAAGAAAAAGAAATGTTTTAATTTGAATTCCATTGAATCTTTTAATATAGATGTAAACAATTTTATATTCAAACTGTTTATTTTTTATTTTTTTGTATTTGTATTTTTAATCTTGTATATAGTTAACCTTAGATCACTAACTTTATTTATCAGACTTTATTTCTAACTATGTTATCAACACACACTGAACATACTAGATCGTTAAAAATTATAGGGATCAGTGTTGGAAAGAAACAAAGCTAAGAATGCATTTTTTTTAAATACAAGAACAAGGAACAGGAAAAAGATTGTATTTAAGAGAAACGTGAACACAAATTTCCATTCCTTCTGTTATGACAAAAAAAAAATGAAACTAAAATTATTTTATTAATTATACTCTAGAAATTAATTAGTGTTGATATGACTTTATTAGTAATAAATTATCACAATGGCCCCATTTCTCCATTTTTATTAACATACAAGGTAATAATATGATGACATAAACCACACAATTTTATACTTAGATAACCGTCACATAAACGGTGTCTTAGTGATAATTATTCAAAATGGTGTGGCAGTCCTACTGAGATCCAGGAATTTTTTTCATTTTCATTTTGAGATAGGAAATTAATGTAATTTAATTCATTGGGATTTCAAACATGTCAGTTCCAAGAACTAGAAATAGTTTCCAATTTTAGTTGACTTGATTAATTCACCTTACATTTTTTTTTTTTATGAAAATTAGGTATTATTCATTAATTGTAGTAGGAACAAATTCCCTTTTAAAAGGATTACTTCCAACACTAATCAGTATAGATATAGAACATAATATATAAGATATATACAAAGGGGGGAGGTTCAATGATATTGGATAACATGCCTAAAAATGGCAACAATAAAATTGTCCGTGTTCGTCAAACAAATGGTAAGCTTTCTAGGGTTAATAAAGGTTATTTGGTTTTTATTCATATTTTAATGTACACAACTTTTTACATTTTTTTTTTAATTGGGTTTTTAACCTATTAATAATAAATTGCATTAATTAGTTAATACCTAAGAAGATTATAAAAATTGAATACATACCTCCATTGAAAGTTCAGGTGCTAATGGGGCAGTTTCAGCCACAATATCAAGTCGTTCCGTCCATGGTAAACTACTAGCAAATGAACTGAGTATTTCTTTTAATGCATTCTATAAAGAAAATATATAATGAATAATATCAAAAAATATTGAACAGTTTATGTGTAAACATAATATTATATTTTTATCTTATTTAAGAAGTAAAACTGAAAAATGTCTGCATTTATAATTTTAATGGGTAGAAGAATGCTTTTTATAAAACTTAATACTTTTATAAGTTTAGTCTGAATGATTTAATTCTTTTTTAGTTTTTTAGCTAACCAGTCTTCCTTGTTTTTTAATAACTCAAGTTGAAATAACTAACTTCCCGAACACAAATATGACCAGGTGCAATGTGCATAGTATAGCCGGGTCTCATTAATCCGAACACAGGCTAATCTATTTGGGCTTGAGAATTATCACATCCAGGATTATTTTTATCATGAATCAGCAATTACATCAAGAAGATTTTAAATGAATTTTATTTCTGTTTTTCTAATCATTATGGAATTATTTAAGCTTTATTTTAAAACTATTTTTTATTTTTTACCCCTACTCCGTATACCTTAAATAAGTGTATAGTTTTGATTTTTAAATAGGAACACTCCTTTAAAATTTTCCGAAAATAATAAAATAAAAAGTTATTTATCATATTATTTAATTTTGTATACTACATGTAATAGTTGAGTTAAATGGTTGTTATACACAGCTCTTAATAAAAAAAATTAAAAAATTAAATTCAAATATATATATGTTTAGTACTCATCTCTGTAATGTAAAAAAAAAACCAGAATTTAATAATCATTATTATCTCTGGAGATATTCAAGGGGTATATCTTCATGAGACAACCTGTAGAAGCATAATATATGATGAGTGTTCAAAAAGTTACATTTTATTAAGCTACATAATATTATACTATATAGTTTTATTTGTACATTTTGTAATACTTACAACGTTATTTATTAAAACTTTTTCATTTTCAACAGGTATATTTAAACCAGGTTTTATTTTGCCAGATGCATATAACTCCAACAACTGAAAAATATCAATATTTTAAGAAAAATTTAAAATAATTATGGGTACATGTCTCCAATATACTATGTTGAGATAAACCACACTTACCACACCAATAGATTAGAATTGAAGTTTGAAATAGGAATCTCAAATTTCAATTATAAATAATTATCGGGTTTCTATTTTAAAAAAATCATAATTTAAAATTGTCTAAATAGTACTTACTTCTTCTTCGGAGTCGAGATCTGAAGACATGTCCATCATGGTAGACATCATTGGAGACATTCAGAGTAGATTGTGTTTCCCGCAATAAGTAATAACACGTGTGGTAGTGTTTTTCAATTTGTTATTTTAAATGTTATCATTCTCCGGAATCCGAATGACATCGAGATCATAGATTTATATATTATCTATGGTCGAGACCTACCTACGGTTATCAGATAAATGATAAGAGAATTGTAACCAAAGCAACCGTGAGTCCACTACATAGAGATTAGAGTAATCTCTATGTAGTGATATCAGCACTTTTGATAAACATTTGTTTGATTACATTGTTATCTTTATATTAGTAATTAACAATATTTCTATAATATTCATTGTTATTGTTATTTAATTTTAATTCTTACTACTACTAAATATTTATATTTTATTTAACGATTTATATAAAATGTTAATTTAAAGCATAGTTATAATGATTTTAAGCATTAAAAATAATACTTCTTTCAATAATCCAACTTTACATTTGACTTAATAAAAGTTACCAATAAGTACCTAGTTCAAACATTACAATCGTGTAGTCAACCAAAAATATGGGTATAAACATCGACTGTGTTATAATCGACCAAAAGTTAACAAACGTGTTCAAAACGTACAACAAGTATATAAAATTCCGATTTGACTATGTTATAAGAACAAGTTTTACTCAGTTACCAAATGAACTTAATCATAATATTGATTGTGAGTAATAAACCTAATTATTTTAATTTATTGTGTTAATAATAATCATTTATTGTTACACTTATAATTCAGGAATTATTTTAATTTAAATCTTTTTCTTCTTCTTCTAAGGCCTCTTAAAGACCATTAAGGTCCATTGCCGCAACAACAACATCCTTCCACTTTTCCCTGTCTCTTGACATTTCCTCCGCATTTTCCACACCAATCATCCTGAGGTCATCCTTGACTCTATCAGCCCACCGTTGCCTGGGTCTTCCTCGAGGTCGTTTTGTGTTTGGTTTCCATTTTGTTATGCTCCTCAGTACTCCTTCAGATCTTCAAACATGACCAGCCCATCTTATTCTGCTACTCTTCATAATTCCTATAATATCGGCTTCTCCAAATAGTTCTCTTAACTCCTTATTTGTCCTAATTTCAAATTCACCTCCTTCATTCTTTTTTGGTCCAAAAATTTTCCGAAGTATTTTTCTTTCCAAAACACCCAAATTCTCATCCATTTTTGTGGTTGCCCACGTCTCACACGCGTATAATGCTATAGGTCTAATTAAAACTTTATACAATGTTGTCTTTGATCTTCTTGAGAGTAATTTTGATTTGAATAGTGTGGATAATCCAAAATAACATCTGTTTGCTGCTATCAATCTTTCTCTTTTAATTTAAATTATAATTTTAATTTAAATTATAATTTTAATTTAAATAGTCTAAATAATTGTCTTATGTATACCGTTCATTGATTTAAGTGCCGATTCAGTATTGATTATACAAAATGTTTGAAATTCCAAGACAAACATATATTGTTTTTAGTTATAATTCAGAGGATTAATGTTTTATTATTATAACTAAGCAACTGTCTGAATATGTTCTATATATATCAAAACTGTTAATAATATGTTTACACAATTATTTTATTATGAATTAAACTTGAAATAGTTATCAAATCAAACAAATATTTAATTATTATAGTTGTAAAGTTACCTCTTCTCGTTATATTTTAAAACAGGTTGAAACGATATAGAAGAATTCAAACATAATATTAGAAATACCATTAATAATGTATACCTAATAACACAGTTTTAACACTTAACAAATATGAAAAATACATTGTAAATACATATCTAGGTCATAGATATATACTTATATTTGTCAATTTGAACAAGATTTTTTTGTAAAATCATAAAATCCATCACACATGTAGACACTAATAATTTTTTTTTTAAATTTAATAACTATAACCCACAATAAGTATTAAGCGAGGTTTTAAGTTCATTGACTTTAATAACAAATTAGTTTACCTACAATTTTTTTAAATGACAGAAATATCTTATCTTAATAAAATTCAATATGTTTAGGAGACTAAAGGAATTATGAACAACAATGATAGTTCTTATGTAAACAGTGCAAAATATTTTGACCACCTATTAATCTGATATCATTGAGAATGGTTGCAGATTGAATGGGAAATTTTAAACCAACCATAGGTTTAATGAATAAGCTATTCTGTTAGTACACAATTAATTTATTAATCCTATTGGTGATCAGGCCAAATTTTTATCAGATTAATTAAGGAATAGGTGGATATCTACTTATTTTTTGGTTATTTTGCTCATTGAGACCTTACAAACAAATCTCTCTCTATTTCACTCTACTAATTTCTGTTATCCTTCATTGTAAATCAGTTTTTGATTTTTCCACGTCATTTTTAACACAGCCCTTCTAGCATAACCGTCGTCCCAATGGTCATAATCACTAAGTATTTCCTAGATGTGAACCTTTTAAACACATGTCTTTCAATGAATTGTCCTTGTGGTGGATATCTAAATGCATCAATAATTAGACCACTTTTATTTGTTTTAAACAATGTTATTAACTTTATTGTTCTTAATAACTATAACTTAAATTAGATGCACTTATGAGTTTGTTCTTTTTTTAGGTTTTAGAAATATTTTAACAATTCAAAGGGTTTAAGGTACTTGTCATTTCTTTAATAATTATTAATAGTTTCCTTGAAAAAATTCAAATACTTTCAAAATCATGTTTAAAAATAAAAATAAATGTAATTTTTAAAATTTCTGAGGATTGTGATAAACTACACTTTTTTCCTATGAATTACCTAATAATTTGTTACCGATATTCTTTTTAAATATGATAATAATGCTATTTAATATTATTATTTCTAGATTCTATTTTTGATCCAAGTCAAAAGATTTTATTAGCTTGTATTAATAGTGATAATAATTTAAATAATGTCAATAAATTGCGCGAAGAATTGAAAAATATAACATCAGAAGTTAATTTAAAAAAAAATGAAATGGATCTAATGGTCTTGTATGAAGACGGATTAAGAAAAAAAATTAAACTTTTGGAAGATATTAAGAAAAAAAAGGTAAGAACATTTTTTTCTTGTATAATTTATTAAAAGTTATATGTTTTCAATACCATAATAATATCATCAATCATCATAATTGTCTTGAAATTAACAAAAAACCTAGGAAGATTTAATTCGAGAAACAACCAGTGTAAGTCTTAGAAAAACTGCAAGAGAAAAAGTTCAAAAGGAATATTATACAGTTCATAAAAAATATAATAAGATTCTAACTGAGTTGAATAGAACAAATAAGTCAACAAAAACAAATACAAGTTCTAGTAAAGGAAGTAGTAAAACTTCGGATTCAGAACGATTACATTGTAAGGCTAAAAAATACGAGGCTAAAATTGAAAAAATGAATGACATTTTAAAAATTGCTAGCGACAGTAAAGAGAAGTTAGTTTTAATCAAGTTTACAAGTTAATATACAAGTTATATACATATTTTAATAAATCTTAATAATATTTTATATTCAGAGTATTAGAATATCAAATGGATTTACAAACTTCTATGGATCGTTTAAAACTACATTATGAACAACTAAATATTCAATTAAAAAATAAACAGACATTAACAATATCATTAGCAGAAAGTGAAAAGCGAATGCACCAATTAAAAACAAATTTATCCAACTTGGGGGTAGGTACAACAAATTGTTTTTTGCATGTTATATAATTCACATAATAAGTTCTTTTAATTTGTTCTAAAATTTTTGATTTTAGGTTTTATCTAGTATAGAAAAAAGTAGAGTTCATACATCTTCAAATTTGATTGAAGAAGATAATTTGAAAAAAGAATTTTTGGAATTACAAAACATGAGGAATGAAATTTTAAGTGCTCGTCCTAGAGGAATGTTTAATCCAAAATACCAAAAGGTTTTAAAATAATCATTAAATTTTATATTTAACTACAACTAAAATTTGATCATAACTTAATATATCAACCTAGTACTAACAATTTATCTTTTAAAACTACATTTTGAGTTTGTATACTTAGTTTACATTATATTATATTTATATTTCTTTTAGGAAAAAAATTTATCAAAAGAAGTGATCAGAAAATATTTTGAAAATGACGAAGCAATTGATTGTATAGACTATTTAATAGAATTAAAAAATAATGAAGTGTTCAACAGTGATACTAATTTATTGAAATATATTCAAGCAGTAATATAATATAATTCTAGAATTGCATAATACTAACGTAATCTAATTAATTTATGGATTTGTTTGTACACAGAACTCAAATGAAACAACTATTTTCATGAAATGTCTATCAAATTTAAGTATTGATGAAGTAAAAAAATTGCTAATACATTTTTTTATTAAAGTTGTGGATTTAAAAGAATCAGGAAGAGAGAATGATGAAATAATTGCTAAACTTGATGTAAATTAATTTATTAATAATATTATGTACTTTTTATATATTTACACATAATATATAAAGTTAAGTCTCGATAACTCAAAAACTTAATAATTAAATTTGTTTTTTATTCTACTTAAAATATTTTGACTTAATTTCAGTAAATTTAAGTTAGTTATCTCGAAGCAATTTTTTATTCCCCTTACAATTTGAGTTATCGTAACCCAACTGTATTATATTTTTAATAACGATAAACTACTAACTCTATTAAATAATATTTTAAGGAAATTAATGATAAACAAAGACGTAGCATTATATCTTTAAATAACAGTTATCAAGAATTTCATTTATCAATTGAGAAAAAACTTGTGTCACTAAGAAAGTCCTACCAAGAAAAACTAAACTTGTTATTCTCAGTGTTGGATGAAGAGAATAATCCTATAAATACACTTAAAATGGGACAAGAAATCTCAAATTTGAAAAAGAGAATACAAGAGTTGGAGAAATCGCGTACAACACATACAGGTTAATACCAAGTTATTAATTTCATACATAACTATGTTTATTTAATTGACTAATTAATTACCTACTAAAATTATTGCAGTAAGACCTAAAGAAGTGTTGATGATGCCAGAACCTCATATAAGCTTAGATGAAGCATCAAAATCTGGATCTGAAACTATGTCGTCGGCCAAAGTGACATACTATAAAAATAAGCTAAAAATCCAAAAAAATAAGTCTAAATTGACTTAGGAAACTTCTTAAAATATACAGTATTTTCATGTTGATTTAAAACAGACCTAACTGATTTTTTAAACTAAAAATTTAAAATATTTACTTCCTAAATTATGTATAATTTATAACTGTTGTATAAATACAAATAATAAAAGAAATTGTTTACTTATTGACGTACAATTATCGCACACGTTTTTCTTAGTAGAACTGTTATCCTAGTAATTATAAATGTAAAAAAAAAGCTGATACTGGGGATGAAAGTGGCCACTGTTCTAGGTGAGAAGTTGGGAAGGTAGGATACAGAAGGTTATTTCATTTATAACTGTAAGAAACAATAAACAATTGCTTGAAAAAAGACGATTCCAAGCGCAGTTCAGTAATACATAATTTAAAGTGCCATAATTTTATTAAAAACAATGTGTTAAAAATAAAATAAATATTGAAATGTACTCAATAGTTAATAATAGAAAAAAGTTATTGGAATGATGGTATATCATTAAAGATGTGTCCTATTAAAGCAAAATCTGCTATGCATAAAAATGTTTTCAATTTGAAGTGTAAATAAGGGATCTATTAGTTTTACTATAATGTGTATTTTTTTAATTTTTGTATCTGTAAACAACTTTCCTACCAAAAATTTTATTCCAAAGTATAGAGTATAGTAGGTATCGTTTCTGAAAGGATATTATGTCTAGTTGGTGCACAAATAAAGTCATTTTTTTTTTTGATTTTCCAATGGGTTTTCGAAATAATTGGGAAAAACTCGAAAGAATAGAAATATGTAAAACAACAAATTTTTACGATGCTCTGTGTTATTACCGTTTTCAATGTTTTTCATTTTTGTTCACGGTGATTTCTTACAGAAATATTGCTCTAATTGAAAAATAATAAGAAATCGATTTTGTTCCTTTTAATATATAGCCACTGTAAAAGAAAATCATTTTTTGATATTTAAAATATTTTTCATAATAATTGGAAAAACCAATCAAGACGAAAAATAAGACTCATATTACCACTCAACGATTTCATTATATTACCAGGTATGTAAATATGAAACCGGAATTCGCCTATAAATACCTCTAGCTATCAATGTAGCTATTTCCAAACCGAGTAATTGACGTTATTTATATGTTAACATCTGACAAAACATATTCAACTTAAAACAATACAAGTTTCACATAACTGCATAGTTTGTAATAGCATTGAAACTGTTGTATTTTGTGCCCGGAAATTACGATTTGAAAAAAAAATGCTGCAAAACCGAATTGAATACTTGTCGACACTTACAGTGAGCATGGTCTTGGAAAATCACAGTGCTTCGAGTGATTTAAAAATTTAAATGAGGCGTTTTTGATGTGAGAAACGAAGAACGTGGAAAACCAACAAAAATTTTTGTTGGAATACTGTGTTTGATGGTATCAGAAGGATGTGATCTATTATGAGCTAATAAAACCTAGTGAAACTGTTAATACTCAGCGCTACCGAAAACAAATGATCGATTTAAATCAATCATTGTGTAAAAAACGACCAAAATATCAAAAAAATAAAAGTGATTTTGATTTATAATAATGCCCGTCACACAACAAAACGGGTCAAAGAAACGATCGAGGCGTTTAGTTAGGAAATACTTTCGAATGCGGCTTACTCACTAGACTTGGCACCGTTCGATTACTGTTTATTTGCATCGATGGTGGACACGCACTTGCTGAGTAGTGCTTCACTTCTTACGAAAATGTACAAAAATGGCTCGATGACCTAGTCACCTCAAAAGAGCAACAGTTTTTTTGGCGAGGCATTCACAAATGACCAGATAGGTGAGAAAAATGTATAGCTAGCAATGGGTAATATTTCGAATAAAATATATATTATCTATTACATATAATAAACTATATTTTATGTAAAAAAATTCCGGTTTCATATTTACATACCTGGTAAATATTTACGACTTGTGTTTTCTACGATAATTATTGTTCCAATAGAAAAACGGTAAGATATCATATTTGTTGCATTATTAATCTAGTTTGTGAGGAAGTAATTCGTTTTTTGATTTTTATGATAGTTTTTGTAATAGTTGAGAAAAACTGGAAAAAGATGAAAAATGAAAACTGATAAATTTACAACACTAGCATTCCTTAATTTTAAATCATACGGATTGTTTTTTCTACTAAAAATATTGTTCCAATAGAAAAACAACAGGAGACTTATTTTATTGAATTTTTAATCTAGTTAGTGACCAGAAAAGTCGTTTTTTGATTTTCTTTTTAGTTTTTTTAAATAATTGAGCAAAACCGAAAAAAGCGTAGAAAGTAAGGATAAATGTACAAAAATAATTCTTTTATTATTTTAAATTTTGGTTATTTAATGTAAATTCAGTTAAAAATATTCGTAGAGACTTAAAATTTTGACTTATATTTACATTTTTAGAAGTGGTAAAATTGTAAAATGTTTGAGCTATAGACATTTTAATTTTGTTATTTTTTTTTATGTAATAAATTTTTACGAATAGCACAAAATAAACATTTGATTTTTTTTGTTTTTTTTAATTGTAAATTGTTAACATAAATTGGTCAATTTCAACAGTATTGGTGTTGTACGGATTGGTGTTGTTCAAGATATCAAAGTTAATTCCGCACTACCGTTCGGTCACTCATTCGTTAACACCGGGTTATTTTAAATGACCCAAGATAAATAGGTACATATCTAGGTTCTTTTAAACCATAGACTTATACATCTAAACGTAACATTCACTCAGAGGACTGGAAGGCATGGTCGATCTTAACGGATGAAGAGAGATAAACTGATATAAAGCCTAATCGGAGTTTGTGACCGAGCAAATTTGCACTCCGAGGACAGCCTATTAAAACTCCGTTTAATATCGCACGTGTTTCTGTTTTCGATATGAAACCACTCATCGAGACGCATTTTCATGCTGAATTTTTTGTATACATTGATGTATAAGTCTATTTTTAACTCCATTGATAAATATGATTATTATATAATAATAACAAATTTTCGTTCTTTGCTTTCGATGGTGGCGATAATTCAGCCGAAAAATTTGCTGTTTACGACAGTCGACAGATGACATTTTTTAACTTTTTTTAAGGTTGAATAATAATTATTATCTAATGGATTAATCTAGGGTATTAAATCATAAAATAGATAACCGATTATACCTGATTACAAATGACCGATAGTTACTGAATTTAGTTCAATGCCGATGGCACAGTAATTATCCTAATACCAATGATACGGCATTACCGGTGGTACCTACCTAATAACTACAGGTATTTTTTCGATATACCGATATTACCGCCAGCCCTTGGCTATTTAGCCTATTGGTTAATCAGACCCTATAGTATTTAAAGATTCGACAGATGCCATAATACTAGCATAATGTTTAGTTTTATTTACTTAAATACCTATAGGCTAAAACAAACAAAATAAAATACAATTTTTTGAATTAAGAAAGTTAAATTCCATTAGATAGGAACCTATAACTATTATTTATGAAACTAATCAATGTAATTGATGGCAATTTTAAAAATCACTGTACAATTTTCAAATTGTGTTATTTTGTCTATAATTATTAAACATAAAAAAAAAAAATTAAATTGAAGGTTATCTGCTTCAATTAGGTATTGGAATTTGGAACCTATTAACTAATTCAATCTTTGTCGATTAACACACTGTGTATATAAGATTACAGTTTTATAATCTATTTTATCTACTCTGTATGTAGTAGTATATTAATACCCACAGTATTTGAATGTTATATTGTTATTTTACATTTTCAGAGTTCAGACGTTTCAGACTTTCAGTACAGTTTCAGCAGTCGTTGTCGGCCGACACGTTATTGTATCTACAACTGACGTCTTTTTTTTCTCCGGAAATAATGAACGGTTTTTTTTTTTTTAATTTTTATGCTAATAAACTCATTATTTTCTTAAATCACATAATATTAAAATAGTTTCTTTTTATCTTATTTTTTTAAAATAATATAATAGGTATTTATTGTGATTTTTATCATTAAATTGAATATTGTATTATTAATTATAATGATGATCGTAGTGTTATTGACAACTACAATTATTAGTGCAGTTATTTCTCCAATGTACACGGCCAACATTTTGGCGGTGTTTCCGCATCACGGATACAGTCATCATGCTGTTTATTTGCCGTACATCCAAGAATTGGCTAACAGAGGACACAATATGACTGTAATTAGTAATTATCCAACAGAACATCCAAATATAACAAATATCTCGATCAGAGGATCTATACCTATTAGCAATAACAAACACAAAATCGACAGTACCAAAGTCAAACCAACGAGTAGAATACAACATGCTGTAAATATCATTTGGGCTTTCTACATAAAAGGAAAAATAAACGAAGGCATGTTTACGTTGGACAAAGTAAAACAACTGTTAAATAGCGGCCATTCCGATAATAATTACGATTTGCTCATCACGGAACATTTCAATAGCGAATTGTCTTTGGTGTTTGCATTACATTTCAACGTACCTTTTATAGTTATGAGTAGTTGTAATCTTTTACCTTGGAATGGGCAAGTGGTCGGACAACCACTAGAAACGGCCGTTAGACCATCAACGTTATCCGATCTACCTACAAAAATGAACTTTTACCATAGGACTATAAACACGATTTCTAATGCTGTATCACTGTTGGGTTATTCGTTCTTATGCCGAACTAGAGATGAAGAAATCATCAAACGACATTTTAACATAGATGTTTCATTGGAACGATTAATTTCAAATGCCAGTTTGATCTTGGTCAACACTCATTTCACGATGTTTAAACCTATACCATTAGTACCAGCTGTAGTGGAAATCGGTGGTATTCATATACAATCAATCACACCTTTACCGACGGTATGTGTATCTATGATATAATTCGTTTTAATGAATAAGTAGTGGTTTTATATATATTTAATATTTCTTGAGTACTTTAAGATTTATTTGAATGGGTGGTAATCAAGTCGAATTCAATATAAATTCAAATTTGAGTGACTATACTTTCTTGATTTTGTATACAAATATAAGTACCTATTATATTATATTACTTACCTTATTATAATATAAACCTAATATATCAGAAAAATAGAATATTAAAAAAAATAAATTTATAATTTTGTATTTTTTCACAGTGAGTAAAAAAACCACATTTAGTTTTTTTAATTTTATCAAGGTGTCGGACAATATGTATTATAGTTACTCATTTACTTTTAAAATTAAATATAGGATATTCATCAATTTATTGAAGGAGCCGAACACGGAGTAATTTATTTCTGTATGGGGAGTTTAATACGAGGTGAAACTCTTCCGGATGAAAAACGTCGGATGTTCATAAATGTCTTTAAGCAAATCCCACAGCGAATTCTTTGGAAATGGGAAGGTCAATTTCCAGAAAAACCATCTAACGTAATGATACATAAATGGATGCCTCAACGAGATATTTTAGGTAGGTATTGGTAGGGATGCGACGGAATTCTCCATTGTGCATTTTTTGTCTTTGTCTTATATAGACGCTCGACATACCAAATTTGCATTTAGTAGAACCAATTTTTTGTTTTAAATTTTAATTTAATAGTAAATTATATGTGTTCATACGTTGTTTTTTTCGATATTTTAATTTTTAAACAAGATATAAGTATTTTTAAATTGTGCTGAAAAACTATTTCATATATCTCTTTAAAATTAAAATAACGAAAAAACCCAACATATAAACACAGATAATGTCTTCCCTTTAAGTTTGACTTTAAGTAAACTTACTGAAATTTTTAAATTAACAGCATAAAATTGGTTTTTCTAAATGAAAATTTGCCGTCATATATTTGTTAGACGGAGACAACAAATGTATGTGATAAGTAGATACTTATTGATAATCGATTGGATCTGTGTACAGCTCATCCTAATGTTAAGTTATTTATCACTCATGGCGGCTTATTGGGTATTACTGAAGCTGTATACGAGGGCATACCAATTTTATCAATTCCAATTTTTGGCGATCAAATGACTAACGTCGATGCTCTTGTAGATAAAGGAGTCGCAGAGATGATGGATTTCGATCATTTAAACGAAGGCGAAATATTCACAAAAGTGAAATCAATGCTTACGAATCCGCTGTAAGTTTATCGTTAATGTTTTATGTCACTTGCGATAGATATATTATATGCTATGTTTTGCTAATCGTTTTAATTATATAGTTACAAAAAAAAGGCTAAAGAATTATCACAAATATTTCTCGATCGACCGGTGTCTCCTATGGAGACTGCGATATATTGGACAGAGTATGTCATAAGACACAAAGGAGCACCACATCTTCGAATTGCTTCCCTGACATTGTCGTGGTACAAATATTATTTAATCGATGTACTGTTTTTTATTTTCCTATTTACATTGACTATTTTCATATCATTATACTACTTAATCCGTAATGTGGTTTTACTCTTTACCTGTGATAAAAAAATAATTAAAGAAAAACATATTTAAGTTTAACCGTCATTATTTATTTAACCATATGGCATAGACAATGAAATAATAGTAAATAATTTAAGTAGTAATAAACAGGTTACAAATTATCAAATAAGATAAACATAATATTAAAAAAGACAGATATATTTTATACGATGGGTGGACCATTATTGTTGTAGACGAAAAGTTTGAAGATAGGATTTAGAGGGGAATTTAATGTATATCGTAAGCAAAGATTAATCATTGCTAACGAAAAACGATTCTAAACGGAGCTCGGTTAATAATATTGCTTTTTCAACAAATAAAGGGTATTACATACCGACGTGGTTTTCCAAAAGATTTTTTTCAGAACTTGCGATCTTTGGGATGACAATAGGTACATATCACCACGAAACTATGAAAGGTATACTATAAAATTGACAATATTGAGTTATTTAACATAACACATAATTTAATATCCGCATAATATCAGAACTTCAATTCTGACTTCACCATTGTTCTTAAATCGGCAAAATGTTCAAAACAAAAACGCCTTGATTAGACATTCAACAAAAAATATCTCTTGTCGTTATTTTATTGGAGTAATATTTCTGGTAGAAAACTTCGTGCGTACAAATTTTAAATAATAAAATCGTACGCTGCGCGTTGCTGTAAATTTGTTCGTTTTCATTTATTTTCGGTTTTTCTCAATTTTTATGAAAACTATTTGAAAAATCAAAAAACAACCCGATTCAGTGTATCTAGATTCAAAATGCAACAAAAAAGGTCTCAAGGCATTTTTTGATAAAAGCAATATTTCTAGTAGAAAACATAGTTTGCAAAAATTAAAACCAATGAAATCGATAATGCTGTGGCGTGCCGTAAATATTTGTTATTTTAATATTTTGTTTTCGATTTTTTCCAATTATTTTGAAAACCCCTTGGAAATTAAAAAAATATCTGTCTAGTGTACCAATTAGACACAATTTTCTTTCAGACAATATATTGTACTATATTTTATTATATGCCCCAATTATGCATAAGACCCGCTCTATCGTGACCTGTCCATATTCGGTTTAAGTTAGTTAAAATCCTCCGGGGATGGCTGTATCCGAGTTGTTTCCTTAAGGAGTTCTTGATGAGGGAAAATTTGCAGAGTCCAATTCTTTCCATTTCTCTATCTAGCACTTTTCTGAAAGTAGTTAGTGATATTGAGTTCGACAGTGGTTTCCCACGGAGGTTTGTGTGACTTAGGTCTACGAGTACGTAGATCATCTCAAATTTAGAATAATTTCGGATTGGCAAGTTGGTGTTATTGCTGAGTTTTGACCACATTTTAAGTAATACTATTTTTCAGCGATGCTGCGACAGGGTGATGTTAATAATAACGGGTAACTATTCGAAGGGGGTAGACTTTATGGTATCTGATATAACGCGTGTACTTTGATTAAGCCAGGTATCCACCTTTTATACATTAGCGTTAATTAGTCAGACCGAGTCACAGTATTTAGTCGTAGAATAGACTAATTAATATATGAGATTTTGAGAGTTAAAAAGTCAACGCTTCAATCTATATCTGTGAGTTTTTGGATTATGTTGATGCGGGAGCCAATCTTAGACGCAACTTTAGTTATGGGTAATTTTAAAAATATATTAGGGCCCTATCTAGAGTGACGTCCAGATATGTTGGGTTAGATACACGCTTTAGCCTGAGTCCTAGAAAGGTGATTTTCAGGTTATAATCTGCCTTCTTGTTATTTAGATGGAAAGTTGTTACTTCTATTTAACTGAGATTTGTGTTGAGCTTCCACTGTTTTAAGTACTTGTCTAAAATTTGGAGATTGAAGTTAAGTGTGTTCTCACAGTTATCAAAGAGTTAGTCCTGGTTTACGATACAAATACCGTCCTTAAATACAAATCACTCGGAGGTGATTAAAACTTAACTCTATAAAGACAGAGGTAAATGCATTCCACCAAAGTAATAAGCAAGTATTATGAAGAATTAGAGGTGGTTTTCAATAGTGTGCAAGTACAATACAGTTTCAAGTCTAATTACATGAGAATTACTCTTGACAGTTCACTTATCCTTAAAGAACACATTGAAAAAATAATTAAGAAATTATTTTGACGCATTAACATGACACAGAAAAGATGTCTTTGTTATATAATATGTTGAAAATTACGCTAATCCTTAGGTTAAAATCAAGGAAAACCTCATGAAACACAGCTAAGAAACTGGTACTATCGAACTTTGAGGGCACACAAAATGAACATTAATTACCAAACTGAGATATATTTAATTAATAAAACTTACTTATTAAATTATATCTATGTGTTTAGATTTTACATCATCCGACCTATATTGGCTCTAAAAAGCTAGTCCGCAGAGAGTGAGGACTGTACCCAACCACCCTTTCTGGTATCCACCATACTCATCTGCGTTGTTTAGAATCGCGGTCTGGTCAATATACCAGCGAGACTCATAAGCCTGATCGAAGCCAGACGCATGGTCGCTTGCCCTGGCAAGTCCGCCCGTTCGGTGTCGAGTAAAGTCGGTACCACGGCTTGGCAACCACCAGACCTACTCAATTCTTATCGTATATACCAGCTGATTCATTTAAGTCGATTAACTTTTTTCGGAATTCGTTTTCTAGAATATTTATGAAACAAGCTACTCTAAAATTTTATACTTGTGTTTTTTTTTGTCACTTTCATTTTGTGGGTAAAAATTATAATAAATTTTAATGTTGACATTTTTTATTACCATCGATCCGTTGACGAGATATTCCACTTTGGGTTGGAGGAGAGTAGTCAAGTATTATTAGTGTAGAAGTACGGCACGTGGCGTGTTAAAAATGCATCACTATTCTCCTAACCTAAAATTAAAAGTGGTATATTTCGTCAATGGCTTGATAGAAATTAAAATTTTCAACACTAAAATTTAAATAAATCACCTGGTATAAATCTCACGAATATGATATATTTCGAGCAGCGTTTGGAGCTAACGATTCATTTTTGATTTTGGCAGTGGGCGAGTCGGTGACATTCACACTGCTTCCGATATGGGTGCACAAGAAGATCTTCGACTGATCGAGAGAAGAAGTTTGGCTCGTAATTTATCACTGGGGCAAGCTTGGTGGGCAAACTCCCAATACTCGGAATCACTGAGAACTGTCATTTGTTAGCTTCGGTCCTCGAAAGACCTACCGAGAAGATTGATAAGATCGTGATCGAACAGCAGATGATCCCGGCTGGTTAATTGGGTCACTTATTTCCAGGAAATTAACCCGGAAGAGAGTGGCCCTAAAGGATGTAATATTGTCCATTGGATTCTAAAAATGCATTCATCACAATGTTATACAATTCATTAGATTGTAAATTTTCTATTAATGACTTATTAGTTATTATTATAAAGTACCAAGTATCAGTATAATAGTATCAGGCTAATAGTTTTTATCAAGTAGCTAGGTAACAAATTTAGATATTTTTCAAAAATAAAAAATATAACTAAAACTCGTATGTGTACACTGAATAGGTATCGCATATATATTCGCAGTCGTACATTAAAAAAAAAAATAAATATAAATAAAATGTATCACAAAACTCAAACAGCTTACACTATATAAATATTATGTACACTACAAATTATGTACAATAAATATAAGATACACATTAAAACGAAAATAATAAATTGCAGCAGGCTAAAACCTATACGCAAACACGAAATAAATATAACTAAAAGTCGATCGTCCAGAAACAGTTTGTTTAAAAACAGTGTAAGGGTACAACAACGAAAAAATAATAATAATAATAATAATAATAAAAGGCTATAAAGAAAAGCAAAAGTTAAGAGTTTAACGGATTTTGAAACCACGTATCGAGGTCGTTGCTGCTGCTGCTGGTACCGTCGACACGGGGACTACGGGACGTGATCCTGAGGTCGTTGGGTAGATCGTAGCAACGGCACACGCAGCACGACGGGAATTTGAACCAGTCCGAAAATATACCGCGACAGTCGTTAGTCGGATCGTAGGCGAGCAGTCTATGCAATCGGTACTGCTGTTCGCAACGGCATCCTTGGCGGCAGAACATCTGCTTATTCTCGAACCTGTGCGACACATGCAAACGGGACGGGGGAAAAAGTGTTTACCGTTCGGATTATATAACTGATTATACTTACGTGCATCGTTCCCAGTGGACGTACTGCTCGAACGGGTAGAGATTTAGCAGTGCAAGCACTTCGCCTCTGGTGTTGTTTGCCCAAAACGGTGCGACCACCTCTTCCTTTACGGGACAAGCGTTACTGCGAACACAATAAACCGTTCCATTTTGGTATAAAAACATACACTTAATCAAAATATATGGCATACGTTCTATTTTAACAATGGGTTTTTTGTTGATATTATTATTTTTAAATAATGTCGCAATAAATTATTAAACTCCTGAATGAGTTGTGACGCGGTTAGCACTAGTTTTTAATTATAAAAACAAAAATTCAGCTTTAAATCAAGCAATTAACGAGTTTTCAACATTGATTCATTTTATAATTTGTTATTTTCCAAGTTAAGCACCACGCAGTGTTAAATCAAAATTTGTCGGTCGGATTTATGACCGTAAAGAACAGCAAGTTTGATAACGAGAAAAACGAGGGACCAGAAGGATATCGAGAATTTCGTCCGACTTCAAAATTAATTGTATAATGCGACTTATAAAAAATACAATTTTGAATATAACCCATTCAAACGTTACAGTGGCTAACGGCAATATTCTAAAATAATGTAACATTGTTTTTTAGTTCAAAAATCTAACCAAATCAAGAAACAAATCTTCTATACATTCGGTTCATCGTTTCATGTAATACATTAATATAGTTACACCAACTGATTGCGTCTCTTTAGTACTTACATGCCTTTTGATTTCTGGGGATTTTCCGTAGTGACCGTCGATTCCTGAAAAAATCCCGGTTGCTCCATCTGTTCGGTGCGCTCGGTCGACGGTATCGCTTCGGTAGTTGTTTCCTGCAGCGGATCGTCCGTAGCGTTATCTGTACCGTCTTCTTCAATATCGACAGCAACGGTTGTAGTGGGCACCGAGACTACTTCAGGCACGGTAGTGTTGGTGGGCGGGGATGATTGGAAGGTGGTCGTTGTGGTGGTGCTGGTTGAAGTCGAAGTCGGTGATGCTGGCGGTGGCGATGACGGAGACGACGGTTGTGAATCGTATCGGTTTAGTGACGATTCTTCCCGACGGCGGTTCCAAACACCACCTTCTATGTCGTTGGTGTCTAAATCGGCGCGCAATACGGATATGTGCCGCTGCTCGCCGTACATTCGTTTCATTAGACCATGGTTCTCGAAAACGAATCGTCGGACAGCATGCCTGATATAGGTACAAATACTATTAATATGCAATTCGTTGGTATTTGTAAGAAATTCGAAATCAAAAAAAAGCCGATACTGGGGACGGGTGGGTCACTGTTGTAGATGGGAGACATAAAGTTAATTAATTTATACCTGTAATCAACGAACAACGATTCGGGGTAAATTTCAGTTATACATTTTTTTAAAGACCGTAATATTTACGATTTTCATCAAAATTTGATTTTACTTATACAAGTTGTCCCAAAAAGATATACCCCTTGAACCCTTGAATATTTCTGGAGATAAAAAATATAACCAAGTTCTGTTTTTTTTTTTATATATATATATATATTACTCACAGGGAAGAGGACTTCAAATATTTTGTTTCGAATTAATTTTTTTTATTAAAAAATTGAAAAAATAAAGTTTATTTAAAAAAAGGTAAAAAAAATTCTTCTAACGAAATTTCAAGTCTGCGAATATTTTTAACTGAATACATGAAAAAACCATTTTTAATTTTTTTTTTTTTAAATGGTTTTAAAATTAAGTTTTAATGAAAATATGAAAATATTACGGCCTTTCAAATCATGTTTAAATGAACTTCGCTCAACATCACTTTTCGTTAGCAATGGTTTATCGTTGCCCTATGGTGGGGCTGTTAGCCTCTTTAGTTAATGTGACATAAACACGTCTTAGCGAGAGTAAAAAACTTTGGGAGGGTTAATTTTATTATTATGTTATTATGCTTGAAAGCCACCTCCTAAATAAAATGTCTATAATCACAAAGCTTGGTTAAGCAAGTGACAAGGTAGTAAGGAAATGGGATGGTGAGAATACTGCGTGAGAACCGGTATAAATAAAATAAAAATATAAAAATAAAATTATACAAACATAGTTTTGTGATCTTAAAATAAATATATAACTTTATTACGAAAACCTTAATATTACTCTACAAAATATTAAACAGTTTTTAATAAACAGATAATTGTTTAGATGTTTGCAATTGAAAAAATACAAAAATGATAATAGTAATAACTGTTAATGGATAAATGCACTATTGAGCACTATACACTAGTGTAATAAATACAAATAGTCCGATAACATAATAAATAATACTATTGGACGGTTATATACAGTTTGTATTAATATAAAACATTGCATTGAAATTATGAAATCGGGAAAAAAGTTGGGCGTTTAATGAGAATTGGTAACTTTTATAGTTCCGACTAGACATAAAAGTTTAACGCCCCATTAAAAATCGGTACTGTCGTGCCTGAATCGGGATGTTTGGTCATGCACACTATCTGATTGCCTACACGGATTTTGTACGTTGACTCTTAAAAAATTAAAAACTTTGGATTATAAAAATATAATTTTTTAACATTATAATATTAAAAATATTTATACAATTTACCAAATGTATAGCCAATCTTTATTGGATATTTTTTTTAACTTCAAGGTCGTATAATGTTACGTTATATAATCGCTAGGGTTTTACATTTACAGCCAATTGTTTGACATCACTATACACTTATAATACGTTATCCGGAAGAAATTAACTATAAACATGTCACAAATTGATCTTTAACAGTCTATAAATGATAGTAAAGTGTGTCAAAAGTTTAACAACCATTTCCAGGCTATACTAATTGTAGCTGTAACGATGTATGTTTAATATATTATATCAGATATATTCTTATAGTTATAATAATATGATATTATAAATATGTATGTGTATAACTTACAATTATGTTATACCTACTTAGTCTAGTTTTCTCAGTAAACTGCAAATATACCTAAATACAACCTATTTTCATATTACCGTGGGATAATATCAAAAATGTGCCATTCATTTACAACAGGTTCTAACCTATGCGTAGGCACATTTAAAAGCCAAAAATATTATTATAATATTATAAAATAATATTAAAAAAAAATAATAATAAATAAACATCTTTGTAAAACCAATACATTCTTCGTCACATTCAAAATCTAAAATAAACAGACATACTTCACACGATGGTTGGGCCACTGTTGTAGGTAAGAAGTTGGGAAGGTAGAATATATAGAAGGATATTTAATATATAAGCATATCTGTACGCAATGATTAATCATTGTTAACGAAAAATTATTCCGAGGAGAGTTCGGTTTTACATATTTTAAAATATCGTAATATATAAGATTTTATCGTAAAAATTTGATATTAAAATTCTTGTATAAAAAATGCTACATTAAATCTCATTAAATGCTTATCTTTTTCTTGTTGAAAATTGTCAAGTATTACTGTTCGATCTAACAATTTTATCCATAAAGGAACTACCAAATAAAAATTACGTAAAGAACGCGTCTATAAATAGCTCAAATGTTTTGAAAATTTTACCACCTCTAGAAAAAACAAATATAAGTTTTCGGTCTAAATTTAAAATTTGTACAGACATTTTGAACTGAATTACAACATAAATAACAAAATAAAAATAACAAAAGCATTATTTTCGAATATTTTCCAGGTTTTTCTTAATTATTATGAAAATTGCTTGAAAAATCAAAAAATGACCTTTTAAGGTACCGATAGAATTATCTTTCAAAAAAGATATTACACTTGATACATTGAAGCAAAATTTCTGTTAAGATTCTTGTACACAGCATAAAAAAAATATAAGAAAACATTTTTAAAAATAAATATCATTGTATCACATCAAAATATTCCTCCCTCCAAACAGAATCTATAATATATTAGATTTATCATGATATAATGGAAATTTACAAGAGACTGACGAATTTAACGTATTTTATTAAGTATATAAAATAATTTATTTTTAACAAATTCAATCTTTAAATTAATATCTACTAAAATGTACGAATCTAGATACCTACTCCGAAATACGCACGAAACCCGATTAAATTATAAAGCATGATATAATTAAATTATAGTAAAATGTTTTTACAACATTCACGGAAGTAAATATTGAGTATGTTATTTATACCTACTAAAATATAAACGAATTATTATATCATAAGTGTACAATGTTGAATGTGTATGATAAATTAATGTTCAACTAAAACCCTTAACATAATTCGGAAAAGAAGTCGCGGAGGCAATGAAGAAGATTAAAAAGGCAATGGTTATGATGAGTTATAAGTATGAATTATAAATATAATTGAATGATACAAGGTTTTGCTAAGGTGATTGCTTATAGATGATGCAGGAGACCGTGTCGAGTTGGGTATATAATTGAGAAACGAAGATTATTACTAAACAAGTAATGAAATAAAATTAATAAAATAAAGAATATTACTCTTGTTCTATCATCTCGGCTATACTTGTAAAGAGTTCTTAGATATTTTATGAAGAGACGATAATGATATTAGAAGCTTACACATTGTAAAATATTTTTTCCCTATATATAAGAGTACACAGAAAAAAAGAGCCAAACGTAGTGCAGCGTAAAACTTCAAAAAATAAACTAAAACAATTAAATATACTATTATGATATTTCGGAACCGAAAATATGTAACTTCGTATAAAATGTTAAAAATATAGTAACAATATAAAGTAAACTAAATGAAAGGATTAATTCAAAGTTCTGTTAGGTACATTTATTTACGACGATATTATATAAGCCTAAAAAAACCGAATTGATTAGCCTTGACTCGACAAAAAATTCAGGAATTTTTGTCATAGATGAAAATGTTATGTACTTACTCGTGTTTTCCTCGAAAACATATACTTTCACCACGTGTCCCTACAAAATACGTGTCTCATCAAATCCCGAATACTCGCGCCTATACAATAAGCACTTCACAGTTTAAATCTAGAACTTTCACTCATTCGCATGTCACATTAGACATACTTTCACCTACATTTATGCGCGCGTGTTACATAAATCATGACAAACAATATATAATGGGCGAATTTTTTTCACTGGCAAAATAATAATAATTACAACCTTCGGTAAAACTACGTTATATTTTCAGGTATAAATACAACGGAAGAGGGGTGTATTAGTTTCTAAAAGTTTAGTCATTCAGACTTTTATATAATACTAATATAGTTGTATTCCCAATTCCCATCACATATGGTGGGTTATTGAAATGTTTAAAATTGGTTCAGGGGACCGATTAATAGCATTGTGCTGCGTTCGACAGTCGTTAAAAATCGTTACTTAGTATGGTAGAGTATTTTTTTGAGTGGAAGGCATACTCATTTTATAAAAATTATGGCGTAAAAGTGAAATTTGGTATTTTATGTTAGGATTGAACTTCAATCTATCCAAATTTTTAAAGTAAGTAACTACTAAATTTGACAAACTCTTTTGGATTTCAAAATTTCACTTTAAATTAATCTTACATTCCTTAATCATATTTATGAATTATCAATTATAAAATAATTTGAAAATTTAGTCAAAATATGAAATTTTTTTTTTGCTTAGGAATTGGGTTAGGTTAGGTTAGGTAAAGGCACCTGGGTGGGTACCACAATATATGCTTTGTCCCGCCTGTAAAAATTAACTTCGGTGCCACTGGTCGTAATTATTACATATAAATGATTATAATATGTGGGATGAGAAAAAATCTACAATTTGTTAGTTAAGAGGATGTCCACATACCTGCATGTGTTTCTCCGTCTTACTAATGCACGACATAACAAAATTACGTTATTTAGACTATTCAGAGTATAGTTTAGATTGGATGAAATTGAAATTTAATGAAAAATAATAATAAGAAAGTTTAAAGAATTAAAAATTCAAAAAATAACACTGATATAACTTTTTTATATGATATATATTTTTTTTAAGAAAACAGCTCTCGTAAATATTCTCTTTAAATTTTGTCATATATGTTTTAGTTCTAATTTCAACCTAATCACCACAATTAACGTTCTAAGTATGAGGGGAAAAAGCGTTACACACAGACAGATGTATATGACCTTTTATATACATAAGAATATAATAAGATATTATAATGCACATAATATTATAACATGTATTTTTACCATGGGTACGTCGATCCGGGCACCATGCACCACGATTGACTGTTAAAATCACATGGTAAATCCGGAAATTTGGCTTTAGCATTTCTATACGGTTTCGTGCAGGTACTGTAACCATCATATCCGTAACCATTGAGCTCTAACGGCAGCTAAAAAACAAGACATATTGTTTTATAATAAATATATATATATGTAGAATTATTATTATTTCATAATTAAACAATCATAGGAGCAAATAGGGGGAGGGGAGAACTTTACACGCAAAACTCAGCCAAACCATGTATTTATTAAGTAAATACTAAGTATAAGATGTAAGCCCCCCCTTTAAAAAAAAAAATAATATTTCGGCTATTTGCCAATGTGATGGTAACGATAATAATTTAAAGAAAATAAACACATTATTATATATTGATACCTATTATAATATCTAATTTGTACGTAATTTTGCAATTTAATAGAGAAATGACCTGCTTTGTGTGATGTTGAACATATATAATATAATATACTACATACAAGAGCGGTGTATGTCGGGCAGAAGAAAGGAGCCGTGAAAGTTAAACGTTGGCATTGGAAACTGTGCCATGTGGCGGCCGACGGTGATTTTTATTGTGCATACAATGTCAAGGTGCCTCAACATTTCCGATGAATGGACAACGATTATGTTTTCGTCCAATGAAACATAATATACTTAATACATTATACGCTTAATATACGTATATATATATAGGTGCCATAATATAATGGATACGATGTTTGATTTAGTTACGGTTCCATGATGTCGAAAAGAAAACGATCAAATTTCCTATTAATGTTTGCAGACAATTATATAGATTATAGATATATACCTATGTATGTTCACATCACTTATGTGAAAACGCCGCCCACGATTTTTCGTTAGAACAAATAAACATAATGTATAGCTAATAATCATAATAGTAATAGTTGTATACGCGAATGCTGCAGTCAAAGACCTCCCGATGAGTCTGCTTCTTACAAGGACGAATGAATAATTCGTATTATAGATGCATTGCAATATTTATGTATACATATAATATACATAGAATAACGGATATAGTTATTATTGAAACAATATCATAAAATATATATCACGATTACCCGGCAAAACCTCGTATGGTCTATTTTAATAAATTGTACACTACTGTAGCAATAAAACTGTTATTAAGACAACTACGAGAAAAATAAAAACTTGACCTTCTCAATACAATAACTGGATAAAAATTCTTTAAGAAAGTCCTTATAAAGTTTTTGAACGGAATAACATCTATGATAGAAAAATTATTTCAGACACACACAAAAAAAAAACGACTTACGAGGTTATGTTGGGTAACTGACGATATATAGTTTCACGATAAATTCGCCGATTCGACGACCTCTGTCTGTGGTCATCGTCTAATCGTTTATATTGTTATATAATGATGGACGTTTGAACTTGTCTGGAATGACAAGTCAAGAATTTTCGATCACGACGTTTCACGAATATTTTCAAACCTACAATTGTGTATTATTTTTAATTATTAAGCTGTATACGCATATAGTCATGCTCACAAAAAGTGGGCGCTGGTAGCCAATAGCAGAATTCAAATATTGGGGTTCTCAGCAAGGCCATAACTGGAAACAAATTTTGGGGGGGGGATCCAACAGTTTTTTAATAAAGATACTGGACGCTAATCATTTTTACGTTAAAAATATAAAACCTCTTTATTGCTGAAAAATATAAAATTATTCTTTATACAATTATAGTGAATAAACTATGTTCACTACTAAAAGTATTCTACTTTTAAAAATGTCGGGGGAAGGAGGGAAGGCCCAGACCCCTGGACCCTCCCAATTACGGCTTTGATTCTCAGTATTGTGATATTGTTTTTACCACCGCGTCTATCACTTATAAGTCATGCTCATAATATTTTTCTTTGGAGGGGTCGAGGGAACACATGTTTGTAGCTGTTGGGTAAAATTGCCATTGGAAACGAGACCCCCGTCTCCCAACACTCACATTTTATGAGCTCTACTATAGACTTATGGATTGAGATTTGAGAGACGAATCCAGTTCATCATCGAGTAAAAGAAACTAAGAGGCACTTTTCTTAACCCTAAATACATATTACTACCAGTAAGACATAGTCGTCACGGAAAACACGATAGAATGAAACATTTATTTTTTAAAAAGTTTTTTTTATGGTAGACTTGATTTTATATGTTATAGGTATAACTGTCCACGTGTTCACGTGTCCTGTGTACTTTATCCGTAGATACCGGGTGTAAAAAAACAATTTTTCAGTTGGGTTTTCATATTATGGGAACAGAAAAATTAAATTTTTATTTTCATCTCAAAATAACTAAAAAAAATAACTTTTTATTTTTAAAATTTTCAAAATAGTCAATTTGTTAAACATATTATTCTAAAAATTTTAATATATCATACTTACATATTCGATCAATAGTTTCTTTGTAATATATGTTTTAATTTCAAGGAAATAGTTGTGAAAACAATTAATTTTCAATAGAACAACACGTTACGTGATACGTTATCACAACCAGCACGGTAATTACATATCGTCTATTGAATATTAATAAAAGATACTAATCGGATATGAATATATGGTACATTTAAATTTTTGGAATAATATATTTTACAAAATGGCTATTTTGAACATTTTAAAAAGTGAAAAAATAAAAAGTATTTTTTCCAGTGATGGAAAAGGATGGAAATAAAAATGTAATTTTTCTCTATATTTGTCTTCCCCTGAGACAAATCATTTGGTAATGTTTTAATCCTTTGCTTAGTGATAAAATAATAGTGTGGTCGTCTAAATCGTTCCCGGAAAGTTTTTGTCAGCGATCCTCGGTTGACATCATAATATACCTACGACACAGAATCGCATGGGATAATTTCGATGGTTAGATAATATTATTAATCCGGGGGTCGAGGACCAGTCCGGTCCAGTTTGGTATCCACTCAAACGAGTGCGCTCGTGCACGTTCGTGTCAGAAAGGTGAAGCTCCGACCTTCACCCTGCCTTGCCCATATAGTTCTTCCAGTTCCGCGACAACACGCGGCTTTAATGATATTATTTCGTTATACGGGTACACGGAAAGATTCGACGACATCCATTATGCCATCCAATCTACGGTGGTCGTCTTGCCAAACCATTGCGAAAGTCTATTATTTGAATTAATTGGCACGGGCCGAACGAGCAAGTACGCACAAACTACAGGTACCTACACAATAAATTCGCGTACGCGCACGGTCGAATTTACCGGTTTACAATCGGACAAGACATTTTTTTTTCTATAAAACCTCAATTTTTTTACAGGGCAACTCCGAGTAGATTTGATCGATAACAGAGGAATACCGATTCTTTTTTTTACAAGGGAAGTATAGAATTTTTTTTTCGCTAGGTAGATCCAAAAAAAATCAAAACACCTCTTCGTGCGTAGACATTTTAAATCCGGTCTACCCACGGCTGGCCACACGTCACTGCACCCGCGGATGCGAGATTACGGATATTATAACATGCACGTACTATTATATTATAATAATAATAATAATGTTACTTACTGCCCAAAGGAGTAGTATCTTTAAGTACATGAGTCGTCCACATGCAGTACACTGTAGGGGCGCGCACGACCACGCACATGGGTTTGACTGAGTTCGGCCGGGTGTCGCACGCGAGACTAACTGAGCGGCTGGACACCGACGGCGGCAACCGCAAAACTGGGTCAGCAGCAACAGCAACAGCTCCGTAGTAACGCGTATACCGTTACGTTTAGCGTTTAGCCTACTCGGACAACGGCGGCGGCGAAGACTGCTGCAGGCGCGCAAACTGAAGGAAGTGGCCGGAGCGGCGGCGGTTCGGACACGAGCACGCAGACAGTCACAATATCACATGGGCAGCGCCCGCGCACGTAACACCCAAACGCGTCGCTCACTTTCACCGCGGCTGCAGTATACGTTTATATATATATATATATCTATTATAGTCTATACTTATATATATATATATATATATATACATATATAGGCTTTGCATATTTTTGTTTATACAACGACCGTAAAATAATAATAATAACAATAATACGCACGGACGCGCTTGTGCCATTATTATAATGACGAGACGAGATTGATGTGCTTGCGACCGCCGAAGATAACGCGCGATATACGCGATATAACATCGTGATGGCGGCGGTACCCCGGCGCGATCGAGCTCATTTCCCTTTTTTTTCTTCTTTTTTTTCTCATTCGGTTTTGTTTTGTTATTTCCCTATCCCCACCCCTCCCCCGTCCTAAACGTTTGTTTTCCGTCGCACGTGCCTATAGAAATCGAATTCGGCCGAGATAGGTCGCGGCAACGCGCTCACTAAACCTAATAGTACATAATAATATAATGTCGTATTAATTATATTCTATATTGGCGAAAATAACGTAGACAGCTCCCGTCGCAACGCACATGGAAAGTCCTCGATCGCATGTCCGATTGGTATACGTGATGTGAGATTTTCAATAGTTGCACACATTTTATCTATAGGTAGTCGCTATTACAGTTCGAACGAATCATTTATTCACGATTACGTCGTCATTTCACCGGCAATAATACCGATGTAAAACGGTTCTTCGCCTTTTCCGGTACCTATACGGCCAATTTGACTAGAAATTTTACATTCTGAGCTCAGCGAGAAATGTATTAATTTCACCAAGATGTATGTATGTTTATATTGCTCTGATTTTCAAGTATAGCATATTTTCTGAAAGAAAATTTTATCTAGCTGATGCCGGAGATCATTTTTTCATTTTCTTTCAACATAATTTATAATTAGTGATAAGAACAACAGTTAAGAGTAGTATAGTTTGTTTTTTTAAACGATTTTTTAAGTTCGAATTTTCACGAATATCGTAAAAATAACGGCATTCAAAAACATGTTTTACTGCAAAACTTTACTCAGAATCGTATTTTGCCAGCAATAAGTTTTTATTGTTTACAGATATGAATCCAATTTAACTTTTTTAATCCTATCTTCTCAACTTCCCACCTACACATCCATCAGTTACTACTAGATATACTAGATATACTTATCGGCTATTTTTTTCTTTGCAGGATGTAGTCTATTCAAATAATATGCAGATCGTTTTTATTTTCAAATAAACGATTCCGGATTTTCTCGTTTACATGAAAAAAAATAACTGAATTTCCGCAAGGAGTCCAGAGTTGTACACTTGGCGAAGAAAATTTCTACGAGTATTCGTTAAGTCTATTGATAATTCAGGACTTAAACGAAATACATCCATAAACTCTTTTCTAGGTATTTCATAAGGCTTTTATGTATCACGTAAAACCGTCTTTCCAACCACTTCACAGCTGCCGGAGTCTTTCCTCTAAGACCTCCACTCATATAAAAAGTGCAAAGTCATGTTTTGTTTTGTTGAGTCATGTGATAATCACTAAAATTTCAATTGAAAGATAAATTAATAATAATAAACTCATAAAGTCATGACAGATTATGAAATAATTATTTAAAATTGTTTATATATTTTTACTCAATTCTTCTAAGATGTATAAAATATAACTATAACATTCAATATGATTTAACGACCATTCTAAAATATTCGGCACAGTACCGAATATTTTCGTTAATGGTTTTTTTCATTATCAATTATTTCGAAAGGTTCGAAACTTTAGATTTTGAAGAGTGGAACGAAGAAGCTTAAAGATGTTTATTTTTTTATTTTACTTTTTTTTATCTATGGACAACTTTTTTACCAGAAATCTTACTCAGATTTTTAAGTTTAACACATTTTCTGAAAGGAAATCAGTGTAGGGAGGTACTTTTTTTGGTATAAAATCACACATTAGAATTAACTTCAAATTATTATGATTAATAATTCATTAAAGTTTCAGTTAATCGATATCAATTATATTTATTTATTTATTTCCAACTAAACGGGATTAACTTTTTCTAAATGAAAAAATAATAAATGAAAAAAACATGAATGACAAATGAAATAATAATAATAAATATGGTATAAATAATAACTAAAATAATTAAGTACATATAAGATGTTTAATTAATAAGAAACAGATTTACATTTCATCGTACGAAATATGTCCGTCCTTTTTTTTTTTAATGTATACATTTCGATCGTAATATATTTAGGTAAATTATATTTGTTTCAATTTTTAAACGCATTCGATTTATGATACTTTTTTCTTCAATAAGATTATTATATCAATACATATTATATACAGTCACCTATATAAACAATTATAACAACATATGAATATATAAGAAAATATTGTAACAATATTATAAATTTGACTAGAAAATCACAAGGAAAAGACAAAAAACTCGCTTATTTTTATAAAATGACCACGTGTAACTGCAGGCTGTGGCATATTTAGGAGTATCCCGAAGGTTTCTCACTCATACTCGGTGTTTCTACTTACCAAAACGATCATCGCACGAAATTTTTAGCATAAGTAGGTACTAAATTGCATATGCGTATAAGTCAATGGAGGGACATAGAAAACGCGTACCATAAACAGCAATAGAAGTAATGCAACACTGCTAAGATCTTTTACGCTTTTACAATTGTTATTTTACACCGCATATTACTTTTGCAAATCTAGAAAGCACATTTACTATACAAAATATTATAATTTAATAGTTTTTTTTTTTTTTAAATTGATGTTCAATTCGAATTATAAAACGTCTTCCTTTTTTAAATAAAAAAAACATAAAAATCTAACTTCTTCTTCTTCTTTTAAGGCTTATAGCGGTCCATTTAGAATCATCGCCGCTTCCAACACGCTCTTCCATCTTACCCTATCCAATGCCACTTCCATATCCAGTAATGGATTGATTTCCTTCAAGGTTTTCTTAACTGTATCATACCATTTCTGCCGAGGTCTAACTCTTAGTCTTTTTCCCATTTTTCGTGACATTCTTAATGAGGAATCCCTCTAAATAATCCCTCTAAGTAAAAGCCATTCCAGCCTTTTTCTGGCTAAGAAATGTCGTAGACTCGGCTTATTGTACAGCTGATGCAGGTTTTCAATTGTTCTTCTTTGGATATTAATCAAGTCATTATTATATACCGGTCCATATCCTTTCTTGGAAAGTAAGTGCTACTAATAACAATGTCTTTAGATGTTGCAAAGTTTACGATTCTTGTTCCATTATCGTTTGATATGAAAATTTAACTATTTATATAAAAATCTAATTATTCTACGTAATGTGAGAGTTTTTTCCACAAGACATGTTTTTGTACACAAGATATGACAGTTCTAGCTATTCTAGTCATCCAAAAATAATTGGAAATAAAAATAATAAAAATAATATGATGCTTAAAGTCACGCATAAACTAGAATTGGATAAACCGGACAAAAAATATCAGTCTATAGAGTGTCTATATTTAAATAACTAAATAAAATCGAATAATATGAATGTGGAGCTCTGTAAATATTAAAATTAAAAGATACAAAGCGTAAAAGTCTATTTTTAATTGATTCTATACCTTGAATTAAATATAACTGATGTGGTGATTAAAGAGATGAGTTGTAATCAAGACATGATTGAACGAGAGAACAACAAAGTATTTTTAATGTTATAATGTTATTAAAATTATAACAATGCCGTCTAATGAAACCTAACTTTCTTGCAGCCTTATTGATAATTGTAGAGATGTAGTGGTTAAAAGTTAAATCAGATGAAAATGTAATTCCCAAGTCCCTAATATATTTAAAAATTGGCAACTCAACATTTACTATCGAATAGAAATATCTTATAGGTTCCTTTATCCGATAAGAAAAGATAACACTACATTTGGATAAGTTAAAACTCGTATTATTTTCGAAACACCATTTCTCAACTGTGTTAATGTCACACTGTAATAAATGTAAGATTTTATAAATCCCAATAATTTGCAATCATCAGCAAAAGAAAATAACTTAGCAAAGTGCAGATTGAAGGGTAAATCATTTATAAAAACATTAAACAATAGTAGGAAAAGGTGAGAACCTTGCGGAACTCCAAAAGAAACTTGAATAGGGTAAGGTAGAAAATTGTTGTATTTGATTATTTGAATTCGGTTAGTAATAAAGGATTTTATCTAAGATAATATAGGATTACCTTTACCAATATTATTTAATTTTTGTGACAATAAGAAATGATTTACTCTGTCAAATTCTTTTGCAAAGTCTGTGTATATAACATCAGCCTAATAACCTTCATTAACGCAGTTTAGAATATTATGGTAAAACATAAGTAGGTTTGTATTTGTTGAACGATTTGCACAGAAACCATGTTCGTTATCTACTAATATACTTTTAAAATACGGGGTTATTTTTCTAGATACTAAATCATCCAATGTTTTTAGTAAAATTAAAATAATAGAAATTGGACGGTAATTTTTTACGTCAGTTAAGATATTATTTTTAGGAATAGGAGTTACATATGAGATTTTCTAGTAACTAAGATAAGTACTTAATAAAAATGACAAATTGAATAGGTAATGAATTGGAAAAATAATATAATTAATACAAGATTTAAAAAAATATGTAAATAATACATTAGGGCCAGTTTGTAAAGAAGATACTAAAAGAAAAGTATATATCATTGTATGATAAATTAATACAGTTAATGTGTGTTGAATTATTGTTATAAAATACTGGATCATCTAGAGACATTTTTGATTCAATATAAACGGTACCAAAATGCTTATAAAGTAAATTTACTTTGTCTTTGGTATT